CAGCTTGCTGCACTCATAGTTATGTTTCCTCTGCACGGTGTGACAGGTAATTTTTACTTTGGCCTCAGTACTTAAAGGGGAATGCCTGAATTTAGAAGCAATGTCTCTTTTTACATGTTTGTGGGTCTTATTGACTTAACGGTAGAAAAAAAAACTGAGGACTTAGGCTTGCTTTGGCCATCAGCAATGAAACTGTGAGGGTCGCAATGTAACTGACGCATCTGACTGAAACGTGTCCTCTGAAGGAGCTTGTTTTATTAGCTCACAGAACAAATTGTTCTAACCAAGAGTGGGTCTGACCGAGTTTTAGAAATGTTCGATACAGAAATAGATCCTGATGTTGAGGGGTTTTAACCATTTACACTAGGGTTGGAAGAAAAAAATGATACAGCATGGTATCATGATATTTTGTCTGGTGAAATATCGTATCGTCTCATTTACCAAGTATCGATTTTTTTTCAAGTTAATTACTAATGTGAAGTCAAATCTATGATAATGGAAAAATAAAATCAACTGTTTGTCCAGTGAGGTCGGCAGACATCATAGAGCAGGAGAAAGTTAGTGCAACAAATATATAAAAGGTTTGCAAGATGTGCTACATGAAAATAAAATACAGCGTAAATTAGACAAACATGAAGGAAAGCGAAATGCTGAATTAGCTAAACAGTTGAAAAAATTATATAAATCGCAATATATTGTATCACAAAACTCACTGTATTGCAAAATGTTAAACATCGCAATATTGCATTGCGGCCCAAGTATCGTGCTAATATCGTATCATGGGGCCATTAGTGATTCCAACCCCTAGTTTACACCTGTATCACTCTCATTGTTGCAGATTTTTTTTTTCAAATTAAGAAAATTGCCAGTCCTCTGCTGCTACCAGTAACTCATTGTCTGTGTCTGTTGTGCCCAATTTTGACTGAGTGAAATTACTATTTCCCTGACTATGAAATGAGTCCATTCAGAACATCCCTACTTCACATATTTTTCCATAGATATGAGTATTGGAATGACATTTGTACTTGCTGTTGAATAAAACACACAGACAGAGAGCAACATGCCTAAATTAATTCCTCCTGATTCAAACTAACCTGAACACAATTAAAGATTCAAACTCTGTAGCCACAGACTAATGAAACTGTCTCCAGGGAAGCAGCAGGAGGCTGACTGTGTGTTCCACCCACCCTGAGGGGTTAGGACCCAGCGAGGGGTCCCAGCAGGTGCAGGTTGAGACCCCCCGCTCAAGCAGTATGTGACTGACGTGAATCACAGCTCCGGTGACGTCCATGAGGGATTCCCTCACACAGCACGACACCAAACAACAATATTCAGATACCTTAACATTACAGACATTACCTCTTTAAACAGTTGGGTGCTTTATTTCCATAAGAGCAAAGGTCAGAAACAACATTCTGCTGCTTCACGCCTGAAGGCAGTAATCTGCACCAACAGAACAGTTTGCCTTTTAAAAGGTCAAACATGCAAGATGAACAGTAGTGTCTCTATTTGGTAACATGCTGCTTTATTAAGCGTTCTCACCTGAAAATGAGTCAGACGGTTTAGACTTTTATTGCCCTGATTTAAGCCCAGCTGACATGATTACTTTCAGACAAAAGAAATACAGGTAAAACCAGCTTATTAAAGTTTGACTTGTATTACATGTATAACATACCCCGTCTGGATAAATTGGTAATCATCATTTTTGTTGTTGCATTAAAGGTGGGGTAGGCAGAATCTAAGGAAGTGTCAGTTTTGGGGAGAAATCTTGAATGTAAACCTTACCCCTCCCAACCAGTTTTCCCCTCAGCTCTTCCTCTCCCCTCCCTCTTTGCTCCAGCAAGCCCCGCCAAGGCACTAGTACGAATCGCTTTACATTATTAATACAGACTTAAAAACTGTTTTGAAATGTGAAATACTGGAGTTTTGATCATGTGATTAAAATGCAATCAAGGGTTAAAATTCTGCTCGATCTGCTTCAAAAATGAACCATTAGTCTCCTAAAACATTTACAACTCAGTTCTGTCTTTACATGATGACAGAGTTTGAATTATTTACAGCTCACCTGTTTTATTTAGCTACATTTAGCCTTGGCATCAAGATTGTTGTGGTTATTTCCCACTGAACGAACAGCAGGCCTGGCTTTTGTAATGATAATACTCAATATCTTAGTGTTCTCTTTGCGCTGTCTGCTTTCCACTCAAGACTGTTTTCTTTTACTCTCTGATTGTAATTTGATAATATTGTTGTTTCTGTTTCAGGGGTCTTTTTTTTTTCGGCTCAGTGTGCTGTTTCACCGGATCACCAGCGAGCCGTGAAACTGAGAAATCCTTCCACATTAATGAATCACCTCCTACTGTCTGACACACACACACAGATGCTCCTCCAGACCTCATGGGGACGATAATAAAGGGGGATGATTTCTAGGTGAGTAGAGTTCCTGCTGTCTCACACACACACTCACACTCTTACTGAGTGCCTCTTGCAGCATGAAGCATCTGGTCTCAGCGATGACACAGGTGGTGGAGTGTGACTCCGACCACCTGGCCCCCTTTAAGTATCCTTTTATAGATGAAGTGAATGACATTATGCCTCTGTGTGTGTGTGTGTATCTGAGTGCGTTTTCATGTGTGTGTGATCCCATCAAAGCTTTCACCCCATGGAGGCTCTTTATTAAAACACCTGTTGGGTTTCCTCTGTAAGATCTCACCTGTCCATCATGGAGAATAAGGACTGGAGTTGCCAGGGTGCAGGTGCGGGTGCTGACACCTGAGAGTGTGTGTATGTGTGTGTTTGTCTTTGTGTGTTTGAAGGTTTTTCTCTAAGCCTTGTACTCAAGGAAGGTTGTACGAACTTGTTCAGGGAAAATGCATGCTCGTTTTAATTTGCACATTTCAAATAAGATAGGCAAGGGCATGTTTGGCATTGTGTTGCATCACCTTGTCTTTTATCAACACAATAAATGTTTGCAAACTCAGGAGATCCTTTTTATAGAATTTCAACACCTCAAGGTTGGTCCTGCCCCTGTTTTGTCATATTTGTCGATGATTCACTGAATGTTTTTAACGAGTAACAAGTCAGGACTGCAGGCAGTTCAGTTTAGCAGCTGGACTCTTCTACTACAGAGCCATGCTGTTGTAATATAAAATGCAGAATGTGGTTTGGCATTGTCATGAACTTTGAACTGATGCCTTAATGAATTTATCAGACCAGGAAAGAGGTCCACTTTGCCTCATCCCATCTTGAATGTGCTTAGGCCCAGAAAAGTCACCCGTTCATCTGGATCATGTTTTAACGTGGTTTTTCCATTGCACAGTACAGTTTGAACACAGATTTATGGGCAAACTGGGTTCACAAACTATGGTTTATGGAAGTGCTTTTGAGTCCATGCAGTGATTTCTACTACAGAGTCATGTCTGTTCTTTTAATGATATCATGTACTGTAGATGACGCCTTAAAAGGATATTCCAGCGTAAAATTAAATAAGGGTCAAGATGAATGTTGCTGACCGCTCACTTCTGTAGTTATACCAACTTTAGTAACAACCACACGATTGCAATACACAGCAGTCTGAGGAGCCACGCGCTCAACCAAAACGCCACTCTATAGCCACAAATAATGCTCAGAACAGCAACTAACCTCATCAACAGTACATATAGGGTCCTAGCAATAGCACTAGCCACCAAACATTTTATTAGCTTTACCTAATTTCTTTAGCAAACAGACTAAACACAACTCACCCACTCTCTTTCGGCAGCCGCTTGTTTGTATGGAGACCTCAGGTCAGTCCATTATGGACTACAGCGGGTTGACGCAGCTCAAGGAAGAACATTTATGCTAATTTCTTCATGGAAATGCAATCAGACCGAGTCGCTAAGGCAAAAGAACAACCACATCTGCAGTGCAAAGTGATTAGTATGATGATTATTACTTCAAGGAAATGATAAAGAAATGATGTGCTTGGCGGTAATGGACTCAGAGGTCTCCATACAAACAAGCGGCTGCCGCTGTGTATTGCTATCCTGCAGTCTTTACTTAAGTTGGTATAACTACAGAGGCAAGCGGTCGGCAACATTCATCTCTTGATGGGTTGTCTAACTCAGTGTTACGGTATGTTTGACTCTAACTTAATTTTACGCCAGAATATCCCTTTAACAGTTAGTTACAGACACAGAAAGATTACTCTGAAACTGTTACAACTATTTGCCTACACGGTTTCTCACAGAGTGGTGAACGCCTTTTGTCTTTCATTCAGTGACACTCAGCCTCTCTGAATGTCATTTTTTTTGCTAACTGGCCTCATGAGCGAAAAGATATTCCAAAAACTTGTAGTGCACAAGTTTTTCAGTGTCTTGTTATCCCTGTACCAACTTTTTTTTAAAATGTGTTGCTGGCATTAATTTAAAATGAGCATATACAGTTTATTTTTCAAGACGCTGTTTTAATGTCATAAGGTGGAGAAACTACTGTAATCCCACTTTACTCATGCTAAGTGTTTTGAAACTTGTCCCATGGATGAAGAGGCTCCTTGTCAGGTGTTTGTGGAGTCTCTCAGGGACCCAGGGGTGCCATTCATCAGCAGCATAAATGGATTATAGTTTGGAGAACTGAAGGGTCCAGGATGAATCCACAACCGTGGAAGGAAGCCACAGAGTCTGGCATTGATTATGAGACACTCTGACCAAAAATGAACACCTGTACATGTAAACATCCAAACAGGAAAATGCACCAAATAATTGGAACTGAGTGCCAGAGACAGGGTGAAGAAAGGAAGATTTCTAAAGGAGACGCATTTTTAGCTGATCTGAGAGGAGCCAAGAGTCAATTCTTACATTAGACAGGCAAACACAATCAGAGTCCAAATAAATTTTCAGTTTGGTGCAGCACATTTACAAAAATTTACTCCCCCTGACATCCAGACAGGCCTTTCTACGGGCTGCCATCCCACAGCCTGTGAGGCCACACATGGCCGTGAGTCCAGGGCCAACACACTCACACATACAAATACGTGTGCACACACACACACACACACACAGCTTACCAGCAGTTCCAACCTCCACCGTCTGCTCTGTCTCCGTGACCGGCCTATAAATGAAATTTACGCATGTGCAGTTGTTTCTGTGCCTGTTTGTGTGTGTGTGTGTGCATGTGTAGTTGTGTATGCATGTTAAGGAAGCATGTGTTAATCAGTGTTTATGTGATCAAGTGTTTATCTTTTAGTCTTCTAGGGCTGAAGGAAGCAGGTGCGCTGTTCATGTAGAGACATATAGTGCGGTTAGCATGAATTGCACCTCTTTAAAAGTGTGTGTCAGCCTGTGTGTGTGAATACATCAGTCCTTGTTGGCATCAGATGACAGCAGAGACTCCTCTGCGTGTGCAGCTGTTAGGAACAGTTGAACTCTGTCTTCAAAAGAAGTTCCAGCTTCGTTCATCAAATTAACACCTATTTTTGGTATAGATGCGAAAGAACATGTCTGAAGTGGAAACAAACAGATGCTGCAATAGGACAATGTTGTTATCCTGACATAAATACTCACTTTGCACATTTATTACAATGGAGTCGTTTTGGGTAAAAACAAAAAATGTCTATAGTGAAAAGTGAAACCTGTCTATATCTTTAAAAGCTTGCAGACAGTTATGATCGAAGTTAATCAATTAAAAGGAAAATGTTACTGTGTGTTAATTTGAGAAGCGGTGGGCAAATATGCAAATACCCATGATATGATACAAGAATGTAGTGTTTATACCTTCATAATACAGGTTTTTTCTGTACAGAAGTGAGGGTATTTGGATATCAAGGAAGGTGGTAGTGCTGAATGTTTTGGTACAGAGCTGGTACAGTGCAGCAGTCACAATGGCAAGACAGAAGCAGGACCATAAATCTTAGTCTGCATAATTGGGAGGATACTTTGTCTGCTGATCGTCAGAATGACGTTTGGCAAAAATGAAAGTAAAGCCAAGTTTAGCTTGTAGCAGCCACTCCATTTATCAAAATCATAAAGTTAAATGTTATGAAATGCTACACAAATAAAAATCACTTGGCAAACAGTTGGGGATCCACAATAGTACCTTGTTTTTGAGAGAACCAAAGCATGCCATGAATGATATTTAAAGAAAAAAATGTTTTTTTTTTTCTTCTCTTAAATACTTGAATAAGATAAAAATAGGAATTTGTACCAGTTTTAATGCTATCAAGGTGCACAAGTCTTTTATTTATAGTTCAATCTTGGTGGTTTCTCTTCACTTCTCACAGAAAAAGAGAAAGGTTCAGCTGCATTAAAGTTTTACAACATGACATGACGTATTAGTGGGCAGTGTTACAAAAAATATGACGATGGTATTTGATAATTTAATATTTCAGTTGTAGGTTAACAAACAGGGTAAGTTTTATTGATCACAAACCGGGATTTATGTTGTTCCCAGTGCAGCCAATTTAACACTTGAAGGACTCTGCTGCTTCAGTTCAGACTGACTGGCCTGACATAAATCCATCCTCTGAGATTCTCCAAACAAAGCCAACAGGATCACAGACGGAAACATCCCCCAGGAGACAGACCTTTAAAATGAATGACGGTGAGAATCTTTCCAGCAAAAGCCCAAATCCCCACTTCCTGAGACGTTTTTTATGTTGTTGTTTACACTGTTTTGGACAGGGTCTTCCTCCACAGCAGCAGCAGCAGCAGTGTTATTTACTTTCTCCTGTGGATCCCAGCGGAGGAATACACGCTGCATATCAGGACCGCCTTAAATCAAACGCAGCGAATCCCATGGCAGGTCAATTACCGTCTGACCTTGTGGGTTCAAAGTTAAACACAGAGTGAATCACAGAACAAGTGCTGACAGCTGACACTTCACGCTTACTGTCACTGTTGTGATATACAGAGCTTGAATGATAATTTCTCATACTCTGTCTGCTCTGCGTGGCTCTCACTTTGACTTTCCAAATCTCTATTTCAATACTCTGCATAAAAATGTGGGTGAGGATCTGGATTTCGTTTGTAGGATATTTATAGTCTGAGAGGTGCTGACGGGTTTTCGTATCAGCAGGTTGAACAGCCTGTGTGGAGAGCGAAAGTAGGTATGCAGGCAAATATTTTCATTTCTTTGAACAGATTTGCACACGCAAGAGAAGCTAACAGTGTGCTTTAGATTAAAAATTGCAACTTGAACTCCTCGTCTGTATGATGCTGTGACATAAAAGTCATCTAGATTTACAACTTCCTTGGGTGCATCAACCCAAGCTCCATTTAACTAACAAATAATTTAAAAGGTTGTTTTCTTCTCCATAGGACAGAATTGACAAAAGTTGCATCTCATGGCAGGAAAATGCGGCCAAAAAGCACAAAAGCAAACAGTCCATGCAAGATGAGTAAGCGAAAATGAAGAAGAGCCAAGCACACAAAATCACACAGCTCCTGCACACGTCATGTTTACAAGCGCTTACACAGCACTCACCTATGTTTTTGTGCTTACAAGAGCTATTTTGCAGTCTGTGAAGAGAAAACTATGTATAGTGCATGTTCAGTAAAGGACTGAGTGCATAATTGTTTCCCTTGTGCTCCTTGTCTCATTTGCTTTTTTTTTCCGCTCATTTGTGAGTAGATTTTGATTTTTTTCATCGAGTGTGCGGACACAGGCACAGCGGTATCTTTTATATAATTGTCTACAGAGATACAGTCCTGCAGGTTGCTGCAGACTGCCTCTGTCTTTCCGTATCTCATCCCACCACTAACAAATTTAACCATATTTACTTCTCTGCTTCCAGTTTCTTTTGACCATCCTTTCCCCTTGAGGAAGAGCACAACACGTGCTGTTTGGTTTGTAGGGATACTTTTTTTACATATTTGTGTGTAAACCTTGCAAGCTTATAAAGTGTAACCTTAGTCTATCCCTCATAAAATGTATTTTTCTTACTTTTGAAGAGTTATAAACCTACTTTAAATTATAATATTATTCCTTGAGTAAGAACTGGCTTAAATCACCCTAATTTTCCCTGTAGTATTTCTGTCAACAGTTTTGATCCATTGATTTTCCAACATTTGTTTACTTTTTTCAAAATACTCAACAATATATTTTAGGTTTAAGTAAATCTTTCAGATTTCAGTGGAGCTTCTGTAGCTTTGCAGTTTGAAATAATTCCTCTGGTTTTTCTAAGATTTCTCCTGAAGTGACAGGACACCTTCTTACAGCCTGTGCATGAAACATGTTGCGACACTCTTCAGAGGACACTCAAGAGGAATGTCAGACGGCAGAGGTAAAGCCAAACACAGGCAGGAGAAAGACACCTGAAAATGTTAGCATAGAAAACACAACCTTCTGCTCTGTCTCCTGTTTCTCATCGGAAGCTGCTCCTGACGGCTCGGCTGACATTTACAGGAGCTCCGCTGACATCCGGGCACGGGCTGTCTTTCATCAGGGCGACATTAATGTCACTGGAGACGCAGAGGACACGAGCGTGCAGGATGTCAGGACTCTCAAGAAGCCAAATTGTGCCGTCGACATTCAGGCGGGTTGGTGTGATTAGGAGACAGAGACGACGGCAGCTCCGTTTTCTGCTGGAGGCAGTTTGATTACAGACACTTTGATAAACAAGTAGGTGACACCTGGAGCGGAAAATGTCCCTTGTCAATTTGATTCTCTCATCTCTGTCCCCTCCTCACTTGTGCACACACAGCTGCACACACACATTTTCTAATAATGCCTTAACTGTGGTCCTGATGGAAAGCTGTAGACCGTGACTGCCCTATAATAACCTCAGACACCTTTACCTGCCCGCTGGAGCCCATCTGTGATCTGGTTCACAGAAAACCCAGTTTAACACCCAAGAGATCGGTTTTAATTTAAATTTTATCCTGATATACAGTTCCTGTCTTTATTTTTTTGCAGATAGTAACAAATATTTTATTGGCACATCAATTTCAGATATTACAGGCGGGGCTGGTTAAAACCGAGTTAGAAGTTTTAAAGTCAGAGTTCTCAAATAGATAAAAGAATACCTTACCTCCGATTTCATACCCTTTGTCTCTCAGTCGTGTTCAATAAAAAAACGTAGCACGACCACTGCAGCCATGAAATGACATTCTTGAAGCCCCAGACAGTAAACAGTGTTGCCTGTCTTGGTTTATTGTATTTTCCAAGGCTTTTGATTCTGTTAACCACAGCATCTTACTTAAATGTCTTAATGTCACTGGGTTTTCCAAACATGCAGTTACAAATCCACTTGGGGTACAACAAGGACAACAATCAGTTCTGTGCCTGCTACTTTTTACTATTCACGAAAGTTGTCTTGGACAGAAACTCTGCTTTTAAATTTGATTATTATGACTGTTATTTAAGGCTGTATGCATACACCTGCTCAAGCTTTCTTAAAGAGGGGGTATTATGCTTTTTTTTTTCAGACTCTACTTCCTCTCTGGTACCTTTTTAATAGTTTAATGATAGTGTCTGAAATGCTTAATTTTAGCTGCTGTCTCCTTAGGTTGAGTATTGGAGTATACCTATGTCCAAAAGTCACAGAACTGAATAAAAAAAGACAGGTGTAAATGTTCAATATATCTGCACTCTGGAAGAGACAAAAACTGATATTTTATGTTTGGATTCACAATAAAACTTGAAACGTTTTAAAATCATCTGACCTGAATTTGTAAAACAAACAATGCAGTATACAGATAAGGCAGTGATGTGAAAGTGGAAAATCTGACTTAAAAATCTGATTTAAAAAATATCTGATTTGCACAAACTCTTCTTGATCCTCGTGGTGGATTAGATTTCTTTGTGCATCAATCTGGAAGAAACTTGCACACTGCACATCTGATTAATTTTTAAGGTGTTGGGCATCATTTTTTATATGTTTTCACACATTTACGCTCTCTAAGTTTCGTAATGTTTTGTGTCTGATGTGGACCTTGCTGGTTTTGAGAGCTTGCAAACCTAAAGGTTTTGAAAGCTCTTACTTTCCTTTATTAATATTCATCATTTCATCAAGCTTAAAGCTGCTTTCAGGGGCTTTAGGTTTGTGTTGGATCTGGCGCCCCCTGTGGTCAAAGAGATACCTCTTATCTTTTGCCCTGTGCACGTAAAAGTTGTGTTTTCAGATAAATACCTCATCCTGTTCTTTTTTAATCATGAAACACATCCCTCACTGTTTGTGTACATGTTTGATTTAAATGTATTTGTTTGCATTTCTTGCAGCCTGTTTTTCATTTTCAGCCTGTTTCTGCTGATGCACGATTTTGACTCTTGTACGCTTCTTTCTGAATTTGCAGCCTGTTTCTTTAAATGGAAATCCTTTTGCACACTGCAGCTTGATTGTGAGTAGTGGCTACCTTACATGCGGCACCTTCACCTGAACATTTATTACATTACTTTTCTTCTTTTATTTATTGTGCAGTGTCTCAATGGCTTAGCCCCTCTCACCTGACCATGAGCCAACTCGTTTACCGGTCCAACATGAAAGTAGCAATTAGCTTCTGCAGCTCCTTCTGCTGTTCGTGACTCCCATCCAAAAAGTCTGCAGAGTCTCCAAACATATTAACAAGAAACTCGAAGATTCCAGCTGTTTCCTCTTTTGTTTCCAAACAAAATCCCTCTGTTTGTGTGTGCTGAGCCGCTGCCACACCGACACAATCGCACACACACACATACACGCACACACACTCAGAGTTGGCTGAGGAGCCGAGGGCATCTGGGAGTTGGATTAGAAGCCATGACAGGGAGATGGAGGGGGGATTACTCTGCCTGCCTGGGTTTGTTTGCATGAGTGAGAGGGAAGGAGAGAAAAAAGATTCAGAGGGGCTGAATGTGTTGGCCTTGACGTCTGCTTCATTATTGGAAAACAACAACAGAGAAAAACCAGACGAGGGCTGAAAAATACGTTTCAAACAGTTTGAGTGTAGAAAAGACTGAAGATGATCTTTCAGGGAAACAAAACCAGCGCTGAACAAATCTCCTACAGCTTCGCAGGGAGAGATGGAGAACAGAGGGAAAGAGTTATCATTGTATCAAATAACTGCAAAAAAAAAATAGAAAAGTCCAGATTTTTCTTCAAAATCTGCATCAGGCAATTAAATTTTTGGATAGACTGTGGTATTTTTGTTGTTTTCTTTCCAATTAACATCAGAGAAAAATAATATTTTGAATTCCTGTGAATAAAAGTGTGAGCAGTGGGTTCAAAAACTCTTAGTTCCTATTCGTCAGTAAATCCTTGAATTCCCCTCAAAGAATATTGCGTAATTTGAAACAACTTTTAGGACAAAATCAAAAAATGTAAAACAACAATGCTCAAGGTTCACAAATTTACAGGTAACACAAAGTTTGAAAGTAAAACCAACAAGGGTGCAAACTTTACAACAGTAAAGGTGGGACATATTGAAGATGAGTCTTTCCTTACATGCTGGTTCTTCATGACTAAAAGGGATGATAACATAAGTGGTGAATGAACTGGCAACCAAATTTGTGGCAAAATCTCTGTTCACAAAGCTCTGAGGAATAACCACCTGACAAAACGGTCAGATCTGCCTGGACACTTTTACGTTTCAACCAATCATTTATCAGCACATGTACAAGCTCTCTCACGTCTCCACACATCTTTTCTTTTTTTTTTTACATGCAAAATATATTGATACCGTGCTAAAAAAGCATACATCAATGCCATGACTTCATAGCAGAGGTCTTTTTACTCAAGTTGTCATACATCATAACACAGAAGAGAGACGAAGAGGAAGCAGCAGCAGCATCTGCAGCAACCTTTTAAGAGATATGATGTACCCAAAGTGGTAAACTTCAAAATAAGAGCATAGCATCACAATGCAGAAAATAAACCTGGATGCAAGACAAAAATATGTAAAAATAAAAGCTTGAAAGGCAATCCCTCAACAAGACAATGTCAAAGAAGTGGATGGTGACATGTAAGCCAGTTGTTAAGTTAGTAAGGTGATTATTGTTCGTCAGTTTATGGCGTATTGTGTTCCTCCACCCTTGTCTCGACTCCTCTTGATTTGACTGATTGTATTGCTTTACTTTCAAGTTTTGGCATAATATTGTTATTTTAAGAAAAACATCAACTAAAGCTGGACTAAAATTAGATGAATATAAAAACTGTGTTCCACTGATTGATTCTGACTAAAGCTAAATTAAATTTTCCATGAAAAATAAATGTTGGGGCACACAACAATGGAGTGATGGCATATTAAAGGGTGTAATATACTGTGTGATAAGAGTCACAATCATATAAATAATCAGTTAATATACTAAAAATTCATTCATTGCATAAATCTCATAACATTTCCCTAGCTTCATTTGGTTTAATAAAGTCTGTTGTTATTAAACCGAGCAGCAGAAACCGGGTTTCTTACAGCGGATATGAATGTAAATATGTGACAACTATTATGACCAAACTGACTTCCTTTAGGAAGTTTCTGCTTCATTTCAGAGCATGATGAGAATTATGGGGAAAATTGTGCTCATGTTTAATTACTTTCCAGTTTGGCAAGTAAATATTTTGACGTCTGCGGGGCACGAGTGGCTGAGGAAGTCAGGGAATTTATCATTTCTGATCTGAAGAGCTGTAACTCCAATAACCCTCCTCAGTGCCACAGAGCTCGACATGCAGCAGCTTCATAACAACAGATGCCAAAACTAGGGAGGAGCTACAGGGCGTTTCTTTTTCCGTGATTGCAGTGAAGGCAGCAAAATCACAGGAGGATCACCCTGCCAAAAACAATTAAACTCACCAGAGGAAAAAATACTCACTGTGACCAGCCCCTTAAAATGCTTGAATCTTTACACTTGAATATCCATGTGTTTCATCAGACTATTTCAAATACAAGGAAAATATACAGGACTGAGGAATTAAATGGACAAGTGTCAAAAACTGCAGTTCCATCAAAGACCACTTGAGGCTGATTCTAAAGATGAGTCAGTCCTCTTAACGTGTCATGTGAAAATCCCCAAATTTACACATAAATTTAATGTTGCCAGAAAGGCTGAATTGCATGCACCTCACAAAACACACACCGCTCATAGTAGAGTGGTCCACGGAAATGTACAATTTAAAACCCATATAACTCTTATTTGTTGGGCGAAACAGTGATGAGTAATGTTCCTGAAGTAATTCTCGGTGTATATGTGTTTCTCTGCACAACACCGGCAGCACCAGAGACTCACTCCATGTGCAGGGGCGTGGGTTCCTCCTTTCTGATTGTGATTGAAGGCTGGTAGGGCAGTCTGATTGGCAACTGAGTAAAGAACAAATGTGATTAGTGGATCACAGCACAGCACATGCAGAGTCACATGCGGTGTATCTCAGTCAGCTACCCTTGAAATTAGATGAGTTCATTCACCTCCTACATCACGATGACGATGCTTAACCGATATATTGTGTAGCCCCAGTTGCCAGCCAGCTACAAACATTATAATGATACTTGGCTGAGGTCATGAGTTCAGGTTGGACACCAGAACAAAATTGGCTAAAATCAACTCTATCCCTATGATTGATTTAAGTTCTGCATGAACTATAGTTTTTCCAAGCACTTAATGGGTCATGACCACAATGAAGGTGCGGTTACAAGAGTATAGGGTTGGAGTGGGTCGTAATAAAAAGCCCCAAACCTCTGGGGAGGCCCCAGAGGAATCCCATCAGCTCCATCGTTTGTATGCTGCTGATTGTCTTTCCAGCTTTTTCAAATCAGGCTTGTGTTACTGAGCATCTTCTCAGGAGTTTTTTTTTTATTATTATTCTCACATGTCATTTACTGCAACTTAAGGAGCAGCAGCTGTACAGCATCAAAGGAGGGAGGATCAGGAAGAGTGGGCTTCGTTTGCATTCAGGACAGCCTGTGTGGGTCTCAGCGAGGCAGCAAAGACTCGTGACTGAATGAACTACACCTCTCTGTTTCCATAGACTGCTCCCATTCATCACTCTGTAACAACTGCCCCTAGAGTTCAGCCAATCACAAAGATCTTCTCCCATTATTCTGAAGTTATCCTCAACCTTTTCTTCTTTGCTTGAGAACAAAGCATGTATTTGTACATCGACATGAGAATAGAGTGTGGTTATATTATTGACAATTGTGACTATGTCTTGAGATTTAGCAGACTCACCAACCGCAGACTCTCAAGATGTACACTGAGACACAAGTCACCAGCTTTACCAGGTGTAATGCAAAATCTGTTTTGTAGTAGTATTGTAGCATGTAGTATTTCTGTTCTTTTTTTAGCTTTTTCCTGTTGCATATATAGGCTGAATTCAGGTGAAAGCAGCATCAAGAACAGCTCATTTATCAGCGTCACTCATCCTCTCTATGTTGTTGCATCCAGGGGAGCAGAGATGTTTCTCTCAGTCAGTGAGGCGGGATTGTGAGACATTCGCTCTGCAGTTTGTAAAGGGTTTTCCAACTCAAACAGATTAAGATCTTAAAATTACCAGGGAAGGGGGACAGCTCTCTACATCCGTCCCCCAAGGACTGCAGATTTAGCCTCAGATTTAGACGCCAGCTAATAGCTGCAGCATCCTCCCTTTCCCTCAAACTGACTCTGATTTCCGTGATGAAAAGTAGCTGTAAAGAGACAAAGACGATGACTGAAATTCATGAAGATATCCAAAAGAGAGCACATGAACTCCTCCCCTTTGATTTGAAATTTATTAATCTAAAATGTGTCTCCAGTCTGGAAAAAGTAAGAGCAGCTAAGATGAAGTATGTCCGTGTTGACTTTTAAGCCCTCCTGCACACAGGCGACTACCTTCCCTGCAGCTGAAAAATTGACCTTCAGTGCAATATCCCCCTGCTGGAGTTGAGGAAAGTTCAGCCTCATCTTTCAGCAGCTGTTTTTTTTTTTTTCTGCTCAGGCATACTCTGCTGAGAAATTCTCACCTTCAAGCTTTATCTATAAGGGCTGTTGACTTTCCAGCTAACAGATCTGCTCTTGATTCCTGGAAATGCAAACAGCTCCACAAGGGAACGTCTGCTGGAAAAATGAAGCAATCTTCCCCTTTGCCAGGCGACAGGTGAGACTGAGCGCCCGCTGAGTTTACAGCCAATACGATATAAACAACAACGTCCTAGGCTTGAAGATCTATGAATGGTTTTATACGAATAAAACAAAATCCTTATCAACTACAGGCAAAGACAGCCAGTGAAGAATACGTCTGGCTGAGTTTAGTATTTTTCTTCTTGTCTACAAATCCTTCAAACAAGCCCGAACCAATAATATATATATCATAAAACAAATATGTGTGTGTGTATGTCAGACTGATATATCTCATTCCTCTCTGTCACAAGCCTCTACTGTTGCACACATACTATAAAGAGCCCAACAGCTGCACGCAGCAACCTGTTCCTACATTAAAGAGATACTTCAGACTTTTTTGTGTGAGCTGTGGGTTAATGTATGAGCCACAATGGATGTCAGTCATCTCAGCAGCTTTCATGAAAAACTGCCAGTAGAAATGGGATGTTTGGTATGCTACAGTTTTCTGCAGATGGGGTCGATGGGTTAAGCGTGTGCTCAACTAAGACATTTTTTCATCGCTTTACTTTGCCCTCAGAAAGTCTGTGTGTTTTTGCACTATTTGCAGATGCAACACATGGATGTGCTCCTGATGTCATGATATGATCTGGTTTTTAGTTTTTCCCTGGAGTGTATTTTCTTTGTGATTGTCCCCAGTGTTTCTGTTCCCTTTTGTTCCTGTTCCCCTGTAGTCTTGTCTTGTGAGTTTACAGTTTGTTTCTGACCCCGGTTCCCTCATGTTCTCACTGTTTTATTCCTTGTATCAGTTTTCAGTGTTTCCTGTCTTATTTTGAAGTAGTTTATTTCCTGTTTCTAGTCTTGTTTTACTTCCTCAGTTTTCCCTCCTTAGTAATTGTCTGCACCTGTGTCTCAGTGTCTCACCTGCCTCTCGTTGCTCGTTTCCCTGTGTGTATATATAGTCCCTGTCTTCCCCTGTTTGTTCATTGTGAATGTGTTGTATGTCTGCATGCCAGTGGCTCCTTGTGTTTTTTTTACCTTTGGGAATTTTTCTGTTTGATGTTAAAGTAAGTTTTTGTTGCTGTTTATTTAGTTAATTTTGAATAAATCATTTTTGTTCTGCACTTGGGTCGTTCCCCCTTTTGTTTCACCCTGAAATGTGACACCTGATTTATTTTTATTTACACTACACTTTGAAAATATAAATTTTACAAAATGTTTGAAAGGGCCAGCTGACCATTTAGGCACTTTTTTTTAACCATATATAATCAGTGTTAAATATCATGATGTGATCTTCCCTTGTTCTGCATCTGTCTGTACATATTAAAAGTCAGAGATGTCCGTTTTGGGCAACTTGCTCAATTTCTGCAATTTGTGCCACATCATTTGTATCTTGCCCAACAAGAGCTTGCATTTAATCACATTAGCAAAGTCGATGCATGTAATCATTTTATTTGCATCCAGTGTGAGCCTCTTAAAAGTCCCTCTTTGTCCTTCTAACACTTTTTCACGTTTGAATTTCTATCGAGGGCTAAAATGCTTCGAGAGTTACTTTTATTGTTGCGCAGATCCAGTCATGACTTTGTGGGGAAATTCAGCAAATATTTCAGGTGAAATCACAGTTTTTCTTTTCTTTACAAAGACTGTTATCTTTTATCAGGAGCACCTGTCACCATCCTGTTTCATCGGCCTACTCAAGGTGAATCTAATCGTGTTGAGACTTTTGGTTGTTGCTGAATGAAGAAGGTCAACTCTTCAGATGAGCCCGCACCTCCCACTGACCTCCAGATCAAGAGGCTCTGAGTGAAGTATTGTAAAATCAATAACAACTTCTGATTGGAAGAGACTTGTGACATACGATGACATACAACTGTCCACCTAATGAAAGGTCGGAGGTCAAATGTTTAAAAGTGACACATAACAAGGAGACAGGAGGGTAGAGGAGTTTTTTATGGTTTGTGATGATAGTAACACAAAGACAAATGGGCAGAACCAGCTCCAGAAAGCTATCTTTTAGCTCTCAGCAGGATCATCAGAAACGACAGGAATGAAAGTTTCAAAAGCTGAGTGGTTCTTCTTCAGTCACTGTGACGCGGCGCTGACACCAGAGAGCATGAAATTTGTTATTGATCGGAGTTCCCCTTTGACACAGAAATGTGGGGAGGACAGCCAAGGAGCTGCAGCCACAGATCCACTCCTGAACTGGTCGAGTGAGGCGAAGCAATCACACTCTGTGAGCATGAATTATGGCATGAAAGTGAGTCCTTTTTTTCTCACACCAGCCTTTATGTTGTATTCACAGAACTTACTGCATGGTTAGTCAGTGAACTGAGAAAAAAGAGAGCTGTCACATCTGCATTAATAAAAACACACACAAAAAAGGCTAAGATCTAACTTAAAAACCTTCTGGTTGTGTCTTATGACATCCAATCTTTGAACCCATTGGCTAATACTCAGTGATAACATATGCCTCTTGAAACGATGTCAAACCTGTGAAAGATTTACCAGCCATGCCGCTTTGTTTTTGCTCAACTTTGCAACTCAAGGGAAAATCAGAACAAAATCACAGGAAAATTTGCTCTTTCGAATATCAATCACCCGACCTCTACTTTTACTCAAGGAAACCAGTGAAGGGGAATTCACAGATACCATATCCAAAGTTCAAATTTCATCCTGGGTATGGAGTTTAAGTTTTAATAGAGGACCAAATGAGGATTGACTCACCTTTGGAAAATGCCTCTAGTGGCCATTTCAGGAGCTGCAGCTTTTTGATCTTCCTTTGGCTCCATTTTCAACTCTGTTGGACAGCTGCTAATTAAATCCTGAACATTAACACATTTTGTCAACCTGTGTTTTTTGCATTTGTTGTCACTGTTAATTCAATCACTGCTCCATCATAAAAGTTCTGTTTTTAATAGTTTGTTTTCAGTAACTATGACCCTGTTTCCCCTTCTCTGGGTGATCCGTCCCACATCATCTCAGCGCTCCAAGTTAGGATTGAGAGCAGTCACAGATTACACGTGGTATGCTAGAGTGTATGGGATTACTGATATTTCTCACAGTGGCTCTTATGTAATGCAAACTGGGTCAGTGCTCAGAGACCCAGATACAGAAGAGTTAGTTAGACTTTCTTTTTTGGCAGCTTGGAGATGACATCTCTGATTGATTATATTTCATGCCCACACAGATCTTAACCATGACTATTTTTAGAACACAATCTGTGAGCATTTTGGTTTTACTTCATGCCTTTTCCACCATTGAAAAATTTTCAAGCTCTTTCTTTGGTTTTCCCTTGGTTACAGAGTTGCCAGACACATCAGTCAGCTCATGTTCATTTTCGCTCAATGATTTCCATTACAGATTGACAGGACCAATCACAGTCCTTTATTTAGAAATGGGGTGGATTGTATTTGAAGACAACACAAGGAGCACCATGGAAAACTCATTTCCATTTACTGTATATTGCAAACAGACGCTCTGCTTCTCAAAGCATGATGGGATAGTTGGCAGCGGCATTTTTTATCAACTTTTTCCTGTCCTTGTTTAAAATCATGCATTTAAAAAAAGAAAGTATAAAAAATGCAAAGTGTTGGTTTTGTTGGGAACACTTCTCAATTTAGGACAGCTAATGAGGTGTCTGAAGTGGACAGGTGTCTTGAGGCATCATGGCTGTCCCCTGTGGGTCCACACGTTCACTTGTAAACAACATAAGGAGGTAATTTGAACCCACCATGGTTGTTCTAAACACCATAACAAGAACAAATAACCAAACCTACAGCATTTAATGTCAAGATAGTTGTGTTTGCAGCACTGCTGACAGGATTTTCTGCCACTCTGTGCACTGGGTCAAAGGTCTGTACAATTGCCCTCAGAGGCATTTACTCATGTGACCATTGCTAATGTCTCCATCACCCAGGGAGGAAGAAACGAATTACAGCAAATGGAACTGAATGGATCCACACCAATTTGACCCACTCACCAAGGTGAACCAGTAGAATACCAATAATCTTTGTTGACAAGAGCAACAACTCATTCACTGTTTGTCTCAAAGCTTCCATAAGGAGACTTTTTCTGGTTATGAAATGAATTGAAATTGACATGGTGCCTCACCTACAAAAACTAAAAAAATACCATATTCCATGGAGTAATTGTTTTTATTTTGGTCACACTTTTTATTTATTTGGTAACAATTGACTTTTCAGAGAAAAGCAGGACGCTATCTTTGTGACCACTATGTCCACAGGGGGGCACCAAACATGAATGTTTCAACAAGGAAATTTTATATGGACAAAATTTTTTTTTTCAGTTTCAGAAGTTCATAATACTTCTTTGAGGGCGTGAAAAGGCAATAACCGACATGATGTATTGATGCAATAAGTGAGTTTATTAGGAACTCATATAATGCAGCAGTAAACCCAAACCAAAAAGCATAAAAACCAACAGAATAAGTTCAGCCAGCTCAGCTTGCCAGAATGATTGAACACACAAGAATAAGAAATTCTGTCAGATTACATCTCTGAACTTTTGCAAGATCTGATTGGTATTCTGGATTTAACCACTTAAGTCATTGTAACTCGGAAAACAGAATATAATTTCAGTCCATTATCAGCATAGAGTGTAACAAACTCACAACTTAAACTTAACTGTCTGAAGTCAACTTCAGTTTTATCTTAACTGTGCTAAAAGAAAGAAGTTTTCATGTTTTTCCTGCAAGTATAATTACTCGTAAATAGTATGTTAATGCAAAGATTTCAAGCATGCAGTACTTTTCCCTGGATACTTCCTTGTGTCATGTGTTTCAGATCATTATTTTACTGTGTTTTCCTAATTTTGGTGTGTACCTTTATTTCAGATTTTGAGTTTTTTACATAAAAAATGTTGTTACAAAGAACAAGACAATAACACAACTTTAGTCTAACTAAAGAGGGATTAGCTTCAATCTTATACGTTGAAATACAATCAGGACAGAGATAGAAAAAGGCAAATTTTAGCTTAATTGTAATAGGTCATTGGCTGATTAGGAGGCGGGAGTGGCCTTCTTCCTCACAACCCTCCTTCCGGCCTGTCTTGGGACAGCAGCCGGAGCAGGATTAGCGGGGCTAGTGTTGGCGTTGTTGGCCTTGACCTCGTCGATGAAGGTTTCTATGGCAGCAAACTTCTCGGTCAGGTCGCCAAGGTGAGCTTTGAGGGCGTTGAACTCCTTGTAGAGATCGTCTAAAGCCTCAGAGAGTGGCTGGATCCTGAAAAGAAACAGAGCAGTCAATTTATGCTTGGCCTTCCAATGCCAAAATTTATTCACATCAGTAGATAGTGCCTCTTGTTAAAATGTATCCCCATGACTAAGGCCGGCCTTCAATTACAACTATTGCACCTGGGGGTAAGAAAAGAGACAAAACCTAGATCCAGAAGTTCTTAATGAATTCTCCCTGGTCCTAAGTCCTTAGCAGAATCCTAAAGCTCTTTATGCTGCTGACCAGAGAGGGGATCAAGGGGAGAGGAGGAAAATTAAAATTAGCAGTCACAAACACGCATACCGAAAATTGCTCTCTTATTGGACTTTCCCTGACTCTTCACAACATTACCGATGTTTAGTAACAGAGAATAGATGGACCTTAAAACCAACAATAGAGGTAGAGAGTTTGAAACAGATTATAAGCATGTGTCACTTCGCGATGAGCTTGGTTTAGAAAAGTGTTTGAGATCTAACAAAATAAGTTATATAGTCTAATGTCATAGATAAAGCAAAAATATTTGTGATCAGTTATTCTTGTGTTGTTAACTCAAATGAAAGAATCAAAGTCTATTAAATCTTTGACCCACAAAAACTCAAGAAGGTTGCCTTCAAATGTGGCTGTTTCAGGTTATTTTATTTCAATCTTAACTCAGAGGTTTTTGTGATGCTTTAAAGTCACATGGTTGTGGAAGGGATGCTGAATAAATGTGAGGTAGAGACTGTGGTTGTCTGTTCTCAGGAAGAGTTTATTGTGATCCTCCTGTTTGTTTAAAATGAGAGTGGTCAGCTGACTGTAATGAGAGTTTGGTTTAGTCGTCCTTGGTGTTTTAAACAGGCAGAGTCCTCCACATAAGAGAAATAAAACTGTCTGGGTGGCGAGAGTCCCCACAGGAATTTGGATTTTCCTTCAACTGGAAATAAAGTCCAGCTTTGTTGAGTACTCTCAGAGACCAAAGTCGTCAAAAGAAACTGCCTCTGAAACTACAATTTAGGAGTCAAAATAGAAAGGACACGTGATGGAGTTTTCCACAAGGAATTCTGGGGTTTCCTGCTCCTCACCGCAGGTTAGAGGAGAAGACGTCATTATAACAAAATCAGTCCTGGAGCAGCAGGGCTTAAGGAATATACTCTGTCTTATTTTCTTTTTATATGACCTCATACATCTAGATTCAGAGTTTATTCTTCTTCTCACTTTTCACATTTGCTCCCTTTTCCCTCTTTCTGTGTTCTTATGGTAGTGAATTAACCTTCAGATCTGCAAACTTATAAGTGCAAGATGTTCTCAGATGGAATTTCTTGAGATGCCTGTATTTTAAAGTTTTAATGTTTTGATGCACCAGACTTGTAAATATTTCTACATTATGTAAACCATAGATTGTGTCATAAAATTGTGCAATCAGACTAGCACTTCAATTTACACCATCATCTTTACAATGGTGAACGCAACTAAAGTGATCTGCCCAAGGTCAGATTTTTCAACCCCAGGAAAAAGGTGAATAAAGTAAATTCTGTACAGAATTTTTTTGTGTTTGGCGTGAACACAACATAACTTTAACCCTATTTCCTATTTGTTTGGAGCATAGTTGTACTCACCTTCTGCACTCTTATAAGTGCTGTAGGTCTTTCTAAAGTAATGTAAAGTTCATGCTACCTGGTTTTATGTATTCTTAATTTTATTTCAGGTGCATTCTTTACGTACATTTAAATGTTAACCACAAACCTACCAGGGAATACAGATGGAAATTTGCCTTTGGCTACAATCTGGCACATTTACATACCCATGTTTATTAATGTGCATCAATGTCTCTTATGATAAATTAATCAAAATAAAGATAAATCTTTTGAAGACTGAAGAGAGTGGGAAAAACTGTAGAGTCACTTCTGCTCTCCAGTTTTATCTGTTTTCTCTCCTGACAGCATCGGTGAGGCCTCTTGAGGTCACATTTGAACTTGGAGGATGCTGCACAGCTGCCTGCACAGGATTCGAACACAGAACAGCTGTAGGAATATATTTTTCACAACTTGCCCCTGTATATAAAACAGTTAATCAGAAACCCTCCCAGGATCTGCAGAGGACCAGAAAGGCCTTGGTTTGTCTGGTGTCCCTGATCAGATTTCTGATCAGATGAATACACTGAAAACACTGCAGCTCTTGTGTAAATGATTTGTTTGCTTTGGATTCAAAACGTCCTTCAACACTAGCTGCAACTCTTCTTACATTAATAACTGTTAGCGTTTGTATTAGCTCTTGTTGGAAACCTCATGAGTCAGGCTGAAGGCTTTTGTGAACCCTCAGCAGCTGGAACTGTGAGAGAAACAACACGAAACCAAAATTATGACCGTGAGCTGCAGCTTGGCAGACAGGGTCAAATTTGGCTGGTTCTTCACAGACTGAGGATGAAGAGGAAACCAAACTACTGTACAACTCAGTGACTACTGAGAAAAGCACATCTGCTTATAAAGATTAAATTACAGGATTAAACACTCAAGACAGGCTCCTTAATGGATCTGTTGAGAGTATTTGACCAGCTGCTGTTTTCATATCACAGGTTTTGGGTCTTTCTTGCTCAATCTCTTCCTCCATACCTGGCGTAGTCAGGCAGCAGAGACTGGTGGTCGTTCTGCAGGAGTCCTCTCATCTGGTTCAGGATGTCAAACCTCCAGTTGTCCAAAACCTGAGTCAGGTTGGCGACATTACGCATGTTCACCTTCTCAGCTGAAAACAGAAAGAACATTAAAGGATTATTGCGGACAAAAGTAGTCTAAAAAGCTCCATATACATGCCATATGCAAGGTAAGGATCCTAAGTCCAAAATGTCTATGACGGTAGAATTGTGGCCAAAGTTTAAGGGAGACCCCCCTGCAATTCTGGTCAAGTATTCTGATTGAAGAGATGTGGAATATGTGATTAGGTTTTTACAAACACAAATAGAGACAAGTTTGAGTCCACTCTGCACCTGTCCAAACTTCCAGGGCTCAAAGGTCAAATGTCATATCACGCATTGCTTTTAAACGGTGCATAAACACAAATGTGGAAAAACACTGCATCAAAACTCCAAGAATCAATTCTTGCAAGAACCTGGCTCAGATCATATACACACAGATAATTAGTGATAATCTTTGAATCAGGACAAACACTGAAGAGAATTTCTCTCATTTGATACTAATGTAGGTTGGACAATATCCGGAATAGATTTTGTCATACCTGGATCATATTTGAAGATATTGGGCAAAATATCCCTGGATTTTGAAGCATTTTCTGCCACTAGCAGTTTTATGCGATGCTGAGATCCTTCTTGTTGAGTAGTAATTGAGTTTGCAAAACTGCTCCTCGTTTTTTTTGTTTGATTGAAAAGAGCACACTTTGAAGAAGCTCTAAAAAGGCTAATTTATGAGGGTGACCATGTCTAAAAACTAGAAACAGGGACTCTACAACTTTGCGCGCCTATTCACGCACAAGTTTACCGAAGTTTGCAGGCACTTGCTTTGTTTACTGTTTTAAAAGGTATAAATTCAACAGCAAGGATTCGGCATGATTTTCACCTCTAGCTTTGACATCACCATGATGAGCCCTGAACTTGACCTTTGACCCAGAGAAAACAGAGAGTAATCTGGGTGCTCACAGCCATCCCTGTAGTTCCACTCATCCGTGTTTGTTGACGTTGAAGTCGATGTTGATGTCGGGCGGCGCCTCTGGGCCAGCACGTTTACCGTGGCAACAGCCAGCAACAGCAGCAGCACGCTCAGTTTGGAGGCCATGATCGGTCCAGCACCTAGACGAACAAAGTAAAGAAGAATATTTTTCAAAAGAATTGCAGAAATACCTAAGTATCTTTCACAAACACACCTCTGAAAATGTCATCACATTTTCAGCTCTGACCCCCCAAAATTTCCAAAGTTACTTGTTTAGACTGAGAAGGGATGTCCACAGGCAGGACATGACATTAAACATATTATTTGAAACAACAGAGCACTGAATATCCCTTCGAGGATTGATAAAGTTTTTCTTATTATTAAAATTAATGGTGGTTTTGAGGCATCCCAGATGTGGCTGTGTTTGCAGAGGTCATCAACCCATTTTTTCCAGTATTTCCCTGCTGTTCACCCCAACTTCATTTGGAACTTTTACAAGGAGGCAGGCAGAAAAAAGTTCAAGGTGAAGTTGGGAGGACAAATTTGGCTGTTTAAGGCTGTGTCCGAAATGGATCCCTAACCCCCTATATAGGCGACTATATGGGGGTTAGCGCCATTTTGAGGGGTGTCCAAAGCCTGAGTGATCAATTCCAATGCCCAATATAGGTGACTCGAAATTTTCCATAGAGCATTGCAAAATGTAGTGACCATCCGATGGTCACTCACTGGTGGTGGGCATCCCATCATTCATTGCATCTCCAATGTTACCATTGGAGACGCCTCCGGTGATTGAACTTACTACATAGTCAGCTATATAGTGAAACCTCATATAGGGGTTAGGGGTTGGGGATTGAGTTACTCATTTTGGACACAGCCGAGGTTAACACAAACAGCCTACCATGAAACTTTTGGTGAGTTTTCAAAGATCTGCAGACTTGTTCATTTGCAGGATCAGTTAAGTCTGCTGTGTTTGTCTGTCTTGAAGCTAACAGTGCATCTAATGACAATTTAAATAGAGCATTTTAGCAACTGTTGGCACATTCTTTTAGATCAATAACATGAATTTTATTGATTAGATAATTAAGATCCTCTTTTACTTCTATCTTCAAACACAGAGGAGGCCTGTGTGGCACACTGCATATTATCCAAGTTCCAATTGTTCTGCACAGCCCTCCATCTGCATGCTGCAGGGATTAAATGGCTCCACAGCTAGGTGTTAAACCTTGAACAGCTCTGCTACCACTGTGGCCATCACTCCTAATAAAGCAGAGAAAAAAGAAATTTAACTTCTCAGAGTAAAACTTTTAAGTCTTCCAGGCGTGTCAGAGGGTGGAACAGGAGAAGAGGCCCTGAGGCTAAACTCTGGGCTCCTGGAGTTGGCTCACATCAAGGAATGAGTCCAAGCAGCAGTCAGAGAGCGGAAACACTGAGCCAGCTAACAGAGAGACTTGGAAAAGTGAGACCTGGCATGTCTCTGCAGCCCTCCTCTCAAACTACCTTAGCAACTTCATATTTGTACCAGGGATACACACAGACACACCTGTAATAATACACAGGAGCTGCAGTAGACTACACAATGTGTCATCTCTGACATGTGTGTTTAGATAAATTTCACATGTTTATAGATGGACCTGCTAGTTAGCACAGGTCGGCTCTGATGTGGGCAGAGAAGTCTAAGAAGAAAGAAAAAATGCTGACATTCAAAAATGACCATCTAAACTCTTCAAAGACTGTCAAACAAAACATTATGCCCCTCCTCTGTGCATCTTTACAAGGAGGGAACTCTAAAAGTACAGACAAATACATAAACTGTAAAAATGATAAAGCTTAAAACTCAAAGTTAAGACTGCACAAGATGTTTTTAGTTTTAAGGCCAACTCAACATCTGAAATTTTAAGAAAAACTCCAAATTGTGCAACCTGATCATCTTTGCAGGAATTTATATCATTTATGTGTAATATTACTTCATGTTTTCTCCACCTTAGCACTCATGACCATTTCTCAAGCCCATGTTTAAGGTTTTGAAACAAATACGTTTTTTTTTACTATTTACAATATTTGCCATCCAACTTGAGACAGGCATGAAGATATGAAACTTCACATTTGTCCTTGTCCAGACAAACATCTCTAGCTAAGTCATAATATAGTGGTTGTAAAAAGTGTAATTTCATCTGTCTAGTATATTTTTAAAGGTTTACATGATGCTTTTCTGACAAAAATTAGTACGAGAGCATTAAAAGAAAGATCTCAACCTCGTCTACACAGGTTTTGTACTTTGTCACCTGAGTTTTTAATTATAGAACAATACTGATAATCAGAGTTTCATTGTTTTTGTGGTTTAAAAAGTTTGCGTTTCTTGAAAAATCTGTCCCGAAACAGTCAAAGAAACAAATCACACATGCAAACACCTCCTGTCCCTCCAGGCATGCATACCCATACACAAAAACAACCACACTAAGTCTGCACATGCCCTCTCCTCCTCTGCTTGTTTCCTCTGATGGACCTGTGGCTTTTTACACAATGTTGAAAATCATCATATGCAGCTTCACTCAGTTTGACCACCAAAGGAGAAGTTTTCCCAGTGAGTCAATATTTAAAGTTAACTGCCTTATTCAGATTCATGCTCAGCATTGATAAAAAAGTTATTTCGTTTCATGTAAGACATTAAATTTTTATTGCTCATGCATTTAAGCTGCATGAATATAAAAATACCCTTTATAGTAGTAACAAAGCAAAGTATTACCTAAGCCATTTAACAGCCGCTGTTGCAGTTATTTTACTTTCTGTTTAAAGTAAAGCAACTTCAAAACAGACAAAAAAATGGTTGAAAACAAACTTTTACTCCAAAGACAAAAAATAAAATCATGCTCTCTGCACAAACCTGTGTGAAAATAGTGTATACCTGTAGTTCTGCAGCTCCTTTACTGTAAAGCTTCTGAACAGTCCAAACACAAGCCAGTAAGAGGCATGCAAGAGAAGGAGAGAGAGAAAACACGGCCAAGCTGCACACAAGCATGCATCCACATGCATATACAGCAGACACACATACTCCCACTTTGCAGCACACGTATTCACACACACACACACACACGCACACTGCATCTTTCCCCATCATTACAGAGGCCCAGTGGTCAGCACATTGTGGTTTAGGGTAGAGGCAAAGCTCCAGGACCTTGGTTGGTTTCATCTGCTTTGACCACTGATTGTGCACATGTGTGTAGGCTATTTAGTGTGTGTTTCCTATCATACGACAATTGGATGAAGTCAAAACTTGGATCCTAGAAGTATGAGATCATTGGTGAGTTTTACCAGACTGTGCTGTTATTGTGAAGTCTGGGAGAAAGAAGAAAAGGAAAGAGAGATGGTGGTGGTGGTGGTGGTGGTGAGTGGGTGGTATAAAGATTGCAGTTTTTGACAACTTGGAATAATTTAAAAAGCTCGAAAAACGATAAGAAAGGAGTAAGAGGAAAAGACAAGAAAGAAAAGTTTTTTTTTTTTTTAATTCCATAAACATTCACAGAAAAGGTTGAATTACGTTACCTTCCACATCATTGGTCGATCCGCCCGTTCGTCAAATCCTCCATTTCCGGTTTGCTCTGTTGCTAAGTAACAGCTCAATGTGCCCCGTCAACTGTACTGATGTCTGTTACTGAAAACATTAACATTTTTTTCGGATAAACATCGCATGAAGTGGTACAAATAGTCTTAAAACGGGTCGTTTGAAGCCATGACAGCTATAAAAGATGGAGAATACACGGCTACGATCTACAAACTGGTGAGAATACGGCTGTTTTAGTTGCAGTTAGCAATAGTGATAGCATCCCCACTGCCATGGCGGCGACCGAAACTGCATCCAAAAACAAGAAGTTTTAGTTTTTCTGCTCGCTGGTAAACATACAGGTATCTCACAACAGCAATTTAAAACCGTCAGTGTATGTAAATAAATTCGGCTTAAAGTAATACAAGCTAGAAGCCTACTTAGAGATTAGATTTAGTTTTTTTCTGCTGGTCTGTTACCGTAAAAACTGAAACTCTGCATTTAAAACCCAACATCTAATACCAACATGTGTTTTAGATAAAAGACGGACAATATCAGGAAGCAATTCATATTCTAAACGGTCAACTCCAGAAACACACAAAGGTGAGTATGATATGATATTAAGTTGTAGAAAACATTTTTAGAGTTTTTATTTGTTTAGCAGCTGATAAAATGTTGGCATAATGTTACCTGTTTGTTATGAATAATACAAGTGTCCTACACAGAGACCCAGACACAAAGAGACTTAATTTCTCTTTATTTCAATAATATCACAGTCCAGGGCAGCGCTGTCTCTGCTGGGCTTCTGCTACTATCACATCCAGGATTTCACCAACTCTGCAGAGTGCTATGAACAGCTCACCCAGCTGCACCCAGAGGTGGAGGAGTATAAGGTGTACTACGCCCAGTCCCTGTACAAAGCTGGTGCTTATCCCGAAGCCACCAAGGCCTCCTTTGCTTTGGACAACCCAAACAGCCACACCAAGGTGCAGCACATACTCATACCCACACACTCACATGTTAAACCTCCAAAACACTAACTTCTCAGCTGCTACACTTGGATTCATTACCATATTTTGAGGGGAAATTTAAGTGTTTAGGTCCAGGTGTTCTATCACTGCTTCCATCTGCAGTTTAAAAATGCCTCACACTTACATACATTGATTTTATCCACTCTGTTCTCTCCATCTGTTACACACATTAAATCACTGGGAGCTGTTGTTCAACACAAGTTTTCTAACAAATGCACTTGGACCATAAACAAGCTCTGTATGGCTCAGGTATAGGGGACCTGTTTTTACATATTTTGTGGTTTACATGAATTCAGATCATACAAATTGTGAACATGCTTAAGTGGATTGCTTTAAGAAAAGGCTTTGTAGTTGAGGTCATTATCCCTTGTGGCAGATATGTCCATTTTAAAGCTACTTTGAGAAGATTTTGATTGGTTAAGCCCGTCTTGAATATCTATACTGTAACTGTAACTTTTGTATGCATTACTTATTTAGATCCTAAAATATTCCAAAATCTAAAAAAAAATGCAGCAATTTCACTTTAATCGTGGAAAAGTAAATTGAGTCATGATAAGGAATCATGGATAACAGTTTGGACTTTTTCTCTCTCTCCACCTCCTTTTCTCTCTCTTCCTCTGGCACAGATGGTAAAGCTGCAAGCATGCATCAAATATTGTGAGGAAGATTACTCTGCTTCCAAGGTGATGAGTTTTCTTGCATCATATGTTTAAACATACAAATGATGCCATTTTGGTTCAGTATGTGCGCCAGTTTGGATCGATATGCACATTCATTTTTTGGGAAGAAAACTGTATTTATCTTTGTGAATGTGTGTTTAGTCACTACTGGAGCAGCTGCCTCAAGATGACCCAGACTACATACACAACATGGGCTGTTTGCTGTACCAGGATGGCAAACACGAGGAGGCCTGCAAGAGGTTTACATCTGCAATGCAAGTTTTGGGATATGTCCCAGGTGAATACATGAAATCATCGTCGTCGCTGACCCTACTTTTTTGTGCTCTTATTCACAATCACTGTTATAGTATTTTACAAGTCTTTGGTTTTTTATCAAAGAGTTTCAAAGTGAGAAAATCTCTTCACTTATATATTTCTGTCATGTAGGTTTATCAATTAATTAAAAGACATGGTGTATTTTGTCCTGAAATCCAATTAGAATCAAATTTTATCAATGGCTCCTGATTCCTGACTATATGGTGACATAACAGTTTAAATTGTTGTTTTTGTGTTTCTGTCCTTTTCTCTCCTGCAGCATTGTCATACAACATCGCCTTGTGCTACTACAGCCTGAAGAACTACTCACAGGCCCTCAAATACATCAGCGACATCATAGAACGAGGCATAAGAGAACATCCAGGTGAAACCTTATTTTTGTGTACCTTCCTCTTTTCACCTGTGCACGTACTTCTATTTTCATCTGCTATAGATGAACTTCCACCTCTGGTATCGCATGTCTCTTCTTATGCCTCATTAATCATTAACCTTCTTAACCTATCTTTTTTTTTTCATCTCTTAGAGCTGAGTGTGGGAATGACAACTGAGGGCATCGACGTTCACAGTGTGGGTAACACCTTGGTACTACATCAAACCGCTCTGATAGACACCTTCAACCTCAAAGCCGCCATCGAGTACCAGCAGAAGAACCGTAAGAAACACAAACACTGTCTCACTGCATTGTCTTGAACTTGGAACATATAAAAATGTAAGAACAAAAAGAAAAAGGAGTGCGGAGAAATAGTTAATACACGAACTGATGACAAAAACTTTACTTTTGTCACTTAGTTCAACTTAACTTTATGTTAGTTAACCTAACTTAACTTTTTCATCCTTACCTCTTTTTACTTTACCAGAGTTTATTGTGTTACAGTAATTTGCACCATCTCTTAATTTTGCAGTACTTCAAACCTATTCATAGAACTTAACCTACTTTGATTTTTTTATGTAACTTACTTATTTATACAGTAATTAACCAATCATCTTAACTTAAAATTAAACTTAACATGAATTTTTGTATTTATATCATTTTCAAAGACTTAAAAAAATGTTCCTTTTTTATCAACTTTACTTTTTTATGTGCTTTACTTAATGGTGCCTCACACTCACTTGATTTGGCCTCACTTTCTATTTTACATTTCAGAAGTATTTAAAACTATACCTTTCTTTATTTAAATTGGTTTACTTGTATTTATCAATAGTTTTCATCGTTGATATGCTTTGCCACTTTGTAGTTTGTTTGTCTGTTAAAAGTGAAAAGTTTGGCCAGTAGCTGAAGCACTGTGTCATGTAAGCATTACACCAAAGCTTATTTTCAAATCCATTATAGTTTTATTGACATTTGGGCATCATTTTTCAGTCTTATTTAGAAATACATAACTGACCAGACCAAACAGATATCTGCTAAAATAACCTTAATTTGAAGGTAAAGACTGAGTTTAAATCAAAGCTTGATCAACTACCTATCAGTGGGCGATAACTGCAGCACATGAAGCAGAGGGTCACAGCTGAGCAGACAGTATTATGCTCCGTTCTCAGACAATGTATTTCCTGCACAAACTTACAAAAATAGACTTAGAGCAAAACCAAATATCACAACAACAGTGGCGTAGGTATAATTGCATTTGTTCAGCTTACACAACAACGGGTTATGTGATTCAGTCCCAAATCAGATCACTATTTCCCTCAGCTTTAAAACTCAGCAAGGGAGAGAGAGAGAGAGAAATACAGAAAGAGGGACAGATATCTGTGGGAAAGCTCGTATAAAGCCTTTTATCTTCAAAAGTGGGGTCGTCCTACCAACTTTCTCCAACATCAAACCAAGGCTGCAGAGACGAGCTTACATGTAGAGCTTAAAAAGGAGTCTGAGGAGTGTCCTGATACCCAAGTGGTTAAAGGACTTAACTATCAGGCTGCAATGTCCCTCTAAATTATTCCCTTTTTCCCTTTCGCACATTCCTGTCCTTACCTTCACTAAAAATAGTCTGTTAACAGCACAAAAGAAAAGTTTAATTATGTAGAAAATTCAGCTGTAAATTAAAAAATTAACTGAAACTTTAAGTTTAACTACATAGTGCCCTTGGACTAGAGCTTAAATTGCCTAACTGGAACTTTTACAAACTTTTTGTACCAGATAATGAAAAACAAGAGGCTGTATTCAAAATACCTAAATGCCTGTACTCACCAACCTAAAGGTGTCTGTAGAAGTTTCTAAAAAAGACTACCACTGTTTGCATTGATTTTTAAGAGGCAGAGAAGTGGGAACTTTAAGCTGGAAACATAGAGGTAGAAATATTAGAAAGCTGAAATATTCATGCATAGTTTTATTAGGAAGGAAATGCATTCGACACATTGTTTTGACCCTAGAATACGAGTATATTCATTCTAGAAATCGAAACGCAAGTGTTGATTTTGGAGTTGCTTTGAAAGTCTTTTTTCAAGGCTCTTTTTTGGAGTTTGTTTGTCCACTGAAGAACAAAAACACACAATAACACTGATAAAGATTCAAACTCACTGCTGTCACTCCTTTGTGTTTCTGCAGTGAAAGGAGCTCAGGAGGCTTTGACAGACATGCCTCCCAGATCAGAGGAGGTAACATTATCGCCTGTTCACTATCTCTGTACACTGTGTGTGTGTGTGTGTGTGTGTGTGTGTGTGTGTGTGTGTGTGTGTGTGTGTGTGTGTGTGTGTGTGTGTGTGTGTGTGTGTGTGTGTGTGTGTGTGTGTGTGCGTGCGTGCAGCTGGATTCTCCTCACCCCTCGGCAATGTGCGATAATTCTGCTGTAATGAGAATGAAGGCTGTCTGGACTTGCCCCCCCCTGTCAGCTGCAGGATAAGAGAGATGAATGGAGTATTAGAGCAGAGAGGAGGTTTGAAGGCTTACATGAACATAATAATGATAGTTTTATCATCTTAAATCTGCTTCATTAAAATTAATGCGTGCCGACGAGGGCACTGTCCTTGGTTCAGTTTGTAATTGTCACCCAGTGGGTCAGGGCTGTCAGTTCAACCTGTGATAAGCGAGACTCGTGTCTAGCTACTGCCCTCTTGTGGCACTTGATTGTCTGTTCCAAGAGTGTTTTCAACATTTAAGTGCAGTTTTCTTTCAGTCAAAATTTTCTCCTAAGAATTCAAATTCATAGTTTTATAATGACTGCATATTTTTATACTTTTTGTCCTTTTTGAACATGCTAGATTAATATGATCATATCATGCAGAAACTTACACCCAACAAATGAAGTTAGGGTGAAAGCATGAGAGGAAAATGCTCTCATGTAAATTGAATGATTGTTAAACATTTTTCAAAATGATTGATTGTATCTCCATTTTAACTTTTTTAAAATATGTTTTAATTTTCCCCAAAATATTCAAGGTAAACCCAGCAGTTTGAAACTTTGCTGCCAAAATTTTATCTTAAACAACAAGTGAGTCGATCATACAGTTCCAGAAACCTGCAGACTTTTTACTTTTTAGAGTTTATCACCAACTATATGCAAGTTTTGATTTTCTTCCTGTCTCTGTACTTCATTGTCAAGCATTTTAGCCAATCCTTCTGAATAAAAGGTTCTATTTTAATTGAGATTTTAATGCAAACATAGACTTAATCGTTATATCATAGTCGTTATATATGATAGTACTGTGAAAGCAGTTAAAACCATGGTACAAATTCCGATACTTGAGTGTGTTTTTCCAGGAGCTTGACCCAGTGACCCTCCACAACCAGGCTCTGGTCAACATGGACACAAAGCCATCAGAGGGTTTTGAGAAGCTGGCCTTCCTGCTGCAGCAGCCCTCCTTCCCCCCGGAGACTTTTGGAAACCTGCTGCTGCTCTATTGCAAACACGAGGTACAAACAAGCTGGTCCACAACAAAACAGGATATGAAGGGTTTTAGATTAAGTCATCCATGGCTTTGAGAATCCTCAAGCAAGGGGTCCAAACCTGCTTCAGGACTTCTTCAAACCAATCCAGGTCGTAGGTAAAGGTGAACAAGCTGCCATCACTGCTGTGGAATCTTAATCTTATATATAAGAAAAAACAGATGATTGACACTGTTCAGCTCAGACTTTGAGTTTAGTGAAGAAGTTGGAAGTTTTAAGAATCTGAATTTTTTTTTTTGTTTTATTTAATTGTTTAACATAGAGACATATTTAGTGTTATGATATATATGGTGTTATATATGAGGGGAAAGAAAGCCCCCAAAATATCCTTCCTATTTCAAGGACTCATCCAGGACTTAATCAAGGTGTTTTTATGAGATCATGACCCCCCTGTTTTTCATGGGGGGTGCCTGTGTCAGCATTTTCCACCATAAGGTAAAACACTGAGAGTCCACACAGGAACTAACAGCGTCTTTAAAAGGATTTGCAACCACGTGGTGTGAGAGGTGTTGCTTTTTCATTAAAATGGTATTAATGTCTCTGCTGGAAACCCTCTCACTCACACAAACACACACACACTCTTTCCCTCTCTCTCTCTCTCTCTTTCAGTACTTTGACCTGGCAGCTGACGTCCTGGCAGAGAATGCTCATCTCACCTACAAGTTCCTCTCACCGGTAACTCGCTCTCTGCATCCACACCAAAATTATAGACATCAACTTCCGCGTACACATTTTTCTGTCATTAACTTACCTGCTCACATGTTTTCGTTAATTCTAGAAAGTTTCTCAGTATCATCCATATTTGTTTGTGTTTATGTCCTTTTCAGTACATGTATGAGTTTCTTGATGCCTTGTTGACCTGCCAGACAGCACCAGAGGAGGTACTGTAAAGATAACCAGTTCATGTGTTTATTCGTTGGCCACATTGAAACTCAAATAGTTTCCCTGGCTTTGGTATCCTTGATTTTACTGTTTACATCTCAGAGGGTTTATGTTTTCTTTTGTAACTCATCAGCTATGTTAGCATTAGTCTTTTATTGTTAAATCATAAAGACCCTATCTCACTAACTCTTTGCTGTTTACAGGCTTTCAGGAAGTTTGACGAGATGAACGGCAAACTGACAGAGCAGTTACGCAAACTGGCCAAGCAGGTAGTTTTGTTCAACTTCTGTGCTTTCTTTGTTTCTTTTCAATATTGTGTTTGATAGCATATAATTGTATTTGTATTTTATGGGTCTTCTTTTTCTTTTAAATATAAAAAAAAACGTTTACTTTCTGCTCATGTTGCTTAATCTTGCTGCTATTCATCCTGGCAATTGAAAAAGTGACCATAGTAGGTAGCTTTAGAAAAATGCAGGGGAGTAAAAATTGTTATACACTCTTAAGTGTGCAAAAATGCTTCTTGGCATGTGGCTGTTGGACTTGAAAATCCCATTCTTAATTGCATACTTATAATTCCATTATTTTGCATTTTAAAACAGTTTGAAAGTCCACATTAACAATTATTATTATCATCTTTACTTTAGATTTATTAATAAAGCAAATGCTGCTCTGCTACTTAAGTGAGATCTGATCAGTTGTTCCTGTATGCTTAGCTTTTAGGTGGTAAACCCAGAGAACTTAAGTGATCAATAAATTTCATTTGACACAAAGTGTATTTTATTTTTGAATTCTCAGCTGAGCTATCTGTGAGTTTTTTTTATGTGAAATGAGCCATTCAAAAGCACGTGGTGGTGTTTTTTTTCATTATGAGAGCAGCAGGGAGACACCAGCAAAACAACCACATGTACAGTAAATGTTGAACATGTTAATTTCAGACCTTAATCTAACCATGATCAACTAAGTTAACACTGACAGCACTAGCACTAGTTATTCTTATGGCAAGGTGAAACGTGGATTGTGTTATAGAAAGTATTCGGCCAATGTTTCCTTTGTATGTTTTCTTGAAGGCGCAGGAGGCTCAGCATGCTCGAGATGATGAGGTGAAGAAGAAAGCTATACAGGACTACGACTTAATGCAGGAAAAGTGAGAAAGACATGCATACACATACATGTTCACGCAGAGCTCTCTGAGTTTTATTTTGTTTTCTCCTGTCAGCTGGTCATTCCCTGTCTTTAAATATTTTTCATTTCCTTTCCTGTGTGAATATTTTTATAGCTAAATTCAACTTGGAGATATTTTTGACAGAAATTGTGACTGACATGTATGAGACAAGATCAGCAAAGAGAAAAAAGGTCCCACTTTGTCCACAGGAGGCAAAAAATGAGCTCAAACAGAAAGTTCCTCACATGAGCTCTAGGTCAAATTCAATTCACAAAACCAAGTGTCTTAACTGGAGAGTTGGAGAGAACAATTTTAACTTAAAGATCTGATCAACTGTACCTTGGCCCTGTTTCTTACTCCACATTAAAAACAGGTAGTTTTTTTCTACATGAAGCCGTACCTGATACTGTCTTCTCATCCTCCCTGTGTACTCTTGGTCTTATTTCAGTTACATTGTGGTCCTCATGGCTCAAGCAAAGATCTACTGGAACAGAGAGAACTTCCAGGTGGTGGAGAAGATTTTTCATAAATCAGCGGAGGTGTGTAACAATGACACCTGGAAGCTGAATGTCGCCCACGTGCTCTTCATGCAGAACAAGTACAAGGAGGCCATCAGCTTCTATGAGCCCATCGTCAAGAAACACTACGATAACGTAAGTGATTTAAGATGACTCACACACATTGCTCTGTATCAGCCACTCTGAGGAAAGAGGGGGTCAGGTCTGAATAGTTTGCTTCTCTGTCCAGGTGGAGCAGTGTAACATTCAGGAGTGTCCGTGCAAGTGCAAACCATCGGTAAAACAGAGACTGTACTGCTTTTTATTGATTCCTCTGGCGTGTTTCTTACAGCTGTGCATGACATTGAAATTTTCCAGCTGCCTCTTCTTGTTTTTTGTTTTTTTTTGTTTGTTAGCTTGCGGTGGTATTCGTTTCTCTTTATCTGCCTCTTAAAATTTCATCTTGGATGTCTTGTTTGAAAGCCCAGCAAAGGAACCGGTTGAAAAGGCTCAAACAACAAGACCACTAGAAAAGTCCCTAAATATTGAAGTGTGGCCTTTCATATCATATTACATGTTAATATTCAACAGTTGTTTCTTTTTGTTGTTCTGAAAAAAATGTATGTGTGTCTAGGAAATTTACGTCATTTTCTCTTTGAAATTTCAAAGGATTCTGTTATATTTAGAATATTAGTATCTTTGGGTCCACATGACTTATAGAAGCAACATTTTTGAATGGCCCTTGCAGCCAGAAATATGCCAATTCAAACACATTGAAGCAAGCTCCTTTTAAAGTCACTCGACCACACTGCCAAAAAGTTTTTCTTCCACTCGTAACAATGGAGTTCAAACACAACACAATGACTGAAGGGATACAGTTTAATTTTTTTCTTTTCAACGTTTGGCATATTTATTAGCAAACTAACTAACAGGCAGTAGTGGACCAGAAACTCCTGTAAACTGTGGTGCTTAGGAAAAAAAAACACACAATATTCCTCGAAAATGCTAAAAAACAAGTGAGGATACATAAAGTCAGCTGAACAGTATCAGTATGAGCAGATAATGGCCTGAAAAGTTAATTGTTGGAACAGTGACAATTCTATTGTTTATTTCACCTGCCCATTTCCAAGAAACATATTTACCAAATAAAAAAACCTCCCGGTAACATTTCCATTGATTGTAAAATGATGATGACACAAATCCACATTTTTTTTGCAGAGATAGAGAGTTACGATGTGAGATTACAGTAAGAACTGTATGATCCCTTCACCTATGCTTACCTAAGTTTGAACTTCAGCATGACCTAAAACCCCTAATCTAATCATGTGACCAGTTACCCAATACTGCACCCTCGTAAAACCCCCATCACTTGAATTAAAACACAAACTATTTACATCTGGAGAAATCTAAAAATTTCTATTGTTATTGCACATCATCTAGTTTGCATTTATCGCCCGTAGAAGGCATCAATATTTTTTGTCTTAAAAACTCCTCACAGGAGCTTTAAAGATGGTACGCAGAATAAAGACACATGTATAGATGAATATGCCAAAAAAAGAAAAAAACATTAACAAAGGGATATAATATGTGAGTGTATGTGTTTTTTATTCTAGATCTTGAATGTGAGTGCTGTGGTTCTGGCCAACCTGTGTGTGTCCTACATCATGACCAGCCAGAATGAAGAGGTGAGCTCTCAGGAAGCTTTTATCCGACTCCATAGTCAGTGCTGTAAGCGAAGAAATAACACTGAAAATGGCCAGTCTTTTAAACAGTCACTCTCACCACCTTTTCACAAGATTTTGCACATATCATCAACCTTTGGTGCTGAAAAGACTAAGCATGCCTCCTTCATTCTCCTCTTGCTAAATTTTGATTTCCTTTCTGTCTCTTCATATCATCTTGGTCTGTCAGGCGGAAGAGCTGATGAAGAAGATTGAGAAAGAGGAGGAGCAGATCTCCTACGATGACCCTGAAAAGAAAGTCTTCCACCTCTGCATTGTCAACCTAGTCATTGGGTGAGTTTCGGCTGCTGCTTCCCTAATCCTGCTGGGAAAACTGCTCCAGGGCCAGAACACCAGGGGCTTTTTTAGCAGTAGAGGGCAGAGGCTGAAGCTTTTTATAATCTGCTGCTCAACTTTAAAGAGAGGAGCAAAGCAACGATACATCAACAATAAAACCACTGCACATAAGAGATAAACATATATTCATAAACAGTATGTACAGTACATAAGTTTATTGATATCCACATTATCATTTCCTGCAGCTGAAGTCCATGTCCACTACCTTCTTACTGTTTTCTCTTAACGTGTGTTCTTCTCTTAGGACTCTGTACTGTGCCAAAGGGAACTATGACTTTGGTATCTCTCGAGTAATCAAAAGCCTGGAGCCTTACAATAAGAAGGTCAGACATTTATGAACTGATATCTTTGCTCTTTTACAGACCCTCTTCCAGTCACATGACAATATAAAACACTTATTTTCAGGTTTTGTATGACATTAAAAGACCAAACATAAAAGACAAAGCATCATGTGTTGAGCCTAAAATACAGGTCTAAGCCCTCCCACTGAGGTCTCTCCTCTGAGGCTGAGCTGCTCTTTTTTTGGGACCTTTTGATCCGGTTCAGTCGCAACAGCAGACTCAGGCTGCAGCTGAGTCCACTAAGCTCCAGCTGAGAACACAAGCCGTCATTCCTGAGTGTTTCCCCCTCTCATCCTCACAACAAACACCAGTACACAGAGTTACACGAGCAGAGAAAGCAGAGGAGAGTTCAGGAATGTGAAGCCTACCCTTTCCAAAAAGAAGTATGTTGAAGTGTACTTTAAGTATACTGTTTTTAAACTAAGTATACTTTCAGGTTACTTTTTATGCACTTTTCAGAGATATACTTAACAAAGTTCATGTTAAGTATACTTGGCTTGTACTAAGAGTGTAAATATATTAAACTTATACTTAAAGTTTTGATCAAGATAAACTGAAGTATGTATTTGTGCCTTAAGTTTAAGTATAGTTTTTAAGTGAATACTTCCATATATCTTTTTAGTATACAAGTATACAAATATATACTCCTATTGAAATAATAGCATATGCTCCAGTACAATAGCAAGTATGCTCCAGAGTAGACAGGCAGATGGCCGAGTGGGTTGAGATTTGTCCCATGATGGGGACCATGAACCCAGCAGTCGCAGGTTTGATTCCAGCCCTGGTCCCTAGCTGCATGTCACCCTCCTTTCGCCATCTCCCACATGTCCACTCTGTCCTATCCATTACAGGCAAAAATGACCCCCCATAATAAAGGTATGCTTCAGTGTACTTTTATAAACTACAAAGGGGACTAGAAGTATGCTACTGGTAAACTAATAGCATACTAAGAAGTTTACTTCAAGTGTACTTTTATGAACTTAAATTGGGACAATTCATTTCCAAGAAGTTTACTTGTAAGTACATAGGTAGTATATTTGTGTCCGTGTACAAAGTATACTGTGGGAAATATGCTTGTAAATATACTTCAAAAAATGTGCAGTTGATTTCATCTTTAGTGAAAAGTATTACTCTTCATTTTACAGAAATAGTTTATCCTGGAGCTTTCTTTATTTATCCATGTCTATTTCTGTTGTTATGCTGCAGTAAAAGCTGAATTTTGATCCCTATTTTATCCCTAAAGACAGTTTTTGTGTGTGCTTGTGTGTGTGTGTGTGTGTAGTTGGGAACAGACACGTGGTTCTACGCCAAGCGTTGTTTCCTGTCTCTCCTGGAGAACATGTCCAAACATATGGTCATGCTGAGGGACGCTGTGGTACAAGAGTGTATTCAATTCCTGGAGCACTGTGAGGGTAAGCTGCAGCAAAACACTCACACACACACATACACACACACACACACACACACATACACTTAAAAAGCTTTTTGACGGTCATCGACTACAAATAAAAGCTGCTGTTGCATGTAGAACAAACAGGACCTGATGTTTTAAAATTCTCATAGGACTTTATGGATTCCTCTCTCACCATTGTCAATATAAACTGTAACCATGCAGCATGATTTGAAAGCTTGACACACTTGGCATATGAAAAAGGCATTTATCAAACAGCACTGACATTAATCCTTTCCAGTAAATTTATCCTCATAATCACAGTGATTCTGTGGCTAATCTCCAGCTCTAAATCTACCTGTAGTTGTCCTTGCAGTTATATAATTATTATTTCCATTATATCTGTAAATGTATCTCTTAGAACTGCTTGACTCAGCTTTAATTAGCATTATCAGTTCTCCTCATTTTATGCTTTTTATGGCTAATATATGAATTTGGTGCCAATACATGGAGCCTTATTTTTAGGAGGCTGCAAGTAAACCATGCTGCCTTCTTGCTGCCTGTTTTCAAATCTTACTTTTTTTACTTCCTGTTTTTCTTTCTGTTGGTCTCAACACTTCTATTTAATTATCTCAGTGTTTTATTTGTTTAATGTGCCTTTTTTTAGTTTTGTTTTTGGTCTAACATTCTGAATGTACAGCACTTTTGACATCTCCTGTTGTTTTAGATGTGTTTTATGAATAAATATGGATGTTGAATTTGGAACTAGGATCTGATTTTGATCCTGATCAGGTGAAGCTGGGTCCTCATAGAAATGAAAATGGATGTTAAATTTAAAAAAGGGAGTAGATAGATGAGAAACAGAAGGGGGCCCAGGACAGAGCTCTGAGGGACTCAGGTAGTGAGTATAAATTAAATCCAGGAATCTGTTTTATCTGCCGTGTTTTTGTCACGCTGTCCTTCTAGCTAAGCCTGACATGATAGCAACAGAAAGCTGTTAAACAGGAATGTGATGCTGCTTGAAAGTTTTTCCCATTAACATTTTCTTGTGTTTGTTACTAAATGTTGAAGAGTGTTTGCTCATAAAGGATTTTCATTTGTTTCACCTGCAGCTTATGGTCGGGAGGTCCCCGCCATCATCGAGCAGCCTCTGGAGGAGGTCCGCATCCACATCGGCAAGAACACGGTCACCTACGAGGCTCGGCTGCTGAAGGCTCTGTTCTACGAGGTCACTGGCTGGAACAAGTGACATCATCACACAGACTTTCAATAACCAAAGAACTGCCGTCACGGTGCGCAGCCAGAGATTTCTGCGTGTCTCTGTTTGGATTAAGACAGTGAACTCGAGGTAGAAGACAGTCATCGACATGTAGCGGTACACACACACACACACACACACACACACACAGATGTATCTTGAATGAAGCCTGCTGTGCAAGCTTGAACTTCCAAGGAATCAACAGGACTTGCAGTTCGAAACACTTAATGTGCAGCTTTTGGACTTGCTCCTCCCTTCTCATCCCCCTGTCTTTCTCTCTCTCTCTCTCTATCTCTCTCTCACACACACACACACAAACACACGACTAATTTTTTTATCTAAGGCTCACCTTCAGGGACATTAAAGTCAGAGTTGATTTGCTGTGACTATCATTTCTACCTAATTATATGAATGATATTAATTTTACAAATAACCAGCACACCTTTAACATTAGTTGTTTATTCTGTAACATGAAATACATGATAACATTTTGTATGCAAGTTTATTCACAAGCATTCAAAGTTTATGTATATTCTGTCTGTTGTCACTTTCTGTGGCTTTGTTTTTAGTTAAAAAATGTCTGTGAAAAGTAGTTATTTAAAGAAAATAAAGACAATTATTTTTGGATCGTCAATGAGAACATCTTCCCTGTAATAATCTTGGAAAATAATATACAAAAACATTGGTTGGAAGAGTTAACAGCCACATCCCAGAGTTTAATGAAGCATTTTCTATCATTTTATGACTTAATTCATGAAGAAATATGAGTCTCCATCTCTACCTGATGATCTACAGAGTTTTTATCAAGGGAGGACATGTGGGAGGAGGGTAAGGAGGGTGAGGAATTAGAGGCAGGGAAGGTCGTGTTCAGGAGAGCGGTCTCTTTGTTATGTCCTGTTCTGTCAGGTAGTAGTTCAGGTATCCTCCTAGAGCCCCCACAGCCACCGCAGTCATGTGACTGGAGCAGCCGTCTGTCAAAAGAGAGCAGACACACAGGGAAAGATAAAAAAAACTTAGAAGTGCCTGTTTCCTTTGAGCTAAGCTGTCAAAGACACAGCAGAATGTTAAAATAACTGTCATAAAACGAGTGTAGATGTGAAGGGACAGATAGTGAGGAAAAACATTGGGGTAGGCAACAAGTAATTCTATGTTTAGACTCTGACATACTTCCAAAGTCCCACCAAAGACTTAATGATAACCTTGAGTAAACTTTATTAATCTGACATGAGGGGAGCATTGACTTTTGTACTTTATTATCTTTGATTTGCTAGCAGACTGGTAGTTTGAGGCTAAGCTTATGGTAAACTAGTTGTAGCATGCAGCTGATATTAAATTAGTTGTCTAGATATATAATTTTAAGGTAAAAACTATTACCACCCTTCGAAGGATCAGTTTTACAAGCACGTCTAAGAAGGAAGTGACCTAGACAGAGAGAGTCTGTTTGATGTTAGCATACTCATGAAGTCTGTCCATCATAATCTGACCTGGCAGTATTTTCTCCCTCCTCTTCACTCTCCTGTGAGGCTGCAGCTGTTCCAGCAGCTCATCTCCGATGATCTGAGAGATGATGCTCTCTGAAAACGAAAGAAGAGGGGGAAACAGACCGTAGATTCATCTGTGCAGCAAATTTTACAAATGATTTCTGCTGACAGTATAAAAGTCACCTTCTGTTAAAGTACAGTCACATTTCTGCCATTAGTGTCATATAAAGAATATGTTTTTAGATCCGTGTTAGAGTAAGATTTGAACTTTGATTTGAACAAACACTCAAGATTTAATGACAAAACAAATAGGAAAAGAAAGATTACTCTAGAGTGTTTTAACTGTTTTCTATAACAGGTTGTAATTCTGTTTATAACGGTGTTCAACAACTCACTGTCCCTCCCAAAGCAGCCCACTTCCTCATCCTGCAGCCTGAGGATGTGCTGCAGCCAATCAGCTTTGTAGAAGTCTGAGAAACCGGCCAATCCACATATGAGGACTGTTTATAAGAAACAGAGAGACTTAGGTCAGACAATCATGAATTAAGTTTTCTGCAATGTGTGTCTCTCAAAAATCCCCTCACTTAAGAGAAACTGTAGAGGCCACAAAGTGTCAAAAAAAAACCTCAAATTATTACACATTGTTTTATACACTTCAAATTTGTTTCGACATAATTTGTCACATGGTGTTTCATTAGTTGTTGTCCACATAGAGTGAGCTGGACTTAATAGAAATGTCATTTATTGTTATAAATTAATTATTTAATGACTAATAAGAAGTAAGAGATTCACTAAATCAATGTAAAATCTAAGTAGTTTGTAGAAGTAAATTTGATAGAAAACACATGAAGGAAAAAGAGAGGGAAAAATTAAGGTCTAAAAAAGTGAGCAGACACTGACTGTTTTCAATGAAGATGTCGACCGTCTGTTCAGTCAGCCCGTCTTTGATGATGTCCTGGTTGGTCTTCATCATGTTGGAGCAGAAGATTCTCTCGTAGCTTCGCTCTGTCATGTTGACTCGAGATGCTCGAGTGTCGCCTTTCAGCAAGTTGGTGCAGCCTCTCTGAGCAAGGAATTTTTAATTTAAAAACTGTGAGTGCACACAATGAGGAAAACTTCTCTGTGTTTCTGTACTTCAGGGCACAAACATGGAGAATGTGAATGTCAAGGTCTGTCAAAACATAAAGAGCTGTATAAAGAGATGATTCACATGTGGAAGTGAACGATTGTCATTGGATGTTCACTGTTTATTAAATTTTTTCACTCTCTATTATTACCTTTAATGCTCAAATAAACATTTCCTTTTGTGTATAGTAGCACGTCTCACCATTTTTCCAATCATGAAGTAGAGCAGCTGATGGGACAGAGAGTAATGTGGGCAACCAAATCGTGTCATGGTGTCCCGACAAGGTTTGGTGACGATGCAGGGCGTCCCGTTCATCTTCCTGTGTACAATAACACACTTCTTACAAAGGTAAGTTCCCTCTGACACTGTCCCTCTGTCAAGTTGAAATCTGACATGATTATTTACAATGTGATTACAAAGGAGAAAGGGTGGCAGCAAAACCTAATTTCAGAGAATTCAAAACCAACAACTGTTATGTATTTTTACTCTAAATGAAGCTTTTTTGGATTGTTGTTTATTACTTTGGGATAAAAGACTTAGCCCTCAGTGATTTTTAAAAAAGATGTTGACCTAAATTTAAAAATTTCTCTAAAATATTCTTTTTCTTTTTAATCTAAGAACTATAAGTCCTCCATTTTTAGACCAGACAAGCAGCTGTAAAATCCTGTCTGGCTGCAGATGACTCCAACACTCTCCTCCAATCAGAGGGCAGGTCACCCTGGCAGGCGACTCTGAGGGCACAAAAGTTGAAGCTAAAGTTTTCTCAGGGCTCCTCTTATCCACATTTTGGCAGCTGAATGGTAAGAGGACTTAAGTAATTCAATCAAAGTTAATGCTCGGAGACCAAAATAGGTTGAAATAGTGGATTAGTTATTTTACCATCAGCTGTCTATGTAGTTCAGGTCAACATGAGTGACTAAAATGTTTTCTTAAGGTTTGTGAGAGAGCACAGTTTCTGTCAAGGATTGTCTGTTTTAACTAGTGGTGATCCTCAGCCTGGTTTGTTTTATGTGTCAGTGTGTGTTTTCATCTCTGTAGGTGTATTTTCAAACCAGGTTCCCAGCAGCAGGGTCAGACATTTGTCGCTGAGCTGCTCGTCGTAGCACTCAGTGGTCAGGGTGGAGGAGTAGACCAGACTGGGGTCTGTGGAGCTCCACCCCTGAGGAATCAACCAGAAAGTCCATGACAGCAGGGGCTCAAACTCTGCACAGCACACAGAAAAAAAGGAGATGAAAAGAAATAATACAAATTTATTACAGTGTATTTACACATGTATAAAACTCCTGAGAATTTCCAAAAGTTTTAAAGGTAGATGAACGTAAACGGAAGAGATTTTCACCCCAACCTCACTTGTATTTTTTGCAATAAGTGCAAATATGTAAGAGCAACATGAAACTGAAACTATGTAAAAGCATCCAAGGTTGAGACAGGAGAATAATCAAGATTTTTATGGATCCAGTATTTGTACTGTGTTTTAGATAAATACCACACTGAGTGATCAAGCAGTCTTTTCTCACCTCTGTAGTATTTCGGGTCGTTCTGCTGCAGGGCGGCGACTGCCTTCTCAAAGCTTTGATCCAGTCTTTTGACCAGAGCGACAGCAGTGGTTCTCTGAGCCCAGCTGACAGGGTCGGTGTGAGGCCATGTCCGAACAGCTTCCTTCAGTTCAGCTGAGACAGAAACACAGACATTTTCTGGTCAGAGTGAGGAATAAGACACAGTCTGTGCACAATGTTTGTCTGTGTGGGAGATTAAGCAACAACAACACCAGTACATTCAAACTTTCATGAGCCCAAGTGAGCAACATTTTTCTGACTATGAGGTTCAAAACTGGAATGAGAAACTTCTTCTAACTCCTGGCAAAGTCTAGAAGTAGTTTTGTTTTTGGAAAATGTACAAAATTCAACAAAATTTTCACTTGATAATAAAAACATTGAAGGTAATGTTTCTCCTGGCATTAACCAAAGGAAGAATACAACTGTATAAAAATAGTAAACATGTTGGTCCAACACAAAAATGTAACGACACAGAAAAAGTTTTTTGTTCGTCAATAACTTTATAGACTTAAAACTCATAATTTCCCTCAAAATCTTCCATTACAGGAGCACTGTGCCCGTTAAGAAATCGAACATCTTGTTAGTAAATACTTGGTTTAAAAAACGTGTTTTACAAAAAAATGAGCCTCTGACTTTTAACGTTTTTCTTAGTGTTTTCCCAGTCAAATTTCCAACCTCAATCTAGTACCAAGACTGGTTAAGCTCACTATTCTCTGATGTTTGTACCGCTTTTACTGGTTAAAAAACTGTGTGACACTGTCCAGCAAATTACTCAGCTGGTTTCAATTCCAGTTAAAGAACAGCGACTACTTTGTGTCCATTGGCAACTTCACATCAGAGCTTACAAAAATTACATGTGGAGTTCCACAGGGCTCCATCCTTGGTCCTCTTCTATTTAACATCTTTATGCTCCCTTTTGCTCAGGTTATAGGAAATAAGAAATCAAGTTACCATGACTAAGCAGATGACACATAGTTATACTGTACATGTCAATGTCACCATGGCCCCATACAAGCTTTGAGTAAATGTACGGATAAAAATTATTAGCTGGTGGGTGTTGCTTTCCTCCAGTCAGCTTAAGGTAACACTGAGTTTGTTGTTGCTGGCAAATGCTGGCAAAGCCACATATCTCTATGTACTTAGTCTAGAATTTTACAAACCACATTAAGACAATTATAAAGTTGGCCTACCATCAAGGATTAAAGGACTTATATCCCAGCCTATCCCAGTTTTTCCAGGCCTTGAAAAACTGGCTCATGCAGCTGACTTGTTGGTTTAAGGTGTCTTTAAAGGTCTCTCATGAGTCAGATGACTACAGTTGGTTCAGATTTTCCCTTAAACTGAGAAAGTGAAACTAGTCCAGTTCTGATGTTTTCACACTGCTTCCCAGTGTGTTTGAGAATCAAGTTTGAAATACTACTTTGGTCAAAATATTAGTACTTTTTCCATTAGTGCCATCTAGGGCACTCTGTTTGGTACAGGCCTGCTTTCTACCCCCAGTCAGAACAAAGCATGAAAAAGCAAGTAAGTTTTTATGCCATAAATATGTCAAATCAACTCACAGAAAATGTCAGGTCTGCTGCAACTCTCAGCCACAAGACTCACCTGTTTACAGCCTCCTTTTGCAAAGCTATTATGGTATATAAAATACACCAGTATATATTACATTCGCTTTTTCGTGACTTGTTTATATTACATTCTTTAAACGATTTTAAATGTCTTCTTTTAGCGTGCATTTTGATTCAAAATGTCAAAATGTGAAAAAAACTTTAAATTGTTTTGTCGCTGGAATTTGCTATATAAACAAACTTGCCCAGCCTCGCCTTCGCAGCTGGTAGGACACATGCTTGTCTCCTCTGCAGCCTGTTTACAGTTCAGGACGTGTTTACCTACCCTGCAGCATGAGGAACCCCACCACCCCATCCAGGTTGATGTGCTCATGTTGTCGCTCCAGGAAGGATGCTCCTCTGTTCAGGCTGCTCAGGATGTCATCGATCACCTCCGCCCGCGACCCGGACACTGCGGCAAACAGAGCCAGCACTGCGGCCAGCGTGTGCGCCGCTGCCCGCATCTTCTCACGCCGATAATCCCAGCCTTGAGGCTCCGGAATGGTTTTTCTCTCCGACAGAGACCAGACGGAGAGAGGGGCAGGGATGACGGGCTGTGTCTGTTTTGACAGGGGGAGAGTTAAAGTGGGGAGGCTGGGGGAGGGAACAGTGGCGTCATAGGGGCTGCTTTTACGAAATCAGAAATCAATACGTGAAAAAAGAGGTATTATACAGATTCAAAGTCACGTGACACGTAAACGCTTGTTTCAATAGACACTTCAAATGTCAAGAGACCACATATTAGATTTGTAGCTCTATATAACAGTAAGACATAGAGACTGAAGATGTCAACAAAGGTCAAACACTTATTTGTCAGATCGGGCTCACGTTTGATCTTTTTTTTATCTTGAAAACGTTGGTTTTATTTATTCTTTGGTTGTTGTAATACTTAACCTTTGGCAGATGGAAAACATCCTGTAAAGGAATAAAACTCCGGGCTTAACAGACCAAAGTCTACGTTTTTAACTTTTTTTTTCAATCATTAACCAACATTGACTTTTCAGGAAAAAAAATGTAAAAACCCCATCATGATAGAAAAAATAAGAAAATTTCAAGAAAAATTAAAAATATATAATAAAATAAATTAAAGTATATCACCAAGTCTAATTTATTTCACCAATTTATTTAAATTTTTTTTTTCTTGAAAAGCTGTTTCTGTTTTAACAAGAGGTTAGTTTATTGAATTGTGTTGCCTCTCTCCGCAGAAGACCAGAAAGCCAAAAATAAAAGTAGAACTATCTTTGCAAATAAGATATGAATCTGCGAGCTCAACCTAAGTAACCTGCCCCTGCTTAACAATTATATTGTGTGAAGAAATTGTTTCCTTATGGGCACAACATTTAAAAAAAAAGTCCTTTCTGTAAGACAACAACTGGCACAATACTAATAATCTCCGTCTAAACCACAAACAGATGTTCAAAATCTTTATGGTGTTTTATTATCTTTAAATTTTCACACAACCGAGTGAGGACAAAAAATACACTTTTAAGTTTTGATTGAAATTTTTGAGTAACAACAAAAGACAGCTGCATTCAGAAACAAAGAAAGTTACAGGAACCTGCCACAGCACAACTCTTTTATTGATTTTCCTCCTCTCACAAGGAAAAAAATTGATCATAGTAATATTTTATGTTGGCCACTGAAACATCCCCCCTAGAATCACATTTGGGGATCAACTAGAAGCATAGACTGTATATACTGTGGACAACTTGGTTCCGCCAGTATACAGATTTGAAGCCAAAATGCTCTCGGTAATTCTGCGATTTTTCTCCATTTCCTGAAACCAACATTGCACAGTAGCGTTGTACGCGCTCCACCACTTGCGCAGTAGCAATGTGCGCATTCGGCTGGAGTCGCTGTGCTGACGCTCGGCTCAAACTGCGTATCCCCGGGAGAGCTACGCAATCTTCGTACGCCTATAGACTGTATCAAGTGTCAATCATAGAAAACATGAACCCTCTAATAACTTTTAAAAACAGAGCTGTGCAGAAAAAAGAGGACTTGAGCACAAACCAGTCTTACAGTAACTACATGTCAACATCACAAGCAGGGGGGGGGAAAGAATTATTTTCTGTGTAATAACTTTCTAAAGTTTGTCCACAGCTCCATAAGCTTTGCTGGCGGAGGCGGGATTTATGACCTATACTGCATAAACGATAACATAGTTGCAAAATTAGTAGGAAATTCCTTATCTGTGTGGTCCCTTTAAATCTGAAGCTCCTCCCCTTTTCTTAGACACGTCACTACAAACAAACATGGCGACTTACAGCACCTCCACGGCTCTCCTGCCAGTATTAGTACTTCTTTTAGCGTTGTTATTTGTCTTTGTCTCCTCAGGTTTAGATGTAACGTGGCAGGTCGTGTCCCCAGCTGTCGTAACCGTCCTGCTGTTGCTGTGGTTACGGAGTTTACGGCGGCGGGACGCAGGGACTGACCGGCGAGTGTGTGTGCTGGTGTTAGGTGATATCGGTCGCAGCCCTCGGATGCAGTATCACGCCTTGTCTCTGAGCAAACACGGGTTTAATGTGTCCTTTGTCGGGTTTTTAGGTAAGAAGGACTATTTGAACTCGCTCTAATCTAAGAAAGAGGGACCTGCACAATAAGTGGTGTTCAGTGTGTGTATTGTGATGTGTGATACCCCATACACGGGGTAAGTTGACCATAGGAGACCACTTTTTTGGCATGCTATATTATCAAGACAGTTATGTTTACACTCATTCTGTTGGTTTGCAGGGATGCACAACATCTTGAAATATATGCAGATACACTAGTTAGAGACAAAACAATGATCACCTTGATGTCGTGATCTGAAATATGAAAATGGCTCATCTTACCCCACTCTCCCCTACCATTTGGGTTGTAAAAGTCTTTTTTTTTTTTACTTTTTAGATTCCAAACCTCATCAAGATGTGTTGAGAGAAGAGAAAATAAGAATCTTCCCCATATCAGAAGTGAAAGGTGTCCAGAGTAAGTGAAAGTCTGTCTGTGATGAATGTGAAATTCTTGCTGTCACCACCACACTTTCAGGATGTACCTGTTGTTACTGTTAAAAAAAAATAAAGGTGTGCCGTGTTTCGCTGTGTTTCTATTTCAGTTGGTCCAAAAATCCTTTCATATGTGACAAAGGTGATCCTTCAGGTTGTCCAGCTTCTCTTTGTGCTGCTGAAGATGGACACACAGTCTCATATCTTATTGCAGGTACCAAGATTAAAAGGGTATTACTGTATATTCAAGTACAGTTTGCATACATAGTAAGAGGGACGGCTTTAAAATCTTTGTTGCAAAACAAATGCAACTAGACACCTGATTTACTCTGAAAGTTTTTAAGAAATCAACGTTCATGAGTGTTGATATGTTGCTTAAAAGCTACACCAATTTTGAGATAAAAACAGAATAAATTTTAAAAGATGAGAAATTTTGGAAGTTATCAACATGGTGGTTGAAAAATTCACTTAAAGTTGTGCTCTTCATGAGGATTTTTCTTAATTTTTCCACCTGAATCATGATGCACTGATTCCTGATTTCATAAAGAGACTAATGTTATTTTTCAGTGTAAGTACCTTCAGCAAACTGATTTAACAGTCAAGCTTTAACGTGTTTCAATTTTCCAATTTCAAATATTGTTCAAAATACCTTCTACAGGTATTTATTTGAGTCATTTTTATTGTTGTATTTGTATTTGTTCCTTACGGTGGATGTTAATGATGTTTTCCTTTGTATCCCAGAATCCCCCAGGCCTGCCAAGTATCGCAGTAGTGTGGTTTGTTAGCATCCTGCGAGGGAGCAGACTCATCATCGATTGGCACAACTATGGCTATACCATCATGGCCCTGAGTCACGGACCAAGACACCCACTGGTGCAGATGGCAAAGTGGTAAGTTCTCTGAAGATGTCAGGTGTTTTGGAAACAAGGAAATTCACATTGCTCCACACAAGACACTAAAAGAATCGTGACAGAGGTCAGCAAACACACTGAAAAAAGATAATTGAAAGAGGACTTGTTGAGTCATTATATAAGTCCATTAAAATTTAAAGCGGAAAAAGAAAAAAGAGTATATTAAGACAGTAAGAATGTAGATGTTATAGATGTCAAATAGAAGAGGCCCCATGATGGAGCTGTGGGGAACATCACATCTAATTTTTGCCTGCTTGGATGAGAAGTTACCTGTAGACAAAGCTGTCCTCAGTAAATAGAAGATAGGTATCAAAATACTCTTGATTTCTGGCAATGATATGGCTAACACGTTTTATGATTTTGTCTTTCTCCAGGTATGAACACTTATTTGGCCCTCTGGCCACTCACAATCTGTGTGTCACCAATGCAATGAAGGAAGACTTGCAAAAAAACTGGGGCATCAGGTATGACTTTACTTTTTCTTTTTTTTTTGCACTCATGTTCGAAACAAAGAAAAAATGGATTCTTAGGTCAGTCTCTCAGCCTGTCTCATCCTTAGGCCTGACTGTTTGAACATAGAGTATCAGGGAAACGGAGTTGGAGGAAATGATTTGAGGATTTGTGTTCTGTCATGTGTACAAATGTTTGAAGTTCTACTTCTGCATTACCTTTCATATTACAGTTCTGAGTGAAAATTTATCAGAGAGAGAAACAGTTTGGACGGTTGTGTATCTTTGCAGAGCGACAACACTATACGACAGACCGGCCTCCATCTTCAGAGAGACGCCATTAAAACTTCAGCACGAGCTCTTCATGAGACTGGCCAAAACATATCCTCAGTTTCAGAATGAAGGGTGAGAAAAACACCACAGAAATATTAAATGTATTTTAATCAGAGTGATAAAAAGGTACTCACAATGCATCGAAGTATATAAATCATGTTCCACTGGTGTGTGTTTCAGGTCTGCAGAGAAAGAGGTTCAAGTGGAGAGGACTGTTTTCTCAGTTTGTGATCTCACTGATGACACAGTGACTTTGAGAGAGGAGCGACCAGTGCTGCTGCTCAGCAGCACCAGCTGGACAGGTGAGAGGACGAGACTGTAAAGGTGGATTTGACACCATCACAAAAACATACGCTCTGAATGTTTAAGTAAGGATTTATTTGTTTGGAATCATGATAAAAAAAACTATGTCTGATTATGTCATGAAGTATCACAAAATGACATATTTCTGTTTGACTACAATCACTTTAAACCACAGTGAGAGAGACTGTCAGATTGAAAGCTAGATGTGGATTTGCTTTTGAAATGTGGACAATCAGAGGCTTGTGACCTGGGGCGATACAGAGCTTCGGAAATTGAATTAACAACAACTTCCACCCTGATATAAATCAAATATTCAGATATATTAATCACATGTTTGCAGTTTTTTTTTCATTATTCTGATGATTATAGCTTTTTTTCCCAAAACACAATCCATTGGTCTCCAATCTTTTATCTGACTGCCTGACTGAAATTTGACATTTTTTCCAATTTGTGTCTGTGCTCATTTTCCACAGAGGATGAGGATTTTTCCATCTTGCTGAAGGCTCTTGAAGGTAGAAAATAGTTTTAAAAATTTGCAGTTTCATCTTTGTTCATGCAGCAGGATTAAGATGAAACCCTGATTCCAAAAGATTTTGGACACTGTCACTTTGGTGGTTTGCAAAATGTGTAATTCCTGCATTTAATTGTAAAAAGTGCAATGATAAAACTCCAAATGTTAAAACTGTAAAAGGTGATTATTTTATAAAAACGTATATGTTCATTTTAAATTTGATAACTTTAGTGTGTGTTTGTGTTTCATTGTCTCTTATCTGCTTTTTCTCAACAGACTATGAGGGTTTTATTAGAGGAGGAGCTTCTTTACCGTCTTTAGTGTGTGTGATCACAGGTAAACATCTGCTGTCCCACCCTCTGAAAACATCTGATTCCAGACGAGCTGCACGTTTTATTCTTTGTGTGTGTTACTCTTTTGATGAGTCTGCCTGTGTGGTGTGTGCAGGTAAAGGTCCTCAGAAGGAACATTACATGAGGCTGATTGACGCTCTAAGTTTAGATCACATAAAGATCTGCACCCCCTGGCTGGAGGCTGAAGACTATCCAGTTTTATTAGGTAAGACTCTCTGTGATGAGAGCTTATTTTCAGCTCTTCTTATAAAAACTATTTTTTTGCAGACTAGGATAACTATTCTACATGTTTTATCCTACAACTGGAGCAGTAACTTGATTAAATCTAAACTTTTAAGGCCGAGGTCCCACTTTTCGGTTAAACATTCATAGCTTAAGGCTGAAAGTCTTATAGAGAATAACAGACATTTATGCTCAGAGTGTCTTTTACCTGAAGTCTTTAAGTGTACACCTCATTGTGTGCGTGTGTGTGTTCAGGTTCAGCAGACCTGGGTGTGTGTCTCCACATGTCATCGAGCGGTCTGGATCTGCCAATGAAAGTGGTCGATATGTTCGGCTGCTGTCTACCTGTCTGTGCCATCAACTTCAACTGGTGAGTTCCGATCAGGGGGTCTGATTCAGATTTATCTACATCAGTGGTTCTCAACTGGTCTCACTCTGGGACCCACATTTTCCCATGGTCCTTAAGCGGTGACCCACTTTCATTGAATTAAAACCAAGCAACTTTATTTTTTTGATAAGAAAACCTTTAAATATTCTAATCTTTAACATAAATCCACTTGTTTTATTGAGTAAAGTGCATTTCAGAGCACACAAAGGGGACAACAGGAGGACGACAACTACTGAAGTTGCATAAACAGAAAATATCAAATTTCTAATAAATATCGTATTAAATATTTACTTTTTTGACAGCTGTTCGTGACCCATCCAGAACGTGTTCGCGACCCGCTTTTGGGTTGGGACCCGCTAGTTGAGAACCACTGAGCTACATCATATAATCAGTTTTATTATTTCTCAGCCTCTCTTGTCCTCAACCTTTTTATTGTTTGGCTGTTCTTCTGTCCATTTGATTACATTTTGTTCTGTTTTTATGTTTAAAATGAAGAAGGACTTTCAAAGCAGAAAATCACATAATTTGCTGCAGACCTTAATTTCACAGTAGAGTATAGGCTGTCAATGTCAAAAGGACACAAAGCTAATCAGACACTCTGGTATTGTCCCAGTTTACATGAGCTGGTGAAGCACGAGGAGAATGGGCTGATCTTCAAAGACTCTCAGGAGCTCGCAGAGCAACTGAAGGTGAGACACACGCACGCACAAACCTGAACAATATGAGCACCAAAACACAGACACAAAAAGACGCATCTAATTAAACTTATCAAGCAGGCTGCAGGATAATCTTTAGGGAGTTTGAACAACACACAGACCATTTGGTCAACATTTAATAGTTTTAGTATACTGTTGATCGGTTTCACCTCTAATGGAACAAAACAGGCTATTTGTGCATTCCCTTTCTGTCACATCATTTATTCATGAACTTGATTGTTGCTTCATGAAGCTAAAAGTCAAAATACTCTGAATAATTATTTGGAAAACTGCAAAACTCTCAGGTAGGCAAATGTATATACTCAGTTCATACACGGTTTCCCCCACATGACTGCAAGTGATGAGCCTGGTCTGACAGTTCAAATGTCAGACTGTAAATTGTTGTAAAAAAGAGGAAAATCTGTGATATTCAGATAAATCTTGCAGATACAGTCCCTACAAAAGACACCTCGATACTCATTTATGATGTGATCATCATGACTACACACACATGTTTCAGCCGACTTCACTGCACATAGCTTTTGATTGATCAACAGCGAAGTGTAGAAGTGGATAAGATGCTGAATCTCTCTATCACTGCTTTTTCTTGTTTTTATTAACTGATTTTTTTGTGTCTTGTTTTGTTTCAGTCTCTTCTGTCAGACTTTCCCAGTTCAGATGGCAGACTGGGCACTTATAGGAGAAACCTTCACACCAGCAGAGGGCAGCGCTGGGACGACAACTGGGACCAGAATGTCCTCCCTCTACTTAAAGCACCCTGATAAACACCAGATTAGGAACTAGAAATAAGATTTTTTTTGAAGACCAAAAGAACTGGGAATTTTTAGTTTTTTACCATCAATGTTTTCAGGATTACTCTGATTTCAGACAAACCAGCTAGAACCGAAAAACGCTGAGAAAAAGAGTAAGAATGAGCAACAGAAATTAGGGACATCAGTTTAATCAGTATTTTGTCGTATGAAGTTAATAGTCTCTTTGGGTTCAGGAAGAAGAATGATGATAATAAAAGTATGTAGATTTTTCAGAGGGTAAAAAATCTTAAGTTGAATTTCTGGCTGTTTCAAAGATGTAAAAAACGAAACCCTGCAGTCAACCTCCAGAGAGACGAACTCTCTGCCTCTTCATTCCTGCTTCACATCACTTCAGTGTAAAAAATGACATTTTTTACTGTGTACATTTGTAAATAAAATCTTTATTATGTTAAATCTGTGTCACATGTGCAGCTGAATCAGTTCAATATCGGAATCTCTATTATAAGGAAAAACATGGCGGATGGGCTCTGTGATCACACGATGGCTGATTCTTGCAGCTTCTGCAGAGACAAAAGCAATGAAAGCAAGTCACTACGAGCTGAAAACATCTGAATAAAACCCTTCACTCTCAAAAAAGTAAAAATATGTTATGAAAGAGGTTTTTTTTCACCTTTGTACACCATAATTAAGATCATGAGTCTAAAATATCAAGAATCCTCAATAAAGCTGGATATGAACAAGTTTTTCTCCCTGATTTTTATGCAGTCAGACTCGAATATCTAAAAAATTCTCACCTAGCTGCTGCTTGAAGCTGCTGTACGTCTTCGGGTTTCTGATGGTGGAACAGATGAGGACCTCATGGAGAACTGAACACCTGAGGATTTTTGAGAGCAGCTTCACCAGCGCCTCCACAACATCAGGGTCGTACACCACATCTGAACCAGGAGGAGCAGTGTTCAATCATTTTTCAGTGAGTGAATTCAATTTTTTTCTTTTTTGTTTCCTGTGTTTTAGTGCTAGCTGTAAATCACATTTGTTTCAGGATGATAAACCTCAACTTGAATTCTGACCACCAACCTGCAGCGATGACGACGTCAGCCCTGAGCTGTTTTATCTCCTCTTCTGTCACCGCCATCCAGTCAAGCTCCTCCACACTGACCACAGGAGCTGTTTGCTCCATCAGACCGTTCAGCTCTACATTTTTTCGCAGTTTCTGCAGCACGCTTGGGTGACAGTCACTGAAGATGAATCTGCTCGGGCTGCAGGATCTACAGATGGTGATACCAGTCAAACCAACACCGCTGCCGAGCTCCAGAACTGTCCTTGAAACACGCCCAGAAGAAGAGAGGTTCAAGATTTGATACAGCATTGCCATTTCAGCGCAGTCAATTGGGACTTTGTTTTAGTGAGAAAACAAATAAAAACTAATATATCATAACAATAGCTTATGAAGAAAATGCACAGGTGAGTAAAACATTATGTTACAGCCACATGATTAAACCTACAAATTGTCTAATGTGTAAAATCCACAGTGTTTAGGAGACAGGCGGCTCTTGATTTGTGTTGTTTTGAAATCTGATCGCTCTTGTCTCGATGCCTGCTAAAAGATGGAGTCCTAAAAACTACAGATGCTCGTCTCCTAAGTTACAGGACTGTTTCAGGGTTAGATACCTGCCAGTGAAGACATGCTGGTGATCCAGAGCCCACTCTGCCAGGTAAAGAGCAGCTTCCCAGGTCACCAGTCCGGTGGTTCCCTCTGAGATGAAAGCTACATTTTCCAAGAGGCTGACAGCATCACCGCCAGGCTGCATGAGTAAAACGACACTTACATCAAGGTATCAGGATGGACATGGTTGAAATCTGGTGTTATGTCTTTTTTTTAATATGAAAACAAGTTAAAGCTTTTTGTTAGCTGTGGTGTTAAATCCTGCAGGAGTTTTAAAAGACCTAAAACCAACACTGCATAGAGTTAGGTTGTATTACAGTGAAAGGTGAGTGTTTTATACCAGTATGTAGCTCTTGTAACACTCTGTTGTCTCTTCAGTGCCCACCACCTTAGACAGAGCGTCATACAGCTCGTCCAGAGGATCACAGCCTGCGGCCTCCTGCTGCTCAGAGAAATGACAGGAGAGAAAATATAACTCAGGGAAAGATCTAACTTTAGTGGTCACAGTTTGAGTTATGAAACCTTAAGAAAAGAAAGATTGTCACTTGATTTTCTGCAAGAACTGATGATAAATCTCTTTAACCATGATGGTTCTCAGACTTCTCTTCTTCCTTCATTCTTATTAAACTCCTTCATTTAAAACCAGGAAACACTTCCAACATAAGTTATAACTCTACAACTGCCTTATGAACCCAGGAAGGGAGATCACTGACCCGTTTGATGAGCTCAGAGAGAAACAACCTCCTGAATCTGGTAGATGGAGGGAACTTCTGACACAAAGGGTGTAGACACGTCTGTTGAAGACAGGAAAATACATTGATGTTGATTTGATCAAAACTCAATTGTTAAACGTATACAACACAATAAAAGGTGTATGGACAGGTCCTCTTACCTGTTTTAGGATATCTAAAATCAAATCTGATGATGTGTTTTTTTCGAGGTCCTTTTCTAAAAACTGAAAAAGAGAATGACAAACAGGTCTCAAACTTATTAATCTCAATACAGAAGAGCAAGTGGATAATATTTAAGCCGATTGATGCATAAAAGTCCCAAAACTGAGAAGGTAGTATCACTTGCTCTCTGACTATCTGTACATTCTATAAGAAGACTCGAAATGACAGATTAATACTCATTTGAAAGGGGTTTGGTGTGATGTTACCACCAGGAGCTGTGTAACAAAGACAGATTTAAACTTTTTTAAAATTAGTCATACTCACTGTCCAGGGAAATGAAACCAGACGATTCATGGCGAAAAAAGACGTCTTAAAGTTCCCTAAAATATCCGTACGGTAATCTTCTTTTCTGTCCATCTTCAACGTGCTTCTGTTTACTATACTATTACCCATAGAGCATTGCGGTTCTCTTTCGCAAGACCTACTGGGTACTGTAGTTCATTCTTTAAAATCCACATAATCCAAACCATGGACTGTTTATGAACCAAACAGACTTTACCTCTTAAACCCGCACCACGGAATCGGTTAATAAATTCGTGGATGTGTAAACGCCATAAGGAACCTTTGTGCGCGTCTACAATGTGATTGGCTACACTAATAGATCCACAGGTGGAGTACAACAAATCATCCATAAAGGTTAATACTTATTTTAACCGGTACATAAAAATAAGAAATGGAGAAGTGAATAAAACGCTAAATGAAAATAAATGCAAAAAAATATAAAATACAAGCATAACAAACATGAAGTAAAAATGTCTTTATGTCAGTGTATCAATCAAATAATTTTGGCTTTGTGACCAAAATTTGTAGTGAGCTGCAACCATCAAATCACAAAAAAAAAGAAAACTACAGAGTTTTCCTAAACAAGAAAAAGTTAGGCTTTTATCATTCATTTCAATTCTTTGGTGTATGGGTTTTTTTCCCGCTCTTGCTGAGTCTCTGCAGGAGGAGATAAATATCTTGACAGTTGGACCAACACCTCATTGAACCTCAGCTCTGAAAACAGGCACAGAGGCACGAACTGGTGAGTCAAAATGCTTATTCTTATTCTCATTTTTACTCTTGTTGTTGTTGATGTGGAGCTTTAGTTGCGGGTTTACTTGTGGGAGAATTTTGTGTGTTCATGTGGAATGGCTAGTTGGAAGTGCATGGCATTAATTTTTCAAAATGAAAAGAGAAATTGAAATAAAATATCAAGGCTTGCACATATCGCACATGTAGTAGATGTCAGGGATATTTATATATGTGATGTGACTAAACTCTGATGAAGTTTTAACGTCAGACTTTTACATAATGACAAAACCGACTGCCTTTTCTATCTGTTTGCTCTTCTTCTTGTTTTCTTAAAACTTGTGTTCTTAATAAGAATTTAGTCGAATTTAGTCGAATTTGTCTTTTTTTGTTTGCCAAAACCTGCATTTTTGTGAATTTTGGGACAGATGAGGTCGACAGGTGACCCTGATGTTTACTCCCCCCGATGGCCATATTGCGGAACTGCAAGGCAACTTTTTCACGATGCGGAAAAAAAAAAAACACCGTTACACCGTTCCACCGTTACTTGTAATTGCGCGAAGAAATAATTTTTTTAAAGTTTTCTCTAAAATAAATTTAGGGACTGTGTTTTTCAGACTTGTCACATATGTTTAATGACATTTACGGAGATTAAAAAAAGCAAACAGGAGTAACGTGACCGGAACTTAAACCAACTTATGTTTCTCTCCGGAACAGCTCAGAAGGACTGTCAACAACAAACATGGCGCCGCTCATCGCTTAGCTTGACCTGTATCGACGAGATAAATGAAAAGAAAAAGCTTGTTTTGAATTTACGGCAAGTAAGTTGATCTCGTGTTTTTTTTCTTACGTGAAGCATTTGCCAATCATAGCGTTTTTCAGTCTTGATTATGTTTTAGTTTTAAACAAGTAATTTGGTTTGAGTTTGATCAATTGAAGGAGAGGGTGAGTCATATGTTCAAAAATGAATATTTCAGCTCATTCAGAGAGTTGACCAGCTTCGACTTGTTTAAGTGCAAATGTTTAGTCTTCCTTTGTCTTCTTGTAAGATGCTCTTTTGCAGATTGTTCGCTATCGGTGCAGCTAACCTACTTTTCAGTGCAGTCTCCAACATCAATGACTTCCTGCCCCGGGCCTTCATGTTGCCATAACAACACACTGCAGACTCAATATATGAAGGACATTAAAGGAGGTCAACCCACTATCCCACGAGGCTAGCTTCATTCCATTTGTTCGCTAATACATGTATATCATATTAATATAAACACAACTACACCCGGAGATATTATTCCATACTAGAAGAGCTACTCGTTTTATTAAAAAACTGATGCAATTTTGGATTCAGCAAACATCAGGTACAGTCTATTCTGCTATAGATACCTTTTGTGGCGTGTGTAACAGTTTGGGATGATTGTCAAAGGTGGGGCTGACCTTGATTAACAGTTGCTCTTTATTTTACCTGACGTGGAGCTTATTTTTGAATGCAACAAAAAACAATTATATATCCCCTCTCAACCTATAGAGGATATACAGAGTGCAACCCCAGATGTAAGTAGTGGGGGCACTTCCAAAATACCACTAAAAGCATATTTAAATGGTTCACAAATAATTCAAAGCCTTTATTTAATTGAAAATAGTAAGATAAGATATGAAGATTGAAATTGAAAAATTCTGTTGTTTTACAAAAATGTATGCTCATTTTAAATTTGATGCCAGCAACAAATATTTAAAAAGTTTGTGCATGGGTATGTTTGCCATAGCTTTGCATCACCTCTTCTTCAACAACAGTCTATAAAAGTTAAATAATGTCAATGATTGCTCCAGATTTTCTGGATCATTTCTGACATTCAACATTATTGAAAGAGCTGAACCATTTCATCATCCAGTCTCTCAAATTGCATCACACCTTTGTAATGCAATTTTTCACTCAAAAAAGTTACAAACCTGTTGCGAATTAACCACATTAGTTTAAAGATGTTCCTTCAGGGCTTTTTTAAGCACTAAACAGCTTCTTTTTTGTTTTGTTCTACTTACCTCAACTGCTCTGAGATATGTTGCTGGCATTAACTTGAAAACGAGTGTTTACAATGAAATGTAGGCTTCAAATGATGTGCAAATGATCAAGTTCTGTTTTGATAACACTTGACAGTGTATGGATTTATTACAGATTTATATCTTCAGTAAGAAGTGATGGAGTTGTGGCTAAGAGCCAAAGCCAAAATGTTAGTCAGTAATGAGAGACAGACTGACAGATTCTGGCTTAAATTCAGATAAAAAGATTCATATCATGAGCTGCCTCTTTACTCTGTCCAGCAGACTTGGAAATCAATTTACCTGGTCATTTCTTTGTCTCCTTATCAGATCATTGGAGCACCTAGTGGCTGAACACTGAGCAGCGGCGAAGTCATGGTACTGAAGATCTTCTTCCCACAGTGCTGTAACCGGGCAGACAGTGGGCTTCTGGTCGGCCGCTGGATCTCTGGTCATGACTCCGCTGTGGTGTTGGCTGTAATCCACTACCCGTTTATCCCCGGGCAAGTCAAACAGTACATCCAGCAGGTGGGTGCAGCACAGAACACACCTCTGTGCTTTCTATTGGAGTGGATCGCTCAAATTAGACTCAGATAAGATTTTTAGAAACAAAAGCTCCTTGGGATCATTTCAAAATTCAAAACGCAGCTTTAATACAGTTTATGCTGTTTGGAAGGTACTTCAAGTAAGTGGTTGACCAAAACCAGACTTCAGCAGCTCATGCCAATAATTGGAGAGCAGGTTGACTGATTGCATTTGTAAGAGTCCTGTGTTTTTTTGTGTTCCATGAAATTAAATCAGGAACAAATGAGAAAAAAGTCCTGAACTAGAATGGTTAATTTGTTATTATTGACCTTCCCCTGTGTTTACTCAGTAAAATATTGCCAAAAGAGATTTCTGGATTTCTCCCGATTGTGACCTTTATCTCAAGTTACTCTAGTCCAAGCACATAATAACTGAAAGTGACATTTTATCTTGCTGAACTTAGTGAACATGTTTTGTTGTTGTATAGAAATTTTAACTCTTCTTCATCCTTGTTTCCTCTAGATGCAGGCTCAGAGTGGAGTGGAGCTTTCAGTGCTGGGCTCATGGAGTTTACCCAAGGAGGGTCAAGAGGGGATGGAGAGCTTCCTCAGGGACCTCAGCACCATCTTCCCTCAGGAACGCTGGCTTCAGATCAAGCGGCAGATGGGCAAAACAGGCTTCACCTGTGAGATCCTCAACAGAGACCAGAGTAAGAGCCTCAGACATCTATTCACCTGGTTTGAAGCTCTTCAGTTTTGAATAGACACAGACATTATATTTGATATTAAATTGTCATCTTTAGCTGTAGTTGAAATTTTGAAATATGAAACATCGTTTAGTTTATTATCTGTTTGGAATACTTCATACACCCCAGGAGAAATTTCTGAGAGAAAAGCAGGATTTTAAAAAGAATCTATCTTTGTGACCAGGTGGAAAAGCGGCTCAGCAGGACTCTATAAAGAAAAAGAAGAAGGTGAAGATTGAAGAAGATTATCAGCATGATGACAGTGATAACAAAAAACAGCAGGAGAAGAAGAAGGAGAAGATTGAAGAAGATGATCAGCATGATGACAGTGATAACAAAAAAAAGCAGGAGAAGAAGAAGGAGGAGGAGGAAGGGGAAGAGGAGGAGAAGGTGATCTTTGTCCACTACGAACAGAGGAAAGTGATGCTGTCGCAGCTTCACCCGATCGAAAATGGAGTTCCAGACCCCAAAACAGAGCCACCGTCTGAGCTGAGACAGGTAGGAGACAGAGGTGACAAGGAGAAAAGTCACAGAGCTGTTTAGTTTCAGTTTAGTTTCTCTGAGCTGCCTTTATAATGACAGTTCACAAACAGATGCTGTAAACTTAGGCTTGAAGAGGGATTGTTTGTTTGAGAGCCTCTTGGTAAAGTGTGTGTGCAGGTGTAAACAGGTGGTCATGCTTGTTCTCAAGATTCTTCCTCCTTTCTGGTTCAGGTGTTTCAGACAGTGGCCCGTAGCCAGCCGCTGTTCTTCCTGGACAGGTATGACGATGGGCCGCTGAAGTCCACACACTGGCAGTCTGAAGGCAGAGAGGCCAGCATCATCATGGAGCTGCTCAAACAGGCCTCTGTGCCGCTCTGCCTGCTCATCAGCTGGCTGCTCTCTGTATGGACCTGGATCTGCAACGTGAGGTGAGAAGAGGAAGCTTCAGGTTTTTCTCGCAGGAAAACTTTCCTGATCGTCATAAACATTTAAGTAATACAAACTGTGTTCTGTCTCCAGGATCTTCAGTCTGTACCCGCTCCGATTCCTGTCCAGTAAGCTGTCTACCTGTGTCCAGCTCAGCTACAGAACTGAACACCTGAGGACGCTAAGTTCAGCAAAACCAGCAACAGGACACACAGAGTTCATGAGGTGATTGTTAGAGAAATCAGCAGACAAACTGTTGGATGTTCTGGACTTTCCTTGCTCTTGTGTTCTCTGTTTGGAGTTTTCATGTTTGTCTGTTCGCAGGAAATCAAACATCTTGGTGTCATTCCTGATCGATGTGGCTCTCGGCTTGTTGCTCATCTCGTGGCTCTACAGAGATGACCACATCCGCATGTTAGCCAACACACTGGTGCCTGCAGCTGATGTAAGTGTATTACATCAGCTGAGATCCAAAACTAACAGTCATTTAACCCTTGTAGACAGATTGTAATTGTTCTATTAAAACTATCTGATATTCTAGCATATAGTTACTCTGTTTTAAGACTGATTCTGGTTGGTCTTTTTTCACATTTTATGTCCCCCTCTCTTTCTTATTTGGTTGGTTTAAAGAAACCTGAAAGCATTTTCTGTGGCCTCTGATTTACCTCCTCTGATTTGATTCTTCCTCAGCATGTAGCGAAGGAGCTGGAGGAGCTGCTGCAGTGGCTGATGGGGGCTCCTGCGGGGCTGAAGATGAACCGGGCCCTGGACCAGGTCCTGGGTCGTTTCTTTCTGTATCACATCCACCTCTGGATTAGTGAGTCACAGCACAAACACACTCAGCACTTTGGGTTTTACTGATATTTTCTCAAACGTGTATCTTAAAATGATCAAGCCAAAATAAAAAATGCAGAAAACATAAAAAAGAAAAACACGAGTCAGACATCTTGTTTCCATGCAGGCTATATCCATCTCATGTCACCCTTCATCGAGGGGATCCTGTGGTACGGTGGCCTCTCAGCTTGCCTAGGCCTGACCTTTGCTCTCTCGCTGCTCTCTGACATGGTCGCTCTGCTCACCTTCCACATCTACTGCTTCTACGTCTACGGAGCCAGGTCAGACATCACATGCTTTAAAGACAGAAAAGATGTCCTTTTTTATTTGTCTTAATAATAGATGTTCGCCTGATTTCTTGATCTATTATGTTTCAATATAAAACCCGACTCACAGAAGTGACCGGTTTACTTTCTTATTGATTTGGCCAGACAGATTGTGTTCTTCATGGAGTCAAGGATGATCCACGTTACAATTCCTCCTCTCCTAAATTAAAAATTGGTATTTTCACTGTGCTGTGTGCTTATGGATTGCAACACAACCTACATGGATAACCCAGTATTCATAAATTAATTACAGTATTCTCTAGTGAATAGATTTGGACTTGAATTATCCTTCATTTTTGTGCACAGTGTGTTCATTGCATTAAGTGTGTCTCCACATGTTGGGATGATGAGATTGAGAGACAGCAGAGAAATATTGAATCAGTTAAGCAGATGGTTTGTTACTCTACATGGCCCTAAATGTGGCCCAACACACATGAGTGCACACATTCTCAAACCAGTGCAGAGCATTTTGGCCACAAAGATCAAACAGACTGGTCAATCCCGGCTAACACAGGGATTGACCAGCCACTCTCTTGCACCATGAAAAGTTTCACCAGTGGAGTTTGGTGGCTTTGAAGAGATAAATGTTGCATCTATTTCCAGATTTAAAAAATCTCTCTTTTTAAATACTATTATTATGTTTTTGTTTAGCCAATCTAATGAACATTTGTGCTTTTAAAACTTTAACCATGATAGTCAGATTGAACTCCAGGTGCACACACCTCCTGTGTTTTATTTGAAACCAGGACTCATGGTCTCTGCTGAAGCCTGAAAGCTGTGATAACAGTCTTGATCATTGGAGGAGAGAGGATTGACTAAATTATGCATTTGCTCTAAAGATAGCTTAGCTCGCTCGCCTGTGGTGTATAATGAAATATTACCCACTCTTCTGGTTACATATTTATGCTCTAACAGCTTTTTGGAACACGTCTGATGTGTGGTTAAAACCTTTGTCAGGGTAAGTCATTAAATCTGTATGATGTGGCCTAAATATAAATCTCCTGATCAGACCACAGCTCGGTTTAAACAGAGGAGAAGTGATGTGGAAAAGCTTCACTTCAGAGTGAGATGGAGGAAGATGATCTGGCTCTCTCTGCAGGCTGGAAACGATTAAGACTAGAGGAATTTAAGACAGATAAAGACTCAAAGTTTAAGAGGGAGTTAGACTATATCAAGATTAAGACCTGGACGTGGTGAAAAGTTGACTATGAACTGGTTTTTGACCACTTTCTTTAATAAACCCTTGAACTTTTCTATCCTGCTTTCTAATAACACATTCTTCTGTCACTCAGTCTCTCTCCTCCTCTTATTCATCTGGTATGGTTTTTGTCCCCCTGACTGTCTGTCTGTGTGTCTGTCAGGCTATACTGTCTGAAGATCTATGGCCTCTCGTCTCTTTGGAGGCTCTTCAGAGGGAAGAAGTGGAACGTCCTGCGGCAAAGAGTGGACTCCTGCTCTTACGATCTGGACCAGGTCACACACACACACACACACACACACACACACACACACACACACACACACACACACACACACACACACACACACACACACACAAACACACACACACACACACACACACACACAAACAAAACCATATTGAAGTGTTCATCTGAGAGATGCTGATGTTTACTGTGTGTGTTTGTGATACTTCAGCTCTTCATTGGGACTCTGCTGTTCACCATCCTGCTGTTTCTGCTGCCCACCACAGCACTCTACTACCTGGTCTTCACTCTGGTAAGACAAGACACCATCATGTGTGCAAAATTAAGCTATGACAATAGATACAAAGCCAATTACCAACACAGCTGTAAAGGATGATCTGTATCACTCAAGGTAATGAAAATGGCATGATTCTTCTGTCAAAGTAATAAATAGGCTGATTTATGACTGAAAAACATGGTGCAAGTAGAAAATAAAATAGTAGATTGAGTTTGATCCAAAAATCTTCTGAAAAGAATATCATATTTTGATTCGTCCTGCTACAGACAGTTTAGCATACCTTCATTTGTGGATGCAAAAATAAAGTGTGTTCTAAGACGGTGGTGTTTGGATGCTATTTTCAGTCCATGCAGTGATTTGCACTACAGAATCACGCCTCCAATTACTCAAAGTAATCAAGCAACATGCACAAACAGTTTTTTTTCTTTCTCTTTAATTTTTTGTATTGATTTACAAACCTGAAAAAATAGCCATTTGTATATTTGTGTGTTATGCAGTTGCGTTTGGGGGTGGTGCTGTTCCAGGGCATCCTCCACCTCAGTGTGGACTTCATCAACTCTTTCCCTCTGTTTGCCATGGGCCTTCGCATCTGTCGCTCCTACAGACTGGGAGGTATATCACATTTTCACATTGTCCATCATACTATATTTGTCCAGCAGATGTCATTTAAAGTCACTTTAAAGCAAAGGAGGTCTTCGACAATCTCTTTTTGTTTACAATGCATCAAGTTGCACAGGGAAGTAAACGTCTTATAAATTGATTGTTCAAGCTAAAGTTCTCCTCAGAGATAATTAATCAAATCTAATCCAATAGAAAAGTTTAAGAATAAATACATGTTTTATTATTTCATGCTCTTGTTATAATGTTGCAGACAAATCAAGCAACTTGCACTTCAAATCGTACAGTAATAAAAGTGCCAACACTATTGTGGGATGAACTCTGAACTCAGTCAGGTGTAGAGTTTTTGATGATCAGTGTGTTTTATCTTTTTCAGAGGGAGTAAAGTTCAGGGTTCTCTGTGAGGAGCCGGGGACAGCTCTTCACCTGCTGATGGAGGTATTTTTTATCTTTTATTCTGATTTATTTGTGCAAAGAAAAAGATCAGAACAAGACAGACAAAGACATCTGCATAAAAAGTGACGGTGGAATGAAAGAAACCCCTATGGGTTTTTAAAGAGAACCAACAAGAACAAAAAAGGCAATGACATTTAAGTTAAGAGGTTGTGTGAATCAGGTGTCTTCCTCAGACTAAACAGAGTACACGGAGGAAGACCCTTGCTGTGTAAAAACATCAGAATGTTTACACCACATTAAAATTGCAAAGTTGACCTTCTGCTTCAGCATTTCTTCCTTTTTTGCTGTGATTTTCTGTCGCTATTCTGAGACACACTGGTTTGTTATTCTTTGTCTGTTGAAACGCAAACATCACCCCTTTTGTTTTGTTCAGTTTACCGGGCTGGAGAAAATTTCACTTATTCCATAATCAGAAGAAAATACCACTTGTTTTCTTGAGCTGTCATGATGTCCTTTCGTGTCTTTTTCTGTTAGGGTTAGTCAATAATCATTGTAGGGAGCGTTAATTTTTTCCCTTTTGAGACAGTAAGTGAAGCATAACCCTCCAGGTTATTTTTTTTTCATTAAAAGTGTTCAGTATTGAGAGTATTCTTTCTTCAGCTGTCCTATCAAATTAAGGCAAAAAATGACACAAAATATGACGTTAAAACAAAGTTTTTGCTTTGTAAATTGGAATCAAGTGACTAAATAATTGTGTAGATGACTCTGTTTTTTTAGAATATTATGATTGACCTGTCTGATGAACACCATACCCTCCTTCGATAAAAACATAACTTCACAGAGATTTTTTTAGCTCCACTGATGCAGCATGAAGTTTGTGCAACTTTTTTTGAGATTCATTTATGGAGATAAGAAAGTTTTTCTGAGGATAAACGAGTGTAACACCTGGATGCACCTGAGGGATTTCAGACATCATACCTAATTTGAATCATCATGAAGTATTAAACTTGCACGAACTGCATGACGTGGAAACCTGAAGCTTCAAAAACACTGAGAAAAGACTGACTGGACTGAGTTAACTTTAATTTCAAAAACACAACATGCACAAGATAAGATAGGTTTTAAGTAGAACATGCGTTTTTGTTTCAAGTAATGTCAGGAAAAGAGCTCAAATATTCTTCTAATTAACATTTGTGAAATAATTCTTTAATCTCTTAGTTTTATGTTGTTTATTTATTGTGCAAAGGAATCAGATCAAATTGAAACCAAACATATATAGTTGAATAAAACAGGACAGAACTGAAAGAGGAAAAAGCTGCCTGTCTGTTGTACTTGCAGAAACTTAAATGGACAATAATGGGATACTTCTCTATCGTTATTATAAAAATAGTCATTTAATTCATGTCTTTTTCAGTACTTGCTTTCTTACTTGTACGTTTCCCTCCACAGATTAACCCTCTGAAGTGCAGCACTGTGGTCCAGACGTACCGCACCCCAACTTACAGCTGCTACCCTAAAGACTCGTGGGCCGCTCTGATCAAGAAACTGTTTGTTGGGGAGCTGATTTACCCCTGGAGACACAAAAGCACCAAGACAGACTGAGAGACATCAGCTGGTGAGGAGTGACAAAAACAGAGAAAAAGGAGACATGAGGCAACAGAGGAAAGGGAAGTGACTGAATAAATAATGAGGAGGAGACAGACAGAAAAAGGGGGACAAGGGCAGCCAGGGTGAGCAAAACCTTTAGGTAACACTGTGTCTATGTTAGATGAACGAGAGAAAGTGTGTTTTTAACAACACTAAAGCTGCTGAGTCATGTTTTCTGATCAGAGTGCACAAGAGAAACAGAGTGAGTCAGAGTTTTCAAGCTCAATGAACACAATAACGTCATCTACAAATATGAAAACCAGCAAATAGTCACGTCTCACAGTTGTTACAAGAGCTGTGATCCACTTAATCACCTGATAAGGCCGTGCTCTTCTGGGGAGTTTTTAGCTGGCTTGGAAATACACTGACATGAGTACTGATGCCTTTATATGACCTACAAAAGTAAAAGACTTTGAGACTATGAGACCAGTCTTCTGTATAGTCATTATGACAGTGAAGACTGCATTTCCCATGAGCACCTTCATTTACCATCGTAAAGACATGTCTAATGCTAAAGCGAACAAGCAAATAATTGAATTAGGCTGTTCTTTGAAATACTACTTTGCAGAATGCAGAGTGATGGAGTAATTTATAGCTGTGTCAAATAATTCTCTTAAATTTAACATCGATTTAATGTCATAAAATCTGATTTATTTCTGTTTAGCTTGCAACTATGGCCAGTTATATCAGTTTAATGTTACCTATCACTACATCAGTGAAATGATGCATGCTCAGGTGTTGCAGTAGATGTCTGAATAACTTAAATATGCCCACAGTTTAACTCTGTCACCTCTGGAAGAGCAGTGAAGCATATTAGCATTAAATCCTGTTCTAACAAAGCTGTGGTTGTAGAGTTTCTTAGTCTGGAATAATACTTCAACAGAAAACATGTATTTTTGGTAATCCTGCACCAATATCAGCCCTGAGGACAATAAGATTAAGTAAATAGAAAATACTCCAGAGAAAACACAACTCCTGAGCTTTCTTACAAACATTTCACTGCGAAACTCCACCTGCAGAGCCCGAACAAGCCAAATAAGGCATTAAATCAAGTATAAAGAAAAAAAATGACAGCTTCAGCCTCTGATAATTTCATTTTACTTTATAGGTCATGAGCAGGCATCAGAACAAGTTATTTCAAGTTCAGTTTAAAACCTTACAGTGACTTTAAGACTCTAATGTTTCTAGAAAGAAAACAACAAATAAGGACCAAACTACTTCTCTCATGTTAATTTCAATAAGAATAAACCCATTTAAACACAAGATTAAAAACTGGGGAAACCCCTGCTGTAAGACAAGTCATAAAATCAGTGAACACTGAATGTATGAAGTGAAAATTCAAGATAAGAAGTCTCAACACAAAGTACATAATTATTTTTTAACAAAAAGCTCAGAGCAAGATTAATAAAAAACTGCACTGACCACATGAATAGTTGTAACCTATAGATGTCATACTATTATTTAATATTAGCAGGACTCTACTTGAAATGATGCTAACTGGACTTCTAGATTTTCTTTATATGTAGTACAACTTTTTTTAAATCTATTAATGAAATGATTATTGTGTTATCTTATGTTCAATTGTTGCCATGTTTTCCTTCATACACTGGAGATATCTGCCTCTAGTAGTCTGTTACAGAGAAAAAATCAACAGTTCTGCTTTTCTGTTGAATTCATTAGTCTTTTTTGTGCCTCTTTTTGACTTTTTCAATCAAATGATGCCCTGTAATTCTTTACTTTAATCTTTGTTCCCCCCACTCTGAGCCTTTGTGCAAAGTCTTAAACACTTTGTGACCAATCTCTGTATTTGACAAAATAAGAAACTGTGATTATATTTCTTACTTCTTTGTTGTAAATTTACACCTAAATCTTTTCTCCAAACCCTGTAGCACCCTGAAAATCAGATTTACATTTCTAGACCTGTAAATTTTTCAACCTATTTTGTTAACTTTTTATTTATCATGTATCTGTCCTAAATGTTAAGATGTCATATAATAAAATTCTTACATATTTTAAGTATGTGTGTCTCTGTTTTTTCAAGTGATCCAGTTGTATTGGTTTAAGTGAAGGAGAAATTATATGAGTCTTACAACATCTGTCTTTATAAAGCACTTTTCATATGACAGGAAATGCAGTATAAAGTGCTTGACATGATTTAATGTCAGGAAATGACACATGTTGAAGCCGCAACCCTATGAGTGTCTTTGTGAGATATATAGTTTTTTACACCCACTAAACAGCAGTATGCATGCTTGCTTATATCTGTTGTTACACTTCAACTTCAGACTGTCCATTAGAGTTTTTCTGCAGCTGAGTCAATGTGTGACAGGATTCAATGCCACTTTTTGTTTGCAACCCCGGTGTTTTCTACCTTTACCCTGAAGTGTGTATTCAGAAATGACTGTTGAAGTGGGTCCATCATGATTTTTTAACATAAGTTCCTTATCTTCTATTCTCAGCATTTTCTGTCTTCAGTTGTCCTTTCACATAAAATTCAAAATGCAGGAATAACAACATCAAAATTAAATATGAATGACTTATTCAAGGATACATTTCATGACTACGAACTGTGACTCTGAAGAGCTCTATATTTCTGCAACCCAATTAAAATGCACGTCACAGAGGCCTTGAAAGAAGACATAATGATATATTTTCTAAGCTGTTACCAGGCTAAATGGGCTTCACTCATCGTGTTATCCTTCAATGTCAAACTGATACTGTCCATATAAATCTGTATGCTTCATTCACAACGTGAGTAGGTGTTCATCCTCAGCGGGTTGTTCCAGCACAGCTTAAGAGAGATGAGTCATGAATAGATTAGGCACATTTATAGCATCAAATACACACTCATCCTGCTACTGTACTTCATAACGGTACTAAATATTTCAGCGTGCTGTTTTATAAGGAACCCCCTCAAGTCCAAAATGATACATTTTTACACAAGGAGGAAAACTTGTGGTTCTTATCTGTCGTTTTTAGTTACTTTCTAATGCACACAAGAAAATAACCTGTGATTACAAAATAACTATCTTATCAATACGATTTCCTTGTGCGCAAAAGTTAGTGTCTTGTTTGTACACATGGAAAAAATATTGTGCATACGGGATCATTATTTTCAACCCCCAGCATAACTATAATATAAATATTGACTTGCAAGCATAACATAATTTGTGATATAATCATGACAAAATTATGTCATTTATGCACACTCACTAATCCCCGCAATCACAAGATAGTAATCCATGAGCCTGAGATATTATCTGGTTCGCATAAGATAATGGCTTGAGGAATATAGAGAGATAGGGGGGGAGAGGGAGAGAGAGAGAGAGAACAAGATAGAGGGGAAGAGAGAGAGAGAGAATGAGTAAGGTAGAGGGAGGGAGAAAGGGACAGGGGTCAGCAGCAACATTAAAACAACAGCAACAACAACAACAGCTCATGTGATGGTGAAACATGAATTCAGTTTACAGGGTTAGGTACAGGTACAGGGAGTAATTATGGACTATGTTAAATTAATTTAATGTGATTACAGTCCGCAGGCCTAATAGTAGTTATCTCTAGTTTGATGTTATTAATGTCAGTGAGGCAAATAAAGAGCTTTTCTTGCTAATAAGGCACACTTGACCCTTTCTGAGTACTGCATTTTGATTTTACTTCAGGACCTTTGTGTCACATTTGATTATTAAAAACAATAAAATTTCAAAGCTTTGGTTTAACCATGTTTTCCTCACGTGATAGGATGTCTTTGCCATTGTTCTGAATGTATTCAGTGAGAAATGAATCACCTTTGTTATCCACATTCCCCTTACCATCTGCGTGTTGTTGACAACAGCGTATGATAGACGTTCTCTTCAGCCAATGATTGGCATTTTGTAAGTCACAGAAGGAGTTTTGACCAATCACTGAGCTGAAAGGCGGAGCATTTACCCAGAGGGCGGGAATAGAGAGAAGAGAGACAGTAGCGCGCTGTAGCCAACAGCCGATCTGTCAGCAGTAGCAGCGTATTCAGTATTGTGCGGCGTAGAGGAGCCACAGCTGTGACTATAATTGGATATAATGGAGAAAAATGGAAAGCTCAGCAGTTGAGATCACTGACCACATCTTCAGAGATTTGGACTGGACGTAAAAGTACAGCTGCAGATACCGTTTTTCATGGATATAACGCAGTGAAGTTCCGATGATCTTTGTTACCGGACTGAAGGAAGACCAGGGGGCCTGAAATTACACGGACGAACGTTGAAGTTGAGGCACAGGAGGCGCTAGCTAAGTTAGCATTAAGCTTGCTGTGAAGTCTTTTTTAAACCCATTGGGAGGTACGCCTGCAAAAACCTACAAAAAATTATATCTGTCTGTGGTTGACACGACGCATTACCACTGACACTGTCTTTAAATATATGTCGCGGCAGTTATCGTTAGCACAAGCTAGGCTAGGCTAGCTTGTTGTTTCCCTGCTAATTCAGCCAACAAGCGTCTTTTGATTGGGAACAAAAACGCATTCAGCTTTGGTAATTTACCCGCTACAAAAAGCATCTCAGCCCAAATTTATGCTCGGGAAATACTTAGAAATTACCCACCTGGGTTATCATAACATTATAGCAGTTAATAAGCATGTTCTTCTTCCCAACGTAGACTTTTGGTGGAGTCATCCCATCTGGATACAGGCTATTTTACACTTTAAATGCCTTTTTTCCTAAACAGTTTCTTATCTGTCACTAAAGATAGACTGAACTAAAACCTCATTCTGTTTGCGGTTGCACTTATTCACAAACTGCCAGTGTTTGATTTTAAAATTAGTACTGATTTATTACAGAAGATTTTCCTCCACACTAAGCACTAATTGAGACCTAATTATGATTTTTAGGGGATCTTCTGTTTTGGCAATAAGTTAAATTTGCTCTTCACAGCATTTGAGAATTATTGTGTTTGAAGCAAAGATACTATTTTTCATTTTTTGCCTTTCTTTTAGTTTAAATGTTATCACAATATTGGTGGATTGTCAAAGTTTCTAGGCAAACAAGGACAGAATCCTAGTGGACCTTCATTCAAGCAAGTTCAAGACATATCAAACATCACTCTTGGTTGGCTGAAGCTGGATACCCATCCTTGTGTCTTGAAAGAAGTTTACAGCCCCTCATCTTCAGCCTCTTCTGCCCCCTGGGCTCAGATGTGAGACAGGATGGGCAGCCAGGGCAGCCCGGTGAAAAGCTACGACTACCTGCTCAAGTTTCTCCTGGTTGGAGACAGCGACGTGGGCAAAGGAGAGATCCTGGACAGCCTGCAGGATGGATCAGCAGAGTCTCCTTATGCTTACAGTAGTGGTGAGTCACTCTCTTCTCAGCTGATTGTGGATCAGTTGGCTCTGTTTTTGCCCTCTTGTGATGATGAGCTCCTCCTGTTATGTCATGCTTGCTCATCACAAAAGTCCTGAAATTACTAGCTGCTCATTTTGCTGTGTGGACTGTGGGGAATACACAATGAGTTCTGTGCTGCTCTTTACACAGAGCATTCATAAAGAAGCAAGTCACACAGTCATGACTGTATGCGTATTGTTGTCAGGATAGTGGATTGTACCTCTAAATAAACAATAGCTTGATGACTTCATTGTCTGGAAACAAGGTTAGACCTCAACTTTAAACACTAAATACTTTCCAGGCAACATCATCTCCAGTATGATACTAGATCCCTCCTCATTTCCCCATTGAACAATGCCCCTGTTTTTAAACCTTAGCTCTATTTTTTATATGTTTTGGTGCAAACTCGTAATAGGTTTAAACTGTTTTGAAATTGCTCCACCAGATTGTTGGCAGCTGTTTAACAGGTTGCAGTCTAATACTTTGTTCAAATGCAACCCCTAAAACTTTTGTTTTTGTCACTGGCTGACTTAGATTTTTATTTTAATGTACCTGACAATGACCACAAGCTGACACTATTATTTTATTTCAGGTCTCAGTTAGAGAGAGACATATGTCTCCAACATGCAAGTGTCATAGTGTTTATACATTTACCAATATCTCCCTCCAAAGATGCTTTCCTGAACCATATAAGCAAGAGTTTGTCGCCCAATTGACCAGGGGAATGATTGATCTAAGTGTTCAGACAGAGTTAGTCCTTTTAGTCCTTTCACAGAAAGGGCTGTCTGAGCCAGAGATGTTTTGCAGAATGAAACTGTACCATCCCCACTGGAAGCTGCTCTGGTGGATCTACTGCAGCTCTGTTGTCTCTGTGTATTCACAGAAAGACTGAGGGTATTTAAACATTAAAATGCCAGCTTTATGTAACAGATATCAATAAATAACAAGGACTAAAAATCTTGTATTCACTTAAAATGCTGCAGTGATTGTGTCTCAGTGTTTTAATCCAAGTTTTTCTGGCCCTTTGTGAACTGAATGTTTTCCCTGAGACTGAGCAGTTAAACTATAGGACAGATATGAGAGTATCAAAGTACTTAAAAACAGAAAGGCAGTTTCTTATCTGGAAGCAGCTAAGATAATCCTTAATCCTTTGGCAAATCTTTTTAACATGGCTTTTAAAATTTAACTGAGTACAGTGTAACCAGACTAAACAATGCTGTGTTATAATATCTGTACGATATATTCATGTCTATTCAAGCTTCAGCCTGCTTGGTCATAGATGCATGTATGTTGCCATTACAGTAGAGATATCACGTTTTTACTTAAGAGTAGATTCATTGTAAACACCTCTGTGTTGTGAGGCTGAAAGCTGATGGAGCTGTGAACCAGTCAGATGATGCCTCCCTGTGTGTAAGAGCTCAGATCACCTGGTTGTCTTGCTGCTATTGCTGGGAGGCTGAGCGCTATCTGATCACTGCCTGCTGCTGCAGTGAGCTGGTGGGCTGTGGCTGCTGTAGCAAACACACTCACAATCTCCTCCTATCAAAGGGAAGCCTTTAACAGGGAGCAGATAGATCACAGAGAAGTGAGAGAAATTTCTTAAAGGAGCTGCTGATATTTTTGTATCGTGTAGTCAGTTCCTTATGAGTCTTACACACCCCATTTTTGACCATTTTCCAATGTGCTAGATTGTGATTTTTTTAATGATTCTTTTAATGTTGAGTGAGAATCAGTGTTTCATTGCAGTGATTTGAATTCATAAACCAAGACGTGATGCAGGAATGAGTTTTTTTGTTCTCAGTATCGTCTTCTCTCTACATGGTTTGGTCTTTATAAATAGCACATTGCTGCAGCTTGTATACACGTGAGTTTGCTTTGTTGTTTCTAAACCTCCTTTCTCTAAATAATTGCCCACCCTAATACCATTTTTCTAGAGGAAAGACATGTAAAAACATATCATAAAATCTGTGTGGGTGGAAAATTATACATTGGAATTAGTGGTTTGATGTTGCACACGAGTGAACGTACATACCTACTTATCAGTTGTACCGGCTGCACCAAGGAAATAACACTGTCTTAATGCATCTAAATGAAATAGGTTTGCTTTGAAAAATAGTCAGCTATACTATCAATGATGTGTGATTTTTATAGAATTGCTTAAACGTGTGAAAACTCCATTCTGTCCAAGGTTGCAGATGGTTGACTAGTTAGACGTTGCACCATCAATTTTCTAAAGCAATCATGATTCACTTAAAATACTCTGGCTGTGCCTAAATAGGTTTTTTTTGTCAGGAAACACTAATGGGGTGCACAACAGGACCGAGTCCATCCATTACATGCATGTGATTCTCTTCTCCACTTGAAACCACTTGGAATAAAAGCAGATCAGTCACTTATGTTTTAAAGATTAACTGTGCTCATGAGCTGCATGTGGTTAGATTTTTACTCAAGGAGATGTCCCTCATCAGAGATGCAGTTGTGGACTATTCCCCAAGTATCCATTTAGTTTGTCAGATGAAGCAGATTTCCATCCACTCCACCCCTCAGGAGAAAAGCTACAGTTTATAAAAAATACATCAGTCTATAGAGTGACCCCCTTTTCACCACTGCCTCGATTATAATGAATTCTACTAGAGTGAGGTGCTGAGTGTTGGTATTCTGCAGGAGAATGAGCATCAGGTCATGTATGTTTTTAGACTCGCACATACGCTGAAAAGACACACTTTTTTGATAGCAGCAGGTAACTCTGAGTGTGTTTACATAGACCTGAGTTTGTTTTGATGATATTCAGGATATGGTGTTGACATGCATGCATGCAGAGGAACCTGGTTATTCATATACACAATACATTCCTGTATCCTTGCTTCTGAATTCTGCACCTTATTTGCATAGTTGTTTCATTTTTTATAACAACAGTTCTGAGCAAAATGAAACCACTATAGCACTCACTCAGCACTATTATAGACCAATATTGTGTTGCAGATATGCTGTATCCCCTCATTGTCAGCAATGGGAGAAGAGACAGAAACTGCACTGTGATTGACTTTAACGCTGCTCCGAACCACTTAAGGCTGATTCGTATCCAGTTAAATGTTACTTTGCTTGGTCAGGGTGTGCTAAGCTAGGTCTGATGTAGGAATTTGTAATATGAACAAGTACAGTGTTCAAAAAGGGGCTGCATGATATTGGAAAACTACAATTGATGTATTGTTCCTTTTTTGGGCTATGTATTGTATTATTGTGGTGACAGCATGATGTGTTCAAGGCCATGTGATTGACACTGTATGTCCTGTGACTATTGCACATGTGCTTATTGCAGTTGTGATGGTCAAACAGTTTATGATTCAGCCCTTGATGCAAACTTCAGATGCAGACCAGCTGTCTGCAGAAAGAAACAGTTTAAATGTATCTAACATATCATAAATAATTCAAATCTATACAGATCATTGCTGTGATTTCATTGCAATGAAAAGATAGACAGTTGCAATGAAATCCGTAAGTTGATGTAGATTTATTTGAAGCCTAATTTTGTGCTTTTTTAAAAATTTTTGTGCATGACTAGTCAAATTAGAGTCATCAAAGGTTTTGAGTGGAATTGGGATCAGTCGTGATAACAGCTCCTGGGAGGATTTTGTGAATCTAAATGTTTTGTACTTGCATTAGCCTCTCTTTTAGTCTTTGTATACCTGGGGGATTGGCATGTATTCTAGTAATTGTTAGTGCTTTAACAAATTTCAACTTTGTTTTATAAAAGATGATTTCATTTTATAATCTTTTAACTGAATATCTGACCTTGAAGAAAATTCAAACTGTTTTCACAGTCATTTACTTATATTTGGTTTGTAAAAATTTGCGTATTAGTTGTTCAAGGCTCTTAGTGAAATGACCCCTAGCTTTACACCCCTTAGGTTTTTGTGCAGCCAGTCTGTGGAGAACATGTCATTCTTCGAAAGACGGACTGTCTTTCTAAGTGAGCCTGGCCATCTTCCACGTACTCGCTAAAAGAAGAGGATGTCCTAACTGATGCGGGCAACATCAAAAGCCTTCAAACAGCTTCATTAAATATGGAGGGCAGTGATGAACGCGGCTGAACGCTTCAGCCAAGATGTTTGAGCAGGCAGAAGCTCTGCTATTGATTTCCATGCCTTTGGCAAAGAGAGTTTAGGGTGGAGGGAACGCTTGTGAGGAGCCTAAATATTTCAAGAGGAGAAAATTAGGACAGAAGAGCAGGATTTAATTGGATGGCAAATGTCCACAGGCTGTAATTGGTTACCCTTTCTTTGATTTTGGGAAAGCTTAGGAATAATCTGTATATGGTCAGCAATTGGTTGCTTTATGAAGAACATATACCTAGACCAACCAGGGACTAGACATTAGAGCTGAACAATGTACCAATTTTAAATGTTATAGCAACATGATTCTCAATATGGATACAATATACAAAGTTATGAATTTATTTTATAATATGAACCAATGCTTCACAGGTATTTCGCGTGTAGAATGGAGCCCAGAAGAATTATGGCCATACTTTTTCACAGTATTAATGCAGTCAGACAAAGTTTACCATCATCTCCTCCTAGCGGGTGGAAACTTTGTGTTTAAAAAAATTCTCCTTGGATCACATAAACATGTTTTGATTGTCCTGTCACATTATTTTAGATTGGCCTGATAAAAGTGTTCAACAATTTCCTAGTAATGGGCAAGCTCACTGTGTCAACCTGTTGTGTTTTGTACTTAGTGGAGAGGTGTGGCTGTCTGTCACAGAGTTGCTTGGCAAGGTCTGACATGTTTCGTACCTCGCATGACACCATTTTGTGCCATCATTCGCATACAGGTTCTGATAAAAGTCAATTCATCCTTCATCAGCCAGTTCATTAGCACAGGAAATGGATGGAGATGACTCGCTATTCTTTTCCGTAGTGGACATGTTGAGACGGGGGCATTGCTTTTCTTTCTCTTAATGGAAGTGCAGACTTAGGAGAAAGGTAATTAAGTAGCAGGCTTACACATATCTTGGCCACTGATAGTAGATCATACCTCACACACTGATACTCCCCCCTTGGAGGGACGCAGGTAATAGTATTTTATCCTCTCAGTTTGAAAAATATGACTTTCTTGGTCACTTACATCAGAGCCACAGCGAACCATTTTTGCCATACCACATTTTTGGTAGTTTGACGAGACTGTCTGACTCTTTCAGCTGTTTTATTACCAAAATTCACCTTCTACTTTATTGTCTATTTAGTCTGAAAAAACGTCTTTTGTTTCACCACAAGAATCATGAGTACCATTAAATGATCCCCTCAGAGAGGCTGGCTTTAGTATGTTGGGTTAACAAAGAATCATGAGTGGATCTGAGGATTAATTCAACACACTGCTTCAATAAGGTTTTGAATTTCATCGTCGGTGGTTGTTAGCCATCTGATAAGACCAGCGTTGGAGGGTTGAAGCTAATTAAAATGCAAAATCAGGCTGAAAAGACACTTTTCAGAGCAGCTGCTAGACAAGTAGGACTCCTAAACCTTTTTTTTTATTTCCCTCTAACAAAGGAATATTCCCCAGGGGTCAGGCAGGCACGGCGGCCCATTGTTCCTCTACAGCAGAGACGGGCTGTGTTGACAGTTGCATATCCATACACAACAGTTATCTCTGGATGCAGGCCAGCTCTGAGATAACCCCCCTTACCTCCCTCACATTGCCCTGGAGGAGGGGTGTGGGATTAAGAGGGTAGATAGGTGAATGCAAAGCTGATATAATCCTCCTGAACGATGCACAGACTGACACGCTGAATGTTCAATATTAACAGAGCTTAACTGTAAATGGAGTCTCACTGCTGCCAGAGCAGATTTTCTTCACTTCCTACTCTCCCCATTTCTCTCACAGTCTGGACATGCTATTCACACCTTGCACATGTAATAATTTCCTGATAAGTGGCTCGCTGTCGTTACAGCACATTTCAGCTTTTACAGCTCTGGGTCCTGCTGCTCCAAGTTTAATTCTCTGTAGCTGTAAGAAATGAAGTGCTAAACTTGGCTTCCTCCAAAGGTTTGCACTTATCTCAGGTAAAAATTGTTCCCTTACTTTGACTCATCCATTTATCTGCAAAAAAAAAACACTGAATATGAATTATTGAGTCCGCGTTATCAGTCCATTTGTAGTTGCTTTCACTGAGACGGATTTAGTCTCATCCTAAAGGCTGAATGTAAAGCTGGTCAGTACTACCTTGAAGATTTGTTTCTAAATTTTCTTCAAAACAAACAAAATTTAAAGATTATTTTAGAGTCTTTGTGACAGCTTTATCTCTATTTTTATGTCTATCTCCTGCACACTCACTTGTTTTCTAAGAGAGTTTTCTGTTTTTACGCAACAAAACTCCGGATCTCACTGCTTTTCCATCAAAATGGGGAACTCTCTGGTTGTTGTTCTTTTCAAGTGAACTAAAGACCTACCCTTATCTGGCATGCAATCTGAAGTGCTTTTATTTATAACCTTGGACTGCAGTATTATCTTTGGTTTGACAACATTTTCTCCCTCTGGTATTTCTTTGTATTGTTTTTTCGTCTTGGTTGATGGCTGAGGACACAGAAACTCTTAAGGGTAGAAAGTAGGTGCAGATATGCAGCAAAGGGTCATGTCCGGGAATCAAACTGCCATGCCAACCACCCTCAATTTATTCAATTTTATTTGTTTTTGATTTATGTGATAATTTAGTCTCTTTTTTGATTTAGTCTGTTAACATTCTGATCTATAGCTGCTACTCTCTGTCTGACTGTTCCTTGGTGAAGCACTCTCAGCTGCATGCTCATATACATGAGCAGTGCTATATAAATGAAGTTGAGCTGAGTAGACAGCAAAGACGCCCGCAGTGCCTGTTTTATCCAGTTTGGAGCTCGGAGTGTGGATTTGGTGCCCTGGATTTTGATGGATGAAATGAACCACCAATAAGTCAAATTGGCAGATAAACACCCTCAAACCTCCCTATTCTTTGTTTTCATGCTCTAGTCTGGTCAGGCCAGGCGAGGGGATTTCACAACAAATATATTTGACAGGAATTGCATTCAATGTTTACCCTGCTACACCCTGGTAGTGAGAGTAGAGCTGGGTAATGTAGCTCAAAATAGGGCTGGGCGGTAAACCGAAAAGTTACTCATACCCAAATTTACAACAATAACCAACATCATTTTGCCCATATCAGTATATTCGGTGTCAAATAAATAAATAAATAAAAGTTGGTTTTGGATTTGTGTAGGTAGGCTATGGTCTCATGTCCCTCTAGAGATATGGAGATGTGACTCCACCCCATCAGTCCGTAACAATGAAGGAAAGACAGGTGAGGGAAAGGAGGACGGTTCAAAAGTTGTAGCAGCTGGAGCGGCGGCTGAAGTAGACGAAGTAGCTTGTGGAGTAGTTATCGTCCATTTTATCGTTATCGAGGTGAACTGCTCAATATATTGTGATATTGATTTGAGGCCATATCGCCCAGCCCTAGCTCAAAATAAAATCTCAGCTTTTCTCATTCCGAATTTGATTCACAACTTTAATAACACTTTATTTTCCGTCTTCAAATTGAAAAACAAACAAAAAGAGAAATGACTCATTACAAGATATCAGCCTCTTGCTGATTGGCTCACTTCTGTGTTCATAAGAGGAGTAAGCTGTTTGTAAACAGGTATGTCATTCACAGTCGAAACCCATGAAAGAGTACATAACTCGACTGGATCATACGTCTGTTGTAGTGAATAAAATCACATCTCCTCTTGCTCTCTGGTTATTTCATGTGTACAAATGGTGCAGATGAGACAAAGCAACCTTCTGCATCGAGTAGAGAGATACCTGGACTTAGTAAAGATGATTGAATGAATTGGTCACCCTGCTGCCTTTCATTGTGAGAGCCTTTGAACAAACGTTGCAGGAGACTATGGTTTGCATCGCATTTATTGGAAACAAAGTCTCCATTAACACTGAGAGAGTTTGTGATATAGTCTAGGTTTTTATTTTAAAAACTGTCCTAAACCACAAATTATTTCTGCAATCAATGAAGTAGATATACAGCTCAGCCTGAGTTGAAATAATAACTGCAAAAGATGCGTGTGTTCCTAGTCGACACAAGCCAGTGAATAAAATAAGATTTGACAAGTTTTTTCCCTGACGACTAGGAGCAGCTCAGCACTAACCTGTCCTCTACATCTACTAACTGCAGACAGCTGTCTGAGTCTGTTTCCATCAACAGCTTCTCCATTGATTTCTGTGAGGATCTCCCCATGATTAGATTTACTTATTAATTTCCTCTGAGGATGCTCACATTATTGCCCACTCTTTGACTCAGTGTTTTGCACGGCGACGAAAACATCATCTCATTACCGCAGAGTTAAATCACAGCATCTCTGACACAGTTACACAAAAGCCGAACATTAAAAGCTTCACGCCGCTTTGAGCACATCCACAGAACAAACAACGTCAGCCTCCTCTGAGAATAGAAGCAGCCGCGTTCAGCTAAGACATCAGAGACATCAGAGGAGCTATTGATTATCTGGGAAATCTAAGTGAGCCTTGGCAACGAGGGGAGAGAAGGGGAGAGAAGCCACTTGGTACGAAGCTCTGCACTCTCTCCAATTAAATTAGGCGAGGCTGAGCTCAGCACTTTAGCCCAGCAGCAGCTTCATGCTGCCTGGAAAATTGGAAGATATTGCTAATGTTGTTAGCCAGCAGCTGTTACCTGCCAGAGGCGGAGGCAGCCATGTGTGAGAGTCTGGGAAATGGATGTATTACTAAGGTCTTTCTCCCAGGAGTCCTAATATCTAACATTAGACTGGTTATTTCCAGGTTGAAGTGCTGTGTTATAAAAACAATCTGTTTGATAGTGGTGCCAAGCTCTGTTGAGTAAAGCCAGAGATGTAAAGATTTGTTGAATCTTTTAATCATTAGTGTCTCTTTAGAAATGTATCAAATTAACTATCAGGGAATTAGACCAACAGTGAGACCTAAAGAAAAATCTTTTTTTTAGTAGTCATTTAAAGCTGCTGGTTGCGTCAGGGGAATGCAACCAAGATTTTTCCATTCTCCATAAATCTGCAGATTATCTTCATTTCTAACCAGTTATTGAGTCAAACATTTAAAAAATCTCACCAGCCAGTTTTCTAAACAAACTGCAAAAATCCCTGCAGCACTACATGAACCTGTCTATTTGTCAAACTGTAATCAGTAGTATGTTAAAATAGGGATGGGCGATATAGGCTAAAAAATTTATCACGATAAGTTTTGCCATTCTGGCGATAACGGCCAAAGTCCTGATAAAAATATTATGATTCCAATCGATGTTTTTGACTCCTTCTGTGACAACTTTTACACAATCTCACATAAATCTGGTTCTTACGGGAAGATTAACATCTTCCAGGCTGTGGAAACGGTGATTATCTCAGTGGTTCACCTGTTAGGCCTCAGGTGGTACCAGATTGAGTGAAAGCCACAGGAACCTGGCGAGCATAGACAGGTGAACGTGTAGAGACGTGGAGTAACAGGACGACAGGTGTAGCAGTCAGACAGGTTTGTCTGCTGCCTGAGGCTGAACGCTGCTGCCTACGTCATCATGGTTAAACCGTAAGAGAGGATTTCATAACATTTATCAGAGTTCTGAAAGGACATCTTTAATTTTCATTTTTTTCTTCATGTTGTGTTTTATTTGAGCACTGAGAAGCTTTTTTTTCCGTCAGTTGGTTCACTCTAAAATATTTTCACAAATATTGATGGTCTGTTGCTTCTTTCAATAAATTTCCAGTTTATGTTCATTTTGGCGTCTCCTGTGGACAAAGCAGTCTTTGTTTCTTTTTGTTCTCTACATACTTAAGTAGTTTAGAAAAATCTCATCCTACTGACTTCTGACAGTCAAATGTAAATATTTTATTTGAATATTGTTAAAGCGAAGCTCAGATGACGTCTTGCCTTCACACCAGATACAGGCTTTAAAATAAGGATATTCAAATTTTGTTCCTGATGTTCTTGTTTGTCTTTAGATGTCATAGTGAGGCATCACTATGAATTTCCACAATAAGAGTTTAACCATGAAATTCAGATGCCCACAGAGGTTGACACCCACTGACTGAGGTCATTTTCTGACTGTTCTTGTGAAACTGCAGACAGAATTAGGGGTGTCCTGATACAACTTTTTACCTCCGATATTGTAACCCTTAGTATTGGCCGATACCAATATTGATCCAATATTAGCAAAACTTGTGCATGACAAGTTTTACACTCAGCTGCAACTTCTTCTTCGGACTTGTATGAAAAACAGTGCCACAGGGCCGACATCACTCCTACTCCTTGGTACTGAGTTAGTACCTGAGTTCACACTGTTGTTGCGATAACATGGGCTCTACATGCTGGATCTGGGTGCTGCTAGATAGTGATGCTGGATCGGAGTCTGGAATGAACTGCTTGTATCGGAGTGCTGATATTGGAGATTTTAGATGCAGGCCGATATAATCAGATATTCAGTTTTTTGCTGATATCGTACACAGAATGCAGTTTGCAAATTTGGACAAAATTGGTAACCCCCCCCCTAATCATCAAGTTGGTGGATTTTGGTCCAGTACACATTACCATGTGGATGTTTTGTCTGTAGTTTGTTTGGTTTTAGTGCAGAGCTCAGAGATTTCGTGTTTCAGGGAGGTTCAGTGATAATAGTTACAAACATAAAACTGTGTTTGTAATGATTGTTTTGTGTGATTTGATGGTTGTCTCGATGTTTGGACAGAGCAGATGTTTTTCATCACTGGATGTGAGCAGTGAGTGCTCAAAAGGGTGGAGTGTGATGAAATAATATCCTGCACACCACTTAAGAAAACTCAGCGTTCAACCAAGTACACAGAGGAGTACATACCACACATATTTCATACATTCTTCAGTGCTGTTTGAGTCTCAGGGACAGAGAAGAAATTTGTCAGAGAAGAGGGGATGAACAACTTACAGGTGTGAGTGTCTGTATTTAAAAGGCAAACCTAAAAAAACTCAAATAGAAGATGTGAACTGTGATTATTTATTGAGTGAATACACTGCTGATGGCTCAGATAGTTGAAGAATTATTGTTACAGCCTGAGCATGTCTCTCACTGCTGTGTTATAATGATTTGATGTATTTTTGATGCATTCATTTCCTTCATCCCTGCCTCTCTCTCTCTCTTTTTGTCCAGGTATCGACTATAAAACCACCACCATCCTTCTGGACGGGAGGAGAGTGAAGCTGGAGCTTTGGTGAGCACACATCACTGCTGAACCAAAGATCTACTTTTGTTTGTACAATATTAAGACCCTCTATCTGACACGTGTCCTTTAATGCCTCGACACAGCTCTGATCTAAACCTTTAAGATCTCTATGAACAAACTGTTTTCTCAGTTTCACACAATGTTCGCCCCCTGTGAAGATAGATTTAGTTTTATCTGCCCAACATTAAATTCCACTTGACAAAGAGGACGGATGCTGCATTTCTCTCTGAATTTTGTAGAAATATGAGTTAAATTATGCTCAGTGCATGTTTGATATTTCTGTTTTTGATGAGACAGCGTGGCCTTAAAAAACATGGAGTTTTGGTTCTGAATATTTCACTCAGTCTCAACATCTCAGAGCTTCAATAGAGTTCAAAAACATGAGTAGATGTGAAGCTTTCAGTGAGTGGAAGCTGTGAAGAGTAATATTCTATTAGAGAGGGTTGCATTCATATCATATTCATTCTGTTTGAAGAGGCTTAAGACATGCATACATAGAACAAAATACAAGATTAATTTATTTATGCATTAAAACAAGATTTCAAAGAGATGAGAGGGAAAAATATTCTTGAGAGGCTTTCCACACATATGATCTGATACAAAAGTACAGCATCTGTCTTAGAGAATATATAAGACACCCAGTATTTGTGTTATTCCGAAAAAACTATACCGAACTGTTTCAAGAGCAGGTCTCTCAGTAATGTTTCCTGCCTGTTTAACCATGTGACATCAACATAGCTGCAGCAAAATACATGTAGTTATCAGTTGAGGCACTTTGCAGTCCAAGGCCAGTCCTGTTTGGTGGAAGTAGGCCAAAGAATCCAACTTCTCTGCGGAGCAGCAACGCCTTGTCTTCCCAGTGGAGGCAAAAGTTTGGAGTCCGCGTAATGAGGGACGATCTCCCCTCCTCCTTTCTTCACTGGTGTACTGATTTTTCACAGTCTGGATGTTTTCTTTTCTTCTGACTCACTGTCTTAGCCTCATCGTCTGCTTGCTCTCCACTTCTGTCTTTTCTACCGTCTGTGTTCACATACTCTTGTTTATTTTGACTCAGTCACATATACACCATCCTGCTGCCCCAAATACTGAACCAACCCACTAATCCACCTCCAAATGTGGATTAATCCACACCTGAAAATAGTCCCGAACAAAAGGACTATTTATTCAGATTGTGCAATACGAACAAAGCCAATACAAAGAGGGCCTGTTTTTACGCAAATTGTGGTCTAATTGACTATTAAGTACAAATACTTAGAAAATTTCCTCCAGTGGATTGTTTTAGCTGGCATCTGTGAGCGAGCTGTAATGGCTGCAACATTATCCTTTTGGGCAAATGTTCCTGACCAAAGTACGTGCTTGTTTTTGCTTCTGACAGGCCCAGAGGGTAAGTAAAAGTGCCTGACAGCCCTACAAAAAGCTTCACTCCAGAGAGCACAAGAGTTTATGATCTACTGCTTTGATCCGTTTGTTATTTTGGTCTTTTCTTCACCTCATATCACAACAAAAAGCTCTGTCTTCTTTTAAACTACTATGAGCTCAGCAGAGCACTCAAGTCTTCTTTTATTCTGGCTTGGATGTGCTTAAAGCTCGTGTTTTGAGGTGTACTGCTGAGAAATTTAATGAAACTTAGTAACTGCCTTACCCAAAATCCCTCGACTGAGTTGCTAAGCTCTACTTACATGATCTCTTGTGAAACTTTTTGTTATTGTTTCTCAAGTTAGTTAAGTGTTTCTTAATCTGTACAAAGCAAAAGAGCAACTAACCCTTGTGAGAGTAGGATTGGACTATTTCCTGGGACATCAAAAGTATTGAAATGTGTGAGCTATCCATGCCATGGACACTTCTACATCCCCATATCATCAGGGAATCTTGCTTTGAACTGTACAGTGATATCAAGCCAAGGAGTCCCTCTCTTCTCTCCATCCCTGATATGAAAAAAAAATAACAGATTATGATTCAAAAGCTCTGAAGAAAGTTTTCTGCTTCATCTCAGTCTTTCTTCATTTGACTCAGGCCCAGAGAAGTTGCTGGATCATTTTTATTGTCTTTGCATGACACAGTTAGACCTGTATTTGTGGATTCAACATTGCAGTGTGTTCACAGATATAGCTTTGAGCTCATGCAGTCATTTCCACCACAGAGTCATGTCTGTTTTGGGTTGAAACGGTCTCAGATGAAGTGGTTGGCACGAAAGAAAGGACGCCAATCGTTGTCGGAAATAAATTAAAAAAAAAAAAAAGCACTGACTGTTTTCTCAGACATTTCTGTTGGTTTTTGTAACAAATATCGGAGCAGGTGGTGTGTTTGGCTCTTAGCACAGACATTTTGACTCCAGGCAAAACCAAAATGGTGTGGCATGCTCACACAAACCACTACAAATCACTCCTGTTCTGTATTGGTTTAGATGCACATTAAATCCGAGCTACATTTACACAGTTAAAGCTTAATTTGAATAAATTAGATGTCTGTCCTCGTCCCAGTTTACTAGCACCGGGCAAGAATTGATTTAGATCTTCTTTTAGCCTTTGCATACAGAAGATATCAGACAGAGAAGGCAGTTTAATTCAAATGTTGCTGTCTGCTTTTAGCACGTGTTACAGCCTGTAGGACTTGTCATACTGACTTTACAAATAGGTGATAAAACATTTGAGAGACATAAGAAAAAAATAGTCAAACTCTGATTTCCATGTAACACATAAGTACAGACTGCTGGCTTGTCAAAGTTGCTTAAAAGAGTGTACCACAAGGATACCGTTGATCAGTGTGAATATATTCAAGGCGTAGGTCTTGTTTCGTTCAGTTTGGGGAGCTGTCTGCCTCTCTGAGCCAGATCATAAAAATTTGATCACTGCTGCCTCTGCCAAAAGTGATGAAGAGATTTTTGGAAGAGAAATTCAGACCAGTTTTCAGGCCAGTGTTTTGTCCTCAATGATGAAACCTAGAAAAAAAAAGAAGAGGGAAGTTTTTCCTTCCCTGCAGCTGAACAGATCTGAAACTCCCTTTTCTCTTCCTCCACAGGGACACCTCAGGACAGGGGAGGTTCTGCACCATCTTTCGCTCGTACTCCCGCGGGGCACAGGTGAGAAATACAGCACTAAACTGGACTGAGGCGTAAACAGCTTCATTCTGTCATCCTGCTGCAGAGACTCTTCTTTTCTCAGAGAGGAAACCAACAGAGTGTTTATCTGTTGACTGTATTGATCAAATGCAAATTTACAAATCAGCTGTTGTGCTTGCTTTGCTGCTCAGAGACTTGCTGTTTAATCTTTTTTTTTTTTACATCATCAGCATCTTTTTTTAAATTTTTATTTTATTTTTATTTAGAAATCAAGTTTTAAACATCCTCATTTAGTGTACATCAATTCAAATCTGCTGTAAAGAGCAGAAACATGAAAAGAAAACAAAAGAAAAAAATACAAGAGACATTAAATAGCACTCGTGTTCAGCAGAGAATCAGGGGAATTAGAGTTTAGCTGCTGCTGATTTTTACCTAAAGTCTGACTTTGCTGTTTATTCTCTGTGTGTGTTTGTGTGTCTGTAGGGAATCCTGCTGGTGTACGACATCACCAACCGCTGGTCCTTTGATGGAATTGACAGGTGGATCAGGGAGATCGATGAGGTGAGTCTGAGCGATGGATGGGTGCTTTAGGATTGGTTAGATAGATACCAGCAAAGATAATTTTCAGATTTTCTATCCTGGTAAGTAGTTCCTCCAGCTGATTCAGCTCACAGAGGAGGAAGTCAGACCCACATTTGTCAGTATTCTAGTTCTAGTACTCTAGTTCAGTATTCTAGCCTTGCTCCTCGTATCTTCATCATCATTTCTAAATATAGTCAACAGACAATTTATTTGCACCCTCTATGCACATCTTGGATAGCATTTTTTCCATCAAATACTCATACATTTATCGAGGATAAAGGCATTACACACCGATTTTTAGGGGGCAATAAGGTGCACCGGGTTATACGGCGCACTGTGATTTAATATGTTTTTGTTTACATATAAGGCGCACCGGATTGTAGGGCACATTAAGCATTGATTGGTTTATTGTTGCTAGTGTGTACTCCAGGTCCGGGCTGCCTTACATGAATGCACTTCTAGATACTACAGTCAGAGTCTTGTAGAGTGTTGCATCTATCCCACTGGATCTTCACATGACAGCGTAGGACTAATTTAATTTGATCCTTTTGCTTTTAAACCTTGGCGATTAGAAAAATGTTCCAGTTATATGAGATGGAACAAAGGGTCAATAGAGAGAGTTAAGTGAACCACTTTAAGACGACCACATGCTTGTGAGTGTGTGTGTGTGCGTGGGTGTGTGGGCTACTCTCATCATGTCCTTCCTGCTGACTGGGAAAAAAAGGATGTCCGTGTCCTGTGTGTGTGTGTTAGTGTGTGTGTGTGTGTGTTTGCTTGTGTGAGTGTGTGTGCAGTGATATTTTCAGCCTGTGGAATGTATGTTTCCTGCTCCACCTCCACAGACGTGATGTGGTCACAGCAGGCTCAAGGTAGCGAGAAGGAGAAGATGGAAAATATCTATTTGATGGAAGTTAAACGATTGTGAACATATGAGGACACGCAGTCCAAACTTGATCAGGCGTTTTATCACATGTGATTCTGGGTGGTCACTGTCAAAGTAACAAATCTTGGCGCTGGTGAAAGCCTCCTGGTCTGGCTGCAGCTGTTTTCACCACCATTTACGTGCCTCCAAATCTGGAACTGTTTCCTCTGCTGCTGTCGCTGGTACCGGGCAGACCTCTGTGCAGAGATTCAGAGCATGAAGAGGCAACAGGGAGGAATCTCAGAGAAGAGTCTGATGAATGGTGACAGTCAGGAGGAGAGAAGGAGTGAAGGAGCAAAGGGAGGTCGACCTTTTGCTGCCATCATGTTTTGTCCAGTTTGTCAGAACAGACGGGGATGTTTTAGAGAGATGTGAGCCTGAGCGGCGGGATGACATTCATGCTGCCATTTTGAGCTTGTTGAATTAATAACAGACCTCTGCTGGAGGCTTTGAATGTAACATCTTCCATCCACTTCCCCTCTGTCTCGTGCTAAAATCAAGTGGAAATGACGCAAAGACAAACAGATTTAATCCAAGTGTGACAGCAGCCTTGATAAATATTGTAGAAAAAGTTATAAATAATCGAGAGCTGCTGCATTTGTTTTGATATTTGCAGATAAGGGACCCTTCTTTGTGCTTCGTTCTTTCTTTGATAATATTTTTGAGTTTATTTGAACTCTTTTAATGAAGGGAGGCTGATTGAACATGCTCTTTGATGGCAGTGCTACATTAAGACTTCATGAAACGAACACAAAAAATTAAGGACAGGATCAATAAATAAAAAAGTGACAAAGAAGATGAAAGCAGTACAAATAAGCAGAGAACAGCTGTAGAGGAGGGTCACTTACAATCTTAATTCTTTAAGAGTTTGGAAAGGTGGAAGAAAAGATGTAAAGAGGTCCACCACTTTGTGAGAGACTGTGTGAGCAAATAGTTCAACAGTCTCACTATCATAGCCTCCAGTGTAACATTGCAAAGACTTTGAGGATTTCACCATCTATATAATACATCATATCATTAAAAGGTTGAGAGAATCTGGAGAAATCTTTGAAAAAAAAGGAAAAGAAGCAAAACTAATACAGGATGGCACTGATCTTTAGGCTCTCAGGTAACATTGCATTAAAACAGACAGGACTCTGTAGTGGAAATCACTGCATGGTCTCAAAACAGTTCACCGGTTGAATTCATTCAGAGCACTACAGCACAAAAAGAATGACACAGGAGACTCCAAAGTATCCAACAGTTGAATTCCTATATGGAGCAAAAAAATGACAACATTTCACTTTCCAAACTCTGGAAACCAGTTTTCTTTTTTCTCAAACATTCATCAAGTATTGTAAAAAGTAGGAGTGAGGCAAGATAATGGTCAACAGCCCCCAAGCCTAGCTTTTTTTAGAACTATCAAATTTATTTATTTTGTTATAAAACAATGAAATTTTTCAGTTCAAACTCATTTGCAAAAAAAACATAGAAATCTGTTTGTTCAACATTTTAAACGGGGTCAAAACTTTGTTCAATTCGAGTCAAAGCATCACAGGGAGAAATGTCTGCTTTAATGTGAAACAAAACAAATCTCAGCTGTTACCCTCTGTTAATTCAGTCCGCTGTTTGATTTCTTTCCCAGCATGCCCCTGGCGTGCCTCGAATCCTCGTCGGCAACCGTTTGCATCTGGCCTTCAAGCGGCAAGTCCCCACTGAGCAGGCGAGGGCATACGCCGAGAAGAACGGGATGACCTTCTTCGAGGTGAGCCCTCTCTGCAACTTCAACGTCATCGAGTCGTTCACAGAGCTGTCGCGCATCGTCCTGATGAGGCACGGCATGGAGAAGTTCTGGAGGCCCAACCGAGGTGAGTGGAGGGGGTTGGTGAACTCTAGGAACATCAAAGACATAAGCTATGACAGTTAATCACAAATAAAGTCATAAAATCAAAGAGCAACTGTTCATCAAAAATTTCCTTTTAAGTTTGCTTATTAAGCGATACTGAAAAAAAATGGAGCAGTTTTCTCGGCCTGGTAGGTGGGCGAAAGTAAGGAAACAGAGAATACACCAAGGACAGGCTGAAAAAGATGTTAGCACAGCGTTGGTTCACATTTCAAAGAGCTGATGGGACTTTTCCATAGAATTAAGTGAATTCATACCACTTATTTCTGAGCTGCGGTAACATGCTTAAACAGAAATGACAGTTGAGACTCACCCTGGAAAAGAAAATCTGGATGCTGGACAAGATTTCCAGAAGTTTAAAGCTAATTTTCGTTGTAGTCTCACAGTTTCCCTTTCATCATCAATAATACTCTAACTTTTTGCATCTAGCGCTTTGCCTCGTGATCCTCCAAACTCCCTCTGAGTCCCATCAGCCTTTTTTGAGGACACCAGGGGGCTTAAAAAAATTAGAAAGTTGGTTCAAAAAGAGGACGTAATGATAGTTTTGTGGAGTCAAACAGAAACTAAGAATCAGTTTTGCATATGTGAATCACAGACCTTGATTCAGTCCTGTTATAAAAAATACTTTGATAAAAAAATGCCTGTATATTTCAAAACTCAGGGAACAGAATCGCAAAAATTAGAGCAACTCAACAACAATCAGGAAGTGAAAAGACAGGACAAATGAAAGACTTAAAGCTCAAAGTTAAGTGATGTAAACAGGGAATGAAATCCTAAAACATGACAGTAAGTGAGATGTTCACTGCAGCAGTTCTGTATATTTTTAAATAATGTAATTTTAAATGAATAAACTGCACCTCACTAGATCTTCATCACTCCAGAGGGCTCTCTCATACGTCATCCTGCGCTGATGTGCCACAGTCATCAGATGGGCTGACACATTACCTCCTAGGCTAATTAATTCTCCCTCATGCCTGTCATCCTTTGTCTGTAATTAAAGAGCAAATCAGGTCGAAATGATGTCCTGCCAAACCTCAGAGAATAAATGATGAACAGACTCTCAGAGACTCACTGTGTTGAACATCTATCATTCAGGTCTCATGGTCTTGGCTCTGAAGTCATTTCAAATGTCAGAATAAGGTTTGAATTCCCGATCGGGGCCTGTCGCTCTGAGTCCCACTGATTCTTGCACTCTATAAAAACACCTGAAAAACTGACAAACATATTTCAGCAAATGATTCATTTAGATTTATCTGGTAAAAACCAGATAAATCTTTGTTATTCATGAGGATGTCAGTTCTAATGTATTCTGTGCTAATTTGCTGTGTTGTGATCGTACTCCAAAACCAACAAGTCATGACTCAGACATGGTGAGAGTATGAGGGCGGCGAGTTTCAGTATGTTTCCTTTGCATTTGGGGCAACCAGCTTTGACATCACTGATGACCACACAAAGTGCGTAAAGCAGTTCAATGAGCTTTTTTTAGCCTCCTCATGATCACATCTTCATCTTAAAGTAAAGTGAAAGAGCAGCAACCCTGTGATCGGCTGCAGAGGTGACCAGTCTTGAATCTCTTCTGAATATTTTACTATTTGTGCTAAATCAAGTCCTGACTCCTAACCTCTGCCTTCTACTCTGCAGTGTTCAGCCTGCAAGACCTCTGCTGCAGAGCCATTGTGTCGTGCACGCCTGTCCACCTCATCGACAAGCTCCCGCTCCCCGTGGCCATCAAGTCCCACCTCAAGTCCTTCTCCATGGCTAATGGCATGAACGCCGTCATGATGCACGGACGCTCCTACTCGCTGGCTAACCCGGCCGGCGGCTCTAAAGGCAACAGCCTGAAGCGTTCCAAGTCTATCCGTCCACCGCAGAGCCCACCGCAGAACTGCACCCGCAACAACTGTAAAATCTCCTAATTGACCAATCAGGAGGGGAGGTTAGAGAAAATAAAAGATGCACAGCATGGATTCAGGACAAGGATATACAGGTTTTTTATGTTTAAAAGAAAGGAGCGCATCCCTGAGCCTGAAGAGCTAAAGAGCAGAATGATGGATAAAGGGATGGATGAGCACTACCTCTCATCTTTGTGTTGAAAGTACAGGTGGGGCTTGAATGGTGCCTCAAGATTTCAGAGAATGACTACAAACATTTAGAGCTGATTCTCACAACATGTAACTGCTATGAATGAGAGAAAGAGACTCTGGATTCACTCCTGTCTGCTTGAGATTTAACTACATGTACAGAAATCCTTCACCAACTCAAGCAACTGTATCAAGTTTCTCAACATGAAGCACTCCACGGTTTGCATCGGTGCATCATAGAAATCACCTCAAAGACAGTTCTTTTTTTTATCTCACGTCTCTTTTTGTCCATCTGGTTAAACTCACACCTCTTTCTCTCCACATCGGTTCTTTTCAACAACCAATAAGCTAATGAGCAAAACACTAATGAGCAGCCAGTCAGTCACTGGTGAGCAGATGGTGACCAGATGTGTTTAAACACTTGTTAAAAAATGTTTGGTTTGATCCACAAAAACAAAAAACACTTGGTGAAGATTGGTGAAGTGGGAGTCCCTCGAAACCCTAACTTTAAACTCCAACTATATCCCAAAAGACACACTCTGAACGAGGGCAGCACAGTTCAACACAACAAAATCACCACTGTTAAATGAAAGTTTGAAGAGTTTCTTTACAAGTAAAGACAGTAGAGGGTTTACCCCAATCATTAAACACTCGAATATATACATTTTTCAAATTGCAGCAGTTATTGACCACTTTTATTTTAATGCAAAGACAAAAACCATGAGCATAGTGCTAAAACTCCAACAGTGGCTCAACGTGGTTTGAGGTTTGGTTTCATTTTAGAGATTTTTTTTCCTGCTTACAAAAGACGTTACGTTGCAGTACCGTAAGTGTCCACTTGGGGCTGGCTCCAGAAGTCCCAGAAGCCAAATACACACCCATTTAGAAAAGCCCATCTTTGCAGCAAGAATAAATGGGACAGAAAAAAAAGTTGGGGTCTTAATAGCCCATCTGTCTGCACACTCTGTATGGATGCTAGATTTCATTTTACTAACAGTTTTTAAGATTTAAAGGTCATGATTTGTTTGATGCAGAGTAGGGCTGACTTACCTGAAAGGCAAACATACTGTAGCTGCTAGTGAGGAAGCTGAAGCCCTTCCCCAACTTCACCTCCTTGCCTCTTAATAAGTTGAACAAAAGTTTGGTTGAGTCAGCATGACTGAAGCTTCGTCTACGTCTTCATCCAGTCTTTGAGCCAACGTAAAGGTCAGCATGTTTCACTTCAATACTTAATGCAGACCCACAGGTCCATGTCAGCATTAAAAATGTATAGAAGAATAGAGAGTATAAAAATAAAACACAGGTACGGCCAAAAACAAAGATAAAACAGCTACAGTTTTCACACAGTGATTAAAACACAAAAAGACATCCTACAATCCTCCATCCGTGTTAAATTTTATCATAGTTATTGACACTGATTTCGTTATTGCCCAAACCTGAACTACACATCATGACCAGACTTGCTCTTGTGCCGTGAGTCTGAGCAGTTTTTTTAGCTTCCTGTTTCGAGTTTATTGGGGGACAAAACGAGTATCAAAAGCATCTACAAATTGCCATTGATACAACAAAATTTGAGTAGTTTTATTTATCATGTTGTGGTGTGAAAATAAGGTGGGAAAAGTAAAGGATCAAGAAGGGGTGTTGTCAGGATTTGGCTAAGGGTTTATCTCTGTCATCCTCCCTTTTCTTCCTGTTTCCTTCTTTCTTTGCCAAATTTTAGACTTAATCTTCTCAGATTTCACACCACCTGCCATCGTGACCTGTTACCTGCAGCATGTGCAGACTCTTATTTAAGTAACACATGCACAGTCTAAATCAGCTGTGTGCTCCCTCAAAGTGACACTCTACTCTAACTTTATTTAAAGTTGAATAAAAATAAAGGACAACACTACAAACATTCAAAAGCTGCAGAGATCAGTGTTTTAGGTTGATTATCACTTTAAGTGTCTTCTGCCATAAAAACACACTGCCTCCAAATCTGTCAGATAACCCAGTTACCGTCAAAGATTCCTCCCATCCCTGCTATGACCTCATGTGTTTTCCATGTCGTGTTTTCCTCACTTCTGTTTCAGTGTTTGACCCGGAGGCAGAAGAAGATCGGGTATCTGAAGAGGTCTGAAAATTGTAGCTGTAGGTGAAGGCACTGTGATGAGTGAAAACAGAAACCGGTCAGAGTAGCTGGACAGGATGCTGGAATGAGGAGTGTTCAGGTAAAATGTTGATAGTAAACAGTGACCCATGTTAGCCTAACGGGCCAAACTGGTGGTTTTTGTGGAGTTTGTGTTTAAGTGGGAATCTATTGCTGAGATTGCAAGTTAGAATTAGCTGATATCTTCAGCAACTGCTACGTTTGTCCGTTACCAGGTCCTGCACTATCAAAGATGACCTCCTAATTTTGAAGGTCCAGAAAACGTTTGTTGGAGATGGAAAGAGGAGCAGTTGCTAACTTCTTGATTTTTACATTTGACATGTTGATTTATAGTTTGCATGAGCTAAAATCGGGTTCACACTTCAAAAAAACATTTTTTTAAATTCTTTATTTTGCTGGACACATGAACAGCAGTATGAAACATATTTTAGACGGTTGTCGGCAGATAAGTCAATGTCAAGAGCTGTCACTGGTTGCAGCAGTAAAGGTCTTTCTTTCAGGAAGCTGTTTCAGCTCATTTTGGCACACTGCAGAAAACAGTCAACAAGCTGAAAAAGTGAGCAGCTGAGTTTTCTCTCCATGCTGCCTTCAGGTCTAGTGGGACGTCCCCAAAACACAGGTGGACCAGGTGTAAATATTGTCGAACAACAGGGAGACATGTTGCTGTTGTATCTCTTCAGTCTCTGTATAAAGAAAATGATCTGGCTGAACCGACAGTTGAGTCTAAACAAGTGCCGACACATGAACTCTTCCCTGTCGCTGCTTTTTCACACCAAACCTTTTCCAACTGGATCTCCCACGGGAGCGAACGCAGCATGTTTTCTTCTTTCTCCCCCCTTCTGATCTGCTCCACCGCCTCCTCTGCCTGCTTGCTGTCCCATGATTCATAGCTGCTGAATAATAGATGCTCTTTTCAGAGATCTCTGGAGGGCTTCATCAGTACACCCCGGCTGCGTCTCTCCCCCCTCGCTACTCTTTCATCCTCCTCGTCACTCCTCTTCAGGAAGCTCAGCGTGGTTTGTTTCTTCGTCCTCCTCAGCCTCTGCCTTCTTTTATTCTGCTATTATATAAAAATCCGCTTGGCTGCTTATTTTTACGACATATTTGAATTTGATTGTAGTCGCTCCTCCTCAGGTTCTTGTTTTTAAATCCAGTCCCTTCAGCTCAGGATGAGCTCTACATGTTTGATTGTTTGCCATTTAGTGTGAAGGCCTGTGAACTCTTCATCCCTCCTCTCCCTCCCCCTTTGATCTCATCTGTCTTTGCTTTCAGACTTTGACATGTCTTGACACACCCAGTGAAGCCTCTCTACTTTAAAGAGGATTTCAGCTGATCTAGAATCAGATTACTGCAGGGTGTAAAACACACACCGATCTGTAACTTGCTTAAAACTGTCAAATAGGAATCATTTGAACTTTATATCCGTGGTTTAGAGCATTTTTGGCTTGTTAAACGAAGTTGTGAGTTCTTGTGAAGTGCAGGTTTCATGTGCTTAGAGATGGTGAGAAGTTCAAGCAGAACATTTTTTTGCCTTGCAGGTTTTTATATCTAAAGTTTTGGAGCCTAAGTGGGCTGGGTTGTTTAGCAAGAGCTTATTTTCAGCCCTGATTTCAATATCTCAACAGTTGATGGATCAACTATGACGACAATTTGCCCCTTAAGCTCACCTAAGACAACTAGTCCTCTGTGTATTCCTGACTGGCCAAGATGAGTATTTTTTTATGTGGTTTTAAAACTGAACAGCATTCTTACCAGCAAAAGCAACCCTCCCAGGCTGCTCATATGCAACACTAAGAAATGAGATGTTCTGTTATACCTGCTCAAAACTGAGATTCTACTTAACACTATCATTCAGCTCAAATCTTTGCTGCTGCAGTGTGCTTTTTCTCTTAAAATTTTAAGTCTTGACTTTCCAAACAGAGCATTTGGAGGGTATTCATTAGTGATTATAGTTGTAAATCGCCTCCAAGTGTAAGACGAGTCATCAAGAAAAGCCCATGTTGTCCTGTAATCTCAAACTCTAAAACACCTTTTTGCACGGCTTTTAGGTCGATTTTGTTGTAGCTATCAGGTCAGATAATTACATAAAGGCACAAGAAATGCAAGACAGAAGCAATAAGTATATTCTTTATTTGGATGACCCATCATTTTTTTTTGTCCCATGATCCTAAACTGACTTTTTTAACAGGGCTATCTGTCTGTAGTCCTGATCTGATTTGCTAAATTATAGGGCTGCTCTAGTTTTTCCCTCTTTTTTAAAAATATGTTTGTATATTTTTTCGCATAAGATCATCACATCTTAATAAATATGAAGCAAAACAGAGTTTTTGTATTCACAAGGCAGATTATTTACTGGCACTTATGTAAAGGACATCAGTCTCAATTTGACTGAATTTCAGTCTCTATCCAAATTCTGTTTATTATTTTTTTTCCCAGTGGTCTGCTCTTTGATTATATATTGTATTTCTAGTTTGACCCATGACCCATCTGTTCACATGGAGAAAGCAAGCTTTTTTTTATCTATACTGGAGCCATTCAGGAGATGGAGCTCTTTGTCATTTAGCTTTACTTTAGCTAAGTTTTTTATGTTATTTTACACTCTTGTCATGGATCGCATAAAATAGAAACACTGTTGAAATGACCGTTGCCTTGAATATTTGACAAAACCCATCTGATGCTCAAATCTGTGCTGACCCAAAGGGTGGTAGGATTTATGATTTGTTAGAATGAGGCTTAAAGCTGTTATAAATATGGGGTAAATACTCCAATAAAGGTAAAATGATCAAAAAATTTCTTTCAAGTTGAGGGAAATGGATTCAAATCTGTAAAAACACCAAGTTTGACGCTTTAGGAGGTTCATAAAGAAACTTGCTTAACTCATGGCTGTGGTTTGGAGTCGGAGTAAATCAGCTGACGGTTTATAATTTCATTTCTGTCACCATCTGTGTTTTTTAAAGTAGTTTGTTGCCAAGTTGCTGCCCACTCCCTGTTTATATCAGCCTGATTGTTTTGTGTTGTTTTATATTTCCGTCTTTGTGTTACTGTATAACAAAAGCATCCCCCCCTCCTTGTTTTGGCTCTGCATCTCCTCTCTTCCTCAGAGTTTCTTTTGAGCAAAGTTTGGATTTCATGAGACATCCGTAAAGATGGAGATGTTTGTGGAGGATGATGTTGGATTCAGGGAAAACCTCTGATGTATTCAGTGTTTGTACAGAGGAGCAAACTGTTGTGATGATAATGACAAAAAAATGTAATACACTACTCTGGTTTGTGGCTAAAGCTGCTGAGTAATCTTAAACAAGTTGTGTGTGTGAATGTGTGTGTGAGAGAGTGTGTTATTTACACACCAAGCCGACCAATTTTCTTTTTTAAATTATTGATTGTACAGTTTCAAGTTAAGGGGATGAAGAGACCAACTTTTTCACAATAAAACTATTGAATGTTGGAGTCAAGTTGTTGCTGTCAAGTGTTTTTCATGTTGACATACAGGGTAGTAATTTGTTTCTTTTGGGTAGGACGCCATCTGCTGGAAACACTGTGTTAAATCGCCCCATTAGTCAGAAAAATACCTCCAAAGATTTGTGTTAATACTAAACACAGCTGTTACAAACAATTGAAAAACGCTGAGATACAAAGTCCAGGTTTTTCCTACTGAAAAACAGATTTGAAGAAACAACAGAAGACCTTTATTCTGAGTGTATGATTACGTTTATGCAGATTTAAGTGGATTTTTCAGAACCTACTTACATCTCTGAACCTACTTACTGAACTTTTTTTATTGGGTGACTTTTGTGTTTTAGATATTTAGTTTGCAGTCAAATTGAATAACCAGGGCTGTCAAGCACTTAATATGGATCAATGACAGACGTTAAATAGCTGATCACATCTTCATTAAGAGATGGTTTTGATTATAGTGATCCCTGGTTAATACAACAGCATTTGCACTTTTCAGGAGTTCCATATTTCTTGCTCTCTCTGTTTCTTAGTGGTCGTGTATGCCTAAGACTGTTGCTTACCACATCCATAAGGGATGAATGGTGTTAACCATATGCTGTATGTAGGACATGCCAGCCTTGGGACACCTTTTAGACCATAATCCTCCACAGTATTGACTGGTCTGCAGTCAGTTTCCACTCACTTAGTGGCAACCAAGTGGCTTCAACATTTATGTATCTCTTTCTGCAAATCTCCGATTTGGAAAATCTCTCTGTGGCCCTAAAGGCCAACAGCAAAAACATTTTACATAACTATAAAATCATTTCAAAAATTCAAAATGGTATAAGAACTGCAAAAAAAATTCGCCAATGTCTTTGAAACTTTTCTTTTTAAGAAAAAAATATTTTTTTTAATTTTCATCTTTTTTTTTTTTTCCAGTCTGAAAATTGTATTTCAAAAATTCTCACCTAAGCTCCAATGTTATGTTTCATTCTTAAAATGTTGGGATCAGTCTTATTTTGAAAAGTGACCGGATGTGCTTTATGCTAGCGCCACACTGGCGCTGTCTTCACGAGATTGAACATTGCACGCCAAGCTGTTGTTCTTGCGCTGAAAACAGCAGAAAACCCACAAATATCAGACGTTTATCGGGCTGTGAACACAGCCGATTGTTGTCCGGCATCATGTCGAGCATTCAGCTGCTCAGAGTCCTTGTCAATGAGCGTCTGTCTGCGGCCGCAGAGGAGATCTTCGAGGCAGTGAAGAAGACCATCGCGGGCTATGAAGAGGAGATCCTGCTGTCCAAACGGGAGATCCGCCGGCAGCGCAGGATGCTGCAGACAGTTTCCAAAACTGATACTAAGTTAAACAAACACTCAGGTTTGTCTTGAACATGTGTATACTTCTTTAATATGTTAACCCATGAGCCCGGCTCTGACTATGCTCTGAACCGCTATTAACAAGAGCTTCAACAACGCCCACTTTTCCTGCTGAAATTAGCCTGGAGATGTTAAAACAATGCTGTTAATTCAGCTCAATTGATGTAAATTGGCAGTTTTTCTGAAATTTAGTCCCCTGCTTTTCCTCTTCTAAACAAATTGATAGCTAATACTGATAAATGCTACGTCAGGTTTGTTATCAGGTTAATTTGCCTCTTATTACTCAGGTTCTTCCGGGGTAACATGATGCCTGTCTAATGTTAACAATTACAGGAAGCCAAACTCCATTATAAAAAATTGAAAATGCAACAGTTACAAACTTATTTCTCATTGTGTGTGACTAGTTTGCTCTGATAAAGGATTTTATGTTTGTAACAATGGTATCCCTAAAATTCGGCATATAAGGCGTTTTTTGAAAAGCTTTAAAAAAAAACAGTTGATTAAACTTTAATTGTGTCCGATATAAGAAAAGATCTTGAAACTACAAATGCCTTTTACAGGACCCCGATGTTTGATCATTCACTAGGTTGAGGATAGTCTTACACAGGTGAAGTTTTTTTTTAAAAAAAAGCTATTGCAGTCACCATAGTAAGGAGGAATTATTATAAATGAATTAAATCAGTGAAATTAATTGCAATTAAAACTGGAAAATGTACTGAATGTTGTCCTCAGAGAGTAGAGATTTTCGTGAAAACACCATCTGACTAATAAGGTGGTGCAGAAATTGCAGAAGTAATACACATGACTTTTATATCATCCAGTCAGACAGACATGCTTTAGAAAACTAAAAATTTAGATCAATAGTTTAACTTTTATTATGTTATTCAAGGAATAATATGGTATGGTATGGTCGTTATTGTCATTGCAACTTGTGCGCAACGAAATTGCATTTACAGATTGGTAAAGTACACACAAGAGGGAGGGAGAGGAGGAGGTAAAAAAAGAGACTGCTTTCATTAATATGAGTGCAGTGACAAAAAAACCCTCAGCAACATGAGCACATCACTGACATCACATACACAGAGATTCGGAGGCACGCAATTGCTGTGGGGGGGGGGTAGTGGAATGGGTCATCATCAGTGATGGTGGGAAGCCCACAGCCGCTGCCCACGGGCGGCGCCAGTCAGGGTACCACCCACCGCACTGAGGGGTGAAGCATCGAAGGTGTTGGGTGGGGGAGAGGTGAGTGTGTGCGTATGTGCATGTGTGTGAAGGCTCATGGATGCGTGTGTGTGTAGGCCCAGGAGATCATAGGCCCAGGAGGTCACTCCGTCCATCGCCACAATCTTGGTGCCGCAGGGTGTCAGCGCGATAGCACAGCTGTTGCTGTGGTGATGACCTTGATTGAGTTCCAGACGAAGTCAACAATCCGCAGGTGTCCGTGAAGGAAGGTGTTGGGGAGGAAAGTTCAGAGCATCGAATTGCTGAGATCTCCTGGAGGAGTTATGCCAGCATTGACCTTGGCCAAGGCCGATACCGAGAGAGCCGAATAGTAGATTAGAATAGTTGGGTTAGAGCGAGTATCCACATTCCAATAGACTTCAGATACTCTGATTGTTCATCCATCCATTGTCCATTAAGAGTTTTGAAGTTTTAAAGAGGTTTTTAAAAGTTGATGTTTCGTTTTGTTTCTCAGATCAACCTCAGCTTGCTCTTTCTGTCTGGGACGAGGAGTGGAGCCCCAGTCTGGACCATGACGATGACGAGGAGCCCCCACATGTTGAAAAAAGCCAGGAGGACCCCCCCAACAGCCAGGAGTTGGAGCCACTCCAGGAGCTGCAGGAGGATACCACCATCAGGTTCATCTTCACACCTCCGTACGTGAAAAACGAGGTTAGCCCGCTTCATTCTGAATATCAGAGTATCAAATTAGAGGGAGATCCTCTGCCTGGTACTTCAGCTGAGCAGGATGGGGAGCAGGCTGAGGTGGAGGATGCTGCGTCCCACAGCTCATCTCCTACAGACAATAGTGACAATGAGTGGAGGGGAAGTGCGATTTCACAGAGTGATAGCGAGAGTGAAGGCCCCCCGAAAAGAAAGATGCCTCGTCTACCAATGGCCCCAAAACTGTACCCCACTAAAAAAATAAAATCAAGAATCTGCTGCAAAGTCTGCGGGAAAGGCTTTCACGCTGTTGTCTCTCTGGTTAATCACCTGGAGAGTCACCCGAAGGACGTCTGCGGTGTGTGCGGGGAGCATTTTGAAACTGAAGAGACATTTCAAGTCCACCTTAAAACACACGTGAAAGCTGAAGTCTGTAGAGTTTGTGGAAAATGCTTCGGGGCCTCCAGCTCCCTGGAGACTCACATGAGGATCCACACAGGAGAGAAACCATTTAACTGCAGTGAGTGTGGGAAATCCTTCAACTGCCGCCACAACATGATGCGACACATCCGGATTCACACAGGAGAGAGGCCGTATCCTTGCACGGTCTGTGGTAAATGTTTTAATGACTACTCCACCTTGAAGCGCCACCTAATGATTCACGTGCACAAGAAGGTCCATGATGCTTCGCCTGTTAACGAAGATGAAAACGGTGATGACGGTGAGGAGAAAGTACAAACAGCATCACCAAAGAAGCAGCAGTCTCGAACCATATGTGAAGTTTGTGGGAAAATGTTCCACTCTATGGTCTCTCTGGTCAATCATGCCAAAAGTCACTCCACAGACCTGTGTGGCGTTTGTGGGCTGCGTTTTGACTCTGAGGAAAACTTAAAAAACCACCTGAAAACGCACAGAAATGGGAAAGTCTGCGAGGTGTGTGGGAAGTGTTTCGACAGTCAGGGGAACCTGGAGATGCACATGAGGGTGCACACGGGGGAGAAGCCTTTTCTCTGCAGTGAGTGCGGAAAATCCTTCAACTGCAGACACAACATGATGCGGCACATCAGGACACACACAGGCGAGAAGCCATACCTGTGCAACGTCTGTGGGCGGTGCTTTAGTGACCACTCCACGCTGAAGCAGCACACCAGCACGCACACTGGAGAGAAACCACACCGCTGTGAGATATGTGGGAAAGGCTTCCACCGAAAGACTTACGTGAGGCTCCACATGAAGAGTCACTCCACAGAGAAGTAACTGCTGGGAACATGGCAGGCTGTGATAAAAACTTAAAGCTGCTGTGAGGAGTTTGGCGCCCCCTGTGGGCAGAGATGTACACCTTATCACTTTGCTGACTTTATCCAGTACATGTGAAGATAAGAATTTCTGACAAAAATCTCATCTAGCCTTTTTTTAACAGCCAAAGCGTGTCTCCGTGAAGGTTGACAATATTAAGATATGCTCTTGCGTTTGAATGCTGTCATTCTGATCTGACACCGACGCACTCACTCGCACTCTGTCCTGCACCAAGTAAAAATCATTTTGGCATGCAGCACAGGTGTCATTGTTATTTTCAACCTGATTCACCCGCCAGCACCCACACTACTGAAATAGCAGGGGGAACTTGAGCCCATGTTGGCGCCCTGGGGTGTGGTGGACAGGTAGAAAGGCGATGCGTCGCTATCGTAAAAAAGAAGTGTCTTCACCTTACACCCTCTAAACCCGGGTCTGAAGTCTGAAATCTGTGGCTGTCAGAAAAATTAAACTGCATCTGACTTGCAGCCAGCTGAGAAGAACGACAGAGATAGTGGACTTCTTTTTCTTGGATGTCTTTTACTTGCAAGCAAAGGCAGCTTCCTCTGACCGAGGAATTCAGATTTTTACACATCCTTTGTGCAGTTAAGAAACAGAAACCCCCGCCCAATAACATCATCTCACAAGTGGCATGACATTACAACAGTATCCGAATAGGGCACAGGTTGCAGCTGTGGTCTGTACTGGGAGAACAAAGACAGCTTAGTTCATCATCAAGTTCCTGCTTATCAGTTCAATGTCACTCTGTTGGGAAAACAACCTGTGAGTGAAATTGTAGCATTCATCTAGTTTCATGGCTTCAGCGGAAAAGTATCAGTCTCAACTCCAAGGCCATACTTCTCCTTTCCCATGCTCATTAAAAAGAAACAGATATGACTCTGCAAGCATTCACACCAAGTGAGTTTCAGTAAATGATGATCAACATATTTATATAATGATAAAATACACATGTGGTAGCATACACATACAATTTTTCTCTCAGTGGCGCTGTACATTCCTGACATTGAGCTTTAGTGAGAGAGTAAAAAGGTCATCAGAGTTCACAATTAGAGATGGGATTTATGCTGCGTTCCAGTTGTACTCAGAAAGTGAAAGCTCTGGTAATGTATTATTTATTAGGACTTCTGTTTTGTTTTTATGAAATTAAATAAGTGGTATCTGTTGTACTCCCCAACGTCTAACTATGAACACGGTGCTCTGATGTTTGTAGAGAAAACTAACAACAGCTGACAACCGCTTACGACAGCTGACGATTGTAAACAACAGCTAACAACAGGTAACTGTAGGCGTCCATTTGGTTTTCCGACTTGTAAACTGAAACGTCGTCAACTCGGGTGTAGCGTCATTCCCAGCTCAGACATTGGAATTTCGAGGTAACTGGAACGCAGCATGATGGCTCTTTAAAACGAGCTGGATCTTGAGGAGCCATTTCCTTCAATGAGCCATTCAAAAGATTTGCTCATTTGTTATATTTATTTATTTATTCATTTTTCAGAAGTCAACCAGGGGTACACATGAGTGGGAGTTATTCAGAAATACTGATTACAATTTCAGATAACTGTTTAAAATAAAGACATGGTAAAAATGTGAATGCAAATTTTGACTACCCTACCTGGTGTTCGAGGCACACAAGTGACATGTGAAGGCAGCGTTTGCAATTTGCATTTCGGAACGGCTCGCCATTGTGAGCTCCCACCCGAGATGAAATGTCTGTGTTTTTGTAGATACAGTAAAATCTATTTTTTTATTTGGTCACTTGTCTGTTAATTTGAAGAGTCTGTGATTGTTTCTAATGTTCAGAGTGTTTGTTACAGTGGATTTAACATCAATCCCTCTGCATAAACATAACTCACACAGTGTGCTCTCTCTGTGTTTGTAGAGGAAAAGTAGAAAGAGGGAAGTTGAACATTAGCTTGAGCCTGGTCTGTTTGAGTAGAAAGACTGAAATCCACCACTGATGGGGCTGTCTGCAGGTGTACCTGACACTTAGAGGGAATGAGAGCAGAAGCACTGATTGATTTATGTTAGACCCAAAACACACCAATAAATAATTGAGGGACTTGATACAACCTCTTTGCTCTCTGCACGTCACTTCGCTCCCAAATTGTGCGTCGCTTGTACTGAAAAGTATGATTGGACACACCTGAAATCACTCACCACCACAGGCTTTTGACTCTGCATTATAGGAAGTTTTAATAGAATTAGAAAAATTACTTCTAAAAATTGTCAATCTTACTCTTGATGGTCTCGTCTGCGTTTGTAGAGGCATCACCAAGAGGTTTTTCACCATTTATAAACTCCTCACAGAAGTTTTAAAGTGACCTGGTTTATAGGACTGATTTGACCCCTGACTGTCGTGTATCATCACACCTGCTTATTTGTTTTGTTTTGATTTTTTAACTTTTTTTTCACAATGGTTGAATCTTTTGTTTTTAGAATAACTGTGAAATGTTAATAATGTCTGTCTTCAGTAGGGAATTACCACCAGACTGTTCAGTTTGCTTACAAATCCTGGATAATAAAAGATATCCAAAAGAATGAAAGCTGTTATTTAATTTTGTCCACTAGAGGGCAGCAGAACAAGCTGCAAACCAGACATAGTGACACTTGACTTGTTTGTGTTTTAACAGCTTTAAAAGTTAATCTTGCTCCCTCCCCCGAGTCCCTTGAGGTTCGTTGTGAGTTAACAAAACGAAACTTTAAAAGACTTCTTGAACCTTTCAGTTTTGTTTTACATGAAACCATCAGGAGACAGCAGCTGATTAAAAACAGGTGTGTCAACATAGAAGAAAATCACAGGCTGAGCGAGCCAAAGATTAGACTTATGCCAAAGAAATTTATATAATCTGTTGGAGGCCATCCTGAGAGCGTCTACATCTGTAGCCAGTTTGAATTTACATCAGGAGAGTTACCCACTTTTATTTTTAGTCTGTCCCCTGAGATGCACAAAACTGGCCTTTGAATTTTGAACATTGAAAGGAAAGTTTTACCTTCAGTACTTTCAAGATGTACAATTTTAAGGAATTAACACCCTGGGCGTAGTCTCCACCGGGCATGTACAAATTGATAGAATCATCCTCATGCATCACAAGAGCTTCTTGTCCTCAAAGGCCGCCATCACTTCACAGATAGGAGGGGTAAGCAAGGTCTAGAATCGGACTGATTACTGAATATAACCACTTCTACTATTAAACACAGATATTTTAAAAAAAGGAATGCAAAAGCAGTCTTGTGCAGTGTCACATTGTAGTATATCACATTTTACTCCTCCACCTGTAACACACACACACACCTCTTAAAAACATCAAACACAAAATAGCATTTCATCTGAAGTCTTTTTGCAAAAAAAGTCTTCTGATTAAATTTTAGATAAAGCAAAACCGCACAGACTGTGAACTTTCTCTGCCTGACAATGAATTACAAATGATCGTACAGAAAAAAAAACAGCCTTAAAAAATGTAACTAAGTCTCAAAACATCCCAACACACACATATATCTGCTCATAATCAGCTACACTCTTATCTCTGCAGCTCAAGGTGAAGACAGACTGCCTGGTCTGCAGAGCAAACACTAAATCTGTCTTGAGGGGAACAGAGAAAGATCCAGCGTGAGCTGTAAGTACTTTTTGATTCACTTTATTTAACTTTTTAGCTGCTCAGTCACAGTTTCTTATTGTACTTTTACCTCAGTGGAAAAATTGTGAATATGAATCTCCACCCATGACACACAACAAACGACACAGATACCGGGTGACAGAGTTAACATCACACTGTGAAAGAGAAATAATGCAGAGAGAGGAAAACAGATGAGTCATGAAGTGTGGCATTTTACTTTTTGAGAACATTGTGTTGCATTGGATTTTGGCTGAAACAAAGAGATTTATGTGTCATCACTTTATCAGTAGAGCTCATGGAAAATATCAAGTCAACCATTTTGATTTTAATTAACTCGTCTCAGAAGTGAAATCATCCAGAGATTTAATGCTCATTTGACATTTAACGTTCATGATGAGTCACAACTTATTAAACAGCCATGGTTGATTCTGTGGGACAACCAAGTCAAAAATATGTTATGTAAGCCAAGGGTGTGTCGTTAATAGATCTTTAAACATACTCTTCAAAACAGAAACTTTTCAAATGAGATTCAACACATCATTGACTTATTTGTGAGCAACGTTTTGAAGAATTTCATTTGCTTAGATTTGCATTACTTAAACTGGGCCCCACATTTCATTTTTATATATCTCAGAGTCCAAATGTCAAAATGATATATGAAAAGTTCTATTGCTTCAGATGAGGAACATGCTGTTACAGCTACAATGAAATGTAATTTTCCCTGGTCAATTCAGACCAGTAAAAGTGTTTTTTATCTCACTGACAGGCTCAGATTTTAATTTGAGTGTCTGACAACTTTACAAAAAGGATTTCTGGGAGAAAAAGTTTTTTTGTTTGTTTTTTTAAAGGAGAAATACCAGTTTTATCGCTCTGTTGAATCCCAGGCTGTGGACATCAAGATCAGGATCAACATCAAGATTGACTTAATTGTCCTTTGCAGGAAATTTGTTTTAGACAGTAGAGCTACACTTAGAGTATCACATATGCACAAAACAAAACAGATGTAACAGCACAAGAACTTTAATTTCACCCCATGAGCCCTGACGTTTCTGGTCATCTACTTCCTTAACCCATTTAGTTTGTGTTGTTCAATCTTAAAAGATACTGTAGAGGTCCAAAACAACATTTTAAAGGTTTCATATAATTAAAAAAAAAGTTTTCCTTGCCTAAAATTACTGTAGTCGTCTTACAACAGTAGAAAAAATTTCTGTGACCTCAGGGGAGTGACCTGGAAAGTCACAAAACTTCCTCGCTCACTGCAGCAGCAAACATCCCTCACATCCTGTGGGCAGCTCTTATATAAACTCCTGTCCAACATGAACGAAAGTCAGAAAATGTGAGCAAAAGGTGAAACGAAAGTGAAAGCATGAAAACCATATATGGTTTTTCCCTCCCGAAGTCTGAGGCCTTTATAAAAGTGAAGTCACCTCGCAGTCTGCATTACTGGGGAGAGCAAGAGAGAGGAAAGGTATGTGAACACACACTTTGTTTCTTTTGCTGTATTTGAAAAGTTTATCAGGATACCAATATAGAAGAGCACAAGTTATTGAAAAGTCTGATTTAAAGTTTACAACTGAAACTTTAGCTGTGGTTAAAATGACTTTTGTGAATAATTCATCAGAGAGAGATATAAAGGTAGAAGGAAGGGTTAAAATATCATCAAATACAGAGAAAACTAAGAGGTGTGGACGGAGTTCACTCAGTATATGTCCGTATAAAGTTTTAAACATGCTCCCTTTAGTTCCACAGGGTGGGCTTGCTGACTAAAAAAGTCTATGTAGAAATGCAAGGCTGAGACTAAGACGTTGTCCCAGTAGTTTAAAACATAGTAATGTGGTGTAAAAAAAGATAAGATAAATCTTCATTAGTGCCACAAGGGGAAATTCCCACATACAGTTCATCCTTTCCGAGAAACACACAGTAGACAGATGCATACAGGGTGACTGAAACAGGAAAACTGTCGGATCGCCAGCCTGACCGGCGCCCCTTTCTTAGATGAGAAAAAGGAGAACAAATAAGACAACAAAATAAACATTAACCCTTTTTCAAAGTAGTCACCTGTCAAATGTGCGAATATTTCCCGTTGTCTGTTTTATTTATGATTTTCAAAAATTAAGGCCCAACAGGAAATGGTTGAATGCTTAGGTGGCTGTGTTCTCATGTGATCTAATTGGCTGTCAAATGTGTTTTATCATTTCAAAATAGGATTTTTTAAACTCTCCTGATCATGTTTGTCTTCAATCTGTGTAGCGATTCATCAATAAGGAAGCTGGGAAATGACTGCAATTAATCTGAATATTGACATTTACATGCCTTACAACATGGAACAGAGTCATAATACATGATAACAATTCAGAAGTTTGAAAATTATACATCGCCATTGTCAAGCATGTACACACTTACATTAAGACATAGCTGGCTTTGCATGACAGCACAATGTTAAAAAGTGAGCTCATCTCTGGACTAAAAAACAACTCTCTTACAGTGACTCTGACAACATGCAGTACCAGTGGGCTGAAGATGACTTTCACCTGCCTGCTGGAGTTTTTCGATTGGGTCTCGCTGAGCCTGAGAGCGGTAGAACCTACATTATGTACCATGGCACCACCAGGCAGGCTGCTCAGTCCATCTTAGCCACAGGTTTTCGCCGGTCTAAAGGTGGGATGCTGGGACCTGGTGTCTATCTCACCAGAGACCTGGAGAAAGCAAGCCGCTATCCCATAGATCACCCTGTGTGGGACAGGGTCGTCATTAGAGTCAAGGTCAATGTAGGGAAGGTGATCATCATCAACCACCAGGGACACCAACTACAGAAATGCTGGCAACACTATGGATATGACAGCGCCTGGGTGCCACCAATGTGTGGGATGGTGAAGAGCGGTTTGGAGGAGAATTGTGTCTGGGATCCAAATCGAATCGATATCATTGATACCATAAAGCCACAGCCTGTGCCGCGTCACGGTGCATGTGGTGACATGTGGTGACATGTGAGCCAAAAAAGCTGTTACCAGTTAATTTACATTGTACAGATGTATCATTATGCATTTGTTTTCATTTTATTGGCAGTGTATTTTTACTTTGTCAGTGTATCCTGGAAAATAAATTGGTCTTATTAAACCTGGTTTTCTCTTTTATTGTCAAAAAGGCAAAGTGCATGTTATTTATAATAAGAATAATAATAAGAATAACTTTATTGATCCCCGAAGTGAAATTTAATTTAAAAAAACAATTAATCAAATAATAATAATAATAATAAATCAATTATTATTATTATTATTATTATTATTATTATTATTATTATTATTATTATTATTAATAACAATAATAATAATAATAATAATAATAATAATAATAATAATAATAATAATAATAATGATAATGATAAGAATTGATTGATTTTTATTTATTATTATTGTTATTATTATTATTATTATTATTATTATTATTATTGTTATCGTTGTTGTTGTTGTTGTTATTATTATTATTATCATTATTATTATTATTGTTTTTGTTGTTGTTGTTAGTTTAAAGTAACTGCATGCATGGCTTGTAGCAAAAATTATTGTCTAGAGGTGGCTCTAATCAAGCTGGGGTAAGCTCCAGTCTGGTCAGCTGTTTTCACAGGCACATTTTTAAGGGGGTTTTCTTTTCTCTCCTCTTTTGTCATGTACATTTTGGAGTAGGGGGAGGCAAAGCGTACAGCATGACCCTGCAGGTTGAGCTCTTGTTCAATGACCTAGGCTAAACCCTCCATTTCCTCTTTTTACAGACTCTTCCCTTTTTTCTCCCTTTTTCTTCCATGAAAGTGGGGAAAAGGTGGAAGGTAGAACAGGTTTTAAACCATGGTTTTTACATCCTTGTCTTCTTTCTAGCATCTCACCACACACTCTTCTGAATATTTTTCTTTCTCCTATCCTCTCCACCCACATTAAAGTGGAGGATTAGAGGGAGGTCTAGCGTATGGCCTTACCCTCTTTTGCTCTAATAGTTTTGTCGAGTGTTCTACAGTTCTCTATCAACAGATTTGTCTCTTTCTATGTATATGTTTGCATGCAGTTGGGCCCTTAAATGACACCTAGTATGGATGCTAACATAGATGCAGGATGCTAGAGCAAGCTAGAGCTTTTTATCATCCTTTACAGATTGCAGGTCTAACTGAGGTGTCTTGCTGATAATAACAGTAATGTACTGGCTCTTGCTGCCCATTTCTCTCATCTATCTTTATGCTTGGGTCATGGGGTACCGTAAATCAAACAAACACAAAATACCAACAAAAAAAAGGATCTTTAGAAGCAAAGTACCAAAACCACAAGATATTAAGAGGAAAATTAATAAAATAACAGAAAATTATCTAAAAGAAACAAAATCTTAACAAGGACAACAATAATAAAAAATCACTGCAACGAGGCCTCAGGATCCTCCCCTGGAGGTTTGGACTGGAAATCATCATGCCACGTTGCATCATAGATGAAATCTCGCGAGGACAAAAAGTCCCACGGCCATATACTCGAGAAACTTCTGTTACTGCTTGAAGTCTTTCTTCGGAGCAGACTGACCTCCGGGAACACTTTTCTACAGGAACTGTGGGAGAGAGGTATGTGGACACATATTTTTTCATCCTTAGTAGCCAGTATGTGGAAAAAAAGTTTTATAATTGAGATCAGATGAAGTTACTCAGTTCGGCGATGACTGTGCTCGTAATCCTTGACGATACACAGATGTCTCATCTTGGTATGGTCCTCCTTCGTGTTTTTGTTCATTCTTGTCTTATCTGCCAGCCCAAGATGATTTAGTCTGCTTGTTTAACTTCTCTGAGGGCCACCCATGTTCAGTATATACAAAGTTTTCCAGTGTTGGGACCTCATCCTGCTCTTTTCTATCTTTGGCCTTGCCCTTGCCTGCTCTGTATCAACCAGTTTGCATCGCCTTCCTTCATTCTTTGCGCAAAAACCTCTGAGATTGTAAAAATGCTGTCTATAGTTTTGTAGTAATCTGAAAAATATATAAAAATATAAAAGAAAGGTTCAAAAAAGTGCACATTAAAAAGTGCTTTTTAGATTAGGCTTTGAACAGACAGGAAATTTCCACTTGACCATGTGCAGTGGCCGACAGTGGACGACCTAGAGACTCCATTACATAGGCCACTGTGTGTGTGTGTGTGTGTGTGTGTGTGTGTGTGTGTATACATTCATATATACACATTGATCAACAAGACGTGTTTGTGTAAATTAAAAAGAGGGGACAAAAGCCATACAGCAAAAACAAGAAAATACATTTTTGATTCGAGATTTAACACCAAACAAAACTTCACAAATAAAACCTCACAAAAATTACAGGTCTTGTTTTGGGCCTGGGTAATAAGTAGTTTGTAGTCGATAAACCAAAAAGGTCTGAATCCTGTTCAGAGAAGTCAAGGTCATGTGCCAATGATGCAACTGAGTTGCTGTTGTGTAAATAGAGGTAATTCTCTGCCGTAAAGAATTTAACAATCCAGATAAGATGGAATTGATCATTTCATTCTGCCTATGCAACTTGAAGATTCTTGCCTTTTTTCTTTTTTCTTTCATCCTCATTCTTATAAAAATAATTTATAATGCACCTTCAAATTCAAGTATTGGTAGATCTGTTTTATTTGGTAAAGTTTGAATTTCGATTAATTAAATGATGATTTGCCTACAGTGATCCTGAAAGCACCATGCAGTACCAGTGGCCTAATGATGACGGCGATCTGCCACCTGGGGTGACTCGACTGGGTCGCTCTGGACCACAAAGTCGTCAAAGCTACATCATGTACCACGGCACCACCAGGCAGGCTGCTCAGTCCATTTTAGCCACAGGTTTTCGCCAGTCTTCAGACGGGATGCTTGGACGTGGTGTCTACCTCAGCAGAGACCTGGAGAAAGCCAGACGCTATCCCATTGGTCACCCTGAGGACGACAAGGCGGTCATCAAGGTCGTGGTCAACGTAGGGAGAGTGATCGCCATAAGGCAACAAGGCCACCCACGTCAGAAGACCTGGCATGACCCTGCTTATGGCCGGGTGTATGACACCGCCTGGGTTCCTCCCAATTGTGGAATGGTACCAAGCGGCCTGGAGGAAGATTGTGTCTGGGATCCAAATCGAATCCAAATCATCAAAGTCATCTACCCTCACCAGATACCCAAAACAGATGGATTGTGGGCAGTCGGTGTTGCCGGAGTTCTTGTTGCTGCTGGAACTCTACTGCTCAGACTTTTAAAATAGGAGCTGAATGATACTGTAACTGGAAGTGCATACACTGTGACATGGGAACAAATTGCTACTGAATTTATCAAGCTTTTTGATTATATTAAAAGCTAAAAATAGTCTGATTTGTGTGTTTTTTTATTTTCAGTTAATCCTCTTTAAAACATTACACATAATATGAATACAACTGAAATGAGTAAACACTTCCTTGTTAATTTTGGTAAAACTTTTTGAGATTTCCTCTCCACACTTTCTTGTGATTCACTTACTTATATATTTAATAATGAAAAGTATTAGCACATTTTAACAGTTGATGTCTTTAGTTTGGTGACTGTTCAGAGGAGTCAAGATTAAGCTATAAAACAAAGTGAGCTCACAGAAGATTCACCAAAACAAACACTAAGGAAATAATTTTGCAGCCTGTTTCCTTTTTCATTTTTTTTAAGCTGCAGCTACAAGTGCCACATCTTCCTGTGCGGTTTGGTTTCAGGGCTTGGCATGCACAGGAAATGATCAGAAAGGCTCACCCATGACACCAGGTGGAACATTAGAATTAAAATGTCATGTCAAATACTAACACTAACACCAGAGACACTGAAATTTCCTTGATGATGAGTGTTTTACTTGCTAACAGGAGGGATTGGGTACATACTGTCAGGCAGAGTGAAATGGTGGTGCTGACAGGACATGGTGCACAGGTTTGCTCAGAAACTACATCACATAAACAAACAATTTAAACCCAAAAAGTTTAATATTGAGCCTTGATGCCAACATTAAAGTCTTATTTAAAAATGACCTAGAGGCACTGATCGCTCCACTGCTTCCAAAACAGAAACCAAAATCCACTGATGTGTGGACCACACCTAAGTAAATACATTCTGTCTGACTGTACTCAAAAGTTAGAAAACTGTAAAATTGTCATGATTAATTCTTGTAGTTTTAGATTTTCCTTTATTCCCATTTTCAGCCTATAGATCCCCTGTGCTCATGTTTCATGTGCGTTTTCAGTGTGTCCATGATCCTGATCTCCTTTTGTTTTTAGTGTTTTATTCTTGTTGATAGTTTTCAGTGTCCCTGTTTTATTTTGTAGTTTCCTCTCCTTGTGTGTCTGGTTTAGTTTGACTTCCTGTGTTTTCCCTCCCTTGTGATTGTCTGCACCTGTATCTTCCTGTCTCCCCTGTCTCTTGTTGCTTGTTACCTATAAGTCCCAGTCTTCCCTTAATGCGTTGTTGTCATTGTCTAAGCTTTACCATGTTTCGATGCTGCTGTGCAACCCTACCTCATGTTTTTCCACTGCCTTTTTGTTTCTTTGGTTTATTTCCTCTTGGTGTTTTTGAATTTGGATTTTTTCAGTTGGACATTTTCTATTGAAATAAGTTTTTGCCGTTTCAAGTTTAGTTTTTCTTTATCAAAACATTTTAAATTTCCACTTGGGTCCTCCCTTTTGTTTTACATGTGACAGGAATGAAAGTAAAAGTGTGAACGTGTGCTCATAAAACAACCAAAACAGACTGAGCTCTTAGTTGGCACTCTGAGGAACCTGCAGAGAGGAGGTATGTAAACTCAATGTTTGTTTTTCCCCTGAAACTATTAGGAAACATCTAAGGACTAATTAAACCGGTGAACTCTGGGAAGGCTTTTGCAGGAAGAGAATTACTTTGCAATGGTTTATTGAAAGTTGCCTTACTCCTTGAAAATGATGGAATAAAGTTAGTGATGGTAGTTCTATTGACGTGCAAATATACAACACTGCGCAGCACAGGGGAGACAAGGTATGCTTGTAACACTTTTTGCTTCAGTGCCTTTAATTCTCTGAATTTTTGAACTGGAGTTCTCAAACTTTAATAATAGACAGTACCCATATTTATTTACTGCAAATGGGATCAATTCGAACTTCTGCAAAAATATCACAGACCTCATGATGTGATGCCAATTACATGGTGATTTTTTGTTACAACCTGCTCCACTACTGAGTTAAGTTGTAACAACTGGACAAAAAAGCAACAACAAAAAAACAAAATAAAAAAACAGAGGCCACACCAAAAAGAGATTTTGGTTTTCCCCCCAAGCCACTGTTCCGCTTTACTGTAATGAACAATCTTGTGATCCTAAAGTGATTTGCCGTTTTTGGTCAGTGTTACATGGCAGACCCCATATGCCTTTGAGACTTATCTGACTGACTTTCCCTTCTTTGTGATCTCATCAGGTGCTTTTTTAAATACATCTGCAGGCACATCTGTCATAGTTGAGGGTTAATATTGTCAGGCTGTCCTGTCTCGTGACATCTATCTGATTTTACTTGTGATGTAATCAGTTTAAGAGTTATTTTTCTGATGCCTCCCCCTGAACTGGTTCTCATTTTGTGAAATCAAATTTGTCCATTTATAGCGCTCTTAGATTGTTAAATAATTTTCTGGGTTAGGCTCTAAGTTTGTTTTGTTTGCATCAATGTCAATTTAAAAAAATGTTCTGAAGTCTTTACATCAATTCTTCCTTTGATTTAGTGAAGCTATACTGACATGTCACACCAGTGGGTTGAAGATGATGGTGATGTGCCACCAAGAGTCAGTCGTGTGGGTTGCTCTGGACCACAAAGTCTTCAAAGCTACATCATGTACCACGGCACCACCAGGCAGGCTGCTCAGTTCATTTTGACCACAGGTTTTCGCCAGTCTTCAGACGGGATGCTTGGCCGTGGTGTCTACCTCAGCAGAGACCTGGAGAAAGCCAGACGCTATCCCATTGGTCACCCTGAGGACGACAAGGTGGTCATCAAGGTCGTGGTCAACGTAGGGAGAGTGATCGCCATAAGGTATCAAGGCCACCCACGTCAGAAGACCTGGCATGACCCCGCTTATGGCCAGGTGTATGACACTGCCTGGGTTCCTCCCAATTGTGGAATGGTGTCAAGTGGCCTGGAGGAAAATTGTATCTGGGATCCAAATCAAATCCAAATCATCAAAGTCATCTGCCCTCGCCCGACACCCAATTCCTCTGTCAACACAGATGAATTATTGGCAATCGGTGCTGCTGGAGTTCTTGCTGCTGCTACAACTCTACTGCTAACACTTAGGAGCTGAATGATACTGTAACTAGAAGTGCATACACTGTGACATGGGAACAAATTGCTACTGAATTTATCAAGCTTTTTGATTATATTAAAAGCTAAAAATAGTCTGATTTGTGTGTTTTTTATTTTCAGTTAATCCTCTTTAAAACATTACACTTAATATGAATACAACTGAAATGACTAAAGGTGGTTGATGGTGTTAAGAACAATGAAAAATGTGTTTGCGAGCTATTACCCCTAGTAAATACAAATTCATAACTCTAAGTGGTCACAACAGAAGTTACCTTTATCAGCTGAGTCCTCCCTTTTGTTTTTGTTTTACATGTGACAGGAATGAAAGTGAAAGATGTGAACGTGTGCTCATCAAACTTTAAAACTGGTGTTGAAGTTCGTTACAACAAAGCAGACTGAGCTCCTTGAGGACAGGTATGTGAACTCAATTTTTGTTTTTCCCTTAAACTATTAGGAAATATTTAAGAACTAAGAAAACCGGTTGACTCTGCAAAGGCTTTTGCAGGAAGAGAATTACTTTGCAGTGGTTTACTGGAAGTTGTCTTACTCTTTGAAAATGATGGAATAAAGTTAGAGATGGTAGACAGTATCTGTATTTACATGGGCACAAATAATCGGCATAAATGCCCAATCTGAATAAAAGTGCATTATGTAAACATGTCGATCGGAGGATTCTGATCCAATTCTGCTCATTCGGCAAGAAATTGTATTCCTACCGAGAGGGGTGGTTTATCATGATTGTTATTCCAAAACGCGTCCATGCAAGCACTTATTCAGATTGTGACTCTCTTACCTGACTCGATCTTCACTCTTTAGCCTTTGTTATTTGTTATTTACACTCTAGCGTAAAACACAAGCGCAGGTGCCGGGTCTGCTCCTCTGATGACATAAGGCGTGCATACAGCGTAATGATGTCACATCTGCACGCACAGTGCAACCTTTCACAGAGCAGTAAAATAGGTACGCAAGGGCGCCATCTAGTGACACTATTTAACAGGGAGACAACTCCTGAACTGGGTGGAGGGAGCCACTGACACGTTTGTTGACAGCGCAGGCGTAAATACAACTCTTCTTCTGCGGTTGTTTTAGCGAAATCAGACAACTCTGCGCATGTCCAAATGCTTCTAATCAGAATCAAGCTTGGTGCATGGATATGCACGTCATGATCGGATTATTTGGTTTTGCACCCATATAAATAGTTTATTCAGATTATCCGATCGCTCAAATTTTAATCGGATCAAGAAACTTTGTCCATGTAAACATGGCTACAGAGGTAGTTCTATTAACGTGCAAACATCCAACACTGCACTGCGAAGGGGAGACTAGGTATGCTTGTATCACTTTTTGCTCCAGCACATTTAATTCACAGAATTTTTGAGTTGGAGTTCTCAAACTTTAATAATACACAGTACCCATTTTGTTTAGTGCAAATGGCATCAAGTCAAACCTCTGCAAGAATATAACTGACCTCATGAGGTGATGTTGAATACATGGTGATCCTTTGTGACAACCTATCCGACTACCGAGTTAAATTGTAACAATTGGACAAAAAAAGCAATAAATAAATAAAGGCCACATTATGTGATATACTTTAAAAAAATAGGTTTATTAAAATAAAATAACAATCCAAAATGTCTCTCTCTCTCTCTGTCTGTGACTGACCATAACTCAAATCCACTTTCTCTTTGACCCAAGAGGATGTGTGTTTTGTACGTTTTTAAACTAGTCAAGAACAAACTTCCTTGATGGTATGTATGCTTAATGAACACCACAATGTAGCTGTGTAAAGAACATGTAGGTCTAACAAAAAAACTGTCTCTGTGTGTTTGACGTTACATATTATTGCCAGTTGATATGCAAACTCTCTGACCTAAATAAAAGTGAAATAGAAAACCTGAGTACATAGTCTGGCACCTACACTAGCATTCAGTTCTATTCTGGTCTTCATTGGTTGACCTATCATATGCTTACCCCATGTGGAGTCAGTCCATAATACAGGTCTGCTGCTTGAGTCAAATAATCAGTTGACGTTGCCTCCTGCACCTCAGAGAAAACTTAGTTGCTGCTCCAGTAATCTACACCGGGGGGAGATCACTGGACCCCTGGTCTCTCTGCAGTGATTTGCGGTATCTGCTCAGTGTTACATGGCAGATCCCATGTGCCTTCGAGACTGATCTGACTGACATGCCCTTCTTTGTGATCTCATCAGGTGCTTTTTTTAGATTCATCTGCAGTCACACCTGTCATAGTTGAGGGTTAATCGTGTCAATGCGCCAGACTGTCCTGTCTCGTGACATCTTTTTTTTTTTTTTTGATGCTGCCCTTCTGAAACTGGTTCTCATTTTGTGAAATCAAGTTTGACCATTTAGAGCTCTTAGATTGTTAAATAATTTTCTGGTTTAAGCTCTAAATTTGTTTTGTTTGCATCAATCTCAATTTAAAAAAAATATTCTGGTCTTTACATAAAGTCTTCCTTTTGTTCAGTAAAGCTATACTGAATCAAACATGGCTTACCAGTGGGTTGAAGATGATGGTGATGTACCACCTGGAGTGAGTCGTGTGGGTCGCTCTGGTCCAGAAAGTGGAAGAAAGTACATTATGTACCATGGAACAACCAGGCAGGCTGCTGGGTCCATTTTGACCACAGGTTTTCGCCAGTCTTCAGACGGGATGCTTGGACGTGGTGTCTACCTCAGCAGAGACCTGGAGAAAGCCAGACGCTATCCCATTGGCCACCCTGAGCACAACAAGGTCGTCATCAAGGTTGTGGTCAACGTGGGGAGAGTGATCGCCATAAGGCAGCAAGGCCACCCACGTCAGAAGACCTGGCATGACCCCACTTATGGCCGGGTGTATGACACCGCTTGGGTACCGCCCAACAGTGGAATGGTGCCAAGCGGCCTGGAGGAAGACTGTGTCTGGGATCCAAATCGAATCCACATCATCAATGTAATCTGCCCTCGCCTGACACCTTATAGACCCCAATCGGTCCAACAAGATGGATTGCTGATGGTTGGTGCTGGAGTTGTTTTAGCTGCTGCATTACTACTGCTATTACTTTTAAAATAGAAGCCGAATGATGAAGTAACTAGAAGTAGCCCACATACACTGCAACATGGAAACTTGCTTCTGAATTTATCAAGCTGTTTGATGTTAAACGCAAAGTATAGTCCGATCTGTGTTTTCTTTCTTCTAGGTTTTCCTTTTGAAAACAGACTCAATATGAGTACAACTGAGATGACTAAAGGTGGTCGGTACTGTTAAAAACAATGAAATTTGAATTTGAAAAACTTAGAGGTAACTTGCCTTTGTGAACAATTATCCATGTAACTGCAAATTCATAACTTTATGTGGTCACATTAAACAGTTTTACCACTTTTTTCCACCAAAGAAATATTCTATAATCAAAAACTCAAATGCTACAAAGATGTTCTCTTTTTGCTGCACTTCATCAAATTGTGTTGAATTGCTTAAGGTTTCAGGTACTGTACCTTCTTAATTTCTAAAACAGGTCTTAAAATTGAGTTCTGTGTGAAACTAAAAAGAATTAAAGTGGGTGGTTTTGTGACTCTTGGAAATAAATTAACAGGATTGCAGGGCAGAAAGCCTCTAAGTGTGTGAATATTGGTAAGCATCAAAGACAACATACAGCCAATCAAGTAGGCCAAAATAGGAAGTTTTCAACTCATTTCAAAATAGGTCTTGAAAAATAACCCAAAGGTAGTCAAATTGAAATTAAGACGAAAAGTTGTAAGAAAAACAGGGTAAATTATGGAAAAAGTTTAATTCAAATAAAACATTAGGATGAAATTTAAAAAAACAAAACCAATATCAAGGTTGATCACTGAATGAGCCTCCTGGTACATTAAATCAGTGGCTCTAGTTGTGGGAGGCTTAGTTATTCATGCAATTATTTATCTTTAGGGCTATTTGAACTTTGGGCTAATTTAGTAATCTATTTTACTTTGAATTTAACTTTGCTTCATTTTTGTTATTTGTCCCCTAAGTTTTGTTCCTGTATGAACTTGTCTCTAAATGCGTCTTGTTTGAGTGTGAGCGTGGTACTGCAGTGTGTAGTGATTTATGTGTAAAGAGGAGTGCAACAGGGTCATACAGTACTGTACTGACTAATGGGGTCAGGTGAGCATGGATGAAATATTGTAGGACTGACTCATACAGATTTAGTTTTTATAAAGTCTTAGGTTGTAATGTAATTTAATGAGTAACTTCAATAAAAATATACACTGAGGAGTTCTCATAAATGTGGCAACCAGCAGCTTTATGCACTTTTGGAGGCAGCCTCTAGTGGCCATTCAAGGAACTGCAGTTTCTGCTACTTCAGGGTCTCATTTTGTAATCACAAAGGCTGGTTCCAACCACAGGTCTGGAAAAATTCTTTTAAAAATGTGTCTGAATGGTATTTTACAGTTAACACAATATCTAAATCTAAAATTATTGTGGTGGGCAAAGATCTGGATCTTAAATGTCTAGAAAAAAGCCTCTGAAAAAAATAAGGTGAAAAGAATGAGAAGAGAAGAAGTGGGAGCAAAATAGACATGTCCTAATATTAGATGTTCAGTAAATGAGATTGCTGGCACTTCTTTGCAATATGCATGAAATCAAACTAATCTGGTGGAAAGTGACATAGTCAGCGAGAGGAGCAAGATTCACAGAGCTGCTGGAGCGCACTGCATGTGCATGTTTTCTGCATGGCTGAAGCCACATAAGCCATTCACACAAAGGACACTTTGTTTGTTTATCAAATTGAATCATCCTTGTATTGTATTTCAGTGGTTCTCACAGCAGATGGACCAGCTTCACTGTTAGGCTTTGCACTGTTGCGCTTTGTTGTTCTTGGATTAATGTTATATTTTATTTTTTTTGAACATTGAAATAAATCATCTATGTCAGGTATTCAAAATTAAAGCAGAGGGTGCAGAGAGAAGTCTTTTCCCCCTTTGCACTTCTTTCTTTTTTGAATTTGTGCTTTAGTTTTTACAGCAGCAGATACGTAAATAGTTCAACTGTTTTCATATGCAATTCATTTTTATATATATCTATACCTGGGTCGAATTTGAAAAAATCTGAATTGCACTGTTCACACTTACATGAAAAAATCAGATATGTGTCACATATGGTTAAAAAAATCGGAATTGACCTGCAGTGTGAACATAGCCTTGGAGGGGGATGATTTTGACCATTTTCATTTTAGGGGGGATGCCATACCCTTTCACTCCCCTCAACTCGAGTACTAGTTACGGCCCTGCACAGACCCCCTCTGTCTCTCTTCTTCTGCGTCATTTGCTGTGAATGACCAAATAAACGCCTCCACTAAACTGTTGAGTCATTATTGGCCACATGAGGGCATCCGTGTCCTCTGCTGCCTCTAAACATCCAAACCTCTCTCCTCATTTCAAGCCTTTGCCAAATTCCCTCCTCCCTCCCTCCCTCTCTCCTCCCTCCTCCCTCCTCTCCGCCTGCCAGAAGCTCCTCTCGGGCCGTGTAGGGGAGCATTCACACCCCGCTGTTGGCGTTTAGCGGATGGGGCTCTCAGCCTGAGCCAGAGGGAGGAGGAGGAGAAGGATGAACGGTAACCCGTGTGCCCGCAGGCTCGCCCGGCGCTCCAAATCCGCCCTGCTGGTCGCGGCTTTGGCCGTCCTGTTGGTCCAGACCCTCATCGTGTGGAACTTCAGCAGCCTGGACTCTGCTGGCGGAGACGGAGGCGCCAGGAGCCGGGAGAAAAGAGAGGATCGAGCCGGGGGTCTTAACAAAGCCGACGGGGAGCCACCGCGGAGGGGGCTGCAGAGGAAGGGCGACCCGCCGCCCCCGTTTGGAAAGGCGGCTGTTCGACACAAGCTGCAGGCGGTAGGTTTGAATGATACCTGCTCCAGTCTTCGTGGTGACCGGGGCTGTGGTGTCAGCCTGAAAGCGAGGCTTTAAGACATGTGTTCCCTCTGTGAGTGAGCGTTTGTCCCCGAGGAAAACCGCATGGTCGCTACAGAGAAGATGCTATACTGAGGGGCTGCAGCTGCTCGTCTGTTGTTTTGGCTTTTGCATCAACACAGTCAGGCGCTTTCCTCCCTGATGTGGGAGATGTGTCAGTAGGCCAAACTTGATATCAAAATCAGCTAATTCAAGGTAATCATGAATGATTTATCTGACACATTTGGCGAATTGGCCCCCTGAAAATTTTATACCTAATCTTAATTTGTCTATCGTCAGTTGTAGAGTATCAGCAACAATTGCACAGTTTGAGAAACTCAGTCATATTAGTATGTTTGGTGCGCCGTTTTTCTCAATATTTTGTGGTGCTATTTAAACATCTACACATCAAAATGTGTAGATTTCATACACGCCGAATATACGATTGTGGGTCCTTATGCCGAGTTAGTTTGATTGCATCTCAGCACCTTATGCTGACCTTTCAAAAGTGAATGATAAACAAAATTTTGCGTTTTGTGAAGGGAGTTTGGTGCTACATAGCCACCCTCACCTAGCAACACTCTTTATAGTGTCGTCTTCTTTTCTGTTTTTTATCTGAAAGGCCAATAATGTAATTTGAACAGCCCGTGTTTCTATTCTAGTAGCTGTGGCTGTCAGGTTTTATATGCAATTCAAATAAGAAACTGTAAAGCTTAAAAGTGCTTTATGTTTGAGCTTTGATTTAAGGGTTTAATTAAAGCCCACCTCTATTTGGTATCAGGATACCATGCTGACACCTCCAGAAACCAGGCAATGCTGATGCCATTTATAGGAAATTGGCCCTAATTTACAATGGCAGCTGGTGCTGTAACAAAATTGAAAACGTACTGTGTAACAACAGATATAGCACCAGTCTACTGAAAGGGATAAAATGCATTGGTCTGTATTTGACAAGCTGAATGAACATAGCCAATTCCATGTGGACCCTTGTTTATTTATATTTTCTAGCCTTTTCTGTGAAGTTTTTTGTTGGTCAGACGTCTCTAAATCCACACTGGGGGTAATCCTGAAGTTTGAAAATACGGCAGAGGTAGAAAGATAAGGCATCAGCATGACTACATGTCATCAGCCCAGAATTCTTGGTAAAACAGCTCCTTGAAATTAACTTCATGTTAATCCTGCGGTTTAAATGCTTTTTAAATTTAGATTTCTGGTCAGGTCCAGAAATTTGATTTCTGGTTCTTTTCAACAGCATTTATTTTTCTGCCATTTCACCAAGTTTTCTTTCTTTTTCTTTTTTTTTTAGATAGCTTTCTCTTTTTGATTCCCAATGTAATTCCTTTTCATCTCGTAGAGAAACGAATGAGCAACCAAATTATTGCACCCTGGAACAGAAATGCACGACCAGTCAGTAACCTCACTCATGTTGAACATTCTTTATCAGTACTTTGATTACTGTGCCTTAGAATATCAACTTGTTAGTAAAATCTTATTTAGTTGTGGTATGCCATTCTTTTTGCGCAGTCTCTATTGTTAGGCCATCACTGCCTCTTTGGTTTGAACGAACAAAAAACAAAATAAGGCTATACAGTAATTTATGTGCATCCTCTTTCTTCTACAACTTTCCTAATATGTTAAATGTCTTGAATGCATATAGGAGTGATGAGTAATCACTGTACTGTTCCCACGTCTCATACAGAGGAGCTTCTTCTGTTTTCATGTTCTTAAAATAATGCTTTGTGTGTGTGTGTGTGTGTGTGTGTGTGTGTGTGTGTGTGTGTGTGTGTGTGTGTTTTTGTGTGTGTGTGTGTGTGTGTGTGTGTGTGTTGCTTTACCTGGTGGGATCCAGGTGTTCTGTCATGTTGTTAAGACATGAGCAAACTGTAAATGCAGCTGCTGTGTGTGTGAATGTGCATGTGTGTTAAAGAAAGAGAGGTAGAGACGTGGGCTGTATTGCAGGCATCCATTTTTACGTCCTTTCATTACAGTTAACCGGATACCCTGTGATCTTCCCTCAGAGTGTGTGTGTGTGTGTGTGTGTGTGTGTGTGTGTGTGTGTGTGTGTGTGTGTGTGTGTGTGTGTGTGAGTGGTGAAATGTCTTGACAGTTATTGGCTTTAAACGCAGTAGAGATACATGCCAACACTTTTTATAGAAAAGGAAGTTTTGGGAAGAGAAGAGGGGGAGAAGAGGGTGATAAAATGAAACAAAGACCAGTGTAAGAAAAATGAGTAATTTTTAATTTCTGTACAGATGTTTAATCTTAACTACAGTTGTGACACTTGTCTTTAAGTATTTTTACAACCTCTTTAGCATTCATGTCAGTGATGGCTCTGAATTTTTGAGGCCCTTCTGTTCTTTTTTTATTTTCCTCCATTTAATGTCTCTCTTTTGTACTTTTATGAGGTGTCGAATAGCTTCAGGGTCAGAATTTTTCCCCCCGCTCATTTTGCCTTTGATCATGGATCCTTTAAAATTTGCATCATACTGATTCCACTCAAAAATTCTGCAGAGTTCGACAGACGATTTAGCTCTTTGTTTTTGTCTGTTAAAGCGTTAATGTTGATCTGCATTCAACTGCTGTTTGTATTGTCGTATTAGAAAGAATGAAATGTCAAGAAGACATCCCCCGTGTCAGACTTAAGGTGTAAATCACAACAAAACGAATCATCACATTTACCTGATATTAAAATCTTCAGCACAAGGCTTTTTGGCTTCACTTCACTGACAGTTTATTTTTTCCATCCATGTTCACATGAAATTCTGATGAAGCAACAGGTCAGCACAAGCTTGTTGCAAATGATCAGAAAAATGTAGCATGATGCCCGATCATTTTGTTCCTCAAATGTCAGAGATTGCGGAAAGTGCCAGTCATAATCCCCCAGAGCCAAGACTGACATCTACACATGACATAGTTTTGGATTCAACATTTAGAAAGTTTTTAAAAATTCATTCATTTTTTTTTTTTACTGTAAAGTAGGAAGGTTGCATTGTTTCTCTTTTACACAACATAAATGTAGTGTAGGGAGGGGAGGAGGAAATAATGTTAAATGGTCACTGAACAAACCCCCACAGAGTAGTGATGCACTGGTTTATCAGCTAAAGATCTTTGGGGGGAAATATCAACTCTGTTAATTGACAGTGGTTCATCTGCAAATACTGTCATACATCACTGTTTGTCTGTATCCTGTAGCATTTTATCTTCATCTTCATTCCCTGAAAAGCTATTACATCCTGTTGCTGATTCAGAGAAGTTTTTTATTGGGCACAAGTAGTCCCTGCTGGACATATTGATTTATTTGAATGACCAAACATGGAATGAAATGTGTGCAGCGGAGGAATATTACTCAATCTCTGAGAAAGATCAGCGACATACTGTCTGTAAGACATGTTTAAGGGGCATTTTAAATGGGATTTAATTGGAGAGACTAACAACTATTTGAATACATTCAATCTCATTGCAAAAATAAGACCCAAATAAAGAAAAAGAAGTAATGCAGAAAACATCTGTATGGATTTAGATTTTCTTTCTAGAACAACATATACTGCTTTGTTGCCGTGTTGCATTTGAGAAATAAAGCTGTTGTAGGAGTACTTAAAACTGCAGTTACCTGAGTGTCCACTTGGGGCTGTCTGTTGGAGCACCAGAAACTACTGTGCCATAAATGTCTGTTTTTAGAGCAAAAATACGCACATTTATAGCCTGGCTTGGGGCTCCAACTGCACCCACTTCACAGGGAACAACATTTTTTGATAATCGTTTGTTCAAGTTTATTCAGGTCACAAGATCGGTGACTCAGAGGCACGACTGACTTTACTGACTGGAGAGCACATTGTAGCCTTTTACAAGGAGGCTTAAGGCCTGGGTTGGTTAACTGAAAGTTAAATTGAGTCAGCATTTCCAATGTGGCAACCACCGGGTGTAGGCTTTCAAAACTCCTCTTTAGAAACAAATGGGTGACGCTACCAACTCTACATTCAGTGCTCATACAGTCTATGGTTCACATTAATGTTTTGTTAAGTAACTAGGCTCCAAGGTAATATCTTTAAATGGTTATGTATTACCTTTAAGCCTAATTGATACTCCTGCATTGACTTGAGGCTGCAGCTTTGCTTTAGTGGCCTACTCTGTTATACACTGTTTTAAGCACAGGCTTGTGTGTTGTACTGTTTGCATCGCTTTGGAGTATTCAGCCTTATTGCTAGTGCAATTTCTATGCTGGACATTCTGCGCTTTTGTCTTGTTTGTGCACCGAAAACCAAAGCATGATTGTTTAATGTTTGAGTTGGAGCTGATGAATGTTGAGCAGGAGTTGATAAATCTGAAATTTCAAGGAAGGGAGAGGATACTGAATCAGTGTTTGTAACTGCTATAATTGCAGGAAAGAAGACAGAAATGTGATGGGCTGGTGATCTGCATGCAAGACAACAGACCTGAGCTTCTGTCCTGAATGTAGGTTCAAAAGTACAGTGCCATGTAACCTGGGTGGTGGTCTTGCTGATGCTGCATCAAGTTTGGCGTATTTTATCGTTAAGCTGCAACTCTTTTTGCAGAAGGTTTTGCAGACAGGCAATCTGTTGTCTTTTAAACTTGACAGTCATTTTTGATGCACCCAAAATGTTCCCACACTGCTGTCTACTCTTATTTCTTCTTCTTCCCTCTCTGTCATAGCTAAGCTTATGCAGTGTAGCCTCTGTGTGTCTTGATAAGTACAGCACATTAAGCTGCTGCACCACAGGAGTCATCATATCTTTGTTTTGTGCAGGTTGAGCCCACCAGAACATACCCACTCCTTTTGGAGAGTGGCAATTGAAACACTCGGTGTAGCGGAGCCTTTAGATTAAAAAAGTTACAGTTTATGGTTAGTGAAACCAGTCTACTGCTGCCCTAGCACAGGGTGTTACTAGAGAATACAAGAATATGAATCTTAAACTTAAAAAAAAATAAACTTAAAATACTTAAGTTTTGAAAGCACATATTTGTAAAACAAATCCACTCAATACTAGAGAACTAAACCACACATAACCTAAAACTAATTACAAATAGATAGCTTTCAAAGTATTGCAGTGTTGTTAATCCCAGGTGAATCTGGGAAGGTTGGACTCGTCTAGAGGTGATAAACTGAGTGGAGGAGCGCTGTGTGTTTATTGACAGGAAGAGGCATCCTTTTTCCAATAAAAGACTGGACATCATTGGAGGAGGCTCAATAAAAACTCTGTGTGTGCGCGCGTGTGTGTGTGTTTCACTTTCACTGCAAAAATCTCCACAGTGTACACATTCACATCCTAGATAAACCAAAATACCGACAGTGTTCAGCTTTCCAGTAACCAGACTGCAAGGAGGGTATGTTTACAGGTGCGTGTGTGTGTGTGTGAATGTTGTTCCATATGTACTGACTGCTAATGTCCAATGGAGTGTGTTTTACTGCACTCCTGGATGGCGCCACAGCTGCATAACTCTCACATTCATCACACCTTTGAGGGGATGGACACGCACACACACCCTTTCTCTTATACAGATATAAAGAAGCACACACATGCACACACACACACACACAGGCATCGCTGACCACATGTGTATCCGGCTGAGCTGTTTCACATCCTAACAGCCAGGTCAGATCAGATTAAAGGATTGGTTTGGATCAGGTTTCTCTGATGGGATTTATGCTTTCTAATCTAGTTTAGATTGTCCAATAATCCCTAAATACCATGTGTAAGTGTGTGTGCATGTTTTTGTGTCTGTGTTTGTATGTGTGTGACTGTGTGCTAATTCACCTTGATCTGCGGAGACTGGTTTCAGACTTCAACAGTGAAAAAAGGGTTTAGGAAGCGAGGACATTTAGCATGGTTTACTGCCTGGAGCCTGGTAACCGTAGTTATCACGTTTCTAAATGTAAAATTATTTGATGTCTTCATCTCATTCCAGCAAGCATGGTTGCAAAACTCACTTAAAACTGTTTCACATCTCTCTGCAGTGTAAAACCCTTAAAACTGGTTTGCATGTATATAGTACTGGACTCTTAAACTTGAGGTAATGCTGCCATAAATGAGACTCGGACAATAAGGTGCATATGGTGTCCACGGCTGTCATTTCATGAAACTGGATTACAATATCACCTGATCTGAATCATCTTAAACTGGAAAGAGGAGGAATGTGTCCAATGTGCAGAGAGGCTCAGTAATGAAATGTGGGTTATAAAACTATCAACCATGTCTCAAAGCACTTTGTGTCTTATCACAGACTTTGCTGTACTGCTCGTGTTTCTGGTTGTTTTTGTAGTTGGGATCAGGACAGCCCTAGTTTAATACACATGAGGCATGAGATGTAGAAATAAAAATAAGATGTCCCTTATGGGCTGCATCATGATGGCCAAAATGATAACCATTATTCTGATCAGTAGTGAGATCACAGTTGTTGATCATGGTTATCTCTTTAAGGGGCCTTTTTTCTGCTTATTGTTCATATCACCTTCTGCCATGACCTCTCCCCCATATAACCTTGCAAACCAAAACAGTATTATAGTGGGTGAAGGCTGCTTTCTATGCAAGCGAAAGTCATTTACTCACTAATTGAGGTGACGTATCTCAGAGCAGCTGCTATATCATCCATCTTTTTATACTGTATATCCAGTAGTACCTGTTTTTGTTTTCGTCCTTGAACAGTTTCTGTATAAGTAACTATCCAAAAATCTACCTCACGGCACATCTGCTCTTCTTTGCGGAGTTTCTCCCCCTCACTAATTATACCGTCTCTCTGTATTTTAAATAGTTTGATGTGATTTATGATGATTTTGTGTGTGATAATTTATCATTTAGCCTGCAGTCATGAAGGAGCAGCATCAAAGTGCAGGTCTCTGTAGTGTCTCTGATTACCCTCTGCACGTCATGCTGGCATGTTACTCTCTGTTTGATGATTAGTCAAAACACACTGATGTTAAAACCAGAAAGCTGCTTTATGTGTGTGTTTTTTTCTATTTTCTTTGGGATAATTCTCACTAAATCTGGAATAGATCGACTTAATCCCTGCTGTAATCCCTAACCATCCTGAGTGCGTGGGCTACTGCAGCCAGGTTTCACAGCATCATCTCGTCCCTTTACAACAGTCCATTTAGCTTACTTATTCTCCATCTGGCTCTGTTTTTACTCTCCGTCTCCACCTCTATTTTCAGCAAAGATAGCCTCCTTTTATTTTAAGAGTCCACTTTTTTGCTGAGCTCTTTTGATCGTCATCAGCTTCTCAGTGTTTCTTTAATGTCTGAATTTTTGCAGCAAAACAGAAAAAAAAACATGTTAATGGTCGTCACATTTAATTACAAGTTTGATGATTTGGAGACAAATTTTTCCTCCTTCTTTACAAGAAACTGTCACTTCATGTCAAGTTTTGCTCTTTGTCTGTGCATCAGCAGAATCTGATTTATGTGAACCTGCTTTGTGAGTGATGAATAAAAGGATAATGTTTAAGTTTGATCCTTGTATATTGAGACACTTAAGTAATGCTCTGATCTATATTAGGCCTGTTGGGTTATTATTGAAATCATACAGACAATTATTTGGATTGATTGATGTTGAAATCGTGTTTATTTAACACTATTATTCATTGATTCGACAGCATCTGAACTGCATGCATTTATTGAACCCAAGCAGTCTGGATACCAAAAACCAAAGGAGAAATGTGTCATATTCAACTCACTTGCTCTTCAAACTCATCGACAGCAGTATCCATAGGAAAATAAGGCAAGAAAAAAGAAGGGTTGCATGGGAACATTTTACCCAAAAGGAACAGGAGTACTTGGCTGCAGACATAGCAGGGCTCTGTTAGCAGTTTGACCTCCATAAACACTTGCCCAGTTGGAAGTTGGACTTCCACTTTAATGTGAGCTGTTCCTGAGAAAAAGCCGATTTCTTTAGCTAAATTTGCTCTGTCATGTCTTTTGAACAAACTCTAATAGTAAAAAGTAGAGGTGTAATGGTGGTAATGGTGCACAAAACTCATGGTTCGGTTTGACGTTGTGGTTCTTGTTTGTTGTGTATTGTGCCGGCTGCCATGATGGGAAAAGCAGGTTCTGTGTGTGGTCCAAAACAGTTTGGTATGATGATGTGTACTTATACAATACTGGTAAAAATTCAATAGACTTTGAGAGTTTTAACTTTTTAACTTGCAATGAAGAACCAGTGCAGAGTTAGACCTTTGCATAGTAACTTTAGCTCATGGGTTTTTACCATTATTAAGTGATCTTGCAAACTGTCTGTGAACTCATCAGTTTTCAAAAATTTGAACAGGTGTTAACCTCAGTTTCATTATTTAAATTGCAATGTTTGAATACATTTGGGTATTTGAAATGGTTAATTTTATGATCTTAAAAGGAGGCAATTATTAAATTTAATAATAGTTTCTTGTAGTTATTTTAGAGTCACCCTTTTTTAAAATGTAAAATAATGTAAATACTGCCAAGATCTAAACTTCCCCTCTTGAACAAGCACACTTTCTGAATTTATTTCTGTACGCTGTGTTCAGATTATGAAAAATAACATAATTCAATAATAAATAATTCAATAAATTAAAAAAGATACAATGAAAAGCAGCTTTTTCTTGTAAGATCGCTTAATCCCCCTTGACAAGTGAGATCCAAGCTGAGGTCCGACTTCTAACCATGCCACACTTACGGAGGTGTGCTGGGTTTGCTGCCAGGTCCTTCTCAAAAGGATGACTTACTTGTGAGATGTGCCTTATCCCAGACTCATCTGGGAGTCTGTGTAACTGCGGAGAGAAAAATCACATGCAACAACAAAAAACACAAAACAAGCAAAAGGAAAATATATGTTCATCTTTCAGCCTTTCAGTATCTGTAATCCTGAACATTCATTTTTGCCCCATCTGCTGTAGTAAACCCACTATGGGTTTGAAGGAGCTCTTTTATGTCAATTGTCTTTAATTAATCCTCTTTTGTCCATTTCTGCGTTCAGTAAAAGTCACTGTGAAGAGTTTTTACTTGCTTTTAAAAAAATCTTTCTTTCAGTCAATGTTCGATACTCGTCCTGAAAAGATTGTTTCGAGTGCTTTAGGAAAAAGTTAGGCAGGACGAGGAGATGCATTTTTTATTTTTCCTCAGGGTTTGAAAAGATATGTACATTTTCTGTTAAACTTTTGTTTTAGATGGAGAAGTTCTATGACCAGTGCTTTGAAACCCTGGAAGATACTCAATGAACCCTCTGAGATACTTTTTAGTTCATAAAAACACTTTCTGAGTGTTCAGATGATTTCATAAACACGGGTCAAACCAGGCTGTTTTTCTTTGAGACATTTTTGGGCAAACACCCGAAGGTTTCACTCAGAAACAGCAACAAATTCCAGACTGTGTGCTCCCTCAGGAGTACAAACACACACTCTTATTTACACAACTGTTTGATTAATGCATAAGCAGGGCCTCTGGATGCTGTACACAGGCTGCTGAAAGACCTCTTTATGTGAAGATGTTTTTAACTCAAGCATTTAAACACAACCCCGTGTCTGTTCATTATGAAGCACTCTAGAAGTTACAAACCATCAGAGTAATGATCATGAACATAGACATATACTACCTGACTGGTTTGCTTGATGATCAAACAAGGAATCTATTGATATTTGAAGCTGCTGTTGTGCAATCCTTTTACGAGTTCGTCTCCTATCAAGAAACATTTCTATACAGTGAGACGAAATCGTTTTAATTACGTTCTCATGCACAATAGATTACAGTTTTTGTCATTACTCTAAAATAACTGCTGTTTCATAGCTTATTAAAATGAATACTCCTCTTGTTTCATGCAGCAATGAATACTCTGATTTACCCTGCAAACTCTTGGCTGGTTGGTTTGTTTAAAACGTAGAGGCAGTACTTAAACAGACTCTCTGTCAAAAGCCCGGCTGAGGCCTCTTTCACTCATATGCTCTTGAAGTTTGCCAGAAATTTTCAGGAGTTCTGCCCCGGAAATTTTCCAGAGCTGCTTCTCTGGGGATTGACGTCACAAATAGCTGTGAAAGTCACAGTGAAATCTCTTCTACATGACAGCAGAGCAACATAATAGTCTGCATGTGTATCCATAAATGAACAGATATGATCCAGACATCCTCACCGTTATCGTCTTAAAAGGATTCTCTTGCTTTGACCTCGGCTGTCTTTATTCATACCGTTGTCTATTGATCTCCTCTGTTTGCACCAGTTGCATGATTTAGAAGTCATCACCAACTACTTTATTTCTTGAAGTGCTTTCAAATCGGCACACCCTGACTTTATATGGAGTTTTCTTTTTTCGTTTAAAGATCAGTCCTGAGAGCAGAATAAGATCAATTAATCCTGAATTATGTAAACAGCATTTAGTAGACAAGCAACTCCTGTGTTCTGCAAGTCTTGTGGGTCAAAAGAAATTATTTCAACATCAATTTCTACTGAAAAAAGGACTTTTTTCATATAAAGGTCTATTTGTATAGTAGGGTTGAAATGAAGCCAAAATATTAAACTTAAGTTTGGCCCAATTAAAAGTCAAATGATATAAATGCCAGTTTCAGGGCTTCAAAAAATGAACTTCACTGCAATTACAGCGCACACTGGGCTGGTTCAGAGGTTGTTAAAAACAGAGCAGATTTCACTTAAGCTTCTGTATTGTTTAATTGTATGGAATATTAAAATAATGGAGACAGCATTGTTTTTACGCTATAGTTTACACAATTTTCTAAAACCCTTCGCTGTAGGTGTCCTTTCTTTAAAGTTGTTAGACATTATTGCCAATATCAGACTACAGGATCAGATTGGTTTATCACAGAGCTGTAAATATGTGCCATGATCAGACCAATAGACACTACAGCATGTGCCAAGTTGGTGAGTGTGACGACCCTAGGTCTATTCAGGACTTGCTGTCTGTGCCGTTCCTAGTTTTTGTTGTTTCTTCTTGCAGGATGATAGGATGGATGATTTTATCATGATCACCTTTTTTTTTTACTATCACCCAACCAAACTACTCCAACAATCTGACATTTTACTGAAACATCCTCAAATATTTTCTGATTCCTGCTCCTTATCAACAGATGTCAGAGCAACAGGTTTTCTCTCACTCTCTCTCTCTCTTTCTCTCTCCTTCTCTCCTTTGTCTCTCGCCCCGGGCTCCTGAGGGTTTGGGCTCTTGTCTCTTTTCTTTTCGCCTTTATCACGAAGCAGCAGGAGGTCTGAAGGCAGCGTAGACGACTTCAATAAGAACCTGCTGTGGAGGAGAGCAAACTGACTCACACACACTCATACACACTGAGAGAGTGTGTGTGTGAGTGAGTTAGTGGTGTGTGTGTGTTTATATAAAGAATAATGTCTTTGTAGGTAAGCTGTGGTATTTTTGCTGCAGCTGGTCTCCATGGAGTGCAAAGGCTTCTGGGAAGAAGCTCAAGCAGAGAGACACAACTGTTGGAATCATTTTATCTGCAAATTTAAAATCGCTGTGAGGAGTTTTGAAGTGGATATGAAACAGATCGTAATTTAATCAGCAGTGTCTCTTTAGGAGCTATGAAAGCAAACAGGACTATCAGCAACATGATTTTTATTACAAGTTTTTCATGTCATGATTCTTAAAGCTAGCCACTGCTTTGATGGGAGGCAGAATCAGATATTTGACAATGGCCAAAAAAAATCTGCCTTTATTACATTTGCGTATTTACATAAAAAATATAATCACAGTGAGTTTTCTAACTCACTACTTAAAGACAACAGGATGAGATTTCAGGTATTTTGATTGACCTTACGTGTAACGATATTTGCTGCACAGCGTTGGTAGTTTTTAGACATCAGGACATCCCATACATCCAAAAACTCCAAAGGACTTTAAAAACCTGCGTTTTCTACCACAGAGATGAATTTAACCACCTTTTCTGTAATCTCTTTGGCCCTTTTACTCTCGCCAGGATTTATCCTTCCTTCACATGATCCAGAGTTTGTTGCTTAGATGCTGCAGCCATCTCCTCTGGTGTTTTAGTGAATGCATGGTCTTCACTGCATGTTTAGTTTTTCATGTCGCATCAAACTTGTAGCACTGCACACACCTCTACTGCTACAGCTTCTCAGAATGATCATATCACAAATATTTACAAGTAGGTGTTGGATTGTTTTTTGCTTTCTTGCTTAAAATACTTCCACACTGCTGATATTTCAGCCAGAGGGTTTCTTTCTGTGTTTGCATTTTGTTGTACATTATGCTCAGTTTACGACAGCTGATGTAAACAATGGGGGGTGGAAGATGAGGATTAAATGGCTCAATCCCATTCCTGATCTCTACTTAGTTTAAAAATGCACGAATCAGCCCCCATTCAATAATGATCTTGGGATTGTAACGGCTCTTTTGCAAGACGGATGATCAAATTACCATTGAAGACACTGAGGGCTGAAAGTATTTCTGGATTAATCACTTAATTTTTAAGTAATTTTGTCTGTAAACACATTTTGAGATGTTTGTTTGGTGTGGATTTTTTTCTCTTCTTTTCTGAAATTTGGCAGACTAAATGCTTGAAGATTTTTGCTTTGGTCACAAAACAGACCATAGCAGATTCACGGGAAACATACTAAGTTTACGGTATATAAAGGGCGGTTTCTGGTTTCTTCCTCATATGTACCATGACAGCAGGAGAGATGAAAATATTAACTAACTGTTCACATACACATGAGTATATTTCTCAGCTGATTCGAACGGATGAGGTAATGAAAGGCTGTCTGAGGAGCAGGTGGCAGGAGCTGATATTTCTGCTTCCCCACAGGCGCTCTGATTATGTATGTGTGTGTGTGTGTGTGTGTCTTTGTTAGTGTGAGTGTGTGGCGCTGAAAAAAGGCAGATGTAGGTCGGTCTGTGGGATTAAAATACTTATGGAGGTCATGTGCCTCTGCTAATAAAACTCATACACAAACGCATTCATCTCTATCATCACCTGACTCTGAGAGGTCAGGGCTAGAGCCACAGCTGTCTCAGGAGGTCAGAGGTCACATAAGCTCATTATCAAGCCCTTTCCTGTCTCTTCCTCTGGCTCTGCCTTTTTCTTTTTTCCTGGAAAGAAACTGTGAATGTGACATTTTACCTGTAAAATCAGGGGCTGTCTTCTACATGTAAATTTACTGCAGAAGATGTCTTCATATATGGTAGTGGTTCATAGCAATTTTTTAACAGCGAAAGCAGATACCAATTATGAGAAAGCAGCAGCATGACTCATGTCCAATATTTAACACCAAAATCACATAGTTGTTTTTTGTTCTGTCTTCTATCATATTTAATATATATCTTATATATATCTTATATATATATTCATTGTACTAACTTTCTCCTGCTCTATGATGTCACCTCTACTAACCTCACTGAACAACCAGTTGATTTTATCTCTCCATTATCATAGATTTGACTTCATATTAGCAATTATTTGGAAAATCAATACTTGGTTAATGAGACGATACGATATATCACCAGACAAAATATCACGATACTATGCTTTAACGATTTTTCTCCCAGCCCTATATATTATATTTGTGTGCCATTTCCTTAAATCTATGTAAGTTCAGCATGAACAGGTCAAGACTGAGCAATGCCCAAACTCTCTGTAATGATGGAGGGAGTGGTGGTGGTTTGAAGACTTTCCCCTCTTTAGAAACATATGTATATGTTCCATTGTTGATATAAAAGCACAGATTGAACTGTCCTCACTGTCATTTTCTTCTAGAGCAGGTGGAGCTGCATTCCTAACACAAAGCCTGAACTATTATTGAGACCCAGAGGGGCCACACTATCATTAAATTAACAAAAATGAAAAGAGCTCACAGGCGAACGCAGATATTATACATGCACTTGCTTGTTGTAATGTTTCCCTGAGGCTGTGGTTAGATCATTTTCTCTAAAAGTGGTGTGGGAAGAAGCTCAACATCAAAAAGTAAATTATTCAACGTTTACTTCATTTTTATCCACGTGTACCTCTGACAATGAGAAGATATCTTTGTTCAGCTTTTGAACTAGTCTTGTCTCCTTTGCAGGATGTTTATCATTCCCACCGGCCGAAAGAGAAACTCCGACTGGACAGCAACAACAATGAGAACTCAGTCCCCAAAGACTTTGACACTATCGACAGCAACAGTAACCTTGGAGCTCGATCTCAACGCCAACGAGTGCCGGTTGGAAACGCCAAACGTAAACTGGATAAGACACAATCACAGGGGATTCTGGGAAAACCTGCTAACGAGGTCATAAAGTACCCTGCAATCCAACCCAGAGGAGCTGGCCACAGCCACAACCATACCCTCAACCGGATTAAACCTCATCCGCAGATTCCCACCGTTTCAGCGCCACTCCAAGAGTCCAATCAGGATGCAGCTTTCTACCAGGTGAAGAAGTCAACCTCTCTGCTGCCTCCTGGTTCAGAACTGAAGAAGGAGCAGCCGCAGTGTGAGATCAGCGGGAAGGAAGCCATCTCTGCTCTGTCCAGGGCCAAGAGCCGGGAGTGTCGGCAGCAGATAGTGGATGTGTACTGCAAACACAAAGACAGGGCGCTGATGCCAGAGAAGGTGCCTCGATTCTGCCCCATTGAAGGTGAGAGAAGCAGACTGAGACTCAAGGATATAAAGATAGACAATAATAAACCTGGACATTGTGAGGTACTAAAATAGGAGAGTATGATGTGTCCTTAATAATAAGAGGATCTTCAGGAAATCAGTCAAGTAAAAAAATTCTGTATTTTTAGACATCAAAACTTGACGAGCCATGACAGACATGCCTTTTGAGTTTCAGACAAAAGCCACAGGATTTTTTTTTTTTTTAATCTCAGAGGTGTCCGCCAATTTCACACCTAATTTGAAGTAGTAGTTAATCCTGGAAAGATCTCTGGAAATACAAAGTTTACCAGGTTTTTTAACAATTATTTTAAAGGTGAACTCTTTGGGGGTTTGGGATGCAGGTCCAAGAGGCCTATTTGTAGGTCTAGGCATGATACACAAGCCCAACGAATCGCACATATTTAGCCAAGAGTTAGTTTAGATCAGCCACTGTTTTCAATACCAGCTCACAGTACAACATCACTTCTTCACCTCACTTCAACTTTATTATGTCCCAAAAATGGGCAAATTGGGTTGCAGCACACACAGGCATTTAAAACACTTCCATACATCATAAAAATAAAATAAAAAAAATAAAATACATTTACATAAAAAACAGTTCAGGAGGTAAAAAGCATTAAAGATGGTTTAGAAGGTAGCTTGTAGCTTGATCTTTAATAATAATAATAATCTGATTGTAACGTCAACTTTACTCATCTAGTCATTAGATTTTTCACGTGTATGTTGGATTAAACCGCTTTAGCTTGCCTACCCTTTCTGCTACAACCCACCCCCCCAACTCCCCCTTTTTATGCTACTAGTGTTAAATGTAGTGTTACTGAACTCTGTAGTAATGGAGAATAAGCTTCATTATCTCCTTCACTTTTAAACACCTGTGAAAAACACCTCAGGGTATGTTTAGTCGGTATTGCCTGAAGACAAAGCATGAAGACTTGTCTCTTAATCTGGCTCTTGGCACATGTAATTAATGTTGTCTGATAAAAAAGTCATCTTTTTTATATTTTTCATTGTTTGATATGTTAATCTTTGTTGTAGAAATGTTTTGGCAGCATGCTGTTAATCACCTCGTTTAAGATAAACGTATAAAATAACTGTATAGGAATAATCTCTTTTTCTCAGGTGGTCTAGTTGCTTATGTAGGTCATAAAGAGACTTCCGTATTAATTTTAGCTTGTTTTATACTGTTTAAAACCTTCTCTTAGGAGCTGTGACACAGCCAGCCATTGAGAAAGTCAGTAAATGACAGACTTAAGAGACTGAAAAAAGAGAGTGGAGAAATTGGACGAACAGTTGGCCTCTTTGAAGTTGGGAAACATTTTTAACCCGACACGTGCCGGTGTGACAGAAAGTGATCCAGCTTGTTCTATTCAGGGAGTGAAAGCATGAATGGACAGAGGGAGGCTGCTCACCACGAGGATGATACTCATTCAGCATAATTACACCCTAATTAAATAGTTTGTAGTTTTATTTTTGGAACCGCTGACTAATGATTTACTTGTAGCCAAGCTCTTAGAACCTCCCTGTGCTGATTGAGGTTTAATTTATATGATGATAGGTTACTTTGAAGATACACTAGTTATTATATCCACAGACCGAAGCAGCAACACATGAGCTGGTTTGAATTCGACTGACTCTGGCTCAGTCTCTTGGGGTTGGTGAAGCATTTGGTGGTTCTGTGCTCATGAAGGCATTAAAGTGTACATCCCTAACCCGTGTATGACATCCCTGCCTCCCTCTGTCTGCACAGCATTTCTCCACTGAGCCGCCTGATTACAGTCATTTCTCCCCAAACTCCAATCCCAGCATGCCCCACAGTCCAGGAAGGTCACTAATTATGCTGAGCAGGCCTCAGCCCGTGCCATCTTTAGAGTGAGCATGATGATGGAGAGGCATTTGGCTGTCAGAGGGTTTTATATACAAGAAGCAGACTTAACTGAGCCAGCCTCGGACACAGAGCACTTCCAGGACAGACAGAAGTGAAGATAAGAGAGGAGAGCTGACAGTGATGCTGACTCCTCAACAGCTTTTAAGACCAGGGAGCCAAAAACTACAGAGAGGTGTTTTTTTTTTTTTTTTTTGCTGACATATTTGGAGATTTTTGAGGACGGTTGTGCTGTTTTGCTGATTTAATACCGAAAAACCACAAACATCCACCTGGATACAGCTGGGCTGAAGTGATTGTCTAAAAGCCACATGAATGTGTCAATCTTTGCAACACCTTTGATTTTTGACATGATTTCCAGCTATTTTATCAAAATCTCCAGAAACCTACAGTATTATTTTTCCCATCACAATAGACAAAGAAAACAACAAATTCTTACACATTAAAAGCAAAGATCTGTATATGACCTCGTAACCCAAACTAGAAACAAGGGCTGTCTCATTATACCGGTATTGAAATTTTGTCACAGTCCAGCTTCAGCAAAAGGCGAGACACACAACATAAGCTTTTAAACAAATAAACAAGGAAAGGTTTTCCCTAAAATCAATAACTTGGCATGAAGTTTTAACTCCATACTTATCTGAATTATCATGATCGTCATAGCAGTCCTATATTGTAAATAAAATGTTGCATGTTTTGAAACCTGAAGTCTTTGTCTCCTCCATCCAGGTAAAGCCAGTGTGAATGTACAGTGGGATGACAACCCTTCAGATGGTGCCCGCCATGTGCCTGTACGGATCGCCTTTGTCCTGGTGGTCCATGGCCGAGCCGTGCGTCAGTTTCAGCGTTTGTTTAAAGCCATTTACCATACCTCACACTACTACTACATCCATGTAGACCAGGTGAGCCAAACATGGAGTCTGTTCTTTCAGTCTCTGCTTCAAACACTTCTCACTTTGACTGAAAATGAGTACCCTCTTGTTGTCTTCCGCAGAGGTCCAACTACCTCCACAGAGAGGTCCTGTCTCTAGCAAGTCAGTACTCCAACGTCCGGGTGACTCCCTGGCGGATGTCCACCATCTGGGGCGGAGCCAGCTTGCTGACTATGTACCTGCGCAGCATGGAGGACCTTCTGAAAATGTCTGACTGGTCCTGGGACTTTTTCATCAACCTGAGCGCTGCAGACTATCCTATCAGGTGAGTCAGTCACAGCAGAAATCAATCGCAGTGGTTTGATCAGTTTTCTTTTTTCTCCATGCGTTTTAAGTTGCATCCAGGGGGAGTTTTTTTCTTATCTAACCTGGCTGTATTATGAGTATTTGAAGGGATATTCTGGCGAAAAATTAATTTAGGGTCAAACCCTAACAGTCCATTACAGACTGCAGTGGGGTGACACAGCTCAAGAAAGAACATTTATGATCATTTCACTATGGAAATGCAATCAGACCGAGACGCTAAGGCAGAAGATCTACTGCGACTGCAGTGCAAAATGATTAATATGATGATTATTACTTCAAGGAAACGATAAAGAAATTATCATAAATGTTCTTCCTTGAGCTGCGTCACCCCCACTGCAGTCCATAATGGACTGGCCCGAAGTCTCGCTACAAAAAAGCGGCTGCTGGAAGAGAGTGAGTGAGTTGTGTTTAGTCTATTTTGCTAAAGAAATTACATTCATCTCTCGGGGGCGGGGGGGTGTCCAACTTGGTGTTACAGTGTGTTTGACCCTAACTTAATTTTATGCCGGAATATCCCTTTAAGGAGATAAAATTCTGATAGGTGCAAAATGTTTGAATTACTCCAGCAGATTCTTTATCCTGCAGATATAAAATCATCAACATTGTATGTGACATAATCTGACTGGAAAAAAACACCTTTTTATTATTGTTTTATAGCTTCATTATAGCGTTTTCTCCAAAACTACAATTTTGCAGTAAACTGAAATTTTGCCTCACAGAACAGGGGCAGATTTGTTTCTTTAAAAAAAGGAACTTACATTACAAGAAAAGACTATTTCTATCATTGTCAGACTATTACAATAATAATTTGATTCTGTCAGTGGTTAGAACAGTCTCACCGATGCAGACTCTCCGTCAGTAAGAGTTTGGACTCTCTGTTGTTTCATGTTTTGTATCCTTTCCGGGCTTTTCTCTTCTTCTTCTTCTTCTCCTTTTTATTTGTTAAAGAGGGACAGTGTACATTAATGAACATTTTAAAAAGATAAAATGTAAATGGACCCAATTGTAGCCACAAGGCTAATTTCCATTGGTAGTCCCCCTGCCAGAAGGAACATGGCTACCTAAAAAGGTGGGAAATCAGCAACTACATAAAAACATACATAATACACAATATTTAAAACATCAACATAACCCACCCGAAAGCACACCAACCAACTAATGGTAACAAGTTTGGTTTTCAAGTAACCACCTCTTCAAATTTACTTTAAATGCTCTGTATGAATTGGACTCTCTTATGTTTTGTGGTATTGTGTTCCATCATGCCAGGTTTCTTCTGAGCACACATCGCATTGATTTGTTAAAACACTGGCAGCTAATGACCACTAAACAGTGACCCTGCAGCCTGATGAGCCTTGTTTGGTTTGTTTAAGGTTGTATGGATCAGGTTATGTGGCCAGCAGGCTTGACGTGCATCGACTCAGAACGGATCTGGAGTCTATACAACATTTGAATACTCAAGGGGATCTGAGTTGTTAGGGAAGAATTGTGATTATTGGAAATATTGACTGATGATTTACTCCCTGTAGCAGTGAAGAAAAAAGATTGGTTAATGAGGTGTTGTGTTTGTTTTATTGATGTGTTTATCTGGTGCTGTTGTGTTTCTTCAGTCAGATAGTCTCAGCTGAGTACACAGGTGTTCTTTGAGAAATTGAGGACCTCTTTTAAGCTGTCTGTTGGTTTCTTTGGCTGCCATACTGTGCATGTGTTTCAATTAGGCTACAGTCAGCTCCAGGAAGCAGCACCTGATGTTTGAGCAATGAAATCAGAACAGTTGGACTGATTTACTCTGGTCAAATCAGGTGCAACATTCAGATTTAGGATGTCAAGAAACCAGTTCTGATGAATTTACACAACTGTGAAGCCAAACCGTCATGCCAAATTGGGTCAGTATTTTAGGAAAGAGCTTTGGGCTCCAACTTGCAGGGAGTTAACTTTTTATTTGATCCACTTCATATTTTTACAACTTTCTTAGTAGTTTCTTTTAAGAAATTGGGGAAAAGTGGGAAAATTCTTTTGTCAGTGTACTAGAAAAGTACCCAAGCAAGTTTGTATATTTAAACACCAAGAGAGAGAAACCCAAAAAAATTTAGTTTAGAACAATAAAGAGTAGAAATAGTATTTGGTGCTACAAACATTGCCTTCAATTTTCAAGCCCAGAGGTTGCTGCTTGTTTAAAATACCTCCAGGGTATTTAGGAACATTATCCAAGAGTAAATGCAAATTTAAAACTCTCAGTTATGGTTATGGGTTTGATTTATAGAGCTAAATAATGGTTTGATTTTCAATGGACCCTCAAGGTGTGCTTTAGCTGCGCACAGATTTATTAGCTTAGATACAGTAATGGGGTTAAACAGCTGTTCCTTTTCAATATAAATGCTCCAATTGTATTTAAAGTTGATGCCAAGTTTAGTTTTTGGCTGTATTCTCAGCTTACTCCAAAATCTGCCGTCAACCCCAGCTTTTGATCTTGGCCAACTTTACCCCAACCAAATTAATCCTGTAACGATGTATATCAAATCTAAAAGGGCAACAATGCAACTTTGGTATCTTTCTATTCTTGTGAGGGCTTCTCACAAGGTTAAAAATACAAGAACACAGACACACACTGATCAGCTCTCTTCTGTCCTCCCATCAAAGTGACTGAACACCCTCCCAGCTAAAATCCATAGAGCAGCCAGGCACAGCATTAACACAACCATCAATAGCCCTGACATCATGAGGGTACACGGAGAGTGAGTCAATGGAACTGTGTGTGTGTGTGTGTGTGTGTGTGTGTGTGTGTGCGTGCGTGCGTGCGTGCGTGCGTGCGTGCGTGCGTGCGTGCGTGCGTGCGTGCGTGCGTGTGTGATTTAATAGCTTCTGCATCTTTCTTTGTAACTGTCAGGAGAAGGTCATGTGTACTTTTGAATATTAAATCAAGTATGTGAGTTAATTTCAACCCCCGTGAACTGTGACATATTTAAGGATATTCAAATATTTAAAACCTATATTTGTGTACAAACACTGATTTGCTGCCACAGCTACAATAAACTGTGAAGGCCAATGATGCTGTTAAACCTCATCTGTGAATGTAAAGTAGCCACAGCCACAGTTTAATTAGTCCAACTCAGGACATAGACAATCATATTGCATCCTATCTTATTGTTACATATCATATTTAATTATATTTCACCATACCACATAGTAATGTAGTGTACTGTATTATATTGTATCACTTGTAATAAATTCCAATGCATTTTATGATATTTTGGCATATCGTGGCATACTATATAATATAGTACTGTATTATGTCCCTTTTTCCAGTACCATATAGCATTCTTCTGGGTTGCATCATACCCATATCAATTTTTTACCAAACCTCATCAAATTGTATTGTTTCATATTTACAGCATGGTATTATATCCTAGTGTTTTAATAAAATATGTTTTGTACCATGCTGTATCGTATCGTATCATATCATATATCATATCATATCGTATTGTATCATTTCATATCATATCGTATTAAATCGTTTCATATCATATTCTATTATATAGTTTCATATCGTATCGTATTGTTTCATATAGTATCGTATCGTTTCATATCGTATCGTATTATATCGTTTCATATCGTATTGTATTGTATCGTATCGTTTCATATCGTATTGTATCGTTTTATATTGTATTGTATCATACCGTTTCATATTGTATCGTATTGTATCGTTTTATAGTGTATCGTATCATATCGTTTCATATCGTATTGTATTGTATCGTATCGTTTCATATCGTATTGTATCGTTTCGTATTGTATCATATTGTATCATTTCCTATCGTATCGTATATCGTTTCATATCGTATTGTATTGTATTGTTTCATATCGTACCGTTTCATATCGTATCGTTTCATATCGTATTGTATTATATCGTATCATATCCTGTTGTTTCGTTTTGTATCATACCAACCAAGTCACATTGAATGGAACTGTATTATGTCGTATCACCTCTGTACTGGTAGACATATAGCTAGCTCATGACTAACTCATGCGTAAAGAAAAAGGATTCACAATCCAGCAACCCTCAAGATAATAGAGCTCTGTTTTGAGTTGATTTGACTTGAGTTGATATGACAAATTATAGGGCCACATTTATGACACTGAATCAAAAATAGAGTAGTCACTTCTTAAGAAAATAGTAAATGTCACAAAGCAGCTCTTCTCCAGTATAGGCTCTGTCTCTTGAGCAGGCTTTTAAAAGCTATGATTCTTACTCGGTGTGGTGTCAGGGTGGTGGTGTTTGAGGGATAGTCGTTACTTAGTTCGGGGTAAATAATTCGTCAATGAGAAGGACCAGATGTGATATATGACCAGATGTACACTCAAAAGCCCTGTGAACGCAGTCGCCCCAATGAGATTTAAAATGTGTGTGAGTAACTGATGAACACAAACATGCCCACGAACACACATATGCATGCCTGCGGTTCATCTTAACGACTGTAATCAGATGTGATCAAAGCCATCCGTCTGTCTGTCTGTCTGCTGTCCTGTCTACTAATTAGTGCAACACCAGCGCTGAGTCGTACATGTGCTCACAGCTTAGACAGCATGCAGGGAGTGGCTGTGTGAATGTGCTGCTGCCTCTGCTGCAGGCCACACACTGCAGTTTGACTGTTTTCCCTCTGTCGGAAGAGGAAGTCACATAAACCGGTCCAGCTGTCCTAAACACAGCAACAGGGAGTTCCTTTAGACCCCTTTTAATAGAGGATTGTTTTGCATTGTTTGAAAGGACATGCATTGGTTGATGTCATCCTGTTTAGACGTGTTCCCATTCAAGGGTAAAGTCCTCTCTTAAACAGTGCTGTAAAAAATACTGTCTTCGTCTGACTGTGTCTTTTTCTTGCTCTTGTAGCCTGGAACAGACCACCATACAGTAGATGCTCCTTCAGTGGTTGAAAAGTTGCAGGCAGGCCAGTTTAGCACCCTGACTCTTGCTGAAATATGCAAGTCTCCCCTTAAAAGGTGTTATCCTAATGGCAGGGTAGGTTACCAGTGTATGTTCTCCTAATGCTGAAATCCCTAAATTCTTTACAATTCCAAACAAAGGAAAGTCACTCTGAAACGGCTGCTCGTGCAGTCTCTCACAGAGCAGTGAACCTCTTCCAAATGTACTTCTCAGAGACTCAGTCTCTCTGGGATTGTTGGGAGTCATGAGATGATCCTGAAAAGACTTTTAGAGCTTCATTAATTGATGAACTTGGTGTGTCTAGGACGAATGTGACCAATTGTGCTAAAGTACTTTGAGTGGTCAGAGGACTGAAGAAAGCACCAAACAAGTATGACCCATCTATTATTTAACAGTTTAATTTTGGCAACTATGGTCCTATTTAAGGTTTAAAAAAGAGACAACTGAACTGTTTCTGCTGAAAGAATTAATGCAGGGTGTTCTCCAGAATATGGGTTACATGACTCAATTTGATACAATACAATAAAACGTGACACTGTAGGACACATAATAATGTCATACATTACATTACATTACAATAAAATACAGAACAATATGACACAATACAACACAGTACTGTACAATACAGTTGAATACAATACAGCCTGTAACATCAAGAAAATCTTTCATAGGCTAAAGTCCTGTTCTCAGCTGCCACCACAATATCAGCAATAAAAAATAAAACAACAAACTTCACAGATGCTGAAGGTTAGTTTCTGTGGTGTCAGATCTGAAGTTGATTTACTTAATCAATGACTGACTGCTCTTGTCTTCCTGCAGGACCAATGAACAGCTGGTTGCTTTCCTGTCGAAGTATCGCAACATGAACTTCATCAAGTCTCACGGGAGAGACAATGCAAGGTATGCATGAAAGGTTTTGATTTTAAAGAAAAGGGAATAAATCAGTGGATTTTTAACTCAGATTATTGAAATTAAAGTATTACCATTCATACCAGAAGTCTTTCAGAAAACTATGATAACTCTGTAGACCATTTCTCATGACCTACATTTTCAGTGTTATTCTTAAAAAAATGCTGTGAACAAACGTAGTTTTTTTTCATTTATTCCACAATTACAATTCCAAGTCTCATTTGGACCAACAAATACATTTGAAATTTCACAGAGTTGGAGAAGGAGGTCTTAAAAATTAAAAAATAGTCTTCTAAGCAGTCAAAGTTTTGTTTTCAGTTAGAACAAATTTAGTCACAAACACACTCAGAGTCCAGAGTGCTGTTTAACAATATAGGAATTCAGAGTTAAAAAAATATGGTTATTCTTTCTCAATTGATCTAAGCCAAATGTACATAAGTGAAAAGGATTCGTGCAATTACAGGCTAAATCTTGAATGTCTTTCGTCCTCTCAGATTTATCCGAAAGCAAGGTCTGGACCGCCTCTTCCTCGAGTGTGACACCCACATGTGGCGTCTTGGGGACCGCAAAATCCCAGAGGGCATTGCTGTGGATGGAGGCTCCGATTGGTTTCTGGTAAACCGGCCCTTTGTGGACTATGTGGTGAACTCCCAGGACGAGTTGGTCAGCAACATGAAGCGCTTCTACGCCTACACACTGCTGCCAGCTGAGGTAACACCCACATAAGCACATGCACTGGAGTAACCCTTGAGATACATTGAAAGTACAGGGTGAGTGTTTGGTGGTTTCTGTGAAGAAGAACTTGAATACCATCTAGGAATTTTAGGGTTTTGACTCCATGATTTAAGATGTTATATTCCTGAGTAAAATTCAAACAACTTTAATCTTTAAATTGAAGATTATCTGATCCTAGCTGAAGGCTGGATTCAGGCTCGATTACAGAGACTAAGTGTCATAAAAATTTGAAGCCTGCCAACCAATACATATCACAAAAAAAAAAATAATCAGTGGCCTTTTTTTTATTATTTGCTCTTAGATGCAAAACTGCTACTCTCACAAAGTAAAAACAGTAAATTTTAGGGTTACAGAAATAAGTAGATTGAAGAAATTTTGTTCCCTTAAAATAATCCAACAAATAGCATCAATACCAAACATAAATATTCACAATGCAGCAACATTTTTGTGGATTTTAGTACCTCTTGTGGGTCAGGTTTGTAAAATTTTGTCTCACCTATAGTTCTGATAGTCTAGATTTGAAGTCTAGTCTTGAAAAATCAGTTTCCAAATCTAACTGATTCTGTCCGGTTTTTCTTGTAAAACTCGGACAAAAAGTGTCTGTTTTACATGAAAATTTGGATCTCCGGTCTCTTAGCAGCATCTCTTATCCTGATAAAAGAATGGAGATCCACCCTCACTAGACCAGGATGTCTGGACTGACTGAGAATAAACTTTTTTTGTAACCTTATAATTTCACCAAAATAGATTTTAAAATCTTCACAAACAAATTAGCAGAGTTTTTCCTCTTTTCGTTCCTCTTTTAGTTTTTGAAAATATTTACTGTAATTGAAAGTGATACAATGTGCGCAATTGTGGATTTATAGTCTAGCAGTTATAGTAAATTGCACAGTGAGATGTGGCCTCGGTTTACACCTCAAATTCCAAGTGTCATCTATAAAAAATCCACACTACACCATCAACTCTTAAATTTTTACATGCCCACACAACATGAGTCACGTTGGTTAGATAAGAAATCTGTCTCTTTTTTCCGAGTGTCATACTAATTCTGGTCAGCTCTGCTGTATTTCAGAGAGAATAGCTTAGGTAAATGAAAATGCACCTAAATAGAGAATATCTGATATCGAAATATCTCATAAATGTTCCTTTTTTTTTCTGGTACGTCTCTCACAGTCATTTTTTCACACTGTACTGGAGAACAGTGTCCACTGTGAGACCATGGTGGACAACAACCTTCGTCTCACCAACTGGAACCGTAAACTGGGATGTAAATGTCAGTACAAGCACATAGTGGACTGGTGTGGCTGCTCTCCCAACGATTTCAAGCCCTCTGACCTGCCGCGCTTCCAGGTGAGACTTTTGAATCTTCAGTTTATCTTAGACCCATTTTTTTTTCACTTAGACTGATGTAAACAATGATGTGTTTAATTACTTTGTCCCTCTGTGGGTGAAAATGAGCAGGATTTGGTGTTTTCTGATTGCAAAAGTTGCAACTTTGCTGTTAAAGTTGCAAGTTGCTGTTTTTGCAAAAGGAGTCAATCTTTGAAAAGAGCACTGTAACAACCTGATCAGAAAAAAATGCTTGTTGGTCTTGATCCTTTCTAAAATCTTTAGGACTTTTTTGCATCAGCAAGAAAAGTCTTCTGCGTTTTTTTTTACAGCTGGTACTATGAATAATAGTTACAACTATCTCCTTTATCATGGGGTCATATGACTGTCGGCTTCAGCTCTCTGTTCTGTCCTCCATTCCCTCTCAGGTCCTCAGTGGCTACAGACCAGAATAGCCTTGTATTCACAAATTAGCAGTGCCGCTTTTACTTACACAGGCGGTGCTGTGGCTCCCTGTAACGACAGACCTGGAGACAGCGTCTGTGGTCGAGCTACTGATGGTTTCTATAAGAAGAGCTGATCCTGGAAACAGCTGTACACTTCAGGGAGTTAGTATTTTTAGAGCTTTGTAGCTAGCTGCCGCTGAGGGTTTATAAGGTTGTCATTATCATAATGTCGGGGTTTGCCAGCTAGAAAGGCGGCTCAGAGACCTAAGTGTAAGGTCAGGAACACATGTACAGAATATACAGTAAAATGCCTGCACCGTTTCCATCTGCCACACAAGCTTTGATGTTGCTGTTGTGCTTCGTGCTGCAAATGACCCAAAAGACACTTAAAGATCCTCACCAGTGTCTAGACTGAGATGCAAAATAAATCAAAATTGAAGATAAACCACAAATAAAAAAAATTGGCATACAGTTTGAACAACGCCTATGCGATTTGAGTCTGCTTGAAAAAGTTTCAGGATTTATCCTGTTTTTGAGGAAACTTCAGTAGAAGATCAAAAAGAAAAAACTAAGCAGCAACTTTTAGCAATTAAAAATGAACCCAGCAGGGGAGTGCCAAAAAAATGCATTGCCTCAAGGGTCCCCTTTATGCCTGGCTGCAAAAGCCCAAGAGACCCCATCAGAGTCTATATTAAAATGTTTATGACTCATCTATGGGAATACTGTAGCTGTATGCCAGTCACCATGGTTTGGGCCTCAGCTCCACTTCTTTGCCAATTTCTAAATAAGCCGAATGTTATTGGTCAGCATTTCCAATATGGTGACTGCTATCATTAGGCTTCAGAACGTCTCTTCAGAAACCAGTGGCTGAGGTCACAAAGGTTTATACAGGCTATGCGAAAATAGCAGAGCATAGAGTCTGAATTTGCTTAAACCCTGTAAATCAAAGAGACAGAAAATGGGGAATGAGTAAGTGTTGACCACACACTGTATCAAACATGTCTCAGAGATGTCACCCATTGGTCACCCTCTCTGAAGTACACTTTTGTAGCCTATAAATGGCGCTCACTGCCTTGGAAATGCTCGCTCAGCCTGTCACTCAACCTTGCAAGAAGCAAACAGGTGGAGGTAAGGCCAACCTTTAGTCGCCAAGGTAACAGCTACTGGTGGATCCCCTGCCTGTCAAGTTAGCCGTACTCCCAATCATGCAAAATCTCATTACATTTATTTCTCCAAAACTTGGTTCTAAATACATTTACTGTTGTTGTAAAAATGTTAGTCATCTGTTGTAGTTAAGTTGTGTGTGTTTAGGTGTTGGACTGCTAGTTGTATCCATCAAACTGTCATGTGTTGCCCTGTTGTCTGGCTCCTGTTGCGAGTTTTGGACATAAGAGGTTGTTTGAGAGTTAAATTTGGTAATTTATGACTGTTATGTTGAGCAGTTTCTTGAACATTAATCAAAATATTTGAAAGATTGGTCAATGATTTTAAAAAATGGCCAGTTTCAGCTCAAGTGCAAATAAAAGTGAAACAAGCAAAAAGGAATCCAAAGCAGAATGTCCTGTAAAAACCTGTTCACTGTTGGCTCTGTGAAGCCTGAAAAGCTTCAACAAGAGAGCAGCTGTTTGGATCATATTTGGCTGACCTCCTTCTGGCAGCGCAGGAACGTACAGTAAAGACACGGCTCCGCTCTGATCCAACAATAAAGGAAACTAAAACGCCTCCCGACCCTGTAACTAGTGGTTTGCTCTGTTGTCTTAAGTTGTGTGAGGACGCAGATTGTTGGGTAACAGTCCCAGAATAAGCTCACAGATTGAACTGACTCCACTGAAGCCTGGTCACTCCTAACTATGATGAGGTTTCCCTGAATTACTGGAGCTGTCAGAGGCCACCAAGAGCTCTGGTTTGGGAGGTCACGCCCTCCTGATGACATCATCAACCTCGCCTTTCCGCTGTGTGTGTGTGTGTATGTGAGCTGACTAAGGTCCTACATAAATCAGCACAGCAGTTAGGCCACCCTAGTCAAAAAGTCTGGATGAGGTCAAACGCGTCGTTTCTCAAGGTTGTGTGTAAGTAAGAGTGGTGTTTTAAGATATGGTCTGGATTAAGTATGAGACGAAAGTCTAAAACTCAGGGCTGACATGATTCCTCAAATATCTCAAGTACCTGGTCATAAAAAACGCCTTGAGGCAAATGAATCCTCTCTAGCCTTTGTTAAAATCCAGACCTACGGTCCACCTTCAGATTGTGAAAAGGTGACACGAAGGAGTGTTTTCATGCCGCTTTTGTTGCACTAACTTGACAAATTGTGCTCAGTTTTTGAAACTGGTGAGATGATGGACTCAAATTGATGATCCTTGGTCAGTTAAACATGAAGCAGATTGACTCTGAGCAGATAGTTGAGTTCAGGATTGGGACATTCTTATTGTTAGCCTGAAATGCTGGCTTTCAGTTCCCATTATGGACTGCTGCGGGGTGACGCAGCTCAAGGAAGAACATTTATGATCATTACTTTATAATTTCCTTGAAGTAATAATCACCATATTAATCATTTTTCACTGCAGACGCGGTAGTTCTTCTGCCTTACCGTCTCGGTCTGATTGCTTTTCTTTGAAGAAATGGTTAGAAATGTTCTTCCTTGAGCTGCGTCACCCCGCTGCAGTCTGTAATGGACTGGCCCGAGGTCTCGTCGCAAACAAGCGGCTGCTGGAAGAGAGAAGGTGAGTTGTGTTTAGTCTCTTTGCAAAAGAAATCAGGCAAAGTTAAAAAGATGTTTGGTGGCTAGTGCTATGGCTGGGACCCTATATGTACTGTTGATGAAGTTAGGTGCTGTTCTGAGCATTATTTGTGGCTATAGAGTGCCGTTTTGGTTGAGGTTTGTTTATGGCTCCTCAGACCACTGTGTATTGCTATCATGTGGTCATTACTAAAGTTGGTTTAACTGGAGAAGCAAGCAGTCGGCAACATTCATCTCTCGAGGGGGTGTCTAACTCGGTGTTCGGTGTGTTTGACCCTAAATTAATTTTACACCAGAATATCCCTTTAAGTGTAGCCATCCAACACAAGCCAGAGGGTTTATGGCTACTTCCATAGTTTTATAATGCACTGCAGCGTGTCAGTATTTTGATCTAGAAAATGAAGAAAAAAAAGTTGTGTCAGGTTAAACTGGCAAATAACCACTCAGTTTATGTTGGCATTAAGCTGCACGGAGGACCGAAGGCTGGTGGTGCTTACTCTGCTATTGTTAGTTACACTTCAGTTTAAAGTATTGGGTAACTGGTTTCCCAGAAACTTCCCTTGAAGTGATCACAGTTTCTGACATCTTCCCCAAACGCAATGAAGGTCTTTCTGCTCTGCTGAGGTAGTAAAATGATCTTTGTGAATTTGAGTAACATGGGTATGGAGCAGAGTTTGACCTGAGATTTGTGTCACAAACAGTACTGACGTACTGAAGCTCTGAGGCTGCTTTATGTCTTTGATCCAGATCAGATTAACAAGTGGTCATGCAGGTATGTTAGATGAAAACACCAGAGAGTGAAAAGCACTATTCATGAACCCTTCAGGCAAAAATTCACCTCCCACAGTGACTGCCCAACCCTCAGAGGGGGCAAAATTCACCAAAATGCTGAACTTTACTCGAGGACTGTTCTTGGTTATGATCTAAAGTTGTGATTTAACCACATTTTCTTGATTTCTTTTCTCTAAATCTTATCTTATTTCAAGTTTTATGTGTCTCGTTATCTCCATCTCATTTATTTGCCTAAAAAAACAGCAAACTCTTCTATCAGTGAAATGATTCATTTTTAATGGGTTTCTTGAAAATGTCTTTCTTTTTTTTCTGACTGTAGCAAGCATCCAGACCCACCTTCTTTGCCAGGAAGTTTGAGGCCAGTGTCAGCCAAGAGATAATCAACCAGCTGGACTCATACCTGTTCGGGACATACCCCTCAGGCACCCCAAGCCTCCAGGCCTACTGGGAAAACATCTACGAGCAAGAGACAGACGGCCCAGCCAGCCTATCAGACTCCATGCTCAGCCACTACCACGCCTTTGTTCGAATGGGACTATCCCGCGCCGCCAGCTCGCTGCAGGGACATCCCAACGGCAACAGCTGCAGGTAGGAGCTCATGAACAAAACAGAGATTAAGAGATGGATTCTGGTGTGCTAGTTCTTTTATTCAACTTTAAACTAGTAACTACAAATTATCAGCAGTGAAGCCTCGAGTCAGTTTAGGCTTCCTAAGAAGTGACAGTCCTCACCTGTGAGTGTGTGAGGTATCTGCACACATTAAGTTGTTGTGTAAGTGAATTTGGGTTTGCAGAGTAACTGCTGAGTCACTGTCTGAAGAGAGCAAGAAGGTTTGGCAGATAAATGTGTCTCTCCACTGCATTAACCGCCGCCTATATTTGCGAGTCTAAATTAAATACAAAGATAACGTTAGCTTGTCTCAGGATACAATCAGGCTTCAGTGTCGGCTCAGACTGGATTTTTCCAGCTGTGTGTGTGTCGGGTGGAGACCCGCAGTAGGTACAAGGAGGTACTTGTTGGAGTTTTGGTGGGGACTGGTGGCTGCAATGGGTGGGGGGAGAAACATTATGGGAAAAGTGTGTGTGTGTGTCTGAGTGTGAGAGAGTGAGTGCGTGTGAGGGGGGGAAGGGGAGGGAGCTGAAACAGGACAACTCTGTTCTCTTTAACCTGCGATTTTAGTCTTGCAACATCTCAGATCATGTCAGAGCCAATGTGGACACATTTAAAAAATACCACCTACATGTTGGTTTGAGCAGCTTCGGATAGTTTCATTTAAAAAAACTTCAACACCAAAAACTTCTCACAGTAGTGCTGTTTTGATGAATTTTGATCATTTTCAAAATATTGCATTTTATTGTACACTGCAGCCAGTGAAATGTTTTGGCGTCACTACTTGTCATGAACCACATTACCAGGGAATCCATCGATTAGTTTGGCTTCAGTCCAGCCAAAAAGCAGCAGATCAGTCGATAAACCTGGCTTTTCATGGAGCCGTGCTGTCAGAGCGGCTAAAAATATGCGACCCTAAAATCATATCACAGACGGGGTTTTACTGGTCAGACAGTTATCTGGGTTTTTTGTCGTGTTCCAAAACTAGTTCATTGTTAACTGGGTCAAACCACCAAAGTAACCTGTGGAGTTCACTAAACTCAAAACTAGTACTGCAGAAGAAACTTTATATTTCAAATGTTCTCTCTACAGATTAAGTGTCCTGGCATGAAAAAGCTCATCATGCTGAATGTAAAACAAGGCCAGCATTTTGTCTCTTTATTTTACTTAGAAGTTTTTTTTTCCCTGTCTGATTTATCTAGATCAAAACATGCTGCTATTACTTAAAAAAAGAGAGCCACTATTCCCACAGGATCCTCAGAAGGACAAGCATTTACAGTAAAGTGACAAGTAACATAAAAGACACACATTTTTATAAATCAATAGCATCACTTTGCTGTTCCACATGTCCACTCAGGATTAAAAACAGAGCTTTTAACAAACAGAGGGACAGTTTATCATGACAAATATTTAATGACAGAGCTGTTTTTAAATAGCGTCTCTTCTCGGACCGCCAGTCCCCTGTGGTCTCCTGACAATGTAAAAGCTTTGACACACTTTTTTAATCATTGCAGCGCAGAATGAAACCAGAGAACTTTGTGATAAAATTTGGAAACAGAAACACACCTCGAGTTCCAGTAAAAATGTGTTCACACAGACTGTGTTTTTTGCCTTTTACTTTGTTTAAAACCTGTTTTTCATGGTTTCTCTCTGATAGGATTATGATCGTCTCTGTGCATTAACGTCTGCACCTGAATTCAGCGTCCACTTTCTTGCAGTGGTAGTAAGCGTACAGTGTCTATGTGTCTCTTTCAGGTATGTTGCCATGAGCCACCCTGTGTCAGTCCACCTCTACTTCCTCTCAGACCAGTTTCAAGGCTACCTAGTGCGTCATGTGGCCACTAACCAAGCATCTACCCAGCTGGAGACCCTGGAGACCTGGGTGACACCCAAAGACCACTTCACCCTGGCTAGTCCTGTCTACCCTAACAACAGGCTGCAGCATGTCCAGGTAAACCCATACCCCAACACACTACTCAATATCACATATTCAAGAAGCTGTTTTCACACATTTATTAAGGAGAAAACAGAGGACGGTTGTTTTGTTTTTTGTTTTTTTTGGCTGTTCATTATCAGGGAAATTTAGTCAGCTGGAAATGCAAACATTTGAAATCAGTGTTGTGAAAATACTTCCGTCACAGCCCCATCCACCCAAGTGTAATGTTTATTTGTACACAGTGCTCTGTTGAAGGTCACTCTCATGCATAGACCTGTGGTGTTTCTCAATGGTGTGTTATTACAAAGTTATACTGCCACCTACCAGCCTGCCATACATAACCTGGCGTTTTCAGTCCCGGTTGTGGATCCAGATGCATGTAGATTGTTTTCCCAGATGTCCGCCATATGATTGTGGGTTATTTTTAGAGAGCAAATGACAGACTTTTCTGTTTTTTAATGGGCGTATTCTCATCTTAATTTAAATCCATTTATTTTTGACTGTTGGATGATCACAGTTGTGCATATTTTATATGAAGTGTATTTCAAAGATCCTTGTGGAATCTTCTCTTTGTGATGATTTCGGCGTCCTCTGTGAGCCAAATGTTACCTCTTCCTTTCTTCGCTGATCTTGTTTGTTGCGTCTTTTTGTGATTTTTAATGCCTCAAATTGGTTCGAGGGGGTAGGTGTCAGCCAAGCAGCAAAAGAGAAAACCATGTTTTAACATTTTCGATTTTTCGTCAGAGGACACTGGTTAAGCAAGTAGAGGTCAAGATGAGGAATGAGTGTTCTTAGGCGGACCTTCGAGTTATTTCATTTTCTTTAAATGTACAAATTGTTGTTCAGTGGGAATCTTACTATCCTTTTGCTGAACATCAGAAAGAGCGCAGGTTGAAGACCTTCTACATTGGCCTCATGAGTCTGCATCCACTTTTTTTTATATAGTTTTTGATTCAAATATAAACATGTGAGCAAATGTACAATTCCTCTAAACAAATCTTGCCAAATGTCCCAAAACAGACCAGTAAGGTGCACACCTTTCAATTTGAGACACCATAGTGATGAGACTGATGTAGAAACTGCCTCTCTCCTTTAGGTTGGGACTGACTGGGACCCTAAGGAGCGTCTTTTTAGGAACTGGGGAGGTCTGGTCGGGCCAGAAGACGAGCCAGTGGCCGTGCAGCGCTGGAGCCGCAGTCAAACCAACCTGACTGCCACGGTGGTCTGGATCGACCCCACAAATGTCATCGCCGCCACCTATGATATCCTGGTGGACGCTTCCGCTGAGGTCACCCACTACCGACCACCTCTCACGCTGCCGCTGAGACCCGGTCTGTGGACGCTGCGAGTGCTGCACCACTGGAACCCACTCGGCCAGACCAGCTTTGTTGTCGCTCCACTGGAGTTTCACCGACAGCAGCCGATACAGCAAGGTGAGCAAGGTGCACTTCTGCAAAAACAATCAAAGAATTTATTTTGCGTTGGGTGTTTGGGTTTGCAACCTTCTGTTGCACAAATTGCTGTCATGGCAAGAATCAAGGTGCAGCAATGTGCATCCCAGAGAATAAGATGTCAGCAGCCAAAATATCAAACTTGAGGCATCAGATGAGACTCAGTCAGTCAGAAAAAAATAATAATCTGTTGATCTTCTTATGGAATTAAGCTTTTAAAAATGGTGTCTATGCAATGACACATGTAAAGAAATATTCCCTTATCAGCTGTTTTCAAAAATGCACCTGTTGAATCCATATGTGAGAGTGTTGAGGGGTTTACTGTGGCTCATATGTCAATCACACATCTAATATTAAATTACACACACACAGGCAGAAGAGGCCCCTACTGTCACAGCTGTCAGCACCATGCATACATGTATTTATAGTGTCAGTATCCAGTCACTCAATCACGCACACCCAGGGTCACCTCTGTCTGAATTATCCCCCCTCCCCTGGGTTACTGTTTGGTTTGTTTGACCTCTGCAGGGCTCAGCGTATGTTTATGCATGAGTGTTTATGTGTGTTTGGGATGGAGAGAACTCTAAGTTAAGACCAGTGCATGAATAGACTGTGGTTTATTAGCTGGGGTCACAAAGGGAAGTGGACATGTGATGTAATCTGATCACAGTGTGGGTTTGTGTCATTGTTTTCTTCCAATGCACTTGTATCCACACTGCAAAAACTCTAAATAAAGCCAGTGTTTCTGTCTTATTACTGGTTAGAAAAATTTTAATTCACTTATTTTTATCATCATTGATCTGGCAAGTCTAGAGAAATATCTTATTTTAAGATATTGCAAGCCAAAAATGAGGCATGAATTGCTTGTAATATGCAAAAAATGTTTCTAAGTAGAAATGTATTGGTTTAAGTTTATCAAATTAAAGCATTTTTCTGACTTCTAGAAAAAAATAATTATACTTAACTGGGAGATTTTTGTTACTTAATCCAAACGATTCAGGTTTAATATTTTGTTCATAATATATTCAAATGCTGTTTTTTTACTTGCCAGGTCAGCGTGGCTTTTTAGTCTAATGAGATTATTTGTTTTCACTGGAAATGAGACAAAAATTCTTGCTTTGCTTTGACTTTTTATAGTATATTCTTATGCCTAAATACTCAAGTTGATCATTCTCTCTGAACCACCCAAACTGAAAAATTATTAGTGAAAGAAAACTAACTGATTTTTTTCCCAAAATTTGTGACAAATGTTGGGTTAAAATGAATAATTCTGGCTTACTTTTCATAAAAAGTATTTTCATTCTGGAGTTTGATCCAAAAATACCAGAAAAAAACTTTCATCTGAATAAGAACAGAGCAAATAGGTGAAAAAAAAGGGCGTTTTGGTGGTTTGAGGTTTAAATGGCCAAAATGTTTACCAACAGAGGTGTTAAACTGTTATTTCAGTAAACTTTTCTTACTGCATGTTATCGCTCTCATGGATTATGTTCAAGATACTGCGGTCATGATATGGCTGCAGACTTTGTTGATTCACTGGATTAAATCTAAAACCAGTCTGAGCCCAATGGGCATCTCAGAACCAAAAAAGGCTGGGACAGGTTCAGAAATACCAAATTCCCCTAAATAATATCAACACTAGGAATATTTGAGCCAGGAAGTCTACATAACAACATAGTCCAGGCCTAAAAACTTGGTTCTTAATGTGAAATTGATTCATTCTCATTGAAATTACAGAGAGCTTTTTGTGATGGTTAGAGGATGTTAAATTTCTTCTTCATCTCTTCCTCTTTTGTGCTCTTCCCCATTTTCTGGGATCCAGAGGACGCCCTCCGGTTGCATGGTGGTCCAGCAAGAAACTCCTACATGGAGCAGAGTTTTCACGGTCTGAACCCAGTGTTGCGGCTGCCGGTGAGCCTGGGCGCTGTGGAGGAGGCCGAGGCCAATGCTGGGCTGACGGGGGCGCCACTTCATCGCTGGTTGGACCGTATGCTGGAGGGCCACTGGTCGGCCTCAGACGTCTGTTCGATGGGACCCAGTGCCTGTCCTGTCATGCAGCGTTGTCCTCAAACAGTCTGGAGCTCCTCCAGCCCAGATCCTAAGTCTGAACTGAGTCCACCCAGAGAGGACGGACGGATAAGGTAGCAGACGGACGGACTGAGGGAGGGATAAATGAAGGAAGGCACGGTTGTGTCTGGTATTTATTTATTTAAAGAGTGCAGAGTGAAAGTGAAGGTGAATGGATGGACCAGATCTGCAGGCAGCGAGGAGGAGAAGAAGAGAAACAGACTTCAAAACTGAGCTACAAATATCCTCCTCAGTCCTCTCAGTCTGCTGCTCTCACTGTCATTTGGACTACATAGTGTGTGTTTGTGTGTGAGAGTGTGTGTAAGAAGAACTTTTTACCTCTTAATACCAGTATTTTCTTGGATGGAGGTATGAAAGTGTGTTTGACATGTTCGGATTCTAAGAACAGACATGGTTGCTCATTTTTGGGCCCTTTCGAAACTGTTATCCGGGCCTCAATTTGATGCAAGGATCCCCCTGAACCCGTGACCCATAACTCACAGCTCTGTGTGGAAGAAAAAAGTTGTGACAAAAAAATATCCTGACATGTATTCAGTTAAAAAAAACTTGAACTTTGAAATGAATTTTTCCCAAACCAGACCAAACTTCTTGCAGTATTTCAGACACTTTGTTTGACATAGGTTGTCAATTTTTAGTGTGAATGAAACAGGATATTTCTCTGGATTATTTGCAGAGCTTCACCTAAGCCATAAAGATAAGATAAGAAGAACTTTAATCCTCAAAATATATCCCTTAAAGAGAAGACATCATGATCTTGGTTCTCCTGAGATGTTGAAGTGTTGTCCGGTTATTTTGAGATGATATATGCCATACAGGAGGCAATAATTGAATGAGATACGAGGATAATGAACAAGTCAGGAGTCAGGCTGGTGTGAGGGAGATACACTTAATAATTATTCTTTATATTGCCAACCCAAACTCCAAATTTCAAGACATACTGCAGCTTTGTCTCTTCTAAAACAGAGACACTGTTGTTGTGGTGGGAGAATTACTCAGACCCTTTACCAAAGTACATGTAGTCGTACATCAACAAAAATTAGTAATGCTAATCCAAGGGTAGAACTTTTGAGTGTTTTTTATGACATTATACGTAGAGTATTGGGTTTGTGTTGATGAAAACAGTGTGTGATCAAGTGTATGTAGTCTGTCACAGTAGAGTGAATTTTATCATCTGTATACTGTTAGGTTGAGTATTTGATACAAAATGCATCATTCTGTACATTGCTGCTGTATGTTTATGTAGAATGTGAATCTACAAGGTAACTAGTGAGCTGACAGAGTAAGACTGAAGTCAAAGAAATTCTCTTAGAGGTAGACGTACAAGTAAAACTTAAGTGTAGTGTTTTGGTAAAGGTGCTCAGTAACCTCCTACCTCTCACAAACTACTGCACACACACTTTGTTGCTGTTTTTCTCCCTCTACACTGACCTGAGGCCTGTACTACAAAGTCAGTTCATCACACCACAGGTTCATCTTTAAGTTATCTGGCTGCACTGACCCTAACAAAGAAAGTCCAGCTAATTAGTCTCATGCAGCTTGAGACCCCTTATACTAACGCATTGACCCAACCCCATAGTGGCCAATGTCATCATGAGCAACACATGCATCTTTAATAGTAACACAGAACAGCATATTTCATTGACTGGAGAAAATAAAATTCTGCTCTATTTTTCTGAATTCCTAAGCCAATTACCCCATTAATTCGGGAAAACAGAGTAGAATTTGTACCCAGTATATATATGATGACGATCTTGTTAATTAAAAAAATTGAGCAATTTTTTTAACCTTACAATTTACTCATAATTCTGAGACAACTGTCTTATTAATTCAGAAAGACAGAGCGGTGTTTTTTCCTAAAATTAATGCATTACATCTCCATAGATAATTAACAATTCGTGGATAAATAGATGTGTACCTAGCTGTACAGATATGAGCAAGTGCGCCATCAGCTGATCGTTATATATTACAAACTCCTTTTACAAGCAGACTATGACGTTAAAAAATAGAGCAGATGGACACAAAAACCAGAGATCAACCCAAAAACAGGAAAAAGAAAAGAAGCAGATTGAATGTGTACATTTTGACTTATATTATCACCTTTTCATCATAAATGCACAGCAGATTGGCTTCTTCCTGTTTGTTCCATTAGAATTAGTTGTGTTAGCCTATTTTAGTCTCAGCTGAAGGATGTAAATTAAGATTAGATAACGTGTCCTACCTTTTTCTGTCCCTCCTCTCATCAAGATCAGCTTACAAAGCTTTATGACGAGGAGAATTGATTGGTCAGCAGGTGGTGCATTTCAGAGCATAATCTGCTCTGCTGAGCCTAACCTGCTATACAGAGCAGCATACGTTACCATGGTGATTTACTCCAGTAAGAAGTGAACTTTCTTCATGTGAAGTTACCTCCATAAACGCAAATCCTGCTTCATAGTACAGGCCCCAGCTCTTTGTGTGTACGTGCGTGTATATTTGTATGTGTGTGTGTTTTTCTGTTTTCTTCCCGTGCCATGTCTGAGACCTTCAGACCATCAGAGACGTCCGCTGTGCTGGAATTAAGAAGAGACTTGCCTCCCTTTTCTGTTCTCTAAGCTGTACTCATATTTTGCTTTGTAGACTTCAGATTAGTGTGACTGTGTCAGAGTGAGAGTAATTTATTCAGAGGTTGATATGAGACTTTTTTAGTCGGTGACTAATGTTTGATTCGCTGATATTTGGTGCAACGGGTGGGGTTTGTTTCTGCCTTTGTTTCTGAAGGCCTTCAAGTATTTGTCGGTACTGATTAATGTTTGTATCAGTCAGTTTTGGGTGGATCTCCTTCCTTCTCTTTCACTCATCTGCTCAGTTTTCAAACGGCATTACTACAAGTTGACACAGTACTTTATTGAATTTCCCTTCAGGGATCAATAAAGTTCTTCTTAAAGTTATAAAAAGAGATAGTGATCAATCATAGTGATCAATCAACACTTATAACAGAGAGGACACAAACTGAGCAAAGCAGCAAAACAAGAAGTAGGAAGTTAAAATGTGATTGTTTCAAAGTTTTTACACAAGTAAAAAATCATGCAGGAAAATGCATGATTTTGTTTGCAGCTGAAGTCGTGCATCCTGCCAGCTGCATGTGTCTCTGCTCCACCCTCAGTCACAGCCTCTACATCGCTAACTCTCCTCTTCATAGACAGTCCTGAGAGCTCCTTTGAGCCTTTCATAAAAGTGAAGACAAGTTGTTCATGTCAGTTGCAGACAGAAAGAAGAGAGGAGCGATTCCTTATCCCTTTACATTCATCGGTTCTAACCCGAGGACTGTTGTGATGGAGCTTCACAGCATTCTAGAGAAAGACTCCCAATACAATGACCAAATTAGTGAGAAAATAAGAGAAAATCCAGAGACCACAGCCACAAATCTTTTCTGGATTATGAATTATAATTATAAGGAAATATTTTATTTTGGTTAAATATTATTTTGAGAATTTTTTTAATTTATTTTTGCTATTGATTGAACGGTATGTCAAATGTTGATCTTTTTTCACTTACTTTTTCGGAACAAGGTGCTACTAGTTCAGTTTTGTTGCTGTGGTGTTGAAACAGGCATTAACAGTGTTTGGTCAGAAAGGTGCGGTCAGACAATTAGATCCGCTGTTCATCATCATAAAAACTAAATAACTGATACCTGATCATTTAAATAAAGTTTGTTTTGTATCTGACAGTTTTATTGGGACCACAACTGGAGACCAGCTATAAATTGTGAGGGTTCATCTCAGAGTGACAGCACTTAAAAGGACATGATCTGTTTCTGCTTGATGTTGGTTTTGAAATAAAATGAGCCTTTTTACTGGATTGATGTAATTTGGTATTTTGTGATTTAAAAAGTCATGAAGATGTACAGTTTTAAGTTAATGATGTTGAACTATCCAGCTCAGAGTTGGAGGTTGTGTTTAGGCTTTTTAAGAAAGTCATGGTGTGAAAATGTCGATAAAGTCTTCAGATTCTGGAGAGAAATCCCAGCTGAGAGGTTTGCTCTTTTCATCCTAAAGTTTGACCTTTTCTGGTTTTGTTTCTCCTCGTTCCTCCTTCTTTTACTGTTTTATAACTTTTCTCTCTCTCTCTCTCAGTGGGAGTAGTGCTGTGCCTTAGCTGTACTCCTGTTTTAGGAAATCCTCTCTGTAAGCATCAAATTCTGTCTCAAATGTCCAAAAGCCAAACGAGAAAAATGTTGTGAATGCCTTATAAATGACCATAATGGTTTTGAAGTACAATTTTTGGAAATAAAACAGAATCTCCCTTTTATTCTGTGCCTGTGCTCTTTATTTCACACTCATTTCAATGTATTTTTCAGGCATTAACAAGCTCCCGATAAAATTTTGTTCATGTTTGGAGTCTCTAAAGCAAATGTTAGCTTCCTGTATGCAATTGCAGCTTACACTCAAATACACTATACTAAATACTCTTCTTCAGATTCTGTACTAAAGAGACAAGGACCAAGACCAATAAAGGGTGGCCCTGATCTTCACTCTCCAAAGTAGCCCTGCAATAAAAACAGTACACTGTAGGTGAAATCACTGCATAGGTTTAAAACCATGGTCTGCAAACATAGATGTAGAACTAAACCATGCAAAAAGGAAACCATATATAAACAAGCAAATGTCCTTGGATGAACTGAAGGGTCTTAAAAAAAACTCTGGTGCTAAACACAAATGCATCATATCTGTGGTGAAGATCACCCTCAGCCAGCAGCTATGGAATCATCAATATACGGGATCGATGACGCACAGCTGGAAGGACAGAGCTAATTATTATCTGTAGCCAGTGACATGTGACACTGACCATCGCTTAACCCTTTCATGCATGAGATCAGACAGAAATCAGATGGAAATACTTGGAAAAATAAACTCTAGTTTGAACTGATATCTTCACTGAAAGCTAATTTTGGATGGCAACGTTTTTACAAGAGAAATGTTGTCCATGTTTGTAATGCTAATGGGTGAAAAAAAAAAAAACTAAATCTTAATTGAGAGGTTGATTGTCCCCCTGTTTAAAGCAAGATAATGATTTATGATAAATCACAGAAAAGTTAAGTGAAAAGTGCCATATCTTTCGATCACAACTGGAGCGGACCAGACCATCCCTGGAGTCGGGTGGACCACCATTTTCATGTGGTGGCCTTCCTCCCTCGGCGTGCCGCTCAGGTAGAGGCGCTGGGCTGCTCCTGTGATGCTGTTCAGAGTCTGATTATCAGTCCACCTTTTCACTGACTGATCTAAGACTGATAGTAAAGCTGTGGAGATAAATGGAGACTCCTCTTTAGATAGAACTACCTCTTTATTAACTAGTTAGGTGTCTCTAGTAATTAATCTTAAACATTTGACCACTTCTTTATTATTGAATAAAAAGAATTCTCCATTTATCTCCACAGCTTTACTCTCAGTCTCTCATCAGTCAGTGAAAAGATATGGGGAGAGATTTGTCCCAAAATTATGCACAAATACATATCCATGTGATAATCAGATCCACACATATATTTGTAAATCTTCAGTTCTGCTTGTGAATTGTTGAAGAATGTGTTTGTGGATGAACCGGCACGTGTATTTATTTTTGAGACAAACATCACACAGTTTTCAAGATATGAACACACACAAGTTGAGGATATTCACATGTGTGGAGAACACCGCCTCTATCATCCACTGGGCGGCAGTGTTGCTCCCTGTGTTGAGAGCATAAAGTTTATAAATATAGAACAATCGTGGCTCTTTATTTTAATCAGATCCAGGTCGAGGTAAACTTTTAAGTCAAGTGTCTAGAAAGGGGGGTCAAAGAGGAAACAAACAGATTACTCCTGTGTGTCTGACACCCAAATGCAAGTCAGGAGGGCAGCCCTGGTTCAATATCCGCTTGACACAAAGGAGATCCTGAAGCAAATCCTGGGGAACCAGGCCCGGGGGGTAGGGTTTCCCCCCTGGTGTTTCCGAAGAGGTAAAACGGGGTTATGAGGCAGGAAGGTAGAGTATAATAAAAATTTCAAAGTATAGTATGCTTAAATATCATAATACAGTATGATAAAAATATGATATTATAGGATGAAAAAATGTCATAGTATAGAAAGTTTAAAAATTATAGTTAAGTGGGAAAAAATATCATAGTATAGTATGATAAGAATAAAGTATGGTAAAAATATCACAGTAGAGTTTTAAAAAAATGTCATGGTATAGTTTTTAAAAAATGTCATAGTACAGTATGATAGAAATATAGTAAAGTATGATAGAAATATCATGTAGTATGAAAAAATGTCATAGTATAGTATGATAGAAATATCATAGTAAAGTACGTTAACGTTGTCACATTATAGTATGATAATAAAATCATAGTTAAGTATGATAAAAAAAAAATACCACAGTATAGTTTGATAAAAATGTCATACTATAGTATGGTAAAAATTCCAGTTTTTACAGTTTCTGATTATTTTCTCTCATCATTCTTGTGACACTCCTTCCTCTGTGAACTCATTATGCCTTTGGGTTTTCAACTCATTCTGAACACCAACAAATCCCAGAAATGAAGGAGAGCAGTCCTTTTTATAGAGGCCAGTCCAATCAGTTGCTACATTTTCTTCTTTTACTTTGGAATAAAATGTGTTGAACTTTTGGTACCCCCATAAATTCCCCATTGCAGGAGAGGATACAGGGGAAAGCAATGATCTCAATTCAGCTGCTTTACCTTAGGCTTTATTTAACAACTGAGCATGCTCAATAGAGAGCTGAGGAACAGAAACTGACCTGTAAGCAAGTCTGCAGTTCAAACTAAGGATGGGATGGTTACATTGCAGCTTTGACGACAATTGTTAAAGCATCCATACGACCACGGTTCATTTTTATCAGTTTAGCTATCTGAACTCTAAATTATCAGATGGTCTTAAAATCTTGAAGATTTAAGTAAATACCTCTAATATGGTCACTGGAATGTTATAGGTGCTGTACTAGATTAATAACTATGAGAGGAGTGAGTGTCTTTTTCCTTGGCATTAGAAGCCCCAAACACCAACTACTTAATCTTGAAAGAAAAGACAGGAGACAGGTCTGAGATTTGTTTTTATATATATTTAAGAAAATACTGACAGATGCTACTAAGTTATATACATTGTTTTCATTACAGCAGAGTATGGCCAGACAAAGATGAAGAAGTCATAAAACACATGGAATGATGGACAGGCGACTCCTCTCTTCACTTCTTGGACAGCTTGGCTTGTTTATTTTTAGGGGGCGCCCACTTCAAACACATAGTGTCCACTGTAAAGGAGGAGAGACGAACCATGAGTGCAAGAAAGCAGCTTTTAGATGGACTCAGAGAAAAACTTTTGGAAATGACACAAAATTACACATTATAGAGTTAATAGAGTCAGAGAGAAATGAGTCTGAGCTTACCTGTAATAGGGGGTTTCTTGTACTGGGCGCTCTTTAGGTGCTCCTCGACCAGTTTGGGTGTGACACAGATAACATGCTGACCTTTCCAGTACTTCACCATGTTCAGCGACTGCAACGTGCTGATGATGTCACTCTGTGTGATGCTGGTCATCTGGCTGGAGGAATAAAAAGCAAAGAGAGAGAAATCAACATCATGACGGTGAGTTACAACAGTCTGAACAAACCACAGAGAAGAGGGGGAGTGTCTGATGGTGTATGTGTGATCATACCTAAGGTCTTTGATCGACAATGTTCCTCTGAAGTCCCTCAAGATCTCTAGCAGGACCCAAGACCAGTAACTCCTGTAGCTCAGCTTCCCCAGATCTGAAAGAGGCTTCTCCGGGGAGCCCACTGCACCTTCCAACTTTGACAATTCATAGCCTGCACACGCAAGAAAGAAAAAGTGATTTTTATGTCCCATTTTTATATGCAAAACACATTGTTTGAAGACTGTGTGTTGCTTAATTAAATTAATTAAAAAATTACACTGTGAGGTGCACTGATGGCGGCTAAACTTAAAATAAGTCTGCCTGCATCCTGCTTGAAGGAGGTGAGGTCTGCTCTGTCAAATGGGCCACTTTTGGTCCTGATTATTTTTCACGAAGACAAGTAAGTTCAGGCCGAATCCCAGATAATCTTTCATCATATATGATTATAAGGACATGATGAAAATTATTCTAAGCAACACAGACACAGAAATTCATGTTGAATAAAGTTCTCATTGGATGCCAGTCTCTCACTTACTAAAAGCTATGAGGAACTTTCCATAGCCTCTGCGTTGGTAAGGTGGTAGTGTGAGAATACAGGCCACGTTATTCCCATCTGGAGACTCTTTCTCCTAAAGAACAAAAAGAGAAAAGTTTAGTCAAAAGGTTCTAAATAGTCCAGTTTGAGATTACTCACACTCTGAATGCAATTCAAGCTTTTATTACAGCAGTTTTAGAAGATTTTACTTTCCAAAGTCAAAAGATTTTGTCACAACATAATAGAAAAACGCTTACAAATGAAATGTTTGATAAGGGGTACCCATCGGAGTTTTTAAATCTTTAATGAAATACATAACTGTACAAAATTAAGTTTTGAAAATTACCTCCTAAACAAGCTTACAAAATTTGAACTCAAGGGAGGTAACCCTAAAATCAGGAGTTAAATCAGTCTGAGGCTCAACCATGGCACGTACAAGCTGTGATGTTACACATGATCTGCTACATTTATTTTAATTACCCCTAAGAGTTTTGTCAAGACACATAGTAAACTTAACCTTCCCATGTTTTCTCAGGACTCTTGAGAAAACTCACAGCAGGGAATTCAAGATAAATTTGACACAAATATTTTCAGGCTGGCCTTACTTTGGAGAAGTAGCCGACGATGTGCGCCCCCTGCTTGTTGACTTCGGTCAGGATATAGAAGATAAAAGGCTCCACGTCAAAATAAAGCGTCTTGTGATCGAGGAATAGTTTTGCTAGTAGACAAAGGTTCTGACAATAGATCTGCAAACAGAGAACCAGAATATAATCAGATGATCTGCTTTACTGTAGCTCAGTTGGGATTTCTGTTTTATTTCCAGTTTAAGCACAAAGAGTAAAACAGAAGCAGAGAAATCTACATCAAAATGGTACAACTGTTGCTTCCAGCACTTTCAAAGTAACCTCACCTTATGGTCCCGCCCATCTACTTCATACACTGATATGTTGCTTCTTCTGTAGATTTCTTTGCCAGGAGGTTGCTTCCACTGACAGTGAGACTGAGGAGACAAAGGGTCAAAAGGTGAAATTACAGCAGGCAGCAAGAAGTGGACTTCAACAAAGATATTTCCAACTTATTTTAGGCTTGTGGAAATATATTCTCACTCTCAATAGCACAATATTCTAAATGTGAATCCACAGCACTTCAAATCAAAGGATGCTGCGTGATAATTTCAATTTCGCCTACACTGACGAGCCAAGTGTAAGATGCACTAACCAGGTGATGTCTGAAGGTCTTCTCGTATTTCATGTATTTAAGGCAGTACTCGCAGATCCACAGCTTTGGCTGCTTGCCATAGTCCTCAGGAAACGGCGAGAAGTACCAGGCATCAATCTCAAAGTTTCCTATCTGGATCTTATCCACATATTTGACTTTAGTGATCTGAAAGAGAAACAATGAGGAGAGTAAGACAACAATCACGATAGTCAACAAAGAGCCTGTTTCACCAGAAAAATTCAGGGATGATCTCTGTACAAAGACATCATTTAAAAGAGACACTGACAGACACTCAGAGAGTCAACCTTACCGCCTCATGCTCCTTCTCCAATGCAGCTGTTGTTGGGTCCATCTCTGCGTATGTCTGCAAATTAAAACAGCATTAGATAAGTACTGACTACTTAATACAGCACTGTGTTACCAAATAAAACATGTCTCTGACCTTCTGTACATGGTTGATCTCGTCATGTTTCCGCTTCTGGTTACGAGTGATCTTCCTTTCAGGCTGTTCACCTAAATCACCCACGCCTCCGATCTCTGTGCTCTTCCTCACAGCATCCTTCACTGTCTTAGTGAGGGCCAGGCGAGCTTTACCCACCCACTCATCTAGACGCCTGTTGACTGCATGGATAAAAAAACAGAGATCAATACTGTACAGGGCAGTAGCTTGAGGAGCTACAATAGTATGATGATAGTAACACAGGGATGTAACAGTATCACTAGTATAATCTGGGAAAGAGTTTTGTGGCAGGAAAATAACATGTATTTTATTACAGATAACCTTTTTCCAATTTCATCAACCTTTCCGTACTTCGAGTTGCTTTGCCATTTTCATTCTGTGGATGATAGGTTGATCCCATCATTGTGTGTTAGTATAGAGCTGGAAAGCTAAAAAACCAATCTGCCATTTGCAAGTCCAAACAATAACGATAATGTTTTCTAAATAAGCATAATGCAGAAAAGGTGCATCCAAGCATCACTAAACTGCAATTTCAGTATTTTTTCAAAAAAAGTTTAAATACTTAAGTCTTTCTAAAAGCAAGTACTTAGTCTTAATCTTTACTTCAGTAATATTTTGACCAAGGAACTTCAGTCTGTCCTCGCTCATAAAATATTTCGCTCAACCCTGGACTTACGTTGAATCCTATCTCACAGTTTCTTTAAGATATTTTTCCAAGTCTATGACAATAAACATCGTACCTTGGACTTGCTATTGAGGTGCTATCATCGTGATATGATATTGTTACACCCCTTGCATGAGATGAAGCAGTGATATTTATGTTGTACTCACAGCCCACATAGTGAACATAAAACTCCTCTCTGCCCTCCTGTTCATTCAGCCGGGACTGGATAACCTCTGCTGTATCTGAAAAAGAGAAAAGGATACAACAGTTATTGAAACTTTGTCCAAGAACCTGAAATCGAGCACACTACATTTCTAACATGGGATGCCTACAAAAATCCTGTTCAGATTTCCCATCCTGTGCAACTTTGATTAAGTACGTTGTAATACCAGGGGTGGGAGAAAAAAAATCAATGCAGCATAGTATTGTGATATTTTGTCTGGTGACATATTGTATTGTCTCTTTGACCAAGTATCGATTTTTTCAACTAAATTGTTAAAATGAAGTCAAATCTCTGATACAGGAAAAATATAATCAACTGTTTGTCCAGCGAGGTTGGCAGAGGTGATGTTATAAAGCAGGAGAAAGTTATTGCAAGAAATGTAGCAGCACCTGGGGAAAGATATTAGAAATGCAAGCAGTGCACAAATAAGATGGACCAGCTCAACAGTTGAAAAATACTCACTGTATTGAAAAATGTTAAAAATCGCAATGGTATCGTATCGTGGCCCAAGTATCGCAATAAAATCGTGTCGTATCGTTAATACTAACTCTTATGTAGTCTGAACACTGCATGGCTTAGCTGCTTTTTATTCATTGTTGAAGTCGGTAATCACATAGTCTCCAAAAGCCTGGTGTTAACCCAATTACAACAATGAGTCAGTTATAGAGGAGTTTGGTGTAAAATATTTTGGTCACCAAGCATCTTTATTTAACAAGCTAACCGGAACAGAAAAAATCATAGTAATCACTCACGCCATGTCTTGTCAGCTCGCTGACATAAATACGTCTCTCCAATTTCGACCGAAACCTCCTGCTCCCTCCCGCTGCCGCAGAACACACCACCCCCGTCCGGCGTGTGCTGACTACTCGAGCCCCCGGCGTCTCTCGCACGGCCAACGGCCTCCGCTTCGTCCTCTTCCCCGCCACTGCCGTTAGAGGAACACGCCGCCGGGATACTACTATCCAGTTCACCCCGCTCATTTTCAATATGACCAGAATCCATGTCCACATCCATTCTGGGTTCAGAGTCCTTGTTATTGTTGTAGGTTTTGTGAAAGTCGGTCCCGCCAGTCATCACCTCCGTCGTTTTGAAAACAACAACACGCCTCTGCGACCCTGCGCACAATATCCAGAGGGGTTGGTCTACGACGGGAAAAAAAAGCCAAGATGGCGTCGGCAGGCCTTGCGTTGCATTTCGGGGTTGTTACAATAATCGGAATAAAGAGTTTCATCTTGGAAAAATTAACTTGCATGGTCCATCAAGTCAAACTATTGAACAACTTCAATGAGATGACACCCCATCAGAAGAGTTCTTAGTTTAAACATGCTCTTGACAGTTATTATGATTTATATCACTTAATGTCTTCAAGCAACTGAGCATACTTCAGGTTCAATACTTTCGGAAGCTCAATAATCCGAGGTGTACTTGAAAGTGGCGAAGGGTTCCGTTTCTTCCTGCCATGATTCGTGTACTTCAGCGTGAAACTACAACTCCCAGGAGTCTAAGGAACGCATTACTTGCAGTTTTATCTGATCTTTTCTGAACTTCTGATATTGAGCATAAATAATAAAATGCGCTTAAATAGGTCTGGAATTCACTCTACTACATATACAGTAACGTAAAAAATATATTTCACTATTTTTTTCTTCTACAAAATGACCCTCTTTGAGAGTTTGAGATGATGTAATGTGAACATTGTTGAACATAAAGAATGAAACTGTCTTAATTTCATTTAATAGCAACAAAATCAGGTTAATACGCAGCCTGAAAGCCAAAACCGTTCAATTTACAAAATCAGTTTCACATGCCAGCCACACCATGATAAATAAACAGACAGCCATTGTGCCAGACAATAGGTTTGTCAGAATTATGTGATATGGCTAGGGCTGGGCGATATGAGAAAAAGTTTATCACTGTATATTTTTTGCATATCAGTCAATATCGATATATATCACAATATAAAAAATTTAATTTAACAGTGCTTATTGGTAACAATAAACTACTGCATCCTAGAGGTGTTTGTGTCTCTTCGATGTTTTTTCGTAAGGTGTTGCGCTGGAGAAGGCAGACTGAATGGTCGGCTGCACAGGTGCCATGGGCTCCTTGCTCCGCTTGAGGTTTGTAACCATTTGCATTGCACGTGCTCTGCCGGCTATTCTTATAGTCTACTATCGAAAAGCATATTGACCATGTTTGTTGACCAAGGGAAATTAATTTTCAACATGTATTATCATTTTATCACCCAGCCCTAGCTACAGCTCTACTATTACAGTTCAATTAATGTCAAACCCAGATAGATAAATGATTAAAAAGACACAACTGCAAACAAAATGTTGATACAAACACAGTAATATCCAGATAAGATTTAATTTGTAGTTCTTTCAAGTCATATTGCACCACAACAAAAAGCAACAACCATCTGCATCGTATATTAGTGTGCATGAGAATGCATAGCGGAGACCAGGAGAACAGTGATGTACAACAGGATAGGACACTACACTGAATGTCATTTCTGGTGCAGGGCTTTAATCTATGCAGACTGATAACGGAGGCACTCATACACTTGTTCATCAGCCCTCCTGTTGCCCTTTGTCATAGCACCTCCTCTCTGCCTCTGTCCCTCTCCACCACTCTGTGGTTACCCCTGCCGTGACCCCGGCGAGGCCCCCCTCCCCTGCTGTACTGATTGTTGCCCCCTCCCCTGCTTCTTGGAGCTCGTCCATCCCAATGGTAGTGTGCAGGCCCCGGAGCTCCAGTGTGTCTGTGAGGACCCCTTCTCCTCCCGGGATGACCACGACTGCCTACTGAGTCTGCAGCATCTTTTGGACATCCAGCCTCAAAGGCTTCCTGGTATGCTGGGTGATCACCTGGACACACAGGTCTCTCTTTTTGCTCATGAACTCGCCCGCCTGTCTCTGACTGACAGAACTCTACTTGCACCTGCTGACCATGGTAACCCTGAGCTTTGGCTTTGTTTGGTCCATCAGTGCCGTCTGAGGACAGAGAAAGTTTGTCCAGGTGCTCTGTGATGGGGGCTCTTCCATGTTGTGGTCTGTGCCTGCCTCCCCTCCTCTGCCCCCTCGTGTGGTTTTGATGCCTCTGGCCCTGCCCACCTCTGCTGTGGGACTGTCCAGGAGCAAACCTGTCTGCTCTGGCACCAGTTTCATTAAAGGTTACACTTGAAGCTGAGGGTAGCGGGGGAGCAGGGGAACCATCTTCATCCAGATTTCCATTTTCAGCCACAGGTGGAGTCTGGGGGAATCACAGATCAAAGTTACGTCTTTAAGTTCAGCGCTGAAAGTGATCTAAGGAGGGCTCTGTTTTCTAATTGTAGAGTGTCAAAATAAGTATTCATGCTCACCTCGTTGATATGGATAAGGAAACGATTTGACTCCGCTTCAGGGTCAATGATTCCACCCTTGGATCTCTGTCTCTCCAGAATCTTCTGGAGTTCACACCACTTCTGTTGAAAACTTGAACCAATGGCTGCTTCATCCAGCTGAGTGATGAACAGAAAGCCTTTAAATGTTTTGATTGTTCAGACGCTAAAATCACAGATGTCTTGGATTGTACTTCAAGCTTCCAAATGACTATTCTATGTAGTAACAATGTGCATCAGAAGCTGGTTTTACCTCTGGTAGCTGAGGTGCGGGGGAGGCCAGAAGCTGGTCCACGTCATAAATCAGAGGTTCTCTGCACACCGGACACACCACGATCAGCTCCTGTGGGGAGTGTCAGTCATGAAAAAGCTTATAAACAAACATTTCTTTGTCCAGAAGTGTGAGATTGATCTCTGACCTGATGGTCTGATCGGTCTCTGGTCTTGTCCTCCTCTAACTCCTTCTCCCTCTGCTGCAGCTCGCTCTCAGAGTGGCTGACGTAGCGGCCGAGGCAGTGACAGTGGAAGTAGTGGTAGCAGCTTGTCTTGGTAAATGTTTCTCCCTCCTAAAAAACAGGAACATTTCTGGGAGTATTTGAAGAAAAGAATTGATTTAAGCTGCTTTTTACGCTCCTGAGAGGAACTTTCAGTGTGTGTCAATTTTGCCGCTCACTGTGGACATAGAATTTTTTTTTGGACAATGAAAGCTATCATTCAAGTTGTCAATATTTCCTGGACATTTTTGCCTTTATATCTCATAGAAAATGAATTCCAGTATTTTCTTTGACCTAGATCCTGCCATAATTAGAGTTATCTGATTGCTACAAGGACTAAAATAACTTTTGACTGTATTCATTTTAAAATGAATCTCTGAGGTATTTTGAAACCTGAAAAGATGGGAAGCAGCATACCTTAAATCCATAGAGGCAAATGACACAGTTTCCATAAGGAATGTTGCTCTCTGTCAGGATTTCTTTTGCTTTCTGGAGAAGCAAACAGAAACAGGACATTTTTGAATGTGGCTTTTAGCAAGATTCCTGTTGGATCATTACCATTATACAGTATACTGATCTATAATTCATACACTGTATTCACCTGGTATATCTTACCTCAATAAGCTGATACAACACTGGTGAACCCAGGGAGGACTGAGCCTCCAGCTGCAGACACTTTTGGACACTGAGAAAAAGGAGGTATTCATGATTACAAGAATTTAAAATCAAAACTAAGAATTCATAAGCAGGAGATGGTGATGTGATCAGTCTGCAGCTTTGCTTGTTACCTGCTGAGCTTGTCATCAGAGAGCCCCCGAGGGTTATGAATGGAGATGGTAGGAGAGGAGGAGGGATACTGAACACATGGAACAGGGACACAGAGAGGGAGCAAAACTCTGTTATTAGTTTTTTCTGATCTAATACATTGGGAGAAATATGGCTCCTTATTTTTTGTTGTTGTTTCAAAGAAATTATTTTGATCAGCTGTTTTAGGAAAATATTTTCAAAGTCCTGAAACAGAACTAATTATTTGTCAGATTTGAGCAGATTCATTGTCTTCTATAGGAACCAAAAAGGTTTGAGCATTAAGCTACAGGAAGGAAAGGACTGAGAGACAGACTGATACAGTAATAGTGTTGTTTTTTTTGACGAGAATAACTGACAAATACTTGGTGTCATTTCCTGCTTGTGTTTCTCTGCTGCTCTCTCTGTGCAGGATCTCCTGGATAAGATAAATTGAAGGCGTACCTGCTGATCGAGGGTCAAAGTCAGTGTGAGTCGGACAAACTGGGAGACAGAGTCCTCTGCTGTGGATGGATAAAGGACCAGGCTCACCTCCCAGTTCCTGGAGGAGAAAAAACAACAGCAGCTTTAACATCAGTCCTTTGAAACTAAAAAGGCAAGTGAGTGTGGAGAAGTTTCTGCAGTTTGCGTCCATGTAAGGCTTTTTAGATAAAAAGCAGGCCTCTCACAAACTCTGAAAATTACAGCTGATTTCTCTTTCAGATTTTTGTACCTTTCAAGAAATCCTGAAGGTCTCGGCATAAGGAACTCGTATCAGAAATTTTTTATGGCTAGAGGCGTCACTTGACTCTTGGACCCATAAATAGCTCTCACAACCAGAGACAACAATCACAATTTTGACAACTACACATTTATTTTGCAAATTATTGACAAATGAATTCTCTGTACAAAAAAAAGGACATGAAAACTGAGGTCAAATGGCTGTGATCCTTGAACCTGCAGGCAGCACTATCAATAAGAGACATGGCTCTGTAGTGGAAATCACTACAGGGGCTCAAAATCACATGACATTCCTTTTGGAAATCAAGGATGCTACATCTTCCACTTTAAATAGGGGAAGGATCACCTAACTTATTATCCACACACAGCTCAAAAGACAGCATCTTTGCACCCATGGGGTAAATGATTTGCGAGCCATCGGTTGTTTTTTCATAACCAACACTTGGTGCCGTGTCCCAACTCTTGTGGAATTGAGATTGTATTTACAGGGAAAGCAGAATATTCAATTTATAGTAACTGATAGGAAAAGGGTGGTTAGATCATGTTTGTACTTCTTCTCAGTCCTTTTTGGACATGTACATTAGATAACCAAATGTTTAAAACCCTTAAGGTGGGGGTTACATGCTTTTGAATATGTGAGGTGTATATTTTCTGTCCAAGAATTTGTTGTTTATATATTTAGATGAATCCAAAAGTCAGTGGGGATGTTCTGCCTTAAAAATATGTGGCTGTAGATGATTTTGACAAACATCTGCTTGTTTCTGCAGCCACTTTATGTCCTTTAATTTTGTTTGATCATCATATTTCTTGTATTTTGATTGCCTGTATCGCTACTTCTAAGCTTCCCTAACTATGATGCACCTTGTTTTAGGCAGAAAACTACAGAAATTGAGGGCGTTTAATCTCAAAGAGCTTCTTCTTGGTAAAATTTAAAAAATATTAATGTAAAGGTTAAAGGTAATCTTTAAAAGGAAGAATTCGGGGCGTTATTTTAGGGTACAAACAGGTTCAATGCGGAGTTTTCTCTCTTGTATCTAGTCCTCACATCTGTCCAGGATTATAAAACATGAAACTCAGAGCCAAAGCTAATGAGAGAGAGAAATGTGAAGCTAACTCTCTCACCCGTCCTCTCTCCTGTCGACCAGCAGCTCGTCCAGATAGATGGACTGAAGCACCTCGATTTCCGACAGCACACTGCAAAGCAAAAACACACATAAAAGATCAGTTACAACTATTCTGAGATATTTAACAACACCAATTCAGCTAACACTAGCACGCTAGCGTACAGAGGCCAATTAACGGTAGCTAACTCCATAACGGCTGTGACTTTTAATTGTATTAAAAGCTCAGAGTTAATTTGATGATAAGAGATATACACCAAATAAACGGAGTGTCACGTAATGTTGCTGAGACGTGCTGTCAAGAAACTTACTCGCTCTCCGCTGCCATGATTATGTTTCTGGGATAGCCGCAAGTAGCTAGTAACTATACAGAGAACCACAGGGACCCTTCAAAATAAAAGTCACGAGGAACGATGCAAAGTTAGCTGAGTTCAAGACTCTCGCGATCAACCTAAAGGTTTATCTCTATTATTTCATCTAATACATGAAAAAGTCTTTCCTCGTGTACTCGAAACCTACTCTGATTTTCTACTAGTATTATGTATTTTATTTTAATGCCACAACCGGAAACGTTACGGTGTAAATATGTTTGGCTTGATAGTTAAGAATTGACAGAACCAAAGAAGCGTTATCACTGCCCTCTAGTGGTCACAGCGCGAAACTGGCACTGAATGTTTTTTCAAAGGGATATTCCGGCGTAAAATTAATTTAAGGGTCAAACACACCGTAACACCGAGTTAGACACCCCCTAGAGAGATGAATGTTGCCGACCGTTTGCTTCTCTAGTTTATGTATGATACTTTCTTTAACCTTTTTCTTTAAGTAATAATCATCATATTAGCCATTTTGCACTGCTGACGTGGTAGTTCTTCTGCCTTAGCGTCACGGTCGGTCTGATTGCATTTCCATAAAGAAATTATCATAAATGTTCTTCCTTGAGCTGCGTCACCCCGCTGCAGTCCGTAATGGACTAGCCCGAGGTTTATGGCTCCTCAGACCACTGTGTAATGCTGTTGTGCGGTCGTTACTAAAGTTGGTAAAACTAGAGAAGCAAGCAGTCGGCAACAGTCATCTCTCGAGGGGGTCACTCGATGTTAAGGTGTGTTTGAACCTAAATTAATTTTACGTCGGAAAATACCTTTTATCATATTTGCAAATCGCTCCAGATCTCTTGTACTTCATCCAACCATTGGATTTGCTATCCATTTTTTTTATGTTCAAAAAACTGACAGAAATATCGGGATAGCAGATAAAAAACAAAACATGTATTCAAAGAGAGAAAGAAAAAATATGATTGCATAAAGTAAGGAGGCAACCCGACTGCATTACAGATCTTTTTTAAAAAGGCTTGGTTGAGAATGCTCCGGGGGCAGAGGGGTGCACATTTTTTTAATTTTATTTTCGAAATAACCGGAATCGGGTTTTGATGCTTGATGATTGTGCTGATGTAATTCTCCTCTGTGGCCGCTAGAGGGCAAACTTGCTGTTGATTTTATCATATCATCGCGTTTACGCGTTGTCAGCAGTAGAGGGCAGTGCTGATGGAGTTGGTTTATAGTTTGCCGTGAATTTACTGGCAGAGAGTAAGAAGAGTAAGAACGTAGAAGAAGAAGTAAACCCGCGATAGTAGAGAAGGACCATGTAATGTTATACCAAATTCATAATTGTGGGATTTTACTGACATTCAAAGTGAAACTTTCAGACTTGGCTGAACAAAATAACATGTCACTGTGGCGAACATGAATGTTTGCGTTATCAAAGGTATAATGTATCTCTTAGATTAGCTAGTAAGTTAATTTTGTCGGGGAAAAGTGCCTAAAAATGGAAGAAACCGTGATGGAGTCGGAATCAGTTGATCTGGCGGGGTCTACTTCACATCATCAAGTTGCTGAGGCTTGGGAGAATGTCACTACAGCTTTGGTAAGTAAGCTATTTATTATCATGTTCTGAAACTCCACAGGAAGATATCAGGGACTTGTCCGGCAAAATTTTATACCTCAAAATTGAGCTTTTTGGCACTTTTTTGCCATGTTTTATTCTCAAAAGACATAACTCAGAGATGATTATTGGCAGAAAAGATGTTCGGCCGAATTCGGCGCATGGCAAACCTGTTTTTTCGTCATTGTGAATAAGAAACCAACGCAGCATAACGAGGATGATTCCGAGCTATTACAGTATAGCACAGCTTTAAAAATCGACCTGTCTGTGAATGGAGTTTGGTCTGATAACCTCTGGGCTTAACAACATGGGAAGAATAACCTGAAACGAGCATCCAAGCCCGATATTTTCCATCTCTTACACCTTGTTTCTTCATGCTCTGTTCTTCAGGTGTCCCCTGGCTGCTTGATGACAGAGCAGAGCCTCTCAGAGTCCCTGACCCTGCTGTCTGACCAGGGTCTAGACCGGCTGCTTGGAAGCTGGTTGCTGGAGACTTTGCAGATGCGTCTGTCCTCCTGTGTGGTTCCTGAGTTCTGGTCTGGACTCAAACAGCCGGAGAATGAGCTGGACGAGAGAGGCAGGGCCTGGGTTCTCCTCACTGCCTTTCGGACTCTGTTAGGGCAGCTTGAACCTTTCCTGTGTAAGAAAATAAGCTCACCAAGTTCAGTCCTGATTGTTGGCTTTCTTTTTTTGTAGAAGTATTTTTATTTAAGCGGCCTCTTCTCCCGCTTTATAGGTGGTTTGGAGATGCTGGGGAGATGGCAGGATGAGGGCCGTGGCAGTCTCTGTGGTGCAGGGTCTAAAGGCCTCCAGGAGCGAGCCTTCACCATCATCAGAGCTCTCCTCCTTTTCTCCCCTTCCCCCGTCCTTCAGGAGCGAGTGCTGGAGTTTTACAGCAGGACCTTCACCGTCTACATGAACCAAGAGGGAGAGGCTGAGGACGTGGCTGAGGTCTCAGAGGGTCCTGAAGGTGGAGGGTTCTGCCGGGGCTGTGGGATCCCGACACATCAGTGCTGGTGTCAGGAGGCTCTGAAGCAGCTGCAGGAGCTCAGCCACATACTGTGAGCAAAATTACTGTTATGTGCTGTGGTTAATGAGCTGAGGGTCATTTGAATACTGAGATGTACTTTTTGTGAGGTTCTAGTCTTACACTGTCAGGTCTGCCACTTATTACAACACTACCAACTATACAACAAAAAAGCTGGCATTAAGCATTGATTTGAAAATATTAATTCATGCATCACAAAGAATATTCTTTCACTTCAAACACTTATCATGGTACTGCTTATTGGCAGACTTGTGGTCAAATAAACATTAAACTGAGCATTTTCATCCAAAGTAAGTTCAACTCTTGCGGTTTGAGTTTTTAATACAGTTGTGTTACTTTTAAGAAAGCTGCTTGGTATTTTGAAATAGTCTTCAAATACACTGAAGGCACAAAATGACACAAACTGACCACTAATTTCAACCTGCAGATGACATTTTAAACTGGAATAATTCTGCCTGTGAAGTAAAAGAAAACCTGAATGAAACCAAGCAAAAGGTCCTGAAACAGAATCTGACATATTCCTTGATGGCTGAAACCAGATTTGACGATCCGACAGACTAAAATATGGATCTTGAAGGACTCAAGATGTGGAAAGAGTGTGTATTTTATGAGCTCCATCGACTGAATCAAAACAAAAATATGTAACAATGCACAGTGGATAAGTGTGTTTCTGTTCGGCCACAGATCCAGACTTCAGCTGCTGGAGTGGGTCAGCTCTGAGTCCGTCACCTCCATCCTCCACAAGCTCATCGAGCAGCGGATGGAGCAGCACTGCCGGGGCGAGTACGAGCGCTCCTTCCTGTTAGAGTTCCAGGAGGTAAAACATCATCTGTGTCTGCATTTTCACTAACTCAGAGGAGGTTTTTCTGGATGAGCCCTCTAACTTTAAACTTGTCTCCCGTGAGCAGTGGCTGGAGCTGGTGCTGGGCTGGCTTAGCAAAGTGTTTGCCAGCGAAGCAGAGAAAGATGGTCCGACCTTGACTCCTGGTGCCCCTGGTGCTCAGGCTGGCCCCCCTGCCAGCTCGGTCCTGAAACAGTGGAGGTGCCACATGCACCAATTCTTCTGCAGGATCTACGTCAACATGAGGATAGAGGAGCTCTTCAGTATCATAAGAGGTGAGAGGGGATCTGGATTTGAAGTCTGATTTTCTTTTGTTGTTGCAAAGATGAGGGCTCAGATTATGTTTTTATGATACATTTAGATGCAAAGGTTAATAGAAACAATGCTCCGACTTTCTTGGACTAATTTTCATTTTTTAAATACCCTTCTCAGATTTCCCAGAATCCAAAGCAGCCATAGAAGACCTCAAGTTTTGTCTGGAAAGAACCAACCAGAGACAGCAGCTCCTCACCTCACTGAAGTCTGCTTTTGAGAGCCGTCTGCTTCACCCAGGTCAGACCTCTGCTGGTGCCAGTTTTTCAAAGTGTTTAAAGGCTTTCTGCAGGTCCTTCAAAAAATCACATCTGATTTATCTCTATGTTTTCTAGTGTCGCAAGTAAAATTTGTCAGAAACTAATATAGATTATAAAGTCACTTTGATAGGCGTGTTTTCTGTAATTTTGGTTGCAGTCACAAAAAAAAGAAAGACATAAATAATGAATTTTGAACAGACCTCCTGAAAAAATGCTCTATTCAAACAAACAGTCATAAAAAGTGTCACTTTTTATAAAACATGTTTTTCCAAAAAGGATCTAAAGTAACCCCGGATTATTTAGTAACATTTTACCCTGACACAACGCTTTCTACATTTTTATTTCGCTAACCTGTGTTTTTCTTTTTTCTTTTCAGGGGTTCACACGTCTGACATCCTCACCGTTTACATCTCTGCCATCAAAGCGCTCCGAGAGCTCGACCCGTCCATGGTCATCCTGCAGGTCGCCTGCCAGCCGATCCGCAAATACCTCAGGTGAGTTAATTTATCCTTAAACAGATGTTATAAAGAAGAATGTTGGAAACGTAATGAAAACTGTCTGGATGGTTGTAATCTTAACGACTACTTATGTAATCTGACTTGAAATGAAACTGTAGAAGGCTTCTGATTAAATATGAAAGTTAAAGTATTCAGAGAAATCTTGAAATACATTCTGACACGTTAAACTATTAAGAATATTAAATAAAAGGCATACGACTTTAACTATAATTAAACTAACAGAGCAGGAAAAAATGATTTTTTTTAAAGAAGCAGCGTTTTTAGTCATGCTTTATTTAATATCTGTGGTGCGTTCAAGGACTCGGGAGGACACTGTGAGACAGATCGTAGCCGGTCTGACCGGAGATGCTGAGGGCTGCACAGATTTGGCCTCGGAGCTTTCCAGAGGAGACCCTGTGACTCTGGAGATGCAGGATAGCGACGAAGAAGGCAATGACCCCAAGGACTGGACTCCAGACCCGACCGACGCTGTCCCCGGTCAGTAAACACATCATTAGCTGCTCCTGCTGCTTTTTGCTGTTTGACTTTACTGACAGTGGGTTGGGTTTTGCAGATAAGATGGGCTCCAAACGGCGCTCCTCTGACATCATCAGCCTGCTGGTCAGTATCTACGGCAGTAAAGGAATCTTCATCGACGAGTACAGAGCCGTGCTGGCCGACCGGCTGCTGCACCAGCTCAACTACAACACTGCCAGGTACATCTGAACACACACGCTGTGACTGAAGGATCAGGTTTTACCGTCTTTTACAGCCAATAATCAAATAGTTATGAAATCAACTAAAGAACATAAAAGAAAGATTTTCAGATAAGTTCAAGACAGAAGAGGTGTATTGAATAGTTTTATTGATCTAGTCAGGGTCAGCTCTTTAAATCTGAAGGACTGGAGAGCAGCAGAAATCACTAAATGCAAAATTACATTCTATCATACACTCTTTCATAGTTGCTCATCATTGTAAATATGTCATTTTCTAACATTTTTCCAATATTTTGTCCTTTTTGGTTTGTTTTCAGGGAAATTCGTAACGTGGAGCTGCTGAAGCTTCGGTTCGGAGAGTCTCACATGCATTACTGCGAGGTCATGCTGAAGGTAAACGCTCACTGACATGTTTTAGTCTCTGTGGTTTTACATGCAGGGTTAAGATGACCCCAACCATCATTAAAAACATGCATTAACTATTCATAAGGTCAAATTTCAAAGTTTAAGGTTTCATTCATTCATCTCTCTGCCTGTTTCCAACATGGCGGTAGTAAAGATTTTACAGGCACAACATTTCTCGATAAGCAAAAAACAGAACAACTTTTAAAAAATGATAAAGATAAGGCTTTGTCTCACGTCTCTGTCTTCTGTCTCTGTTCCAGGACATGGCGGATTCTCGGAGGATCAACAGTAACATCCGTGAGGAGGAGTCCAGGCTGAGCGAGGAGGAGCAGCCGCCGCTGTCCCTGTCCGCCATCATCCTGTCCTCGGAGTTCTGGCCGCCACTAAAGGAGGACAAGCTGGAGCTCCCCCCGATCATCTGCCAGAGCATGGAGGCATACACACACCGCTATGAGAAACTCAAGGTGGAGTTCACCAAGATTTCACTTCTTTTTACGTTCTGACTTTCAACCACCTCTAAAACAGTCTGTTTGGAAACTTTGCACAAGTCTTTTTTAACAACCTGAAGTCGTTCAAGGAAAGTTTGACAGCTCAGGTTTTAGAGTTTGCAGCTAAATTCCCACATTTTTCACACAACAAAAAAACGTTCAACAAAAAAGCTTGAGTCCGTATAAATACTGTAAAAACAGCACTATGAAATATTTTTCTTCTCAGTTGAAATTGCAGGTTCTTTTCTTTTCTATCTCGTTGTGTAATCAGTTTGCTTGTTTGTTTGTGTTATTTTCAGTTTCTGGGTTGAGACTTTTTCGCAGTTCTTGCCAAACTTGAGCCACACGTGTCTCCCTAAAGAGCCAAAACGCTGTTGCAGCGCCGAGGAGAGAATTTTCATGGCATGAAGTGAAGCAGTTTCTCTGTGTTTCAGGCTATGAGGACGCTGAGCTGGAAGCCTCACCTGGGCTCCGTCACTCTGGATGTGGAGCTGGAGGACCGCACTCTCACAAACCTCACCGTCTCCCCCATCCACGCCGCCATCATCCTGCACTTCCAGGACAAAAGTACGGCTTGTCATTTCTAACTTGTGCCATTTTTGGTTTTTCCTGGTATTAGAAAAAAAATCAGTGGGATCTTCTGAATATATGCAAATATCTCTTTGACCTGCTAAAAGCTGATTCAAAATGAAGTTGGACTGTCACTCATAGATTTATTTGTGCTCCTAAATCCAAAATGCAAGTAAAAAAATGAGTTTACATCTAAATTTTGCAGCATAAATTTGCAAGAAAATATAGAAAATGGATGATTCTTGGTGTCTTATCAGGAGGTCTCATGTTGTTGTCTTGTCGGGGATGATGGTTTCTCCTGCTGCAGCACCAGAAATGAGATTTTCATCTTACTAACAGGCATTTATAAGCTTTGACCGTACTTATGTTTGGAGAAAGAACACCAGGCACAAACTTACTTCTTATAATTTGTAAATTTAAGTTAAAATCAGCAAACTGGGGAATATTTTAGCAGATGAGGATTTTTTTCCCTGCATGTCTGGGGTGGCTAGATCAGCTGTTTGTCCTTTGTCAGGTTCGTGGACTCTGGAGGAGCTGAGCACAAAGCTCGGCGCCCCGAAGGAGCTGGTGCACAGGAAGTTGGCTCTGTGGCAGCAGCATGGCGTTCTGAGGGAGGAGGCCGGGGGGCGCTACTATGTGGTGGAGACGGGCTCGTCCAAAGAGAAGATGGAGAGAGGTGTGATGCTGATCGACAGCGACGAGGAGAGAGACTCCAATACCACAACCCAGTCTGAGCAGAGGGAGGAGAAGCTGCAGGTACTGAAACTACTTATTGTATTCAATGCAGCCCAATGTTTTCTCAAGCCCGGGTCAAAGCCTTGATCAGTGATACAATGAAAATACAAATTTAAAAAAGCTTACGTCGAGGAAACAGGATGTGAAATTTACGAAGCTGTCTGAAAACTCTGTCTGTCTGTCTGTTTCTGCAGCTGTTCTGGGCCTACATTCAGGCCATGCTGACCAACCTGGACAGTATGACGCTAGACCGCATCCACTCTATGCTCCGGATGTTCGTCGCCACGGGACCTGTCGTCACGGAGATGGACATCAATGAGCTGGAGGCCTTTTTGCAGAGAAAAGTCATGGAGCATCAGCTGCTCGCCTCCTCAGGCGTCTACAGACTCCCTAAATCCACCTGATGGACGAGAAGGATGAACCTGGTGGACGGAGTGATGCTGCATTCAAGTGCTGTGGAAAAAAAAGAGGAATATGTACTTCTCCCTGAGGGTTTTTGGAAGGAAAACTGCTAATATTTCCACCATGAGTCATCTTGTCTGTCTTTCAGATGGTCATGAGAATGTCGCAGCTGAAAGACGGGATTTGTTCTTCAGTTTAGTGGGAATCCTGCAGAACTTGAACTGTCGTGACATGTGAATGCAGCACAGTTAGACGAGGACTGTACCTGTGAAGGGTCTTTCGAGTAAAAGCACTCTCCCCTTCCTTAGCATCCATAAAAACACTCGATGCTGAAGCTTGGAATAAAGCAGTGAAGTTGGTTGAAAACTAATAACTGTGTTGGTTAATAAAAGCTCTTTCAAGTCTTGTGATTGAGGTGAATTAGTCAAATGCATGTTACATATCTGCAGAGAAACTTTCACAGAAGCATGTAACATGTTTGCAGCAGAGAGGTTTACCTGCTCATTTTCAGACTGCAGATTTTTGAACATTTCACAGCCATGTGAAACACAAACACTTTTCCACGAGCACAATCTTTACAGCCTTCTGCCCTGAAAACGTTGAGCTGTATTATTTTTGGACTTTATTCAAAGAATAATGTAGTTGATAAAACAGACTGGGAAGAGAGGGTGTGGTTTAAATCTCTAACATGAACCACTGCAGCCTTTAATTTATCTGCTGAGCCTAACCAGTGCAGCAAAGGTACTTGGCAGCATTTGACAAATTTGCATCATAAACAGCTGCATTTTTAGACTTTAGAGACATGTAAAGATTTTGTTTAGCCCTGTCAATTTCTATCCAGCGGGAGAGAAACAACTGTTGTAGAATTCACAAGTGAGATTCTGGTTTTTGCTGTGAAATCAGAGATTAAAAAGGTCCCTCTAATTCTCATTGTTCGATATGCAGCTTTTCAGTTGATTTAAATTAACAGTATAAAGAAATTGATCACTAAAGTTGGGGGTCAAAAGAGTGCTGTAGCTAATGAAGTTTGAGGGTTATTTGACTTTTCTCACAAGATCAAATACAAATTTTGAAATATTTTTTTACTTCAATTTGATCAAATATGTCCAATACGGTGTTTCTACAAATATGTATTGCCACTCCTGCTGCAGCAAATAAACATTAATACTTTGTTTTCTTTAAGGCATATACTGTCAAAATGGAAATTTTGCCTTCACCTCCACTGGGTGTGAGATATAAATCTATAATACTACCTCAATGGGCACAAACTGTCTGGCTGGGGGAGTTTTGGTTAGGGCCTGACCGATTTATCGGCGAGAACAAGATTCGGTTTCACTTCGAAAATGTTCCGCCATTTGAAAAGTTCCCCGACTTATCCTGTAGATGGCGCAGTGACCTCATGACAATCTTCATCGACTAACTACCTCACAGCACAGCACAGCAGAGTGACAGATCTAAAGCAGGCAGCTCAGGGACACACGGAGTTAAGTGGTCCGCCTCAACAGTAAATAAACCAGTTTGTGAAATACACAATAAGTCAACAAGTTTCAGTTCAACCCACTTCACGATGTTCCTCGCTGTGCTGGTCTCAGTCAAACTGAGTTAACGGTGAAGCACCATGTAATATGCAAGCTAAAGTTAGAGTTAGCCACCTGCCATTAGCCTTGCTACACTGTTAGCCCTGCCAGTAATGGTAGAATAAACAACAGTACACATTACGTGATCAAGCTTCCTGTCGGCGTGAAGAGCAGCAGCCTACAGTATATAGTATACAGTAGATATCTACAGTATACTATATGTTTTTTATAACTCCATACATTTTTTTAAAAATAGGCCGATTCTTGATGCACATTTAAGTCAGTTTCTCATTCTTTAGTGAGGTTTTGTTGGCTCAGCTCATTACCAGACAAAAATCCCTCTTGCTGTGTAAAGATCAAGTCGCTTGATTAAATCTGATTGCCCTGTTTGTTGTTCAACATGAGCAGCTCCGGCCTGTTTGGGTAAATAACACAAACAACTAATAAATCTGGATTTATTGCTTTATTTGTATTTTGACACTTTTGCTAGGCAACAGATTTACATTAAAAAAAGACATCTTAATAATGAACATTTGGAGTTTTGGATTATTGGCCTCATTTAAATTAAAGTAAGGCAAACAGGACAGGACCGCACTCATCATCATCGTCACACCTGTTAGTGGCTCACAGTTATGGTTTAGTAAGAACTGCAACCAGCTTCCCTTTCAGTGGTAAAATATTTGACAGGATTAAAAAAAGACAAAGAAATTAAAACATAACAGTGGTTCACTAGTGCAAAGTTAAAGGACCATTCCGATGTTTTAGGATCCCTCATTCAGCAGAATGTAAATGTAAGACACTAAATATTCCACCGCTGTATTTCAACGCAGATTGTTGTGTTCCTGACCTTAAATCATCCTAAAAAGGAGCATCTCTTCTCTTTCTGTATCATCCAAAACAACCTGCAGAGGTGTTAACTAGTTAGGTAACGACATGACTGCTCTGACCCAGGAGTGCCACCAGATTTGTGGAAACTGAATTCTGACTTTTCACCTATTTTTTCAAATTGTTTGTGGATTGTCCAAAAAAGATGTTCTCAACAGACTGCTACCGAGATGATATAAACACCCCAATGACAGTAAACTAATGGACAGCAAAAAACGAATCCATGAAATAAACATTTTAGATGATTTCTTAAAGAAAAAAGAAGACTGGCAAAAAAAAACCTGGGAAATTTCAACCTAATGTTGGTACAGCAGGGAGTAGAAAATGTCAGGTTAAATCATTTAGTTATCTTAGATATTAACACATCATGTCACGGTTAGTATTTGCAAGATTTGGCTCCCTATACCAGAACACTACAGAGTGCATTGAAATTTCAAAAACGCCGGAATGATCCTTTAACATGCGTAACCTCCAGGCTGCTCCATGAGTCAGTGCAGACAGTCTGTTCATCCCTGTGTCCTCTCTTTCATTCACACTCACACTAAAGCACACCTCCCTGCAGCCTGTGGAGCTCGAACTCTGCACGGTCAACGGTGAACTGCACAGATTTTAACATTCATGTCTGCAGGATGAAACACTTATCTCCTAAGGCACAGTTTCCCAGTCTTGTTTCGATGCTTTTTTTTTCTGCAAGCAATGGGCGATGAGTTGCTTTGGTGTCTGTGCGGGTCTCAGCAGCACTTCTTCCCTCTCTTCCTGCGGTCTCGGTCTCGATGAGCGTTGATGATGACCGTGTCTTTCTGCTCTCGTTCCCTCTCCGCTCTGTTCTGGCTCTGCTTCTTGGCCCGCAGGACCATGCGGGTGAAGGCCATGAACATCTGAGGGGCACATTGATCATCAAAATCTAATCTGAAAACTCGGTCTTTTGAGAACAGAAAAACCTGTTTCGACAGTTTTTGGATTCTTGCCATCAAATGATTAAAAATGATAAGCAGGAAAATTGGTTTTAAATAAGAATTAAACCAATGACCATAAACAGCTTTAACAAGACCAGATTACAAGAAAGACAAACAAATGAACTGACATTACCTCTTCAACGTTAATGTTCTCTTTGGCACTGGTCTCAAATACCCGAACCCCTACTGTCTCTCCAAAACGCATCGCGTCCTGAGTGTCCACCTGTTTCCTGGCAGGGTCGTCATTCTTGTTTCCAACTGAGATCGAAACATTTACTTTAATGTTACCATTTCAAGACAGTCCAAGTGCAATGTGTTTATTAATCATCTTCATAAAGTAACTTTAACACTGAAACTTAGCCTAGTTTTTGGTTCCCAGTTCATAAAAAGACTGAGAAGGAAGAAACTGAGCCCTACATCAAACTAAATAAACTTTTTGTAATGTTGTCAGGTATTAAAAGTAACAGGAGGAGTCAGTAGAGATGAAACAATAACTTAAAATGACTGTTATCCAACGGAGAGCATGCAAGCTGTTTGCTATTACAGAGAGTTTCATGGCTGCTGGATGAAGCAATCTTCTGGACTGAAGTAATTCTGAAACTAAAAAGTCCCTATTCGTCATTTAAACCAAAAAGTGTGATTTTAAAAAGGCCCTCAGGTTTAAAAAAACACAGAGTTTTGTTTTTACATGCAGCTGACTCACCAAGTATTTTGCAGACGTTGTCACAGTTCTGGGATATTTCATTTAACCACCTCTTTACATTTACAAATGACTCTGGATTTGTCACATCATACACGATGATGACTCCGTGAGTGTTTCTATAGTACCTGGAGACAGAAGTAGAGAAAAGTCAGTCATGCACTCCAGACTGAAACAGAAAGCTGGGAAAATAGAGCCTGCTTTATTGTGTGTGTGTCTTTACGTCGATGTGATGGTCCTGAAGCGCTCCTGCCCTGCGGTGTCCCAGATCTGCAGCTTGACCCGCTCTCCATCGATGTCTACAGTCCGGATCTTGAAGTCAACACCGATGGTGGTGATGTAGCTGCCTGGAGAAGACAGAGAGCGCCAAAAGTAAGAATTATGGACAGAACAGACTCTCTGTGGGCTGCAGGTTTAGCTCAGCTGATAGAGTAAGTGCCTCTTGTACAGAGGCTCCAGTCCTTGTCCAGCTGGTTGCAGGATTAATAACCATTCTCAAAAGGATCTGGTGCAAGTTGTCCCACACTCTCCCCCAATTTTAGTTTCCTTAAAGCTGTCCTGACAAATACAGGCAACTACAAGTCTACATTTTTATCAGATTGAGAGTCAGACTAAGAGCATGTTATCTTGTAGCACTGTCTAAAAATGTAAGTTTGGCAAAACAAAACTACTTCAGCCTGCCTTCTTTTGCAGCTCTCTCTACAAACTGCCTCCACCCTTCCCCTTTTTATGCAGTCTGATTTTACCAGTGTCTTATGTATAGTCCATACTGCCTGCTCTGATCTATACCCCAGGGGTCTTTGCTGCTGCTCTTCCTGCCTTGAAAAAGTGGGAGCTGTCAAAAGAACCAACCTCAAAATTTGCATTAATTCTCCGTACTCAACTGCAATCAAAGTTATATCTATGGAAAACAAAAGATCAAAATTACTACCTAATAAATGTCACAGCACATATAGGGTCCCAGCCACAGCACTATCCAACAAACATCTTTTTAACTTTCCCTAATTTCTTTAACAAAGAGACTAAACACAACTCACCTACTCTCTTCCAGCAGCCGCTTGTTTGTATGGAGACCTCCGGGCGAGTCGATCGACTGCAGCGGGGTGACGCAGCTCAAGGAAGAACATTTATGATCATTTCCTCATGGAAATACAATCAGACCAAGACGCTTAGGCAGAAGAACTACCGCGTCTGCAGTGCAAAGTGATTAATATGATGATTATGACTTCAAGAAATGATCATAAATGTTCTTCCTTGACCTGTATCACCCCACTGCAGTCAATGGACTTGCCCAGAGGTCTCACTACAAACAAGTGGCTGCTGGAAGAGAGAGGGTGAGTTGTGTTAAGTCTCTTTGCTAAAGAAATCAGACAAAGCTAAAAAGATGGGTTAAACTGGGAATGTTCTGTCACTCTGGACTCAATAAAACTGCATCTGGGAATTTTAGACATTACCAATCTAATGTGAGAGTCGCTTGAAATTATTTTACACATCCAAAGCATTCATTTCCGAGCTACCGTCAGTGTTAGATGCCCAGTAACACAGGAGTACCACGCCGCATACATGTGGATTTATGTTCATCAGCCTAGAGGGGAAATCTTCACTCTCTTTCCTTACAGAAAAATATATTTGGTTGAGGAAGATTCAGCATCTTAAAACCTGTCTGACTGTAAATGAATTTATTTTCATTTTCATTTGTCGTCATACGATAATGACTCTATTGTTTCCTAAAAACACACACAGGTGTGTCTGTACAGCCCTGACATTGCTGCAGTAGCCTGTGAATCATTTGGAGGAATGCATTTACAGAGTAATGGTTTTAACGCTGCCTTGTGCCCAATGAAAGTCTCACTGGTGAAATGCTGCTTCGTAACAGACTGTAAAAATACTGTGGGATCAGAATCATGCAGAATCCACTCCTGCTGCATGCATATGTTCCACTTTGTCCTGCACCTGTTAAGCAACAGTCTGCATGTGCATTCTTTTCTCAAATATGTTGCAGCTTCTTTTTTAAAACACAGGGAAGATTGTGGATGGGCAGTGAATCATTGAAATCACATTTCTCAAGCTAATCCCTGCTGTAACAGCTGCATGTCCTCGTTGCCAAGTAAAGTCTGTTCACACTCTCTGTCCGTCCGTCCATCCTCACAGATGTTTTTTTCTTACTGTGGCTGATGAAACCTCTGGTCAGGACTGTCTGAAGGAGTGTGTTTACATGGATAAGAGTATTTCAGTTCAACTGTACTGAGGATACGCTTTGAAACTTATCACCGCTGGCACATTCCTGCATGCAGTCACACAATCTGGAAAACTATGTGCACACACCTAGTGTGCTCAAGACATACACCCTTTCTGAAATAAAAGATCTGACATCAATTTACCTGAAAACCGCAAATTAATGTGGATGAACTAAAAGAAAAAAAAAACATTACACTACTGACATGACTGTGACTCTTACCACGCATTTAGTTAATGAATTTGCTCAATCAGAACCACTAGGTTTTATTACAATAGTAGATTTGAGTCAAGTCAACCTCTCTGACCTGAACTGACTTGCTTTCCTAGACCTGTTTTACAGCAGGTGACCTGGAACAACTTTTCCTCTCTTAAGTGATTCAGTAGTCAGATGCTTTCTTGTAACAACGTTTGTTCCTCTTTTCTGCACACTTTGGCTGAAACTATCAGATGTTTGCATTTGAAAAGAATCCCAATTTCTCTCTGAGAACTTCTGCTACAATATTTGTTTTTAAAGAGAGGGAAAGTGGGTTAATACAAGTTTCTGAAATCAGGATAATGACCGGTCATAACTGTGTTCATGTGAGGTCACTCACAGTACAAACTGACTGAAAACATGCTCACTTTTGAGTGCACTATGATACACATTAATACTTCCAATTAAATTTCACTCCTCTTGAACCCGAGCAGAGATATAATGAGGTAAAATATCTAAAAATAATCTCTGTGGTATACAGGGTTTGCAAGAAATTAAACATAGAGCAAAAAGGATTAAAAAAGTCCCTAAAGAGAAGAAATCTTTATTTTAAAAATATATCTGGATAGAAGACGTTACAAAACTTGTATTTTGAAAATCAAACCAGTGCATCAATATGTGATTATATTAAGTATTTATTTTTTTGTCATTAAAGATGAATAAATTAATCAATGTCAGATATTTATGTACCCACCCTTGCTCCCAGACATCTGCATGATGCCAAATTGTTGTATCATGTAGATGTTTGGAGCTCCTGGCAGGTTTAGAAACAGTTCTGCCGAGATAACATGACCTGACATGATAAAATGCTTTTACATCTGCCAGAATGAAGCCTAATGTGTCTCTCTGAGGATGTCTGCCCATAATGCACTGGTTTTCTTACTCTGTGGTGTTGCAAACTGTGGTAACTCACCAGAGAAGGAGTTGTCTGCGAAGCGGAGCAGGAGGCTGCTTTTCCCCACATCTGAAAGAGAAACAGATCAGAGGAAGCGATAAGTTTAACTCGCTGTGAGGACATGAATGTGACCTATCAGGAATGGCCAGTTATGATGCTATTTACTTAAGGGAAGATAAGACCATCCCATCCACTTAAGTAATGTCACAAGGAGCAGGAAAACAAAAAGAAGGAAGAGCGAGGGAGGAGGGCAACCACTGAAATCTCACTGTGACTTAATGAGACCACAATCCTGTAAAAACTGAGGATGAAGAACCAGTGACAACTTGTTCAAATGAGAGTTGACAAACCAGACTGAGGAAGCAACAGGTTGTAAAATAGCTAACAAGATCTTACAGTCACATACAGATTACCATCGATCTGAAGGGATTTCTGTGCACCCTGAGAAGGAAACACAAAACTTGGGTGTGCAATGTTCATGTGTTTGCTTTTCCTTAAAATGACAAACGGCTGCATGTCTGCAAGCCAAGAGGGAAACACCTCATTCTCATTGGTACAATAAGAGGTATTCAGAGGGGAGGTCCAGCAGTGACAAATGTGAGCAGGAATTTTTAACACTGAAGTGGGCCACATAGCTTTGTTAAAGCTAATCTTACAGGAACCGTGATCAGAAACTGAAACTTGTAACCACCCCAACCACCTCTCCTCAGATGACTATGAATTCTAGTTACAAGCATAAAATCTGTCCTGCTTACTCTAAGGTCAAACAGACAGAGTAATTCCTTCCTCCTTGAAATCAGGAATATTTAGGACATACTCTCCAAGGGATTGTCCAACTCAAAAGGCATTAAACAGTGTTAATACAATTAAGCTTGTACATTAAATATCACCACAAGTAAAACCAGGAACAAGAGGCTCTGTTGCATGTGAACAGAAAACTTGAAATGAGGAAAGCTTCCTATAGTAGTCTCTTCCAGGTGAACTCTGAGACAAACAAGCAACCCAACGCACAAACAATGAATTCTTGTTGAAGCATGTGTAGTTTTTAAACACAATGGACTCTAAATTTGATCTGGACTCTAGACGAGACGGAGCTGGTGCAATGAAATCCAATCACTGTAAGCCACTAAAACAAAGGCTGCAGTAAGACGGGGGATCTAAAATGACTCAGCAATGTCTGCAGCAGAGCTCTTATCATTAATAGACAAAATCTCAGAAGAGGGTTATTGTGCAACCGTTGGAGTTGGTCTGAAATTGATTCCAATCAGTTTGGATGACAAATTCAGGGTGAAAACAGTGCTTCAGCTCATCTTTTGCATTGTAGAGCCTTGACCCTACTGCATATCCTTACAAGCAACTTTGTGCCTTTGCAACCTTCACATAAAGGTTCAAGTTTGTGCGAAGGTTGCAGCTTCCCAACAACTAACCAACTAAGTTTAAAACCCTTCAACTCTTAATTTAAGACATAAACTGTGATTAAAAGTGCAAGCAAATCCTCACATCTGAGCAAGGAGCTGCAAGATTTTCTTTTTTCACTAAGACTTCTCACATCATAACAAAAACATTCCGAAGTCGATAAGAATCAGTTCTAGTAAGTGAGTCAGACTTGATAAATCCAAGAAAGTCCCAGACCCACAAAGCCCTAGAAAACCCTGAGGGTTTGTTTCAATGCTCCAAGTGTGATTCCTTTTGTTTGAAACTTCCTTCAAACAATTTCATGGCTGTTAAAACTTGAAGTAGTTCAGTGAAGCAGCAGCTCTAAACTGGTCTGAACAGCTGAGACATAGATTTGATGACAAATGTCAGAGTCAAGACAAACAATTAAAAGTTGAGGAGTTGAAGGAAGCTTTTGAAACCACGCAGGTAAGATAATAAGTCTATATTTAGTTTCTGTATGACAAGATGAAACTTGTCCAGATGGCTCAGTTTTTTTCAGTGGCATCTTCACTCAATAACCCAATCACATAACTCTTATTGTTTTAAATATGAAAATCTAAGGAAAGAAATGTCAACAACAATCATTTTACCTTGTAATTTTTTCTATCGTGGACTGAGATGTTAAGTTTCATGTGAGTTTCTCCAGCAAAGAGGCTGTTATCAGTCGTGTTATCAGCACACGGTTCTATGACAGCGATTGTAATGACATTATGATGCGGAAGTATCCACAGCATTGGTGGCTCATACATCTGGTAAGGCTCCATTAATAACTTGACAACCATGAAATTCTGTTAATTTGCTTTTGGAGCAGTAAGCCAACTTTTTGGGAGGTTGCACAGGAAGCCGTTCAAGGAAACACTTTAAATCTTTGGAGACTCTGGCGGCAATTCCGACAGCTTCTGCGTTCTTTGTGAAATATTTGTAAAAATTATACCAAGTCTGAGTGCACTCAAACCTGATCTGGAGGGATGGCATAACTTCCCCTTTTTTTTTCAAAGCAGTCCCATAAATTAAATGTTCTTCCTCATTTAAATTTTTGTAGACCTTTATAGCTATGTACCTTTAGCACCTACTACAAGATATTGTACGATTTTTATGAAAAGGCACGCAATTTAAAATAAAACTTGTTCATCTACAAAGAAAGAAGAGGCTGTGGGCCTTTGGATTCCTGACTTTAAATCACAACTTCAGGCTCTTACTATTTGCCTCATTATAAATTAGCACAAATAATAAGATGTTAAAGCCAGTTTAGTGACTGCTGTATTACTGGAGCAATTTTCCCTGAACTTTTTTAATCTAATAACTTCGACCTTCAACCATAAGAAAGTTTCATCAATGTTTAAAAAAAATCAAGGGGGATAATCCACCTGGGACTCATCAATAAGACATTTTGACTTCAAAGACTCTCAAAATGAATGAAAATACACTAACTTGAGTCTCCGATGATGAGCAGTTTAAAGAGATGATTGTAGTCCTTTCCAGCCATTTGAACAGCCTCTTACTGGATTTCCAAGTAAAATCAGTTTCATAAGAGGAGGTGAAATTCTTCCCAGTGCTTTTGTTTTTGTTCCCACCTCCCGATGCTATGAGCCCAGAGCAGAACGAGTCCAACAATCAGGCATGTCCATGCTGATAAGAGGACATTTCCAGTTTGAAATCTGCACTTTTCCTTGAGTTTCTGTGCGAATGTTCAGATCATTTCCTCCGTTTTCAAAGTGAAACCACAGCAGCCAGCAGAAAACGAAGTGTTTCTGTAAAGCTCTGTGTTAATGATTCATTCTTTATGGTGGAGCAGGATCGCATACTTCCACCTTAGTTCCAGTTTAGCCCAGTGACGCTCCTGTGGGGATTTCCAACTCGAGGGGGCTCACAGATATCTGCATTGATTTTCCAAATGTGCCAGGATAGGGTGGACACTCCCTTGTTTCTCCCATGTATGTTTTCACAGGAGTCTTTGCATTAAGATGCTGAAAGTCACAGATTTAAGCCTGCGTGATGGGGGGGTTTGTGGTTGTTCCTCTGACAGCTAAATGGACGGGTGAGATGACATTTTATCATGAATCCAGTTACTGCTCTGAGCTCCTCCACTGCTCACTCATTAACTCCATCCCTTTTAAGACTAAGAGAGACGCTGAGCCGTTCCTCTTTTTCACTCCAGTTCAGTAGTGGTCACATCTGCTGAGGTTTCTTTAAACGGGTCCCTTATTTCCACTTCAGTTCCTCTGGTGGGCGGGTGAATAGTCAACCGTTCCCTGTTTCGTTACATGAGAGGGACTCTCGCTTCTTGCTTCTTTACAAGGTGCTACACAAAAACAGAGGGAGAAGGAACAATCCGAAGTTAAAGCAAATCAATCATTGTGGTCATAAATGTTTTGATTGCTGTATGCAGAGTGTGCCCCTCCTTTCAGTACCTCCCTGCTCCTCAAACAACAGCTGAGTCACTAAATATAACTTCCTCATCCTGCTTTATCCACCCCCATCCTTTAACTTAACAGGGTTAGCAAGGTGGCAACATCAGAAGCTCCTTGATAGTCAGGCTCTCCTGCTTTCATAACCTGACTCTATGAGTTAAATGGGGGACTCAAAAGGGCCGCCAGGCTTGTTAACATTTGGGCAGTTTTCCATGAAAACAGGAAAGGCTGCTGCTGACTTTCAAAGTAATTAACCTAGCCTAGATATTCAAGAACCATTAGCCTACATGATCTTATGAGTGACAGGGAAACCAATCTTTTTAAAAACATCATTATTTTAGATTATTTGTAAACTACAGAGGCAAAGGTTAACCCCATTTCTATAGCCCTGTGTCTTATCGGATCTTAACTTTGATACTATTCAATTCGGATTAGATAGAGTCCAAAAACTGCTTCTCATTTGATAGAAATATCAGACTAACCTGACATTAAGTTGTGCCTGTAATGGAAGACAGCTGTGTTAGCATACAACAATTTACTTGTTTAGAGGTTAATTCGGCACATAATTTAATGTCTACTGATGCCGAATTTAAGAGTAACATCTCCGGTTAACAAAAAGGTCCCGATTCACTAACTACTGGAAAAGATAACGTGCTCATTTGCGAGTAAGTGCATTTTACCGAGATTTTGAACGTAGTTCATCGTGCACACCGAGGAGAGACGTTACAGAGTTGCTCTAAGTCAACCAGGCAACCGAAGGACAAACGCAGCTCAACGAAAAACACTTCAAATATTCAAATTAACGGCTTCAAACTTACCAACTGTCGGTGAAACGACTAACAGTGAGCCGTAGAAAAATGAGGTTTACTTGTGTCTGACGAACCACTCACCTTGCCCAACCCGTTCAAGGTTTAGGAGCACAGCAAGCCAAACCTCCACAAGAATTGTTCTTATTTCTTTGAGATAAATTCACTGACGCTTACTTAAGCCTTAAAGTTAGGTGTGCTAACTATTTGAAGGACGTTTTTCTATTCGGCACACATTAAAAAATTAAAAAGAATGCGTATGGATGATAAATAGTCTATGTATTACTATACACACAGGACTCCTGACTGCTAAAATCCTAGTAAAACACGCCGTTGTTTCTATTCCATAAACGCTAGGAAATAGAGCCCGAGTTAAACGTGAGTATTGAATACTTGTACGAAACAAACACAACATTTTATGAAACTATGAATATAGTGTCTTGTATGATTGGGCGTGCTACCAGACAGCAGTAAAATGTAATATCCTAAAGATTTTCTCGCCACTCTGGAGTGACGGTCAGTGGGCCTGACCCTGGCCTGTCGCTGACACCAAGACGTCAGAAAACTTCTCACTTTCGAAGAAACTTTACATAAAGTCATGAATAAAGTAGCACTTACTCTCGTCTTTCTGCTGTACTTGGTACTCAAACGGTGGCTCATGGTAACAGTTCGACGGTGGGTAGGCGTTGTTTTGGTCCCGGAGTAGTGATCTGGATCTCCGCTCCGGTCGGAATGTCTCCCCGCCGACCACACCTGACTTTGTGCAGCTGATGACCCATTCTCATCATCTGATGCTGCGTTCACGTCATGTGGGAAAAAAACCCTCCGTAATTCAAAATGGGTTGGCCAACTGTGTATGGATGTATTTTTTTTTTAAATTAAGGATACAGTGAACATATTTGTGAGGGATAAGCAAGTTACAAAGCAGTAAAAAGAGAATAATTCTGACTTGCATTAATTTTAAATCTAATCTCAGTCTTGACGATTTTTATTTCTGTTCACTATGTTTTTGATGTTGCAGTTTGTAGGTGTACACTATTTAATGTCTGTATGTGCCTTTTTGGACAACTTTTTCTGTTTTTGCTTAATTTTAATCCCGTTTCATGAAAAAATCCCACACAGTAAAAAAAAAGTTATGATCAGGGTTGTGTCCAGACCCTTTTGACTAGGGTGGACCAACCATAATACTGATGACAATAGTATCTTTGCAGAGCCAAAGGCTGCAGTTACAGAACTGCAATTCTAGGGCCACAGCTCTTGGACTCTACAGATGCAAAAGAAAAAATTGCAGCATTTATCCTTTATGTCTTCACGTTTTTAACAGGTGTCATGAAAGGACTGTACAGGTGTTGAATTCCTGTGTATAATTTTCCAACCTTAATATCAACACAATAGTGGTAAATTTAAATCAATTCTCTAAGTTTCATTCTTTGAGCTCTTAAAATATTTACCCGTGGTTAAAATGGAAGAAAAATAAATGTGTTTCAAGTCAACCACCTCTGCTGCGGTTAAAAATTCGGAATATTTTTTAGTGAGTTACATTAAAAGTAACGAAAAAGTTAATGTGTAAACATTTATCTAAAGAGGTCATGAAAGACTAAGCCTGATTCCTGTCCAACAAAGGACAGACGGCAAACCTCTTGAGTTTGACTTAAAAACATGCAAAATATGCAGGATCTGTTTGTCCATCTGTTCCACCGAAACTGAAGTGCTCAAACGTTTAGGTCATGGTATAAGTATGAAGAAGATTTTTGTAAAATAACACCCTTATCGATGACTCAGCTTGGACTAATGTCGCCATCCAAGTTGCAAAATTGCTGACAAAGCTGAATTCATTTTCTGGTCAGTTAATGTTGAGCAATATTTCTTTCCACATCCTGTTCTCCTTAAACAGAACAAGCTTGGACAACTTGTAAAAAGGTCAGCTATACATTCATCCCTCATCTGTCACAATTTCTGGGTGTGTAACCAGCAGAAAAGTGTGGTGATCTCCTCTTGGAACGATTTTAACCCGGCACACAAACTGAAATTCCTTGTATTTATCCTGTCTTTTTGAAATAAGAGCATAAAAATGACAATGAATTGTATGATCAAAATGAAAATGGCTATCATGATAATACGTTAGACTACCTCAGTAGACCATAAGTTAGCTTATTTTGCTTTTCTCCTACTGTGATTTTTAATAGTTTGTTTCAGTGATTTTAATTGCTCCATTTACATGATTTCTTTCATGTTTTTTGACCTTTATATTGTCTAAAATACTTTGAATTGCCTTGTTGCTGAAATGTGCTGAATGAATTAACTTGCCTTGCTAATCGTTTACTCAGAGAAATATCGAACAACATAAGATCAGTGCTGCAAAAACCTGCAAATGATTGCAGTCTCAATTTCCCTCTGGTTGGTTCCTACTGGACATCTTTTCCACTCAAAAACCTTGTGGATGCACTTCCACATAATAAACTCCATCCAGATAAAATGTACAATGTGTTTTATTATCATCATTAACCATCTCAACAAAGAAATTAACCACATTTCAGTTTCTGTTACATCTGTTACATGGCAATAACCAAAATACAGACAGCTCATATCTACAGGTAGAATGCAACAGACAGTACAAGCACAGGGTAAAATTGTTAGAGTTACATTTCACTACACTGTGATTGTGTGTGTAATGTGCACGTTTCTTTTTTGCTTCATATAAAGAAATGTACAAACCGGCCTTGGGTCACTGCTGCTTCGAACAAACACACTGATCATAACTCGTGCTGTTGCTCAGGACTCGTGCACTGACATTCACAGCAGTATCTCGACTGACCACTGGCTGTCCAGTCCATGTTGTAGACCGGTTAAAACCGCCCGGTTCTGAACAGAGAAACAACTTTGAAGAAAAGTGTTCAGCTTTCCTCTCATTTCCTTTGTCTGCTGCTGGACGTTCGGCTCGGTGACTGTCTGCTGCCAGTCCTGCGGGGATAAAAGACACAAGAAGATGTGTTTCATTATGGAAATATTCACAAGACAGCAAGTATCGCACACACAGTTTCACACTCCTATCAGTCCCTCACACATCCTGAAATCCTCTTAGTCATGAAAAATGGCAACAGGCAGATAACAAATCCCTGTGGAGGAATTAGGTAGTCATAGTAGCTGGTGGCACTTGAATTAAAACAAAAAGGAAAAATAAAATCTTGTGCAAAGTTTACTGAAGACTGAGAGCTATGGGTGCAGACAAAGAAACCATCTACTTTCTACTTGTGGCATCAAATGTAAATTTATATGTCAATCAGCTGAGGGCTCAACCAGAGGCACAATGGAGCGCATGTCATAATTTTTAGATCACACCAAATAAAGAAGCAGCAAAGAGAAGCAGCATGTATGCCAGATCCTTCAACGCTGGCTGTAAGGATCAAAATGTTCACCAATACTTCTTGGTTGTTTTTGAAGAGTATATCCATTTTTTAAAGATTTTTCACACCTGAATAAAACAGTAAAACTTATAAAAGTAGAGCCCCACAGTCAGATTTTCAAATTCAAGAAAACAAGAGAATGAACTGAGCTAATCTGGCTTTCTGAAGGGGTAATTAAGAGACTGAGTGAAGGCATGAAACGAGAAAACTAATCGAATTTCCCGACAGTTCGACAGCTTTACAACTGTTACGAATGAAAAAGCACGAACACACCTCTATGCAGGCCAGAGAATGTCATTTGTATGCAGCCAAGGTCACACTCGAACCTTAGCCCTGTGTGAGTGTTTTCTGCTCTTTGATGTGAGAATAAAAGCTTTGGCACCTCATACTGAGGCATCATGTACAGGGTCTATGTAGGACCTTTCAAAAACCTTTTTGAAGACTTGAACAACACATTTAAAAACAACACATTTGAGCTGTCAGTGGTTGTGTCGGCACACCGTCAACTTTAAATAATTATTTTAAAAAAATCTTATATGGATTTTTAAAAGAGGAACTAAACAATCAAAAGTTGTTGTTTTTTTAACTTCTATAGGACACTGTTAAAACCACTTGAGCTGTAACACTTGTTTTTGTTCCTTTTCCCCTTTATTATATTTTTAATCTGTATAAATTACAGCCCCGACCTCTGAGCTGTGAGTGATTCTCTATTTTTGCGCTGGTATCTCAGAAAAATATTGGTTCCCTTTTTTGTAAATCAAAATTCTGGTACTGTAACTAACCTAGTCCTTGTACTGACACCTTACACCAGAAGTTGCGAATGTTTGTTTCTAGTCAAAGCTGCTGGTACACTCCTTGTAGGTCAAATGTCGCGGAGTAAACACGAACCTGCGGCTCTGTGAGGACGGTGCTGCTCTAATGTACCTCGGAGGAGAATAGCTGAGGGAGCGGGAATCTCTCAGCGAATCAGCTGGCACCCTCCCCGGCCTGTCTGAGCTGTGGAGAAAACGCACAACTGTCAATCATAGTTTGGCGACTAGCATGGTGCTGCTGCTGGACCCTTGTTTTGTCACCCAAGGTTGACTGAGCAAGACTTTACTTTCATAAGTTACCAAAGTCTTACAGTGGAAGTATTAGTTTTTTTAAAGTGTGTGTTTTCTCTTACCTGTTTTTCTTTGTTTCCTTTTCATCCTTTTCATTCTCTGATGAGGAAGATGATGAGGAAGAAGAGCTCCGAGCTTTAGCAGCTTTACTGTTAAAAGAAAACACATACTTGAGAGAGGAATAACTACATTTTTTTTACCTTCATTTGATCAAAATGAGTCTGCTGAAAGTCAGAAACGTTTTTAAGGTTTTGACTTTGCTTTCTTATTCTCACCCTTTTCCTTGTTCTGCCTCAGAGTCGGAGCTGTCGGAGGAGGAGGAGGAAGAGGAGGAAGAAGAAGAGGACGAGGAGGAGCTGGAACTAGAGCTGCTGGCCATTTTGGCTATTTTGGCTGCGTTCGCCTCCTTCCCGTTGACCGCGCTCTCACTTCTGACCGCTTGGTCCGACTGTTTAGCGGCAGGCGCAGGTGACTGCTTCCTGCTTGGACCACGTGAGGACAGTTTGCTCTCTGGTTGGCTATCGGCGGGAGACCTCCTGGAGGCCGCATCAGGTCGCCGGGAATCTGACTGGGAGACTCTTTGACCTGACGCTGGAGCGTGAGAGTCTCTGGACGGTCGCTGTGAAGACAAGGAACGGCTTTTCTGCTCTCTATCCTCTCTCGGTTTGGCCTCTCGCTCATCCCTTCTGTCTCTCTCTGTTGGTGCTTTTGTATCTTTCCTCTCACGCTGTGGAGAAGGAGAGGATGAGGAGGAAGAGGAGGAGCTGGAGGAGGAGGAGGATGAGGAGGACCTGTGGGATTTAGGGACATCTTTTGGGGGCGGACGCTCCTTTTCTCTCTGTCTCTCTTGTTCTGCCTCCCTCTGCCTGATTCGTTCTTGCTCCCTTTCTCTCGCTCTTTCTCTGGACAAGGAGCGACTGCTTCTCCTCCTGCGCTGTGGAGAGGGGGAGAGGCGGGACCTGGAGGAAAAAATATCAAATCAATTGTTATCATTTTTCTTATGAGTATTGTGTTTGTCTTGCTCCTCTCTGCTAGTAGTCAGTGATACCAGTTGCCAAATGGCAGAATGAGCAGGATGCAAAGTTTAAATACAGTAACATTTTAATGCCAAATACACAAAGCAGTTTCTCAGTCTCAAACCTATAGATGACTTGCTTTACAAGGCAGTGATGAATAATTAAAGACCCAAACAGGAGTGTTGCAGGGCTGTTAGGTTGAAGGGGGTTTAATTGATGCAGTTCTGCACTAAATGAGTTGTTAAATCCTTCAAAAGACACAGTTACAAAAAGCTCTGTTGTCCAGCTGTACAGCAGGACCTCATCTCACCTGTTAGGTGGGCTTCTCCTGGGTGGGCTTCTCCTGGGTGGGCTTCTCCTTCTTGGACTCCTTGACCTGGACCTGCTGTGCCTTCTTGGACTTCTGGACCTGCTCCTCCTGGTGACCCGCTCACGTTCTCTGTCCCTCTCTCTGTCCCTCTGTCTCTCTCTGTCACGGTCTGACCTGGGTGGAGAGGCTCTCCTGGATCGGTACGGGGGTTCCTGATACTGCCTTGGTGGAGTGCGACGGGTCAGGGAGGCGGAAGAGGTTTTCTGGGGCGGGGAGCGTGACCTCCTATTAGAGGGGCTGGACCTCGCAGGCCTCCTGGCTGAGTCCTTTTCCCGCCCTCTCTCCCTTTCACTGGTCAAGTCTGCCCTCGTTTTCTCGGTTTCGGCCTCAAAGGGAGAGTATCGACTGCTGCCTCGGCTGGGCTCAGCTCTCTTTGGTGGAGAAGGAGGTGGACTGGGGCTGTCCATCTGTGAGGGGCTGTATCGCTCCTGACCTCTGTTGCTGGAGGAGTAACTCTCCGCAGGAGCTCTGTGGGAGCCCCTCTCTCTTTCACGCTTGTTCTCCTCGTCTCTCTCCTTCTGAGCTCGCCTGTCTCCTTCAGAAGTAGAAGGAGGGCTTTCCTTTCTTCCGTTGGCTAAATACCTCTGGACTGCATCACCGATGGCGTTTTTGGGAGGGCTTCTTCTTTCCTGGACTAATGAGGGAACTTTTTTGCTTTTGCTGGCTTCCTCTTCATCTTCAGAGGAAGAGGAGGATGAGGAAGAAGACGAGGAGGAGGACGAGGAGCTGTCACTGTCACTACCGCTACTGCTGCTACTACTACTGCTGCTACTGCTGCTGCTACTCTCTCTTTTCTTCTCAGCCTGTTTCGCTCCGTGTTTCTCCTTCCTCGGAGGGCTTCTGGTTTCACCTTTCCTGTTCGTCTCGTCTCTTTCACTCCTGCTTTTCTCTGAAGATGGTCGGACGGCCTCATCTCTCTTTCTACTAACCTCGAGATCATGCTCTCTGTCCTGCTCCCTCTGCTTGTTCAGAAGCCTTTCCCTCTCCTCTCTTCTCCTCTCCTCCTCCCTTTCTCTCTGACGTCCTGAGGTGACAGGAGAGCGTGGAGGAGGTGATAGAGAATCACGGGACAGGTGCCCGTCCTTTCTTTTGTCGTTTTTCTGCTGGTAAGGAGACTCCTCTCTTTCCTGTCTCCTCCCAGTTTCTCTCCTGTTGTCTCGATCATTTTGCACCCTGGAGGGCACAGCTCTATCAGTCCTGCGCTCCCTCTCACCGCTCCTCTCCCTCCTCACCCTTTCCTTCTCAGGGGGAGGAGATGGGGACGAGGAGTCATGTCTTGTCTTTCTGTCCTGCTTATTCGTGTCTTTTTCTCTGCTTCTTTCTTCCCTCCTAACCTCCTGTTTGGATGGAGGAGGAGGTGGAGGAGAGGGAGAGGAGGATGAGAAGGAGTCCTGTCTCCCCCTCTGAGGAGCACTCGGCTTTCCTTTATCCCTCCTTTCCTTGCTTCTAGACTGCCTCTTTCTCTCAACATCTCTGTTTCTAGACTGCGTCCCCCTTTCCATGTCTCTGCTCCTTGATCTGCGCCTCCTCTCCAGATCTCTGCTCTTGGACTGACTTCCCTTCTCCACCTCCCTGCTCCTGGACCGCCTCCCTTTCTCCATCTCTCTGCTCCTGGACCGTCTCCCCTTCTCCACCTCTCTGCTCCTGGATTGCCTCCTCTTTTCCACCTCCTTGCTCCTTGATCGCCTCCCTTTCTCCACTTCCCTGCTTCTTGATCTCCTCCCTTTTTCCATGTCTCTGCTCCTTGATCGCCTCCCTTTCTCCAAGTCTCTGCTTCTTGATCGCCTCCCCCTCTCAACATCTCTATTTCTAGACCGCCCCCCTTTCTCCATTTCTACACTCACTGAGCGCCTCCCTCTTTGTCTCTCATCCTCTCTACTCCTCGAAAGTCCTCCTCTCTCTATTTCCCTACTTCTGGAGCGCCCTCCTTGGTCTCTTTCATTTTCTATGCTCCTGGAGCGCCTCCTTTTCTCCGGCTCTCTGCTCCTGGAGTGCCTCCTCTTCTCACTCTCCTTCTGTTTGCTTCCGGACCTCCTCCCCTTTTCCTTCTCTCTGCTTTTTTCTGGAGGTGGGGAGGGAGATGAGGAGTCGTGTCTCCTTTTTGTGGAGGCTTTCTCTGGCTCTCTTGGTTGCTCTTTTCCTCTCTCAAGATTGGACCTTTTCTAGATGTAGAGAAAAAAAAGAGTTGGAGTGATTCTGAACACAATAAAAAAAAATTGACTTTAATGTGAGACACTGTGTGCCAAAGTCTGCATTTAAATAAGGTTTACAAGCCACAGACTTACCCCTTCGTGATGATGTGGGCTGTCGTGTCTCTTCTTCTCTGGTGATCTCCCTTTTCTACCTTCATCAGCTTTTCTTGCTGCTTGTTCTTGCTGATGTGATCTCAGAGGAGCTGGAGATGAGCTGTTAGGAAGGAAACATAAAACACGTACTGAAATTTCCTGGTCTGGAAAATGGATTTTGCAGAGTAAATCAATTTCTAACAAACTTAGTGGCTTCCAAAAACCTAAAATGAATGTATTTTCTTTTGCCAGTGTGAATCAGAATCTGGGAGCAGAATCTGTTACAGAGAAAGATCTACTGAGCAGGTGCTGGTCTGACTCAGATATTAGGATGCATTTATTGATGTATGTATCACAGGACCAAAGAAATGGCACAAGCACAAGGCTGCAGCTTGTGTGTTGTGCAACAGAAGTCTGCTTCCTCTGTTATACTAACAGTTCAATGGTGGCAAAAGTCTTTAAAATCGAGACATCAGAGGTACAGAAAATCAATGCCGTCATTTGATCATTTCATACCTGCTGACGGAGCTGGAGGAGACACTCCTGCGTCGCACTGGCTTTGTTTTTGGAGGACTGGAACTTTCACTATTCTTCCTCTTCTTCTTTGTCACTTTCTGCTTCTCGTCTGAAGAACTGCGCGAGTCCAGAGAGATAGAGGTAAATAACTATTATACAAATAACTGTAAAAGTTTCCTTGGTGATACTTTGCACTACTTTTAATCAAATATGAGATTTAAATGGCTTGAAAGCCGTCAAAATTGATTTTGATAAACATTCGTTTAAGAAAATTGATATCAAATTAATTGAGAACCTACCTCTCTTCTTCCTCATCTTCAGATACCTCACTGAAACAGACAGACAAAAAGGTTAGTCAATATTTAACACCCTGGTGAAATCATATGATTAAACAAAAAAGTAAGAATGTGATCAGACACCGTTTCTTTTTCTTCTTTTTGGATTTTTTCTTCTCTCTGCGAGGAGACGGGGAGGGACTCTCAGAGCTGTAGAAAAAGAGACAAAAGAAAGTCACATTTTCTCTTAAGTAGAGGGACTTTTACTGCTCACGTTCAGCTGGTTCTCCCACCTGTCTCGGTTTTTGTTTTTCTTCTTCTTCTTTCGGCTGCGCTTCTTCGGAGGAGATTCTGAATCGTCTGAAACTTCCACCAACCTGAGGGTGCCCAGACAATGAACCACAAGGCTTTCAGATTAAAACTAGTCACGTCTCAGATCATTTCAAACCAGCTCTCAGAGCAGCAACAGAGCTTTATAGCTGACAAAGGCCATTGCAGTATTATATCAACAAGCAAGGACTCTCTGACCACAAATGCACCATGTCTCCTTTGAAGGTTGAAGCTTAGTTTTATTTATGATCATCCTGCGCTTCTGTGTCGTTGTAGCTGTGCAGTGAGATATGTGTGAAGATATTTTTCACATAACATGTTCACAGTTATTTTTTTAGCCACACGACTTGCTTTGTTACTTTGCTTAACTTGATCAAAATGTGAAAGAAGTGTGAAGTTAATGTTTGTTCCTTGCTTGTCCTACTCACGTGTATTTCTGCTGCTGCAGCCTCTCCCTCTCCAAGCGTTCCTGCTCTCTTTTCTCCTTTTCTTTCTCCTTGCGGTCAGCATGGAAGGACGATCCATCTACATAGTCGCTGGAGATTCCAAAAGCAGCACGAAGACGGTCGTTCTTCTGCTGGTTGGCAGCAGCCAGAGCATGAGTCTCTGTAGCCCTGAGAGAAAAGACACACACAGCCCCGACTGAGTCACACTGTGCAACATGAAAGGATGAGACGATGGATGATGTTTGATAGTGAGGTTTCATCTAAACTGAAATAAAAAAAGACCTCAAAACATGTATTCAAGCTGTTCCCTTCATCTAATTAGCAAACAATCACTCTGGCTGATTATGTTGCGCTTACGTCGGTCTCTCATTGGAAGCTGGAGCCGGCTCCTGCTTCTCCTGGAGCATCATACGGAAGCTATTCACCTTCTCTTCAATTTCCTCAGCTGAATACCTGAAAAAAATCAATAGAGACCAATGTTTAACACCATGAGAAATACTAGAAGTTTTATTTTACTCCTCTGCATCAAGTACTGTTAACTGTGTCGTATATTATTGCACAGAATAGACTGTGTATATAGTTTTGCAAATAACTAACCTTATACAAGCCCTTCATCTGATCAAAATAATATCTATTAATGCATACAAAATTTAAGTAGCACTGAAACAAATTGATGTACATTAAAAAGTAGTATCTTACTTTACTCAAATATAAGTGAAATTGATGATAAATGAAAGCAGGTGATCAATACCCTTGCTCCTCCATCATGTCCTGCAGTTCAGCACACTTGACCTCCAGCTGCCTCTTCCGTTGGTGCTCCAGAATGTCAGCATTGGGCTGCCTGTTGAGCTGACTCTCTAGCCTTTCCCGATCCTTCTCATCCCGCTCACCGCCTCGTTCATCCCTTGGCCGTTTGACCCGCAGGCTCGACAGGTTACGCTGCACATAGCCATTGGTGCCGCTGCCCCGCGGAGTTGTCAGGCCAATACCATTGTACATGGCTCTGCCATAAAAAAGGGTAACACGGATTAGCAAAGTGATTTATGCATTAAACCACAGCGCTGGTATCAAACCAGGTAGAAGATTATTACTTTATTGCACAGGTGTCAAACTCAAGGCCTGGGGAACAAGTATGACTGGCCCACAAGATCATCTCATTTGTATTATTATTGACCCACTAGTTCGAAGTCTGCAGATTTCCTCCAGTATAATAATGTAAAATTTAGCACCATTTTTTTTAAAGAATGTCCTTCATAAGCCACAAAAATCTGGGAAATTAATGAGTACGGAAGATTTGATAAATAGTCGAGAATGTGGGGGAAAAAATATTTACTATTTTATTTCATGTTTTCAATTTTGCATTTTAAGATTACGAGTCAAACATGATTGGAATAAAAAAATGAAAATGTTTCTATCTCAGATTGCCTTTAAACTTATCTTTGTATCTTTTTTGAATTTCTAAATGATTTATAATCATTGCTGTTTTTGTTACATATATTTTGAAAAGTAGGGTTGACAGTTTTGGTAACATGTTGACCCTGTTTGACCCTCAGGTTAGACCTAAATCCAGATTATGGCCCTTGCTGTGGTTGAGTTTGACACCCCAAGTCCAGAGTCAGAGTCTGTCATAAAGAGACTATCTTTTTGTTATTTCCAGGATTTGGGGACGAAATCAGCAAGTTTACACAGGTTTTGTTCCTGTGCTCATTACAACATTTCAGGCTTTTGTAAATGATAAAAACACAAAGAGCATCATCTGTCTCCTACCATGTTAGGAAAAACAGGCCCATTTAATCTGACACTTTTCGCCCCTATTTTTCCAAACTAACAGTGCTAATGTCACCTTTTGTAGAAAGCTTTGAGTGTTAACAGTGACAGAATAAGATTAAGTTGAGGGATACCAATGTCACTGAGACAAAACATTACAAATACATGTTTGAAAATACAACAAGACTTGCACTCTTCATCATTAACGTGCATAACTTATCTATCTTGCATTAGAATCTATCAGTACTGACTTCTACGGTTTATGCTCTTGCCATTTTTGAGCCTTTTATTATGCTGTGGAACTTTGAACTCTAAAATGGCTGACATAAATAAGCCAGGGGAGGTTCAGGACGAATGCGCTAGCTATATGTGAAGTACTAAAGATATGAAGCTGATCTACAACAAAGCAGTAACAGCACCCGGGTTTCACGAAATAACTAAAACACCAGCATACTGCTCTACAGTACATGACTAAAGCTTTTTATGTAAGCTGTCTATTTCAAGTGTAGCCCAGGTTACTTATAACATGTCATGATCAAACAAAAGGCTGTTTGAATCCGTGTTTTTGTAGTAAAGTACAACCGAGACAGATTTCATCAGAAAATTTGTACGATATAATCCTTTTAGTGAGCATTAACACGTGCGCCAAAATAGGCCTGTTGCTACGTCTGTGTGTAAGACACCAAATGTCTGCTATATGAGACTAAAACACTCCACGGAGACTCATTTCATTACCCTGACACAGCTTCAACTCTGTTTTTAATAAACAGTTTCATAGGCGACGTGTTATATCTCTAAACCCTTTATTTTCAAAAGGCCCAACTTCAAACTCAGCTCGCTCTTTAGCTAGCTAACGTCTCTGATACGTACCTGTGTTTTCTCCGGGCGCGGGGAGAAAGCTACGTCGTAAATTCTTCGGCGAAATCAATTAATTCCGTAGAACACGATGCCGAAAAAGACCTTTAAATCCAAGTCTTTATCAATATATCTAGGTATATCTGAAATGTGGCTAGTTAGCTCTCCGCTTGCTAGTTAGCTTTCCGTTAGCTGGTCTGATTTGGTTTCAGAGCGAAGGAGGAATGAGTTGAGAAACGGATGACGTCAGGCGTACGGTACGTCCTACGTATGGTGCGTTCAAGTGTTGTTGGGACAAGCCTGTGCAATACACTGACATGGTGAGAAGGGAGAAAATACACAATACAAATAACCATACACTGGGCTGGATTATGGAGAGGTCTTAAATGTAGTCTAGCCTATTTGCTAGCTTGTAAATTGGCCACGAAGACAAAAGTTTTGTGACCACAAAAATATTTTACTAAATTTTGCCTCAAAACACAAAGTAGATTACTTAGACCCTTGTGTTGTATATTATATGTACAAATAGCTTCAGCAGAAAAAAGATATATACATACCTATTTACTGGGAATTCAAAAAGGGTAGGGGTGGTTTTATCTTTTCCAATTTCAGTCAATTACAACGCCCCTAATTTAACCCTAAACCCGTATTATTTTTAATTAAGTCTGACAATATTTAATAGAAAAGATGTGGTTGCTATGAAAATGAGGGTGTCTACTTTCCAATCCAATCCACTTTATTTATAAAGCACATTTTAAAAAAAACATTCAAGTTTAACAAAGAGCTGCACAATAAAATTAAAAGAACAAACACTGCAGGAAACATCCTGCCTGGATATGATGTCAGTTTTATTTGGCTTGATCGTACTCTGTTACTTTTAAACTTGTGGTAGCACTTAACCTCTACAATATTATAGGTTGTAATAAATTAGGTTGTAATGAATGAAAATCTTCTCATACTACTTGCACAGGGCCGCGTATGTTCTCTTTGGCTTCAGACAAATCTCCCGCCTTCATATCCTCCCCCACATACCAGTGAACAAAGGCAGGCTCAGCCAACATCAGGTCAGACTTGTGGTCAAGCCTTGCCCAGAATGCACACAGCTCTCTCCTGTACACAACAAGAACTGAAGAGGACAGAAGGTAGTTGATGCAAACCTTGACACAAGTGGCGCACCAGTCTGGAAATTGGTGGCTGTGCTTGATGGTAATGGAACCAGCAATAGTGATAATCTTCAAATGTCTGATCTCAAGCCTGACTTGATTTGTTGTAATATTTTGTGATAAAGCTTTAATCCTTGTATGTAGCACTTCTCTGAACTCAGGCTACAGGGCTTTAATAGAACAAATATCAGTTTTTACAAAACTTGGTTATGCAGTCCAACCTGAAGTCTCATAACTGCCTAAGAAGGACAGATTTTAACACTGAATAAGTTACATCAGTTGCTGCAGTTTTAATTTAGCTTTAGCTGGAAGCATCTGATAAATCTATGAAAATGAGGTTTTATGTAAATAAGTCATCTGCCTGGCCTTGGGCCAGATTAAATAAAAGCTGAAGTATACTGAATTCAAAGCAACCAGCACAGAAATCCCTGCAGATTTGCTGAACAAGCCCAAAATAAGGCACAACAAATGTAAAATGTGCACTGTAGACTTTGAAACACTGTTATATAGTTTTTTGATCTGACCTACCGCTCTGAGAAGAATATACACAGCATCGTTCAACATTTATTAAGTATAAAGACAAACTCAGGAGTGATACGGTTTTCATGTTTGTGATAGATTCTTTATTAAAAACACTTCTTGTGATTTCACTAAATTTCAGGCAAAGTGAGTGAAATACACCAAAAATTCTTCAAGTACAGTTAGATCTAAGAGCAGTGACACACACGGAGTACAGTGACATCTAGTGGATAACAAAAGAAACTTCAAATGCACCTTCCTTAGTTTTTACTTTGATGTATTTCAAACATTGACTTTTCTTTTACTGATCCATTAGATGCTTTTGAGTAGTGGCAGTCATGATCAGAATCTCTAGCAACAACAGCATTTACAATTATACAACATTTTAACAAGGCATTGTATTGGTTAAACTAAATACTGCTAATAATCTGATTTTAAAAAGTTAGTCATGATACAGTCACATGAAAATGATATTTTTACATAACTCTGGAAACAGACATCCACAAAAATGTCAATATAAAAATCCTTTTAAAGATTCTCATCATATTTTGTTTGAGTGTTAAGTGTAAAAAATGTCCTTGTTTTCTGAGCAATAAAGGCACATCCGCAGTAAGGCCGGACAGACACTACCTTGAGATGACAGAGCTGCCGTGTGACTGATTAGAGGAGGTAGTGGCGGCGCTTAGCAGGGAGAAACCACTATGACTTGACTCCAGACTGGTCATGGATCCCCTAGAGGGTAGAGAAACAGTTGGAAAATCATTTCTTTTGTTATGGTAAATACAAACACTAATACAGAATTATCAGAAAAAAACACCAGACAAAGATTTCTGTAAAATACAAGAAGATTTAACACCTGGAAATATCCTAAATGTTTGGTTAGATATAGAAGATCAGTGCAGCATGCATGAGTTACTGCATCAGGATAGTACAAACAGGACATGACCATAAAGAAAAATTACCATACTGACCTGAAGTCATGGGATGCCAGCACCTCGGTGTAGTACATGATCTTACACTTGTGGGAGGAGACCTGCAGAGAGGCCAGCACATCATCTACACGAGGCAGACTGGAGGCAGAGCAGGCTGGGGAGCTGTGGAAGCGCCACTGGAGGATGAAGAAGCCGGGCCAGCGTGTCACATGAGAGCCCTGATATCAGAAAGATACAGGATTGAAATAAAACTGCAGTGACAGACAGTCAAACTGCTTTGACTTGGTAGAAAAAAAGAGTCAAATCAAGTTAAGTTGCTGCAAGAATGCCCTCCTAATGTCCTAACCTGTACACTCTCTCCCTCTTTGCAGAGGAGGGCTTTCTCCACCATGCTGTAGTCCTGACCCAGCACCCAGCCTCTGTCTATCAGCTGTGCATTAACCGCACCAGGTGATGGTATGCCATGGGCTCCTAAAGTGTCCCTCTTAGGAGGCTGTGGCGCCCTCTTGGAGTGGTATATGTTGAAAATCACATCTCCTTTGGACACGTCAAAATCCCAGGTGATGACAGAAGAAGCTTCAGTGATTTCAATCAGCAGCTGCAGGAAGACGTAAGATTAGTGGAAACACAGAAAAACAGTGAGCCAGCCATTAATCATGTTTTCTTTCTCTTAAAGCCTGAAATGTAGATTTCCTCCAGCTGGTGGTGCTCTTATCCACAGTATATTCAAGCAGAGACATAATGTTGAAATATAGAAAAATTCCTCCCTATCTCAATGACATTTAATCATTAAATAAACAGTAAAAATGATGATAGAGAAAGTCATTGTGAGATCACAAAAAGTAATGATCATTCCAGAACATGTAATGATCATGAGATAACATGTCAAAATTTTGAGCCAAAGGTAACGTATGAGATAGAAAGTCATTGTCATCACAAAAAAGGCAAATATATATATATTTTCAAAAAAGGTTAGATTATAAGATAGAAAGTATCAATCAGAATGAAAGATTAACATTATGACATGAATGTGAGTTGTAAGAAAATGGAAACTTATGGAAAAAGTGCCACATTTATAACATTTTTTAAAAACTTTTTAAGATGGGATAAACCCCTTGAGATTTCCAATCTTGTTTTTGAGGGAGTCCCAGATCAAAAGTCATGGTAATCAAATAAGATAAAACTAAGACATCATAAGTCTAGATTCTAAGCAAATATATCAAATTCTTATCCCTTAAATTGATCTGTATATCTTATAATAGAGACTATAGTTATGACACAAAAGGTCAGAGGTGTAAGTTCCAAAGTTTCAACAGCGTGACAGAAAAGTCAAAATGTGATAGAAATTCCAAAATATGACAATGAATTATGGTCATCACATGTTTTTTAGTATGTTTTTTTCAAACAATAACTATAATCTATTATATTCAGACTTTGTAGCTCAAAGTTATAACTATCACATTATCTCCAGTTTCAAGTCACTATGTAAACTTTAATTTCAAAGCTGTGGTTTTTGGACTTATTTTGACTTTTTCTCATAACAATTTTAACTTTCTATCTCATGATGTCAACTTTTATTCTTATCGTTACAAATTTTCTTAGAAGATCATTCCAGTTACAGTTGGTGTTGGAAATGAGCTTTAAGGAAAAACATGTAGATGTGGTTTTAGGTTAAATAGCAGACTCTGTACCTCATACGGGGCTCCCTTGAAAATACTGGCGCTCTTGTAGACTGAGTCAGTCAACAGGCGGTTTTCTTCACTCTCCAGCTCCTCTGCTGTCCTGTACAGAGATTTAGGAACCAAACCTCCTTCAGGGATGTCACACTAGAGAGAGAGAGGGAGAAAAACGAAGTTTAAACATGACAGCAAGAGACAAATCACATTACCGCATCTTTTCACGTGTTAATGTCCTCTGCAAACAAAAATTGTTCCATGAGTACATCTTGAATATTTTCTCATTTCTCCTACCAGAGCTGAAATTTATACATGAATGGAAGGCTAAGAAACATTATTTGTATTTTCTAGGAATAAATGTAAAAAATAGTTTTTCTAAAAGTTGAATCATCTCACCATGCAGTCGCCTCCTAAAAACTCAGGGATGATTTGTTTGTCGATGTAGTCCACCAGTCCTCCTGCACCCTGGTAATCATTTCCAGCATACACAAGAAACTTTTTCCGGGTGTTTTCATCTATTAGAGGGCTGACCTGTAAAATAAAATAACAAAACAAAACAAGCTTTGTCAAAGAGCATGAAAGCAACAGCATGTGCATACCATTACAACACCTTATTCTGGGATGCTGTATGAACCCTCTGTTGTTTTGTATTCCAGTAGCTCTTAAAGACTGAGCCATCTATGGGTAGATTCAGCCTAAACTTAAAGCGGATGCTTTAAGCATACACAGTTAAGCACTTGTTATAGGTTGGGATTTATTTTTACACGTTAATGTGCTTGTAATACATCTTACCTTTATTTCTTTGCAGAATACTATTACTCTTCTGCAAACTTTACAAATGTATACTGCTGTAGCACTTAAAGAGTTTCCCTCATGCATAATGCATAAGTCTAATTATCCCCCATCTCCATTTTGGCTTTGTTTATATTATCTCTAAATCATAATGTTGCCTTGCCCCACTCAACTATTAAGAACTTGTGCACAGACACATCTGCTTCTCTAACTTCATCATAAAAGTGGATCCATTCTTTCATGGGCAGATTATCAATTAAATACAAATCAACAGGAGCAGGTTATATGAGATCCTAAAGCTGTTCTCACCAGGGTCCAGAGCACTGGGAAAACTCTGGGTGCCCTCAGGATGAGGAGGCGGCCTAGAGTCTCAGGGTAGTTTGCCTCCACCACCTCGATGATTCTCAGCAGAGCTTTAACACCTGGTCTCCACAGGTGCCGCATGTTCAGGCCCTCCAGATCCACCAAGCAGGTCCAACAGCTTCAAGACACATCGACACAGCTATGAAATAACTGCATATGCAAGAATGTACATCGGGTTACTTGAGACAACAACACAGGATGGAAGAGTACTCATCCATGCACCTGATGGGTCGACCGAAGACTCTGGTGTTTTCTTCACAGCGCCTCAGGCCCTCCTCATTGAGAGACAACACCTGAAGCATAATCATTAAGTTAAAGCATAAATATACCTGAAGATATCTGAAATAGAAATGACTGTAAATGTACTTTTTGTCATTAAAGTATTCATGTCACCTGTCTCAGCAGCACCTCCTCTCCAAGGGCTCGTACCAAACCTTTTGTGTCCATTTGTCCCAGACGTAGGACATACAGAGGACGGCCATCTAAACACACAAAAAGCACACATTAAAACAAAGATTTTTTAATAGACTGTCAATAATGTTAACAGAGAGAATGAGCCAACCCTTTATATTTTAATAAATTAAAAATCCTCCTCTTCATGTACGTGCGTGCAGCTGTTGTTTAATGTCCAGACTGGATATAAATGAGCATGGGAACAAACAGAGGGTACTTCCTAAGTCTACATCAGAAGTCATCAGGTTGATTAGCTGAGCTGAGAAAAGCTATGACTCATTTTCAAACACTGGAGCTCTGACAGATGGCGCTCAGACGAAAACAGTCAATAATTAACAGAGAATTCCAACCAGTGTGGACTTGATGAAGAAAGCAAATGAGTCACTCTGCATCTTTATCTTTATTTTCACTTTCGTTAAATACAAGCAGGGATGTCACCGTGCGCTCATCTAATGATACAGTATAGTCATGATACTGTCTTCATAATGTGATTTTTTTTCTCACAATAGAGAAGAAGCACAATTTCTATTTAAGCAAAAGACTGGCTATACAAAACCTGGTGATTGTTAAAGAGATATTCCGGCATAAAATTAAATTAGGGTCAAACACACCTTAACACCGAGTTAGACACCCTGTAGAGAGATGAATGCTGCCGACTGCTTGCTTCTCTAGTTATACCAACTTAAGTAATGACCGCATAATAGCAATACACAGCTGTCTCAAGAGCCACGTGCTCAACCAAAAAGCCACTATGTAGCCACAAATAACTAGTTTAACACCGGAATATCCCTTTAATGCTTTTACTTTTGTTTTTAAAAGCACTCATCAGGGTCAGTTCATTTCTTGTTTTAATCACAAATGTATTTTGACTTTGGGCAGTGGCGCAGACTTTAGTGACAAAGAAATAGGCAGCCTGCATTGTTCTCATAGTACCTCTGTCATGGTGATGCCAGCCTCCAGTGTAATAGTCCTGCATCAGTTGAGGGCGCTCCCATGTGTCCAGCAGGAAGTCCACCTGGTGCTGCTTCCTCCAGGTGAGTGACTGACACAACAGCTCTCTGGCCTTGTCTAAGTTGAAATCCCTGGCCCTCAGGAAACGCAGCACATGCTGGTCTTTAGGAATCTGGGAAAGTAATTTCAAAGTTAATTTCTCCACATCGATGCTTGAATACGTTCAGAATATTTGGCTTCAGTTATTGTGGCAGGAGTTCAGCCTAATAATGTGTAACTGTGTTTTTCCCATGATGGTAGAAATGCTTTTTGCTGGTGTATGTTTGACCTTGCCCTTGTGGTTCTCTTGAAGCCACTGACGCAGTCTAATCAGACAGCTCTCCTGCATGAGTGTTAGATCACCAAGGTAACGTCTGATGTAATCAGCATCCAACTTATCTGCGGGGCAAAAGCACATGAGCAATATGAGGTTAGTACATACGGTGTGAACAAAGTGTACTTCAAACAAGAAAAAAAATATATAAAAGAGTCGATTATTCCTGCAGGACCTGTGATGTTTGTTGCTGCTAAATAATGTGAGCAAAAGTACTTCAAAATGCCACATATAGAACCATGAAACTTAATTGTTCAAACTGGTATCTGCAGACTTTCATATGAATAGGACAAAACTGAATCCTTCATATCTCTAAACCTATTTCTGTGTTCTAGTTTGGTGAGGAAACACTAACCATCAGGAGATCCAGCAGGTAGCTCTGTGGGGCCAGCCGTGTCTTTGCCATCAGGCCCATTATGAGATCCCTTCCCTGGGATGGCTCTGGCTGGAGAGGGCGTCTGCAGCTGCAGTCGGGCAGCAGGGGTGCCAGGGACAACAGGGGGGGTCCAAGGAGGTAGATACGTCACCCCTTCTTCCTCCAGCTCTCTGAGGTAGTACTCAATTATTTCTTTACCCTACAGCACAGGAAGGAGAAAATCTTTTGTTTAACACAACCATTAAGGTGACTGCAGGAAACAAATGTAAAAGAAAACCACAATGCAGCTGAGTTGCGAATAAGGTTTCCAAAAAGTAAGGGTGATTTCCAAATATATAAAGTGAAAGTTTTCAAACCTTTTTGATGCTGCTAGCGTACTGCTTCATAGCGATCTTCTCTGCTGTGCTCTCGAAGCCAAAAAAGGACTTGATGTCCAGACTGGCTGTTTGCTCGAAGCACGTCCAGCTCTCATTCTCTGGATGAACCTGAGGAAGACGAGCATGAATCAAAACTAGAAATGCTAAAAGTGTTTATGGCTATGATGAGTGGACACTGAACCATAAATGTGATGTACTATTTTGAGCACAAAGGAAACCAATGGCTCCAAATCTAAGACAACTTTTTATACTTCATGTGAACTTTAGGTGACATTTGCAACAGAAATAATACTCATTATTGATTTTATTCTGTGGAAATGAAGATGTCTGTTTGTTTATTTGGTGTTTCAATATTTAGGGACAGTATGGGACATGTTAATCCCACAACACAGCATTCATAGCCAAAGCTGATTTTGCAATGATTCTTTCTTCGCAGGGGGATTTTTAATGATATTGGACAATGCTTTGCAGCTTTACAAGAGGATCATAGTAAATCAGTAATTCATGCATTAAACAGAGAAGCCATTATTGTGTCTTTCATGCTGTGTCTAAGCTCTGTTTGTGTGAAAAACTCACACAGTGACAAATAGAAAGAAAAGGAAGAAGCCAAATACCAGATTGTAACTGGTACGCACACAAAAAAGGCAACAATGAGGGTGTTGTATCCTTTTTGAAAGAGGGGATTAAGAGAAACAATAAATCATAAAACATGAGAATATGAAACTCTTTTGGTTTCTTTTGTCTTTTGTTTTGGCTCACCGTGTAGTTGCAGCTCTCTCGGACAATGACTCTGTTGGAGAAGGTCTCATTGTGAACCTCGATGTGGAGCGTCCTGTCTCTGCGGTTCAGAGTGTTCTTTTGGACAAAGTAAAGGTAGTCCACACCAGCAATCTGCATGAAGAAAAAGACAATAGAAGACGCCTGATTAAAGAAATGTCACCAACAAAGTTATTAAAAAAATCTCTTGAAACCTTGCTGCAAAATTCTCATTTTCAGTTTTGGAATTTCTGACAAGGTTTTGATGAGAGATTTGTGTTTTGGTTCCTCAATCTTTGTTAACAGAGACTGTCAGAACTGAGTAAAAGTTTTCAGTCTGTGAAAATGGTCAGTCGATGTACCCTCTTAAGCAGCCTTGGGGCCTCAATGTCAATGACACAGCGCCTCTCAGTCACCACTGTTGATCCATCCTTGCTTTGGGTCTCATTGATAATCTCACTGTCCACAAAGACAGGGATCAGGGGACACTTAGGGAACCTCCTCATGTAGGCCTGAGAAAAGAGAAAATCACAAGAGAACAAGGGAAGAAATGTTTAAACATAGGATTTATAACTGTTTAGGGGCCAAATTGAGGAGTCTTGTCAATCAAACCAGCACTCTGGAAGATGCATCCACTTTCTAATATTCTGTAGTTTTTCTTTATAAATGCATGATTGACTCGTGACCTGATAAGGGAGGAGAGCAAAGTGACTAGAGGGTCAGTTATGTCAGGTCTCCATCTTGCTTTGCATGTTAAAGCAGTGGCTTGCTTTCTCAAAGGACCTTCTTTTGACAAGATTGAATAACCCTCTCTGCATATCATATCATGAAATTAGTCACAAACATGTAATTGTCCCCATATAGATCACAAAAAAGTATCAGAAGTGTTTCCAGTACATCAAATTTCATCATAATTTCATATTATTGAAAAAATATTTATTTTGTCAAAAACATTGTCTTGGCATGCACAGGACAACATCAGAGGGGATTAGATGTACTAGCCCTTTAATGCCTTTTGTATTATATTTGATACATACTTTTAGGATACTTCTATCAAATCAATATGATGAACAAATTACTAACAAAAACACCTGAATACAGTCCGATAAATGATAAAAACGTCCTCTTGTGGTTTATCAGTTTCCAAAAACATCTAATGTATCAAACAAGATAAATATTTTTTTAGTTAAATTTTAAGGACATTTTGATTTTTGTTGTTGTTGTTTTCAGTTGTAAGTAAAATAAACATTTTAACTCCAAAAACTTTTAATTTTCTAGCCATAATTTGTGGTTTCGGGCATTTAAGGGCTAGTTGTCCGCAGAGGGCGCCAAAGAGAACACAAACCAAAAGTTCCTTACAGCAGCTTTAATTGTACTTTTTTTTTCACTGCTTTAGTGCACTGACTTATATCATACCCTGCATAAAAGCCCTGTAAACATACACCAACTCAAAGTAGTGCACTTACTCTTAAGCAGCCCGAGCACATGTACTTTTTCTATCAGGTTAAGCTTCATTTAATGGTTAAAGGCTTTGCTCTGTTCATAAAAATACACATAAAACTGGATGTTCAGCACAGCAGCAGCCTGTATTTTTGGCAGCTTTTACAGCAGTGATTACTGAGTTTTATTGCCTACAGCAGCACACAGTGGGAACATCTGTCCTGGCCGACTCCTCTGGGACCCACCTGTCAATATTGACTGATCGGCTGTTTCAGGATATATAAAAATAGAACAGGCTATGTAACAGGTAACTAAGGGCACAGAGGGCACTGGAACTATACTGGTTTTAAAAAAAGCACAGCTCCCAACATTAGGCAAAAAGAGGTCTTAGCTTTAAATGCTACTTTTATCAGTCTAGTTGCTCTGTCCCTTTGTTCTTAGACAGTGAACTTCCTTGGTTTTAGGGGGAGAAATGCACGTTTTGTTTTTTTCTATTTTTCCCTTATTTTATTCCACGGGAGATGGTGATTTGATTTTGACCACATGCATATTACAGTGTGAGGAACCAACCCTAATACAGGCACCGGAAAAATAGTGAAGAAGAGACTGAAATATGAACCTTTTTTTTGCAATCCTGATTCACCTCTGAGCGCTGATCTTTGGCACACACACAAATACCCTGTCTGTATTGACACAGTACAGCATACGAGCGGTCAGATCAATAAGATGACATTACTCAGTGAGCTAATTGATGGGAAAGGTTTTCTTGGTAAATAAGCAGCATTGACCGGTGTTGTGAAACTGACAGACTTTGCAACAAAAACAGTGTCTCTGATTGCAGAAGAATAAGTGTCTTTGTCCGCCCAGTTCCTCTAAACTGATAAGGCTTAAAGAGCCAGATCAGCAGAAAAAAATATGAAGGATAAGCTAAATGTGTTTGACTGGATCATTGATTTTAAAGTGTGAGGTTCTTATCAATAGCAAGTGTTTGAACAGCTGGTCCGTGGACTTAAAAAGAGAAAATAACACAACCAAACTCAAAAAATGAGCCATTCTGAGTGTGACAAAGACATGCTATGTATCATGGACACAAGAAGACATTTTCCATGGACCAGAGTTTATAAGGAAGACTGAGTCTTCTTTGTTAACTGAAAAGCAGGAGAGATCCCGAGTTACCTGGTGGTGTAGGTGTCTAAACTATGAGCCTGTGAAGTGAGAAAACTGCTTACTGTCTAAAGATGGACTTTGTACTTCCTGAATCAGAGGATACCAGTGATTCACATACAGCTGCAGTCTGCATCACGCACCATTCCTGCCTCACTGAACAACCAATCCTGTTGTACCTGCGTTCTTCAATTTTAAGACATTAAATCAGGTAAAAAGTAAGGTAACTGGAGGTGCATCTTCAAAGTAAGTTTTAGCTCTCATGATTTTCTTGTTTCATTGCATAATAAACACAATCTATGGTCCACACGTGCAAATGTACTGAATCCTGCTTGAGCTTGTCAAAGTCACTTTGGTAGCTGTTAAAGGGGAAGACTGAGCAGAAAAAACAAACTCTCCAGACATTACTGCCACTGCTCCAGGGCTGAACCATATCTTCTGACACAAAGAAACTATGATGTCCGCATGTGCTGTAGTCACATTGCAGGAATTAATCTACGGTAAGTCTGTGTTACAACTGCAGAATGTAAACATGCATGGGAGTAACAATGCGTTTACAGTTACAGATACCCTGAAAATGCAAGCTTAAGCAAGGCTCAGTACATTTGCATACATAGTTAAGAGTCAAGCTATAAATATAGCTGATTTAACTAGATTACTGTTCACAAGCACTGGGAAAAAATTTAATTACTGACTGAAGCATATCTGCTTCCACTGTGATAGGTGGTGACATACCCACTTCAGCTATCAGGTCGCCTTTTGGTTGACCTATTATCTATCAAAACATTCATCAAAAAACATGATATTGCGTACTATGAAAACACCATCACTCTACAGCTCTGTACTGTTTCTTCTTTCTCTGTCAAGTTTTATTTACTACTAGGCTTCCTCGCAACGCATTTATGTGATTCAACTCCCAGCTCAGAGCTTCTTGAGCCACACAGATGACTGAGAAGATCAATCTCTAACTGCATTATCCAACTATGTCGCCCTTGACACTGGGGGCACACTTATGGACTGCCAAACCAATGCGACCAGTGTTTACCTGTAGCATCTAAACCTGTAGTTTACGCACATCTCAGTGTTGTGAAAACAGTCTACAGAAGAGAGGGCAAAGTTTTTATCTAATCAAAAGTTACTATCACGAAAGTTGTCACTCTAATTCAACATAATTCTTAACATTGACAGGAATTACTCATTATGTGTAAGTCAGTCAATTGCATTAATTATTGACGTCTACATAGTACTCTCCTTTCATGGCGCTTGTTGTCTATGCTGATATCAGAGCTATTGGTGCCAAGATGATATTGATTTGAGAGGCAACAATATCAAAATTCCAGATGGGTTTGCTGACTGCAAAGTACTGAAAAGTTTCTACATACAGCAAACATTTAAACCAATGTTAGTGTTTGGGTTAGCGTTTGCTTAATCATATTGGGAGAGCTGACCCAGTCCATAGCAGTCGATATCCTTGTTTTTGTTCAGGTTCTGTGGCTGGTTTTTCAGCATTGAGGCCTTGCTGACCCCTGTGGGTAATACAGTTAAAATTGACAAACACCAAATAAACCCTCACTTCAACAAACAAACTATCCCTTTAAGTAGAAATATCAATAGCCCCAGGAGACATTTTTTGCCTTCAGTAAGAAAATATTTGTCACGACCATATTTCACTTTGGCGAGCCATTAACAGTATAAGGCTGTAACTGTGGAGCAAAGGGAGCTTTATTTCCTCAGGCTGTATTGACTGAATGCGCTTATCCAGATGTAAACTGTTTAAAGGTAGGCTAGCATGGCTTTATATAAGCAAATATTGTGAATTTAAATTACATAAAAATGCAGGTGACTCCTAAAGTCACGTAAATAAAAGAGAAAGTGTGCATGTCTATGTTTGAGCATATAGCAGCGCACAGGATATTGAACAAGGTTGTTAGCAGGAGTAATAACCAAGAGTAAGTCAGGGGGCAGGATGAGCTGAGCTCTAATGAGAAACCCAAAGATAAATGGAAGCTGAGCAAGGTTACTCTTTTCACTGGATTCTCCCTTTTATGCTGTCAAGGCCTGGATCTTTTCATGGGAGCTGTTAGTTTTTCACAAAAGGCCTTTTATGATCTTTTTCAACATCGTGCAGTGATGCAGGAGTATTAGCGAAGGCAGAGGTATTTCAGGGAAAAAGCAGCTTGTGTAGGTGTTGACTTGGACTGTTGGGTGAAGGAGTTCCAGCGTGCAGAGCAAAGTGTTAGCGCCTGCAGCATCACGGTCTTTATCCCTTGCTGAGGATGTTGCATAAGTCTTTGGCTTAATATGTAACTGCAGAGAACAATAAACAGAACGCAACAGTGGGAAAAAAATGACTGCTTCTCATGAAAATGCACAATTTTCTGACTTCTGCCCTACTTTTGCTTCATACAGTTCTAAGTTTAAAGCTCTGAGACTCAACTTGTGAGGTGTATATGAGTAAAACAGGATTTCCTCCTCTACATTTGATGGCTTTATCTTGCAGGAGTAAAAATGTTTGGAAAAGTTGGATCACTTTGGTGGATTTCCTTACTAGGGCTGTTTAACCCGGCTGCACTGAAATGTAAATATTTTGACAGTTAAATTAATTCAGCTCATGGAACAGACAGCTCAGGAATTCAAGGATTATTACATAACCAAAAGCTTTGTAAAAGTACAGCAACACAATAGAAAAAAGAACTCAACTCTTGCCATCACACTGACCTAACCTCTTGACTTTTTAAAGCGTCAAATAAAGATGGTAATAAAAAGCAATGATGAGAAAAACAGGATCATCTATAAGTTTTTATGGAGTGCAGAACTGAACCTGGCATTGAAATAAGAGTAAAGAAACTTCTGAAAGAAATGCAAAGGTTAATAAGCAGCTTTCTCTCAGTATGTGCCCTGAAAATGACTGTATTTATCAACGCATCAGGAGAGAAAAACAGAAAATAGACAGTATATTTTGCAATAGATGCTGTGCACAAACAGCATTTATGACAGGTAAGTGAAAATCTGTAGAGAGACAGACGACCCTGGGAGGCAGACAAGGCTGCAGACACTTTGTAGGTGTTTGAAATGTTTTTAGCCCTGCTGTAATTTACCATGTCTACAAGACATAAATGGGCAGTTGTAAGGCAAAAAGAGGACAGCACATTCTTTCACTCGTCTTGTGACTCCTGAGGAACAAACATGGTTCAGTCTCACAGTGAGTCCTGTGAGAGTCCTCTGATAGTCCTTACTGTTGATTGATTCAGAAATCTGAACTGTAATTAGTAAATTTAGCGAAATGGACGAACAGGATGAAAATGTATTTGATTCTGTTTAATATGAGTCTGTGAAGCTCACAGACTGACACCATTCAGATTATTCAATGTACATTCACGTAAGGCTACAACAGCTTAATTGGGTCGCTTGAAAACAACAGCAGGGTGGTGCTAAGGGTGGCTATGGCCCCCACATGAAATCTGACCAGTTTCCAAAATCCTTCACTATGGTCGGCCTTGTCAGCAAGGCTTATGTTAAAACTTTTGAGGCTGCTTTGCAACAGGCACTTTGTAATTTCATTGATTTTACATGTGGTACTTTTTCTTTTGTTTAAGTTCTTCATTTTTACTCTTGTCTCTGGACTCAAACTATTATGTCCAAGGATTGTAGCTAAGCAGAACTTTTATGTTGGGACTTGTATGATAATTCTATTTCAGTAGTTAAGGTGATTATGGTCAGACAGGTCTATAAAAGTTTGCATTTTACATAATGCCAACTCTGCAAAATTGTCGTAAAGCGATGGTCTTTCCAAAAAATGTTCAGTGTTTGATTTGTTCCTTGATCAGAAATGCCAAAACCGTATATATCTAACTCCTTCTCAGCTATAATCTGCTGCTTTTAGGTAGATTTGTGCAACTGTAGAATAGATATTTTTGAGTTTTGAAAAGGTAACATTCATAAGAGGGGCTTTGTCTGCATAGATACTTGGACTGTCTGTGGACAAATTGATGTCTCTCAACTAGGACTGGGTGATTATGGTTCAGCCCTCGTGATCGATGATCGTGATAAATTTCAGTTCGATCACGGTGATCAGCTGTGAGCATATTTACTCGATCAAACATTGCGGAAATGTGCGTCACAACATCGAGCTTTTCCTGCTCACTTCTGTACGTTGCCGGAGAAGTAAACAGAATGACCGAACGTGGAGCTAAACGCTGAACCAAGGCAGCAAAACAGATGTCAGTCGTGACTTTTAGTCATCCTCCGAAGATGTGATTATTGAGAAGTTTTTCAATGTTGCGTCGAGCAATTAAGCCGATGTGTAACATACATCGGCGGTTGGTGCCCTTATTAGTGGCAACACAATAGATCTGTTTGATCACTTGAAGAAGTACAAGTGATTATGCAGAAAACATAAAAATGCCAGCATAGTCTGCACAGCCTGCCACTGCTGACAGCACGGGTAGCATTAGCAGTTTAGCCACAACTAGCGGCCACTAGACCAAAGCAGCAAATAATCGTCTCATCTTCGTTTACATCATCTAATGTTTACATTTTAAGGCGTCTTCATTATCTCTGAGGAGGCAATTTGTTTATTTTGGGTCTTGCATACCTGCAAAAACACTCAGGACTGTAAACTAATTCACTGTATTAATTAATATTTATTAACATTTGTTATATTGCTGAGTTAAAATGGTAATTTTCAAAGTTTATCTTATTTAATTTGCTTTGTTATTTACTTTGTATGCTAATAAAATGTTGAACTAATCTCTAGTTTCTTTAGTTTTTAGTACCTATGCTTTAAAACCTGCAGTTTAAAAAAAAAAATCGTGATAATAATCGAGGTCGGACGATGTGACAAAATATATCATGATCACATTTTTTGCCAAATCGCCCAGGCCTAGACTCTCAACCCTGTTGATTTTGTCTTGTACATGTACACATCATTTCCAGACGAAACAAATAACATTACTTTGTCACCAGAAAATCATGTGTATGACTCACTGGGGATATATGCAATGGGAAAAAAAGAAAAAAAAAGACGTTTTTGTAGTTTTGACTATCATCTGGCCTGACACAAACCACCTCACAGCTAAATACATCTTTTGTTTAAATTGCCTTTAGTTTAGTCAATGCAGAAACTTCTCAATGGTATCATGATTTTGCATCAATTTGTAGCAAATTTTGTTATGCTTTGGAGCTGGCAGTGTACTCTTGTGAATTAGTTTTGGAGCAAAGCCTAATGTGTTTACCAAGTGAAAAGGTCAGAGTAAACACCGGCTAAAAGATACAGATGTTTTCCAAGTTCAGTTATGCAATACTCTGATAAGGAAGACACTGTGGATCATCAGTTGGACTAATGTGACACTTGAGGCTGCATAACAACATTACTCACCGCCATTATGAGCTCAAAAGGGTGCTTATAGACCCGGACGGGAGACTGGTATTCCTGCACCATGGTTGATTCTTATTCTCAGTTAGCTTCTGCAGAAAAAAGCACAGACAGCATCTCTGAAATATGAGATGAAAGATAATTTGCATCACGTTGTTTTTATTGTACCATAAAAAAAGTTACACCATACCAGCGGAGTCAATAAATACGAGTAAAGAAAGTAAAAAGCGTAAGAGTCAAACGATCCTGGCTTTACGTTGATTCAAACAGCAAAATTTAGTTAAAACATAAATTTAAGTTTCCAGTTTCTCTTCAAGTTACATAATAGATACCTAACCTAACGGTTGGAGGAGGATCGTACCAGGCTAACGTCTGCAGTGACAAACAAGACCATAAAAACAGAAAACTTTACTTACACGAGGTTTGAATCCAATTTATGAAGTTAAACTGAGTCACTGTCGGAATATCTGCGTATTTCCCATGTTTAAGTTGATGCTTTCAGCTGTAATTCCCCGCAATATAAATTATAAAAACTACTTTCGTGTTGGTCAGTCAGTCCACCGCTCTGGGTTTACACTATGGTTCACGCCCCTATCACGAGTGGGCGGAGTTTGAGCCTTACCCCCATATATGGAAAGCCGATAGTGCCATTATTCGCCTCAAATTTGAAACGATTAATCGAATCCTAGTTTTGAGGCTGTTCAACCTGTTGCCCCCCACACCGTGTACTTAATTTTATAGACAACGGATTTGAGCTTTTGTCATCCATTCATCCGAGCACAAGTCTATTAGTGATGTATGACTCGTGACTGAATTTTTGATTTGTACAGAAGCATATCACATTCACATTAGAAAGAGGGAATTCTGCTCTATTTTTCTGACTTTTTTTTTAAAATCATCTCAGACTCATGAGATAATTTTTCAATAAAATTGTTCTGCCTTGAAAACTTTTTTTAAACACAACTTTTTAATAGATAATTCTAAGATAGTTTTCTGGTTAATTATGAGAAATGAGGCAGAATTTATTATTTAAAAAATAGTTATCTTTCTATTCTGAGAAAACGATCTTGTTAATTCAGAAAAACAGCAAACTTTTATTTTTTCATAAAATTTTCTCAGATTTTTAAGATAATTGTATTATATTGTATCTCACCCATAGCCTGTATGACAGCATCTGCCTCCTCGCTTGGTTGAAGCCACTCCGAGAACAGCACACTCTGGTGGTGGGCTGCAGTATAGGTCATAAATCGTGAATGATTTTATCATAAATAAAATCATTCACAAAAACATAAACAGATAAGAAATTATGCTATATCCAAAAAGGAAAGGAAGAAAATCATCATCCTGCCTGCAGTGTCAGTAATACAGGTTTCATGATTATTCAGCAACTTGTTTCATTTTTATTGTTTATTTTTATCAACATTTTTAAATCAAAATTAGTGCCTTTGACCAGGAATTGAGAAAAAGTAAAAATTTAGGAAAAGATAAAGACAATTTGTGTTTGTGAACAGTGAACTTTGATGGCCTGACTGTGTGAAGCATGGACAGTTACATCAGCCACTGAAGATGAGTTTTAAGGGTTGATCAGAAACTGTTTTTCCATTTATTTTGTTTTTTTGCTTGATAAATCTGTTGGAAAAGATAATTGCTCCAATGTTAAAATGTATTCCTGTACTAACTCATTCACTCAGTTGTATCTGAAAATTAGGCTAATATTTTCAATTTTTGAAAGTATGGTCTGCCAAATATGTACAGCTCCTGCTCTGTAAAACTGTGACAAGCAAAATAGCACCCAGTGCATACGTCTGAACCCTGTAACCTCTGGCGAGCACAGTACTGATGTTAAATATACACATTATCCACCCCTCAAGAGACCAGATATTTAAGAGAGCTGACATCAAGAAAACCAATTCCAAGATTTGAATTTAAAATAACCTTGGCACTGACTGTCGTCAACAACAAACTTTTCTTGCACTTTTTTAAACCAATAAATCTGACATCCCTCCTCCACAAAATATATTCTACCAGATTTTGCCTAACATTAACATTTTTTATATTTTATTCAGAAAATTATTTAGTTGATATATTCGCTGTTCACATAAGCTATTCCAGAGAGATGCAGCTGGTTTCCCATTGAGACTCCTGATGCGGCAGCAGCGATGTGTGGGGATTCAAAGCTTGTGGATTTGGCAGCCTACAAAAGGTACTTGAGTCCGGCATGGGAGTTCCTGAGAGGGGGAAGTGGAGTTCAGATAAGCACTTTTTTTCTAATCAGCCTCAGGCAAAAAGAATTATTGCTCTCAGCAACTCTTTCCCCACAAGTGTGGATAAAAAAAAAAAGAAGAGGAAAAAACTTTGGCACCTTTGTTGAACCGCACAGCCTGTCTGATTATCCTTAGAAAGTTCTACAAAATGCATGAACTCTGGGTTCATTTCTTAGTCTTTGTTTGCCAAGGTAATACACAGTGTAGCTGTATGTTTGAGTTTGGAAGGTGAACTGTCATTTTAACAGTGATGGTCAAACAAATCTGTCACATCACATGGAATAAAAAAGGACCGATATATGACCTTAAAGCAAAATTGAATGTCAAGAAAGATGTCTGGCATCTCTCTTCCTTTGGCTAAATCTGGATGTTTACCCTCACATTATTAAAGTCTGGGTGTCACTTCCCTTCATTACTGATTATGATCCTTCAAAAGCAACAAAAGTGTCCTTGAATCCACAATGGCACCTGGTATTGCTTTGAAATTCATATTGTGATAGCCCGCTGCCCCGTCTCAGGAGATAACAAGCACCGTGACTCATCTGCTCCCGCTGATTAGAATGATCACCTGCACCCTCTGTTGTTAGTTAATTGTAGTCCGTCACAGGAAAATAAGGAGGTTTACTCATCGTCTCCTTTCAGCTCAGCTCATTGCGTCTCAGAGCTCATCATCTTTCCCACAATCCTCTTAGTGCGCCTGTCTAATTATCTCTAATAATGACTGAAGCACATTGAGTGTATTTCTTTGCCCAGACTTCACAGTGGCTTCACACACCTCCAGCACTGCTGAGCTGAAGCCTCTGGCAATAAATCCCATGGAGATTATGCAGTCATACAGCTTTTTATTCATGCATTGGTAATCCTGAGCATGAATAAACTTCTTTTCATCAGCTGTTCACCTACAGTAATAAAAGAATAATGTGCTCTGCATGGATCTGCTCAATAAAATTATACTATCAAACATTATAAGAGGCTGTCCATTAATGAACCCATTATGCAGCCTTGGGTAATGATCATTAGTTGGCAGATATCCACTAATGTTGGAAACAGACTTTGGAAAAGAAACTGAAGATGTAAATGTTATCTTTAAAGAAATCTTAAAAGATATCCTGTATTTGTCTTGTTTTAGTAACAGCAAATGGGACCTAAAATGATCAGTTTTACTCAAACAAAACGAATGAAGCAATTTATCCATTCATGGCTCAACTGATCCCACATAAAATGTAAGTTGATCCAAGAGACACCTTTTTTTAAAGAGAGTTGTGCATCTTTTCAATTGATTGTAGAACTGTATTGTATTTCAAACGGGTGCACCTCATCCTGAAATATTTGTGTCACTCGTGGTTGGAGACATTACTGGAATATCCTAACTTAAAGCTCCTCCTGTTGTGAGGGCTCAGGACTGTGAGTCTGACACATCTTGTCTGCAGTACAGGGGCCCCCAGGGGACAGTTTTGGCTCCCTTCCTTTTTACCCTGTACACTGCAGACTTCACCCACCACACAACAAGCTGCCACCTGCAGAAGTTTTCGGACAACTCTGTTATTGTTGGGCCTTATTGCCAATGACGATGAGAGGGATTACAGAGAACTGAACTGGAAATTTGTGGACTGGTGTCAGCGGAACTTCTACAGGATCATCACTGGAGCTTGTGGTAGATTTCCACAGGCAGAGGCCCACCCCTCCCATACTGGTGAACACCCAGAGTAAGGACATTGAGATTGTGGATTCTTATATTTACACTCTGGACTGGACTGACAACACAAACTCACTCTACAGGAAAGTCCAAAGTAGACTCCAACTACTGAGGACTCTGAGGTCCTTTAGTGTGCAGGGTGCACTCCTGCGGTCCTTTGATGACTCAGCCATCTTCTGTGGAGTGGTCTGCTGGAGGAGCAGCCTCACGACTGCATACAGAAGCAGACTGAACAAACTGGTAAAAAAAAGCCGTCTCTGTTCTGGGCTGCCCTCTGGACCCTGTAGAGGTGTTGGGGGACAGGAGGATGATGGCTAAGCTATCATCTCTCATGGACATTGTGTCCCACCCCCCTGCAGAGCACTGTAACATCACTGGGCAGCTCCTTCAGTGACATGCTTCTTCACCTGATTGCCATTACACATTACTTTGGTCTTGTGATTATATGCTAATCCAGGCAGATACAGCCTACATAAAACTTTACTTTAATTTTTCCACATTTAAATCCTGGCAAACCTCAATGCATCTGTGCTCGTTTTTATTCAGGTAGCAGAGCATTACACCAATATAGACTGTAACCAAAGGTAGTAGCAGAGACTGGGCTCAAGCTTTGCTCCAGATGCAACAAATGACCAGCATTTCTGGTTGAATCTGTTGAATTTACAATAATTACAGTGTTAACAACAAAAAGGGTTTTAGCGATTCATTGAACCCCTTAGAGGGTCGGCTCACGACCTATAATTGCATGATATTGTGGTGCCTATTACGTTAACTGGCCACTGTAAATTGCTCCTAGGAGTGAGTGTGATTGCCCACTTGAGTATGTAGCATAGGTAATGGATATAGATGGATGGATGTATATCACCTGTGGAAACAGAAAAAATTCCATGGTTGAAGAGGATAATAGAGCTGAAAAACACATATATTTCATGCCAGACTACTTATCATACTTCATGCCTTTAAGTGCAGAGGAGGATGACCTTTTTCTCCGCAGATGGAATAAGAGCTGTAGGGTTTGATTTAAGCTGACACGCAAAACTGAAGCATCAACTCTTGGGCTTTCTCTATTAGCACAGCCTGCAGCTGCACATCAACCTCTATGTCTT